ACACCTACGAACATCAACGAAATTCGCTTTCGGATTCGCCAAAACAAGCTGCGGTCGATGCGAAAGATGGGCAAACAGCTGAAAATTAGCCCTCGAAGCGTTGGAAGGATTGTTAAAGGGAAACTAAGATTCTTTAGCTACAAATTGGCTAAAACACACGTCTTGAGCGACAAATCTCAGAAGAAACGAAAGCGTCTAGCAAAGAAGATGGTGCGCTCGGTGGCGACTGGCCTACTTGAGAGGATCCTCTTCACAGATGAAAAGATTTTTTTCTATCCAGTCATTGCACAACCGCCAAAATCATAGATAACTTCTCAAAAGGGGTCTGAAGAACACATTTGCGGAAAAATTTGATGGTTAGGAAGCATTTTTTAGCTTCGATTATGATGTGTGGAGGTATGTGTGCTACAAGCAAGACACCGCCTGTTTTTTGGACAGAAAAGTCAAGATGAATGCTAAAAACTGCCAACAACTGGTATTAAAAGATGTCTTGAAACATTGGGCAACAAATCACTTTGGACAAGCTAGTTTTTAGACTGGGCTCCGGCGCATGGTGCTCACTCAACTCTCAACGTTTGCGCTCAGTTGTTTCCAGCCTTTTGGGATAAGACCATTTGGTCTTCAAATTCGACAGATCTTAATCCCCTCGATTACACCGTTTGGGCTGTTTTGGAAGGCAAGATCTCGATGAAGACGTATCAAACAGTGGATGCTTTAAAATCTGCTCTGAAACGAGTCTGGGATCAAATAACTGTTTAAGCGTGCGCCACCATCGTGAGGAACTTCCCAAAGCGTTTAAAGAGGTGTATCGAAGCGGATGGTGGAAATTTCGAGCATTTGTTATAAGTTATTTGTTGTTATGATTCGAATAAAGAGTTTGTTATTAATTTTTAACTTTTTAAAGCTAGGTTTTAAACCTTTAACTATCTTAAGAAGCGGCTCCGAACTTTTGCCGCACCCTGTAGTTATAGGTATAGATATAGATATCCAAAGATTAGCCACTGATCAGTGACTAATATTTGGATAAGCTAGGGCTTTCTCCACTTTCGATGAACGAAACTTGAGACGAATGATGCAAAAGGGGACACTACTGAAGAGCAAAAGAGAGAGTACATTCAGCTTTTTAACTTGATTTATTTAATAAATATTATACTTCTATTTATTCTTTAATATCTTATATCTTACTAACGTCTGCTATGTACTAGTGACTGACTAGTGACTGACTAGTGACTGACTTAGTGACCGCTTAGTGACTGACTAGTGACTGACTAGTGACTGACTAGTGACTGACTAGTGACTGACTTAATGACTGACTAGTGACTGACTAGTGACTGACTAGTGACTGACTTAATGACTGACTAGTGACTGACTAGTGACTGACTTAGTGACTGCTTAGTGACTGACTAGTGACTGACTAGTGACTGACTAGTGACTGACTAGTGACTGACTCTAATTGACTTTCTAGGACTTGCAATAGTTGGACTGAGCTAGGGTGACTGACTTAATGACTGACTAGTGACTGACTAGTGACTGACTTAATGACTGCTTAGTGACTGACTAGTGACTGACTTAGTGACTGACTAGTGACTGACTTAGTGACTGACTTAATGACTGACTAGTGACTGACTTAGTGACTGACTAGTGACTGACTTAGTCACTTAGCTAGTGACTTTGAAAACAAAGACTCTAGTTGACTTTCAAGCTTGCAAAAGTGTTGTCTAAGCTATACTCAATGTTGTCTAAGCTATACTCAATGTCTTTATCTAATCAAATCAAAGCCACGTGAAAATTCGAAAATAGAAAGAAAAACGAGAAATTGTGCTGTTGATTTCGTTTTTTTTTCTTTCGGAAAACGCTTTGGTCAACAATTGGGAAAAGAAAAGAAAAGAAAAGGATTCGAATTGAAATAAAATGGATAAATGGATTGAAAGCAAAGGAATTGAAAGGAATTGAAAGGAAATAGATTTTAGTTTTCAATCTTTGAGTTAAAAGCAACTTTATCCTTGCTTTTGATTTATCTTTATAAAGATTTATAAAGATAAATCAAATTACCTAATCCTAAGTACCTAATTTCAAGCTCTAACTCAAGAAATGACTCTTCTGTTGTAATGAAAGAAGAAATTGAATGAATGAATGAAATTGAATGAATGAATTGAATGAATTGAATGAATGAATTGAATGAATGAATGAAATTGAATGAATCAATCAATCAATTCAATCAATTCAATCAATTCAATCACTTCAATCATTGTTTTAACACTCAGGAAAAGTTTTTTGAAATTGTTACTGAAAAAAGTGATAAAAGAAGCTTTCCCCGTGCTTTCCCCTTTCCATTCCTTCTTTCAGCTTTAAAAACATCAACAACAAACAATAAACAGGTCCAAAGTTTGCCCGTGATTACGCAACAGAAAAGAAAAAGAAGTACTAGAGCTCTAGGGAACGATTGTTTATTGATGAATTGGAGAAAATGATGGTTGAGAGAGTTGAGATACACCCGTCAACAAGTATTGTGATCAATAAACAAGAACAACTGGAAGAGAGCTGATGAAAGATATTGGAAAATGAGTTTGCTTTGTTTTTTTGGTTTATTTGGTTTATTTGGTACATCATTTTGTACAAAATAAGCCCAATTGAAGTAATAGTAATAGTTAAATGTGAAGAAGATTCGGTGGAATAGTCCTATAGATTCAAAGGCTATAGGAAATAGATCTAAAGCCTATAGGAAAGATCTAAAGCTATAGGAAAGATCTAAAGCTATAGGAATAGATTCAAAGCCTATAGGAATAGATCTAAAGCTATAGGAATAGATCTAAAGCTATAGGAATAGATCTAAAGCTATAGGAATAGATCTAAAGCCTATAGGAATAGATCTAAAGCTATAGGAAATAGGTCCAAAGCTATAGGAAAAGTTGAACAAATGAAAAGTACATGGCATGGTGTGATCATCAAGTTCATGAAAAGTGGGGAAAAGATCGGGAGCGGTGGAGAGACATGGGCTTCCCCAACACCAAGAGGTGGCGTCCCCCATCCCTCTGCGTCTCCTCATAACTCTCAATATCTCTTCTTATCCACATGGCACACACGTGCTTTCATCGTGTCCTCAACAAAGACTTGCCTTTCTCTTTTTCTCATTCCACGAAAAGAGCTCCGATATTTTGAGAGTACCAGACGATCAAAGTATCCCCTTTTCACAGCTGATTGTGACAAGCGGGCAAAATGAATTTTAGCTTGAAAGGAGTGTATCTCCTTGTCTGTAAATCTCAGTAAAAGAGCTTTTTTCAGAGCTGATTCTGTTGGCTTTTAGGATATAGCCATGTATTTAACTTTTAGAATATAGACAGACCTCAACCTTTGACCTCAACCTTGACCTATGGATTGTAGGATTGGATTTTAGGATTTTAAAAGAGTACTGTAGCTTTAAGGTAAACAATAGCTGTAAAATAGATCTAAGTCTTAGTCTTAGATGTGTCTAAGTCTTAGCTGTGTCTAAGTCTTAGTCTTAAGCACTTGATTCCATAAAGAAGACTTAGCTTAACATAGCTCCATAGCTTAACATTCAATCATTTGATAGAGAAAGATCAAACAATTCTTCAACTAATGAGTAATTTGATCGTTCGAAAGTTAGAAGTCTAACAAAAATCGTTAGAAAGCTTTTTCATTATCATTTCTTACGTTGAAACTGTTTTATTTGCTTTATAAAGATCAAAGAATTGTTCAGCTAATGTCTTAAGTCAGTCAGTCTTAGTTTAAGTCATCCAATGTTCTTCAACTTGTCCTCAAATGTCCTCAAACTTCCTCAAACTCAAAGATCCTCCTCAAAAACTGTTCTATAATATCAGAATCATAGATCATTGATCATTCAATCTCAGTATATCACACACCATTCATCATTTAATCAATGTTCTCTGAAGTTCGTTCGAAAGTTCTCTGAAGTTTGTTCGAAAGTTCTCTGCTTTCGTTTTCTGATCTCAGAGTTGTTCCCCCGATCAGAGCACATTTTGAGGGAAAAGGTGAAGAGAAAGCTTTGTCGATTGATTGCTGGGTCATTTGGGGTCAATGGATCACCCTATTCTATTGCCTGTTTACACTAAAAAGCAAGGAGAAGATTTTTATAAAGATCTCTTTTCCCCAAATCTATTTGAGGAAAAGGTAGACAGAGAGTTTTTCTGATGGTTTAAAGGAACAGACGGGAAAGACTTTGAAGTCTAGAAGTCTAAGAAGTCTAGAAGTTTAAGAAGTCTAGAAGTCTAGAATCTAGAAGTCTAAGAAGTCTAGAAAGCTGAGTAAATACCATAGTTTCTATCTTACATTTTAGAATCACAGTATTCTAAGTCACTCGTTTCTTAAGGTGCATTCTCAAGTATAAAGTGTTAAGTGTTATTGTAATAAAGTAAAGTAAGAAAGATTTCCGAAAGATAATGGCAAAGAAAGATTTCCCGAGAGGGATTGAACCCTCAACCTTGACCTTAACCTTGGCCTCAACCTTGGCCTTAACCTTTTTGTTTCCATGCTCTAACCATTGAGCTATCAGGAAGTCGATTTAAAGAGTATCTAAAGCTCACTTTCAGCTAGCTGACGCACAGCTCAACTTGTCTTTATAAAAAAAATTGTAATGAAAACACACTCTGTATGAGATCTCTTTTCATAGCATGGCATTCACGTGGTACTCTCTCCCTTTCTCCATCATTAAATCAACAATTCCCCTTCTCCATCATCAAATCTCTCATTTGGGGAATCCCCCTTTCACTTGATGACTCTATTTGAGGAGAGATCCGACGGGAAATCCAAGACAATCGATTTCTCTGTGTTGATCTTTAGAGGTGTGTGTTGGATTTTTGATTGGCTATTTCAAGACAAGACTACGGTACTTTAAGACAAGACTACGATAGTTTAACTTTAACTAACTTTAACTAACTAACTAGTAAATTTCTAAAGTTTCCAAAAGAAGCAAACGTTGAAAACGATCGAAAATCGTTTATTCCAAAAAAAAAACTGATCTATTTTTTCTTCTCCATGATTTTCGCCAGCCAATCCAAACCATCCTAAATTGTAAGGTTATTAAAGATCGCTTTCAATCAACAACTTTAATGCCTTCTCCACTGACGGCAGAGCATGGTTGAATCTGCCAATCTCGATCACGAATTGCCAACAGTTGAAGCCCAGACGCGATTTCACTAGCACGAGCTGCGTGAACAAGATCCTTAAAGTTTATAGAGTAGAAAAAACAATCAAATATATTTACATACCGTAAATACAGCAATAGTACCCCACCCTTCCCGTACAGTCGCGTAGTTGCAAAAGTTTTTTCAGTATTTCATTTTTTTTCAAAGCGCCCGTACTTTCAAAAAATGCATCTTTGGTATCAAAAAATAGCCCTGAATTTCAGCTATTTTTTGATACCTAAACGAGCATTGTAGCATAAACCAGTGTCGCGAAACACTCGTTCAAAGCTAGACTACGCGATGCTCCGGCCGTCATTATAAAAGGATGACGAGAAAAATGCGTTTAAAGTTAGACTACGCGATGCTCTGTCTTTGTTATCACTGGTTTATGCTACAATGCTCGTTTAGGTATCAAAAAATAGCTGAAATTCAGGGCTACTTTTTGATACCAAAGACGCATTTTTTGAAAGTACGGGCGCTTTGATACCTAAGCGAGCATTGTAGCATAAACCAGTGTCGAGAAAAACTCGCTCAAAGCTAGACTACGCGATGCTCCGGCCGTCATTATAAAAGGATGACGAGAAAACTTGTAAAACCTTGTACTTGTAAAACCAGGCAAGCTTCGAAGTCTCTTTGCGCTTTGCTTTGCAATTTTTTGCGCTAATCATTTACGCAACTAGGTCTTTTGCGCAACTCGCCATAACTTTCTTCTAAGTCGGCCAATCTTTATGATTTTTATGTCATTTTATAGCCCTGAATTTCAGCTATTTTTTGATACCTAAGCGCGCATTGTAGCATAAACCAGTGTCGAGAAAAACGCGTTCAAAGCTAGACTACGCAACACTCCGCACCGTCATTATGGGGGTGGAGTACTATTACAGTATTTACGGTATGTTGTATTCGATTTGAATTGAAACCAAATTGGATATCCGATTTGGATTGAGACATTATTGCACAGTATGGTATGTTTTTTAATTGCTTTTCATCATTTTCTAGAATTCTCTAGAACATTCATCGAAGTTTAACTCTGACAACCAAAAACAGCCCATTAGCGCCACATTTTGCCGAAAAAAAGCCTTTTTTTGCTTTTTATTCAAATTCAAAGCAAAATATGGACTACTTTGCGCAAAAATTTTTGCTTTTTCTTTTGTTTTTTCAAAATTATCACTAGTTTTAAAAACTGTTTTAAAAGCAAAAAACTGGGGTAATTAATTGCAATTGAATTCATTGAAAGCATTTATAAACCATTCTGAACAACTTTTAAGCCAACAATCCCGAGCCTTTATAAGTAGCTCTATTTCCATTGGGTTTAGAGGTGCGGACCGAATTAAGATGCTTTAGAACCTCAGTGACTCTTTGAAATAGCTAGAAAACATTTACTAAAGCTTAAATAAATACCAAATTAAGAATCTACGTCATGAAAAACCCTAAAAACAAAAATTAGTACCTTCTGGCTCAATAGTCCCATAAAAAATTGCGGTTTTTTTCATTTGATTCGTATTCAGCGACAAATTAACACTTTCTCTTTCTGTTTTTTTTTATTATACTGCTTTACAATTCTAGTTTTATGTGCTAAATTCTCTTTTTTAGGAATCAAAAACAAAAAAAGTTGTGATCGATCACATGGCGCTGTCTCGTAAAGAAATCCATCAATAATCCATCAATGATATTTGAAGAGGATTTCCGCGGCCAAAGCAGCGAGAGAAATCAATTCTTTTATGGGCCAACAATCGTCAAGGAAAGGACTACACGATGGTGGTTTCAGAAGTTCCGAAAAGGTGACAACCGGCTCACACGAAAGCGAGGAAGCGGTCGTCCCAGAAAAGTGAATCGACAGACGTTGAGGCGCCAACTTCAGCAAAATCCCGAAGGAACGACTCGGATTTTGGCACAAAGCTATTACTGAAGAATGACAGTATGGCGTTGGCTCAAAAAAACCGGAAGAAAGTGGTTGAAACAGCGGCAAATTCCCTATCATTTGAAAAATTCGATTAAGGGCCAAAGAGCGCGGTCATGCCGTCAACTACTGAACGAATATCGATGCGGTCGGTTTCCTCTTTTCAATATTGTGACTCATGATCAATCGTGGATATTCTATGATTGTCGAGTGTTGAAACGGCAATGGTTGAAGAAAGGTCGATTGGGAAAATTGGTGGAAAAACGAAATACTCATGGGAATAAGCGATTTCTGTGTGTCGATAGGTGTTGCTCTGGCATACTTTTTTTGGGAGCTGCTCCAGAAGGGTTAAACTTTTCACAGTGATGTTTATAGACGTCATATGCAACAAGTTGAGCAGAAAATTCTCCGATTGGTCTATCAGAATGAATGGAACGGTTCCGTTTTTGTGCTTGAAGACAACGCCCATCCCACCAAGTCGAGGAAATCGAAGGATTTTATGGAAAACAATTTGCACTGGAATGCACTTTCACATCCCCCTTATAGCCCGGATATTGCTCCTTCTGATTACTACTTATTTTTGTCGCTAAAGCATTTCCTTCGAGCCAAGCAATTCAACAACCAAGGTGACCTCGAGAACGAATTGGAGGACTACTTTCATTCACGCCAACCCGATTTTTACAAGCGAGGACTTGAAAAGTTACCAAAACGTTGCTTAAATGTCTACAATAATCATGGAAAATATATCGTATGATCTACGTTGTTACTTTTTATTTTTTGTTGAAAAAAGAAATTTCTGAAAAACCGCAATTTTTTATGGGACAATCTAATATAGCAACTAACTTTCTTTAAGTCGGCCAATCTTTATGATTTTTGGTGTCATTTTGTTGCACTTATTGAGATTTACAAAATGATACCAAAATCATAAAGATTGGTCTATTTAGAAGAAAGTTATGGCGAGTTGCGCAAAAGTCTCAGTTGCGCAAAAAAAAATTTGGCGAAAAGTAGTCACCCCCGCAAAACCTAGAGTGTGTTCCTCGCGAGTAAGTAATTAATCGGGTGAATTTGCATGAGTAATTGTCCAGTAATGCGTTTTCCAAAAAGTGCGCCTGCGCGAAAAAATATAAAAGCAATTTTTTGCGCAGGTTTTTCAAAAAAATCATTTTTTACATTGGAAGGGAATTTCCCACCAAAGGGAATTCAGTTAAACGGCTGAGTATCTTTAAAAAGTGTTGTATATAATGCGGGGCTTTTTGATCAAGTACGGTTCCAATAAGGTTCCAATACGGTTCCAATAAGGTTTCAATACGGTTCCAATACGGTTCCAATACGGTTCCAATACGGTTCCAATACGGTTCCAAGAAGGTTCCAATAGGGTTCCTATTTTGATTAAATGAGGTTCCGATACGGTTCCAATACGGTTCCTATTAAAGTTGTAATATGGTTCCAATACGGTTCCAATACGGTTCCTATCAAGTTCTAATATGGTTCCAATTCGGTTGCAATACGGTTCCAATAGGGTTCCAATACGGTCCCAATAGGGTTCCAATACGGTTCCAATACGGTTCCAAAAGGTTCCAATAGGGTTCCAAGAAGGTTCCAATACAGTTCCAATACGGTTCCAATACGGTTCCAAGAAAGTTCCAATACGGTTCCAATACGGTTCCAAGAAGGTTCCAATACGGTTCCAAGAAGGTTCCAATACAGTTCCAATACGGTTCCAATACGGTTCCAAGAAGGTTCCAATAGGGTTCCTATTTTGATTAAATGAGGTTCCGATACGGTTCCAATACGGTTCCTATTTTCGTCATTTTTGCGTCATTTTTTTGCAATAATTTTTGCTAAAAGTACGGTAATTTTTTCCCGTGTGCGTTTTAAAAAACTCATTACTCATCTGTAGAGAAATCTGTAGAGAAAAGGAACCAAATCTGTAGCCAAAAGGAACCAAATCTGTAGAGAAAAGGAACCAAATCATTACTCGCGAGGAACACACTCTAGCAAAACCTATCAAAACGCGTAAATAAACTATTTTTAAATAACGGGCTGTTCTTGGTTGTCAGAGTTAAATTTCTATGAAAGTTCTAGAAAATTATGAAAAACATTTGAAAAACAAGAAACGTATTTAAAAAACCTACCATACTATGCAATAATGTTTCAATCCAAATCGGATATTCAATTTGGATTCAATTCAAATCTGATACAACATATATCTAGAGCCGGACAGCAATAAATTGATTACTCTAATAGAACACCATTTCATCGTACAGTCGCGTTGTCTAACTTCTTTTTGGAAAATCATTTTTTCAGCCTCTAGATTTTCTCAACTACACTTTTGATACTAAAAAATACTAAAAACTGAATGAAACCGTTTGTCTTTTGTTTTCTTTTGTCTTATCTTTTGTTGATTGTTTGATGGCTATCCAATCAATATAGTTTTATGTTACTTAAAACCTGTTTTCTTGTTGTTTTTTGTTTTCTTGGTTCTCTATTTGTCTTCCTACCCTGCTAATTTTAACTTTTTAGGATAAACGATTTGGAGTATCGAAGTTTGTATGCTGTATGAACGGAAAGAAAGCAAGGAAAAGCTGCAAGCAAGGAAAAACGTTAGACGATTGCCATAGAGTCATTGCAAGTATATTTGGTCAATCAACAATCTCCGAAAGACAATGTCGAAAGACGATTCCACCAAAAATAATGGCGAATATCTTTTGAAATAATTGTTGTTTTTTTACAGTATTTTAGCAAGAGTTGTTATGTAGAAAACGGCGGTTTCATTCGATTCAACCAAATAGATTTCAAGAGCTATCATTTGACACCCAAGCGCTGTAGCTGTAGCTTAAAGCTGTAGCTGTAGCTGTAGCTTTAAGCAGCGCGGAGAATGGGACGTTTAAAGTTAGACTACGCGACAGTACCCCTGTCATTATGGGGATGGCGTTCTATTAGAGAATTTACGGCAGTCTGTCCAGAAAGTCAAGTCAGTGAACAGGATATTAGCAAGCATGTTAATTTAAAAGATTTAAATTAAGCTAATAATAAGGAGTCCAAAGCAAAGTCCAAATAAAAACTCTTCAGAACTCTATAAATAAAGATATTTATAGAATTCTGAAGAGTTTTTATGAAGATTTGAAGCTTAAACCATGGAATCTGAAGCTTTATTCACCTGTTTATTGGCATAGATGAGTAGAGGAACGTGGGCGAGTTTATCCTCTTCAAGGAGATCCATCAACTCCATTCCAGTCTCATCGAAACGTTTCTTATCCGATGAATCGATTACATATATCTGAAATAAAATTTCTTGGATAATCTACTCTTTTCTAATCTAAATCTACTTTTTTTTCCAAAGTTGCTGTTATGAATCTTTCCCAAACTCACCAAGACATCAGTTTTCTCGAAATAGTTCTTCCAATATGGCCGAATCTTTCGCTGTCCACCGATATCCCAGACATTTAACTTGATGTTCCCTGAGACAACCGATTTGATGTTGAAACCCTGAAAGCTTTTGGGTACGGCTATTTGCTACTCTTTTATAACTTACCGTAAATATTGTAATAGTACCCCCCCGCCTCGTACAGTCGCATACCCCACCCCAATAATGACAATAAGTTTTAGCAACGCTTGTTTATATCCGAACAACCTAATAGTTTGCTAGTTTGCTAGCTAGCTACCGTAAATACTGTAATAGTACCCCACCCCCATAATGACGGCCGGAGCATCGCGTAGTCTAGCTTTGAACGAGTTTTTCTCGACACTGGTTTATGCTACAATGCGCGCTTAGGTATCAAAAAATAGCTGAAATTCAGGGCTATTTTTTGATACCAAAGACGCATTTTTTGAAAGTACGGGTGCTTTGAAAAAAATGAAATACTAAAAAACTTTTGCGACTACGCAACTGTACGAGGGGGGTGGGGTAATATTTCAGTATTTACGGTAACTATTTTACTATATTTTACTATACTTTACTATAATTTCTTTACACTTTTATAACATACTTGTGTTGGGGTGACATGCGCAATGTCCTCGCTGGCCATTCCCTTCAGAATCGTCGTCTTACCGGCGTTGTCCAAACCTGGTTTTGAATGTGATTGCTTTAGAAATGTTACAGGAACTATAATTCTTTAAGCTATCCATAATTATCAAAGCTATTCAGCTATCGATAATCATTTAAGCTATTCAGCTATTTGAAGTAGATCTTAAACAGTCTAATGAACGATTATAATTATACTGTACGACTGTAAGAGGCAATCTCGAAAAGCAAAGTACTTCTGGTACTTGAACAGTTGAAAATAGATGTCAGATCAAATTTAGGCATATTCAGTATGCCTAAAGTAAGTATAACTTCAACTGTATCCCATTTCTCATCTAGTAGACCACTTACCGAGCAACAATATTCTCAACTCCTTGCTCTGAGTGCTCTTGAACTTTTTCAGCACTTCGAGAAGACCCTAAAAAAACATGATAAAGAATAAATGCCGTTCTGACTTCTTATGAAAGTTTAGTTGAAAACAATTCAGTCAAAGCATTCTTTTGATTTTGCACTAACCGGAACACTTACCATGTCTGATTGAATAAATGACAGTATTTCAAGAATTAAGCTGAATAGTTGGCAAAAGGAAAAAGCACGCAACGCACCCTCTTCAAGATTTTGTTGCTTCTTTTGCCCCGTTTCGTTTCTCGAAAACTGGGGCCCTTTAGTAGCCATGACAACCTGAGCTGTAGATATTATGTATGAAAGGAAAGGGGAAAGGGATTAACTAAAAAGGCGTGGGGATATTTGTGGAAAGAGACCGATTTGACAAATCATAACATTAACAGAGTATGTCCGCATTAGGATTGAGTAGCGATTAAGTCGTGAAAAAGGAAATGTAGATTTGGATTTGGATACAGAATAGATTAAATCCTTTAGAAAGCGTTTTCTAATACCGTATTTTCTGCTCGAGCAGAACAAGCAACAAATGAAATCAACGATCATCTTGCCAACATTGTTTTGGATGATAATGGTTATGATAGTGATGTCTCTATTGATGTTTGTTAATTGATTTACCCTGATACTCTTTGTTTGATTCTAAATAAATCTATAAAAACAACTCGATTCACTTGGAAGAAAGAGATGACTATTATTATTGCCTGGTAAAGGTATGGATCTAGTGAAAAAAAGGAAACTCTCTAATAGTAGTGCAGTCTGTAATAGTAGTGCAGGCTGGAGGGGGCTTGAAAAAAATAGTAGTGCGCACTACTATTACAGAAAATACGGTAACTGTAAAAAACTTTCGCAGTCTTAAGAGTTACCGTAGTCTGTCTGAAACGTCTGTCTGAAAAGTCTGAGAAGTCTGAAAAGCTACAGTAATCTGAAAGCTATCATGGCCACTGGAAAGCTATTGTAACTAGTGAAAAGCTTACCGTAATCAGGCTATCTTCTGGCTAAACCCCAAATTATCTAGTTCCATTCTATTCACTGCACTCAACTCTGCGATAACGATTTCGCGTAAATGTGCCGAAATGTTTGGTTCCCATGTGTGGGCGGAGAAAGGAATACTAACAAGAGAAAGGGGAAAGAGAGACGAGTTGCGCGACCTTGATCACCTCGATCTCTTTCCCCATGCATTCAAATGGCCATAGTGCGAATCGATTGATCGCATACATATGAGAGGATATTGTACCTCCCTCTTTCTATCCCTCAATTTTCTTTGTTCGTTTTCTCTTTTTGTTTAGAACGATGTTTCATCATTTTTCTCAAGTTTGCTAACAATGACTCTCCGTTTGTTAAGCCTCATTTAACCAGTGAAGCAAGCTCTATTACCTCACTTATTATCCTGTATTTAATTTTCTTTTTAGTTTCTTGTGAGAAAAAGAGATTTACAAGAGAAATAAAGCTAATGCCGAAGAGAAAACACTGTTTACCTAACAAATTGCTGTTTTACTACAAGTCTTTTCTATTTTATACTCATTTAGCATTTTTGTTTTCAATGCAATCATTTGGTCATTTATAGACTTGCTTATCAATATTATCGATACAAACGGCAAACACATGTTTGACCGTTCAGATCTCTGTTTCTAGAATCTGCAAATTGTTTCATTGGAAATCCAAGAATGTCGGCTTTTGATTGCTATCTCACACATAGCAAATTCTGATAGGTGAATGCCTTAAAAAACTGATCGATACTCAAATATCTATAATCGATAAGTTTCGATAAGGTTTATGAGGTGCTTACTCATTAAAAGCCGCTATGTATAAAATAGCAATCAGAAGCTGACATTCTTGACTTTCAAATGAAACAATTTTCAGATTGATAGCTGTTATAGAAACTGAAATTTGAACGGTCAAACATGAGCATGCCGTTTGTATCGATAGTATCGATAAGCAAGTCTAGTCATTTGTCATCCGTGTTGTTGACGTTTTAGGAATTGGCCACCATTTTGACTTCCAAACAGATAAGTCGATTTCGAATTCTTGCGTTGGCTTTGCACAATCAGCGCATCGATCGCTATCGATCTTGCTTTTCGTCGTGAATATTTTGACTTTGCGCGCAAAGATTTTCGAGAATTCCATAAAAACTTGAGAGAAATTAATAGGAATGCCTCTCGGGAGAACACCGGCTTGCTGCTTCTTTTAACGGGATTGTGGGTGAGACCGAGCTCGACCGCACCCATCATCGTCTCGTTGTGCCTCCCCGCCAAATACAGCAACTCGTTTTTTTCGGTTGATGAGTCGAGGCGCTTTGGAAAAGCAGCAGAGGGAAAGGAGAAAACACATGGCGCGGACCGGCCTGGTGCTCTCTAAAGCCTCCCTTTTCTCCCCCTCGGGCGAGTGAGTCGGATCCTCGTCGCTCTTTACCAAAACCCTCCAACGCGCACCCAAACACGCTCCCCGTTTCACCACTCAATGAATCCTTTTTCATCCGCTTCGATAACCTCATGATTTACTTTCCCCGTTTTTGTCTTAATTGCCTTGAATTTCACGTAAAGTTAATCAGTTTTATTTCATAAAATTCACAAAAGTAATCCAGCTATTTTTTTTACCTATTATTAGCTATTATTTGCCTCCGGGGTGTTAAACAATGACAAACCACATTTAGCACTCGAAACGTGATCGAAAAGCCGAGTCAGATTTTCCATAGATCAAATTGACAGTCAATGTTTAACCCATCATCATTTACGCTTACGTGTTTTTCTTCTCTGCTTCGAGAATTTTTTAAGTTCTATATAATTTATGAGTGTTTTAGGAGATGTCTCGATTGACCATGACCATCTTGTTGGTGCTCGGAGCGATCTACCTGGCGCAAGCAGACACGACGGCAACCGACATCGTCGAAGAAGTGAAGAGTCTCCGTCCTTTTGAGCTCAAGTAAGTTTTTTAAAAGTGGTTTTGATTACAAACATATACTGGTTGATTGATTCAGCATAGTGTTAAGAAAGTTTGATTTTCTTGGAAATTGTCATTGCCAAAGAACTGGCTCTTTTTAGCTTAAGAATTAGTTTTGTGTACTTGGTCACATCGGCTAGACAAGAATAGTACGTTGGCAGCAAGGGTATGATCCATTTCAACTTTAGTACGGGTTTGCGATTAGATGTTTAAGTGTTATAAGTTATATTTTTAAGTTATAGTTTAAGTGAGACATATCGAAATCTGTTAAATTTTAGGCATTCTTCTCTCGGATGCCCTCTTCCGGTGGTTGGCGCGAGTTGCCCCGAAGAAACCCCATTCTACTACTTCAAATGCTGTGGAGATCTTGCACAACAGTGTTGTTTCCGTCTTCAGGTGGGTTTCGCTTGCTACCAGATCGAAACATAAGCGATGAAAGTTTTTATTTATCGGTCTTTATGCAAATTTTTAGGAATGGGTGGTCCTCCTCTTGATCGTCTTGGCGGTGCTTGTCGTGATTTCGATCGTCGTCAACTTGATTCGTTGCCTTTGCTGCTATTAAATACAACTAGCAAAATTATGTGCTATTTACTTTAACACCTTCACCCGTGTATTTTTTTGTAAGTGTTTATTATCGCTTTATCTTTTGCTTTTGCTGTTAATAATAATTATGAAATACTGTTTACCGGGTATTCTTATGTTCATAATTTCACTTTTGAATTGACTCTCCTGTTGTCACTTCACTTGACTGTTCGCTCTCAGATTGCTCACTCAACTCTTGCCGCCTCGATTCAGGTGCCAGTTCTGTATATTTGACATAAGCTTTGGAATAAATATTAAACTAATCTTTTGAATTTGTGAAATGCAAAACGATCTACTCTTATCAATCTTGTACCTCACGGATATAAAAGTTTGGCTAGTACATTCTGCAAGTTTTTATCAACGTTTTGTTTTGGCTACAAACTCCAAAAGCGCTATAATTTCTACCTTTTGGCCAATTTCATTTTTTATTTCATCCAATTAAGAATTGATTGAATAGTTGTTTTTAATTGCAGGTCGATGGCAAATTATCCAGCTTCAACGACAGCCGATGGTTTACGCCGAATTCTACAAGGATACGAGCATGCGGTAGGTTTTTTAGAGACTTTATTAGAAAAAGCTCTATTTTGATTAAAGTGTTAAACGTAACAAATAAAAATATTTTTTTGGAAGTTGCAAACTTCATTTTAGGTCGGAGGTTTCTCGGGAGGTGTTTTTTCTACACTCATTTGCCACCCAATGGATTTGTTAAAAATCAGGTTGCATAAAGAGTCAATTAATCTTTATTTTCTCTTAGATATTCTGCTAATGAAGGTGATGCCTCTATTCGACCACAGTACAGAAGCTATTACGATTGTGCTCGACAAATCATACGTTCAAATGGTGTGTCGGGACTTTATCAGGTATCTTGCTTCAAAAGCGATGAATATACTTCCCGAGTTGTAGCATAAATTCTTTAAAATTTTCAAATTTTAGGGACTAACGCCGAACTTGCTGGGTGGTGCTATTTCTTGGGGACTCTATCTTCAATTTTACAATAAAATCAAACAGCCCGTTAGTAGCACATTCAGGTAAATTATCTTTAACAGTAAGCAGTCTTAAATCGCTAACTTTAGCAATTTGCCGGACCCTGCAACTCATTTTATATGTGGTGTTCTCGCGGGCTCAGTTGTGATGTGTTTCACGAATCCAATATGGGTGGCAAAAACAAGGTAACAGCGAAGTCTTTGATTATTTCAATTTCTCTAGATTATGCTTACAGTACGAGCAAAAAGGTCCGCAAAAGTACCGAGGAATGATCAATTGCATAACAACGATGTATAGAGAGGAAGGGTAATCCTTTAAATTTTTTTATTAATTATAAGTCTTTTAGATTTCGTAGTCTTTATCGAGGATTTCTGCCGGGACTTTTTGGAACAACACACGGAGCCGTGCAATTCATGATTTATGATTGGTTAAAAGATTGGCGATGTGCACAACTTGGAATAGGAAAGGTTTGTTTTATTTTATGACTATAGAAAATGTCTTTTAGAACTCAAAACTTGGCGTAGCTGATTACTTTGCCTTTTCGGCTCTATCAAAAATTGTGGCCGTGACAGTAACGTATCCTTATCAGGTATGGGTTTTGCAGACCAGGTTATTTAACTGACTAACTGATTTTTAGGTAGTTCGAACTCGTATGCAGGATCACAATATTGCACAACGCGGGGTTTTGGAGACAATTCGCGTAGCATTGAGGAATGAGGGACCAGGCGCTTTTTATAAAGGACTTTTGATTGCTAACGTTCGGACACTGCCGGCAACTGTTGTCACACTGCTGACTTACGAACAGGTTAGTCAGATTTGATACTATAAAGCTTTTTTTATTTAGGTGCATCACTTCCTTCAAGATAAATGAATCGCTGGATAGTTAGATTAATAGATTTTAGACATTTTATTTTTGTGATTAGTTGTTGGATCTCATTTAGTTTTTATAGCACTGCTATTTCATTGTTATTGTTGAGCTGAATAAACTTTAAAAGAATTTCATATTTTGCCAATAAGTTGTGCTCTTGTCATTATTTTCCAATCTGCAATGATATTGAATTAAAAGTGCGGTGTAGTTATTTGGTTCCAATTAAGATTGAATATCTTTAGGTTCGATGTCGGCTCGGTTGATTCGCTTTATAGGGAACCATGATGTGAACGCTGAAGGCAAATACATTTGGGAGATTTTAGCGCAACTAAGGTTAGTTGGCTTCGTTCTCCTGATCTAATTCATTTTAGGAATTTTGGTGTCGGGCGATTGGTTACAAAATCGGAATGGGGACGAAAATGGCCAGACCAGGCGTCGTATTTGCGAATTCAAAGAGTTGGTTTAAACAAGCTTTCCTTTTTAATGTGTGACTTTAGGTTGCTCCATCAATGGATAGATGGTTGTTTAATGGTCGATTATGGGGCGAATGGATATATCGGGGACGCAACCTTGGAATTTACGAGTTTGCACATGATTTAAATAGGTTGGTCTGCTTACTCGTATAAGTTTTAACCTAAACGATTATAGATCGGACTGGCAACTTATACATCGACACGATGAATCAACATTTACAAATTGCACACAGCCAATGAAAGATATAAAAATGGCGGACAGTTTTCCGTTACCTCCCTTGCAAGTAAGTTGTTTGGATTTTGGTGAAAGTAGCTCACATTTTAGTTACATATGTGCAAGAAAGCAACCGTTTCCCGTGGAAAAGAGTGGACGAGTGATCAAGGTCGAGCACCTTTATCGTTGAGCGTAGATCCAGAATTTTCGCACATCAAGAGCTTGATTAAACAAGTATATTTCTTACGATTATTCAAAATGTTTGAATTTAGGAAAAGCCAACCGGACACGCGGACACTATTTACGATGAGGTTAACGTTGAGGAGATTTTGGCGCTATACGGCAAAGAAATACCTTTCAAAGCAAGTATTGCATAGAGGCTCAATTTAACTTCTTTTAGGTGGAAGCTTGGTCTACTGATCCCGCTTCGTATGTTCCCCATTTCCCAGCTTCAATCAAAGGAAAATTACCTGAAACGGAATAATTTTAAACTTATAGCTTAGGTTAGCTTTTAGGTCTTGCTGATCTCTTGAAATTTGTTATTGTTTTCTTTGTTATATGTACACATTTTCTACAAATTGTTTTTTTTGTTTAATGTGCCATTGTTGTTAATATCTCTAATTGGCCTACAAATAAATTGTGTCTCCCATTTTTCTGAAAGCCTTTGAACATTTTGAAACATTGTTTCTTGATATTTGCAAGATAATGTTTGACGCATATTTTGGTCAATGGTCTGGTTGGAGTGTATTCCCTGTGTATGTGTGCCAAGTGTTCGAGGGAAAATGAGAGATTTCTAGAAGCAGCGCACTAACAAGGCACACAACTGCTTTTAGCGGCGAGAATTCGAACAAGAACAGAAAAAAGTGTGCAAACGCTCTGATCCTTTGGCTCTTGGTGACACGATTGATTTTTTAGAAACTCACCTAGCCCATCCAAAGTTATGCTTTATTTTGAGAAATGACAAAATTCTACGCACGTTTTATGACGCGCAAAATCTGATAACGCTATCTTGTTGTAATTCTCCCACAATTGATACTGATATCAATTCTTTGCTCGCGAATCGCGAATTCTTTGCTTTTCTCAATTAGCATAGAACGTTGTTTTGCATTCAACTTTCTTTTTAGCAATCGACTTCGGGAAAAATGGCATTGGCTCGTAGCGTGATGCAAACGGCGGTTCGTGGCACGTAAGAGTTTAATTCTAAATTGTAAAACTTTGTTCATTTTAGAGCCTGGTGGAGTCATGTGGAGATGGGTGAGGATATTTTGCTTAAGATGGTATGTTTATTGTATCACTTTAGGTCCACCCGATGCAATTCTTGGCGTCACCGAAGCTTTTAAGAGGGACACCAATCCAAAGAAGATGAACCTCGGCGTTGGAGCTTATCGCGATGATCAAGTATGCTTTTATTAGTTTAATAATGTTGCATAGAAACATTGCTTTTGATTTAGCTTGTCACTTTCTTAGGTGTAATTACAGTTGGGGAAACCGGATAGTTTCAAAGCTGTATTATGTCAAACAAACATCAAATTTTAGGGTAAACCATTTGTTTTGCCCTCGGTTCGAACTGCTGAAGAGCAATTGCTCGCTGGGAAGATTGACCACGAATACGCTGGAATTGCCGGTATAGATTTTTTGGGACTTGCAATCTCTTGTTTCAGGGTTGGCGGACTTTTGCAACCACTCCATCAAACTAGCTTTGACCGACAAATCTTCGGCGTTAACCGAGAAACGAACGGCGACGGTTCAAAGCATCTCTGGAACAGGTGCTCTGCGAATTGGATCCGAATTTCTGGTAAGCTTTGGTTTCTTTTACAAAAGCATCACTTATCTCTTAGACGAAATATGCGAAGACTAAAGTGATCTATCAACCTACTCCCACCTGGGGTAACCATGTTCCCATTTTCAAGTGAGAAGAGTTTTAGAAGACTTCTTATGAGGTTACTTTTAGATTTGTCGGAATGGATGTTAAGAGTTATCGTTACTATGACAAGTCGACATGTGGCTTCGATGAAAAGGTGAATTTTCTAGCCTGTGTCTTACTTACGGAATTTTCTAGGGAGCCTTGGCAGACATTGCGGCTATTCCAAAAGGAAGCGTGATTCTTTTGCACGCTTGTGCTCACAATCCAACTGGAGTTGATCCGACGGTAACGTGCTCAAATAGCAATCAATGATTAGAAATTTAGCGCGATCAATGGAAGAAAATTTCGGAAGTTTGCAAACAGCGCGAACTCTTCGTTTTCTTTGACATGGCCTATCAAGGATTTGCTTCTGGTAATGTTGATGGAGATGCTTTTGCTGTGCGGTAATTTAATTTTTGTTTTAAAACTTGTTTTACTCCTTTTAGATATTTTATCGACCAAGGGCACAACATTATTCTCTCGCAGTCATTCGCCAAGAACATGGGACTTTACGGTTAGCTTATGTAAAATTAGAGTTAATTATTCAACTTTTAGGGCAACGTGTTGGTGCATTCAGTGTGGTCTGTGAATCAAAGGATGAGGCTGATCGAGTCATGTCGCAGCTTAAGGTAAATTTGGATGCTTTAATAAAACTAGAATCTAAATTTAGATCCTTATTCGTCCAATGTATTCAAATCCACCCATTCATGGAGCCAGAATCGTTTCGAAAATTCTTGCCGATCCCGCTCTTCATAAGCAATGGTAATTCTTTACAAATTATTAACTTGCATACGTTTATTTTAGGTTAGCTGATGTGAAGGGAATGGCTGATCGTATCATCTCGATGCGTGCTCAACTTCGCGATTTGCTGAAGAAAGAGGGCTCGCAACGCGATTGGAAACACATCACCGACCAGATCGGCATGTTCTGCTTCACGGGAATCTCACCTGATCAGGTTGGTTTTAAAATCGTTTGTAACTTAGAAGACCTCGAAGTTTTGTTATTGTTTAGGGAAGAGAAAGTTTGCAAAAGTATTATTTAGGTTGAGCGATTGACAAAAGATCACTCGATTTATCTGACGAAAGACGGAAGGATTTCGGTGGCCGGAATCTCATCGAACAACGTTGGATATCTGGCTCACGCCCTTCATCAAGTGACGAAATAAGTATCTCTTCATCCTAGTACTCTGTTTGTATTGTTGTTCTAAATGTAAAGCGCCTTGTATCATTGTGAAGTGTAGTCATCTTCGAGCAGCCGGTTTATAATGATCGTTCGTTGTCATTATTTATCTAGTTTTCGTGTATTTGCAATATGGGATAGTCGTCATTGTATTTTGTTTTATGTTTTATAAAGTTTTCTGTGTAATTCAGAAGGGAAAAAGCATACAAGACCCACCCGCTGTGGCCGGGACTTCACTGAAAACTCAAAAACTCGGGATTTTATAAAATCTTCCCCTTTTCTTCAAGTGTACTCGGCACTCACAATATTTGACTGAATGTTGGCGGCTCGTGATGTGCTTGGAGATCCCTTGGGGGATTCTCCACGCGCTACTTTATGACATCGAATTTGTGGGAAGAGATGGAAGCTCTCCGCTCCTCGTTTGTGACGCACTTCCTCCACATTTCATTCGTTTAATTGCTCATTGGAGAGTTGTCGGTTGGGTAAAACGGCTTAAAGCACCAATAGTACACTCGAACTTCATCATAACGGTGCAAATATCTAAAAGTATAACAACCGGTCCTTTTAGACTCTTTTTAAATCCGATTCCTATCCCTTTCGCCTTGATTTTTGAAGGATTTTCCGTTTCCCGAAAGAAAGCTTGAAAGCTTTGTTGAGCCTCAAAGAAAGCGCTTCTTGGGAGAGGATAAAGCACGCTGAAAAGGAGGACGAATGGTTCATTCAAATGGTGTAGTGCCAGAGCTTCTGTCTGGTATGGGGTTCGACCTTGCACCTGGCTTTTGCAAATTCTCGATTCTTCGAAATAAAAATCTTTCGAGATCAGATGGGGCATGAGATGGTGATCGAAGAGGCGAAAGATCGCGTGAAAAATCAGATTTCGGTGCGTAACTTTTAAGCTATCTTTACAAAAAGTCTATTTTACCAAATTGTTAAGGATTTGAGTTGAGCTCTGGCTTTATCTTTGTCACTTTTCTTCTTGTGCAATCGCTGTCAAACTTTCATGGCACAAAGTTTAAGCTATTGTGTTGTGCGAATTGAATTGATGTGTCCCCTTGCCCATCCAATTGCCACCCTTTATTACATCAGTTGAGGGACGGCTTCTCTCTTCTTCCCTTCCAAAAAAAGGAGAGCACAAATCGTTGCATGTGGAATTGGAAAGCATTCGGTCACTTTGATTCTTCTTCTTTTTCTTTATTCTTCGTCTTCTTTATCTTCTTTTCACAAACTTGGCTTTGTCTTTACAACGATTTTTTTGTTTGTTTGTTTAGATTGAGTTTGCATTGATCCACTAACTTTTTAATGTTGAAGTTAGCATCTTGAATAGATACCGTAAATACTGTAATAGTACCCCACCCCCATAATGACGGTGTGGAGCATCGCGTAGTCTAGCTTTGAACGAGTTTTTCTCGACACTGGTTTATGCTACAATGCTCGTTTAGATATCAAAAAATAGCTGAAATTCAGGGCTATTTTTTGATAACAAAGACAGAGCATCGCGTAGTCTAACTTTAAACGCATTTTTCTCGTCATCCTTTTATAATAACGGCCGGAGCATCGCGTAGTCTAGCTTTGAACGAGTTTTTCTCGACACTAGTTTATGCTACAATGTTCGCTTAGGTATCAAAAAATAGCTGAAATTCAGGGCTATTTTTTGATACCTAAACGCGCATTTTACGTGCTTTTTACGGCATTTAGGTCAACTGGAGAACAAAAAAAGTAAAATGGATAATTTCAAGCGCTTCCCTACCCAATACGCAAAAAAATCTTGCAAATTTGGTATATAAGTGCTCATTAAAGGGTCTAGAAGTGTTCATTAATTATATTCTACTCTTTTCTTACGCAAAACCTTTTATAGATCCTTTACGCATTACGCAAAACCTTAAAAACTAAGAAACACTCAAGGTAACGGTAAGAAAATGTTATTGTAGCGATTGAGATTATTTCAATCCAAATTGGACACAGCATATACTGGTTGTGATTGTGATTGTGATTCTTTTATTCATCCATTATTCTGGAAGGCTAACTCTTCCAGAATAACTGTTATTCCGTAAGCGAGTCAATCGTTACAACAGTTACGACACGTTACAACAGTCGCGAGGATCTACTACCACAACAGTTTTATTACACAGTGATCTTGTCTAACTATAAGGTTTAAGTGAGACGAGAGACACCCTTCCATCCATCTCATCGCCTTGCAATCCCCTTTTTCTCCATCGAATTTCAGGAAACATTCCTTCTTCATCCCCATTCTTCATTGTAACATGTGTTGCGAGAGATTTGTCTCCCCCAACTTTTTTTGTGACATTTCTCATCTATCTTTATCAATTTGGGGAATTATGGGAAGCAATTTGGAGAAGAAGAAGAATGAGGAAACTCCTAAAATCTAGTTCGTTTCTTTCTGTCTGCAACTTTTTTATGTTAGTGTTGGTTTGGATTTTTGCATGAAGCCTTTTCGAGAGAACGATATCGAGATGATTTTGTTGCGTGCTCGGCATTGGGAAATGCTTGGTCGTTTTGCAATTCCGACTCTTGCCACTTTTTTTAAGCATTTTCCGTTTCCCTCCGATTTTTCGCATTCTGAATCCGTGATTTGCTTCAAAATTGAGCTTTTGAGCTCAATTGAGCTTTTACCTTTCATTTTTTGTCTCAAGTTTTCGTTTTGATTCCTTATTCCTATTTGGCTCTTTTAAAGTTCCTTTATAGTTAGAAATCTTATCTTAGAAACTTTTAGGAATCATTTTAAAAGAAAGATTTACTTTACCTGGAAATTTACCGATAAGAAAATAAGAAAATAAGCGTTTAGGTGGGTGGAAAAGAGGGAAAAAGGTCCCTTGAAGTTGGGTGGATAGATGGGGGAAATGCGATTTGTGAGTCCAATTGAATGCATCTTTTTTTCCCCAAAAAAAAGTCCCTAAAGACGAAAAAGTGCCGAATAAAGAAGCTTGAACAGAAAAAAGAAAAATAGAGTGAGTTGAATGGATGAATGAACAAAAAGAGAGCTTTTGGGGGGAAAGCCAGATGAACGGCCGACTCTCAAAGATCTGGCGAGTGAGTTTTGAGATCTAATACAATTTTGATTCTCTATTCTCAAAGTTTGTCTCTATCGTTTCAGCTTGATTTCTAAAGACTTTTCCAAAAGAAAGCTGAGTCCAAAGAAAAATCCTTGGGGGAGGATAAAGGGCATCGAAAAGGAGGCCACTCGATTGATTTGATAGCGCAGTGCCAGAGTGCTGGTCTCTCAAGCAATAGGCCGGGGGTTCGATCCCGGTTGGAGCGTCTGTTTTTTGTAAATTCTCGATTTCTCGATTAAAAATCTTTCGAGATGAGATGAGACATCGGGCCAGGAAACGAAAGGGAGTTCCGTGGAAAAAAAAGAAAGCCAAGTCCAAAGAAAACTCCTTGGGGGAGGATAAAGGGAGGCGAAAAGGACGGCGATCAGTTGATTCAGATGGCGTAGTGCCAGAGCTTCTGTCTCTCGAGCCGAAGCTTGGGGGTTCGATCCCGCTTAAAGCCCTTGGTTTTTGCAAATTCTTTCGATAATTTCTGTTTTCTGGAGAGGACAAGCGCTTTTCCCTACAAGCCGTAGACCGATTTTCTTTAAAATCCTTTCCATCTCCATCTCCCATTTCATTCTTCTTTTCAATTTCAAACATATCAGCTGACATCAAACAAATCCTTTTCTTTCAGCTTTTTCGGAAAATGTTGGCTTTTGGCTGTCTGCCCGATGCTAATTTGACATTTGTTTCTTTTTTTTTCTGTTTTCTTCACTTTTCCAGCCTCTTTTGAGTGTCTAAATGTTTTCATTTTATTTTTTAAATCTAGAAATTTTGGGTTTATTTATTCAACGATTCAACTTTCAACTATTGCACGAAATCTTTGAAAAAAAAGTCCAACGTCTTTCGAACATCTGGATATTAATGAAATATTCCCGATTTTCTCGTGTTCACCAATTTTTGAGTTCCACCAATTTCTCGTGTTCACCAACTCAAGCGTGAATCACGCTGATTCAGCTGATTCAGCCTTGGTTTTGTTTGAGGTTTAGAAGAATTTGTAGGAAAAAAAAGAGAAAATTAAGGGAAAAATTTGGCGAATCGATTGAAATTGTTGAAAATTGTTGGAAATTGTTGGATTTTAATCAAAGAATAGCTTATTCTTAAAGTTCTTATCTAAATAGCATTATTCTAGCTTTAAAATGACAGTTAGACTCCCGATGATTCCCGAATCAGTTAGACTCCCGATGATTCCCGAATCAGTTAGACTCCCGATGATTCCCCGATTCTCTCTCATAAACATCTTTCTCTTCATTACATTATCTATTGAATAAATTTGATTTCTGAAAGAGTTGTTGCTTTGGATTTGTTGCTTTCTCTTGTTTGTTGCTTTCTCTCGTTTATTGCTTTCTCTCGTTTGTTGCTTTGAATTTAAAGCTTTGGGAATCATGAGAAAGCCGGAAGTGTAGAAAAGAAAGAAAAGGAAAAGGGGAATAAAAATTAAATCGAAAGCGGAGAGGAACGGGCACCTGAATGCTTGGAAAGGAAGAAGAAGTCGATGGAAGGAGTCAATGGAATAAGTCGAGTAGTTCTTCGGCTTTTCTTCGGCTTTTGAGGACTTTACCTACGTCTTTCGTAGATTGAAAGGCGTTTTCTAGAGCTCTTCCGTAATCTAGCTATTCTAGACTGAATATCCTATTCTAGACTGTTTACCGTAACCCAAACAGTCCAGACTGAATACTCTAATCCAGACTAAATACCATAATCTAGCTATTCTAGACTGAATATCCTATTCTTTCATCTATCATCTATTGCTTTTCCTCCTAAATCTTAATCTTTCACATTTCTTTGTTTAAACGTTATCTAACTGGTGGTAAAGTTGGTTTTTTTGGATTTAAAGCTGATTCGTTGACTCAAATGACTCAAAAATTCAAATCCTAAGTTTCAGCTTGACTCAAATGAAGTCAAAAAGTTGGTTAAAGACTTTTTGACTTCATTTGAGTCAAGCTGAAACTTCGGATTTGAATTTTTAACTTTAGAAATATCATTTTTTAACTTTAGAAAGACATCAACCATATCAAAATTAACCAAATTTATCAAAAAATTAACCGATTTTTGATTTGAAAGAGCTCAAAAATTGAAATAAAGTTATTTGAATTGAATTGAATGGGTTTTTTGATGAATTGAAGGCTTTACAATTCATTCTTCTTCTTCTTCATCTTCTCTTTATTCTTTGAAATCGCAATCCGTCTTCGTTTCCTGAATCCGGAATTTAAAGAATTTGAAAGTTGAAAGAAGGACACTTTTTTGGGAAAAAAATTGGAGTCGAAATTTTCTAAATTCGTTTTTCGTTTGCTTTTGTGCTAACAAAATAGGTTTTTCTGCAAATAATGATTTTTCTGGGATTAAGATTGTTTTAAATGGTTTTAAACGGGTTTTAAATGGCTTATGTCTGAATGTTTTTGGGCGCTTGTTTTTGGGCGCTTGTTTTTAGGCGCTTGTTTTTAGGCGCTTGTTTTTAGGCGCTCGGGTAGTCAAAAAGGATGACAACTCGATGTTTCGTTTTGCATATGTTTAGTTGCATAAGAACTAGGTAAAGTTGAATCATATGAGCCAAGAAATCAGGGGATCATTTGTTAGCTAAAAATGGATTGCTTTTTCTTTTGCGGTCTTTTTGTCTCTCACCATCTTGATCGTTCGTGCAAATCATGTGAACAGCCTTATAAATATGTTTAGTCAAATATCTTTTATTCAATAGATTTTCTTTTCAATAGTTGAATCAAATGCGTTTTATATGTACTACAAAATTCTTGTACTACAAAATACAGTGCGGTGCAAAACCATACGCCACCCCCTAAATTTCAATTTTCTGCGGCTCCCGTGCCAGTGACAAAAAAAAACTGAAAACGTAGTTAGATTCAGGACCAAAAATAACCCTTGAACCCCAAAAATCGTCGACATAGCATGAATAGGGAGAATGTAACAGCCAAAAAACGAAAATTTTACCCGGTGCAAAACCATACGCCACCCCCCCCAAATTTTGGTGTCATTTCATACTTTTTTTTTCTAGTTTAAAAGCTAAACCTGCCTCTGACAAACATAAGTCCCGCCCTTTCACTTCAGATTCCTTGTACTTGTACTGAAGGACTTGTACTGTACAAAATATGTACTTGACATTATTTTAATTGAGTTTTTATATATATGTCGTAGCCGATTATGAATGAAATTTTTTGGCAAATCTTTCTAGTAGAGCAACCCATTAATGTATGAGGACAATATTATATCATCTTGTAGCGAATTCAATTCTGCGTCGATTGGTACCAAATTTGTGAGTTTAGGTTAAAAATTGCCGGCGCTACATTCAAAATCGGCGGGACCCCCGTAGCCGATTATGAATGAGTGGATCTAGGAGCGTCCAGCCATCAAGTATTTAGTATCATTCAACGCAGAATCATTAATAATTATGTTAAATTTTTTAAATTAGAAAGATTTGAATAAAAAGAAAAAAAAATTAGAGCAAAAAAACTGTTTGTTCAAAAGAAAACTTTGAAGCCCCATAATTTTTTTTCTTTTTATCAAATCTTTCTAATTTAAAAAATTTAACATAATTATTAATGATTCTGCGTTGAATGATACTAAATACTTGATGGCTGGACGCTCCTAGACCCACTCATTCATAATCGGCTGAAATTCATAATCGGCTACGACATATATATTTGTTTTTATAGATTTTTTAATCTTAAAACAATTTTAGTTTTTTGAAATACTGTATTTCTTCGAATAGAAGACCGGGTAAAGAGTATGATCGCGTACTCCTGCGTAGCAGCCCTTTTTAAAATTTCTTTTCTGCATAAAAGCTTTCAATCAAGTGCTATAGAGCTGGAAAATGACTCAAAAATACCACATGAGCTAACAGATTTTTTAAAGAAATTTTAAAAAGGGCTGCTACGCAAGAGTACGCGATGATACTCTTTACCCGGTCTTCTATTCGAAGAAATACGGTATCTAGGAAAAAAAGCTTACCAGTTGAGTGGATCTAATGCTTAAAGAAAGCTCCTTGGGGGAGGATAAAGGGCGTCGAAAAGGGGGGCACTCGATTCAGTCGATAGCGCAGTGCCAGAGTCCTCGTCTCTCAAGCAGTAGATGCGGGGGTTCGATCCCCGTTGGAGCCTCTGTTTTTTGTAAATTCGATTTCTCGATTAAAAATCTTTCGAGATGAGATGAGAGACATCGGGCCGAAATCTGATTTTCGAAAGGGATCCGAAAGGGAATTCCGTGGAAAATCCGATTTCAGTGCATAACTATTCTTTAGTTGACTATTCACAGATTCTTTAGTTGTTTGTTTTTCTTTAGTTGTTCTTTAGTTTGTCCAATTAGAAGTTGTATCTTTTAAGTTGAGCGGCCGATAGCGGAATGTCAGGCCGATAGCGGAGTGTCAGTGTCAGAGCAGAAGAGGTTAACTTTAAAACAAAACAGATTAATCGTCTTGTTTTGATAGTCCTTTAAAAAAAACACTCTTATCCCATCGTTTAGACTTGAAGTGGGGAAAGAAAGGGTTTTTGCGAGAAAAACGAGAGAGCCCTTGGCCCAATTCTCGGCAAATTTTCGCTCTCCTAGCCATTTTTGGGTCCCATTTCTTCTTTCTTTTCAATCGTTCTTTCTTTTGAGCAATTGTATTTGTGTGTGGATGTTATAGAAAAGAATTTGAGAGCGATAAGCACTTCTCCTCCCCTTTACAACCAATAGATCCTTTCATAGCCAACAATTTGCTATTTTTTTTTTGCATTAAACCAATAACTGACATATATCATTTGAAGATATCATTGTTTGTGTGTTTTTTTGAAAGTCAATTACATACTTTTATCGTAAATTCGGGGTATTTTTATTGAGAAGTTCAATTTAGAAATTTCTGTATTTCAAGGCAAGTATTTCATCTCATTTTATGCAAAATTTAAAGAGTTTTGTAAGGTATATTAGAAATATATTATATTAGAGTGTGTTCCTCTCGACTAATACGTTTTCTAAATGCACCTATGCACCTAAATGACTAATGCACCTATTTGAGAAAATCACCGTAGTCAAACCGTTCGTTTTCATCAGATCAATCCAATTTTTAAATCATTGGCTGAGCCTTGTTTCTCAGCCTCAGGCTGAGCCTGAGAAAAAAACGACGCCATTTATCCTCCCCCCAAGGAGCTTTCTTTAAGCATTAGAATCGCTCAACTGGTAAAGCTTTTTTTCCTAGATCTCCCTCATCAAATGATACCAAAATTGAGCTCTGATCGGATGTAAATCGGTAGTTTGACTACGGTCACTTTGGTCACTTTGCGTTTTCGAGAAGGTTCCTCATCAGGCTCCTCTTCGCCAGTGATGTAAAGAACGTTGCCTCTTGCCGATACGTTGTCAGCAATGTCGGTTTCATTTGCATTCAATCTTCTATCTTCAATTGTCTTCACAACAGAGCAAATTTTAAGCACGGTGCACTACTATTACAGAAAAGACGGTAATTACTTTTACTATTATTTACTTGTCATGTTTGAAAGTGATTTGAGTCATCGTGTAGTCCATTGTAAGCGACCAGCGTCGATTTGGAAGGGAGCAGCGTCGATTTGGAAGGGAGCAGCGTCGATTTGCGAGGGACCAGCGTCGATTTCGAAGCGAGCGACCAGCGTCGATGTCGAAGCGAGCGACCAGAGTCGATGTCGAAGCGAGCGACCAGCGTCGATGTCGAAGCGAGCGACCAGCGTCGATATCGAAGCGAGCGACCAGCGTCGATGTCGAAGCGCAGCCCCGATGTTGAAGCGACCAGCGCCGATGTTGTACTCAAAAATCCCCCTCAAAATTTGTTTCTCTTCAAAAACCCCTTCCCGCCTTTCAATTACCATTTCCTCCATTCTTTTTTCTTTTCTTTTCCTTTCATCACCTTCCATTTTTATGACTTTTTGTTCGCTTTCTTTAAAAAAAAACGACAATTTACCACTTTTCTCTTTTGTCGCTTTCGAAGCTTTCAAAGCTATTCATCAAAAAAAAAGTTGGAAAATTGGCCGACTTTTACCCAATTCTTTAAAACTCACAAATTTTCAATTCCTCAAAAAAGTAGGAATGATTTTGAAATAGATTTTAATGGCAATCTCAAGATTTTCAAAAGTTTCAAATCTCTCACAATTCTCAATCACCTTTTTTTGACCCTACTTTTGTAGGAATTTGAAAAGTTGAGAAATACAAGGATTACGGTAGCTTTTTTAAATTATTCAACCGTTTTGTTTCCTTTTTTTGTTATTTTGTGGCTCAAATCTTCAATCTCCCATCTATTTTTCATTTCATTTCAGTCTTGGAAAAATCCAGTGTTTTGAAAGGGACGTCACACTTTGAAGGCTTATAACTTTGTCTAGAGAGAATATTTTTGTTAGCTTTTTATATCATTGAATAGAGGACATTCCAGGCTTTTAAATGATACTAAATAAAGTTTGATTGGATAATTGAGTCCATGGAAATCAGAGCCAACTCTGAGCAAATGAGGCCTATCCAATTCGGGTGTCGTGTCACACTTTGAAAGCCCATAACTTTATCCAGAGAGAATATTTTTGTTATCTTTTTATATCATTGTACAGAGGAGATTTCAGGCTTTCAAATAATATAAAATAAAGCTTGATTGAATAATTGAGTCCATGGAAAAGCAAAGCCAACGGCTCTGATTTTCTTGAACAAAGGCCTATCCGACTCGGATGTTGTGGCCTATCCGACTCAATTATTCAATCAAGCTTTATTTTATATTATTTGAAGACCTGAAATCTCCTCTGTACAATGATATAAAAAGTTAACAAAAATATTATCTCTAGAGAAAGTTATAAGCCTTCAAAGTGTGACACGACACCCGAATTGGATAGGCCTCATTTACTCAGAGTTGGCTCTGGTTTTCTTGGATTCGATTATCCAATCAAGCTTTATTTAGTATCATTTAAAAGCCTAAAATCTCCTTTATTCAATGATATAAAAAGTTTGCAAAAATATGAATCCTATACAAAGTCATAAGCCTTCAAAGTGTGACGACCCGTTCAAAATACTCGGAAACTAGAGCCAACTTTTCATCATCCATCTTTGTACTTTGAGCTCAGTTAAATAGAAACATAGCCTTTCTGGCACATTTGAACATTCAAAGTCAATGAGAAATTGCATAAAACTGCATAAAACTTTGTCTTTGAAATACTTTTACTTTAAGATTTGATGCGGATTGATATTTGAAGATATTTGAAGAATTGACGAGTGTTGATTGTTCTCTTCCAATTCGAATCCCCATTTTTGTCAAAAAATGAACGAAGAGAAAAGGAAACGGAGAGAAAACGAAGAAATGGGGATTAAGAATCGAGCGCCTCAATCCCTATTTCTTTTTTTCTACCTTTTCCACTCATCGAACGAAGTTTTGTTTTGATTTGTTTTAGATAAATCTGGGTAATCTTTGAGCTTTCGAATAGTTGAGCTTTCGATTTGCTGAGCTTTTGAATTGCTGAGCTTTTGAATTGTTAAGCTTTCGATTTGCTGAGCTTTCGAATTGCTGAGCTTCGAAATTTCAGCTATAATTTCAGCTTCGAATAGCTGAAAGCTCGAATAGAAATATCTAGAAAATATCTAGAAAATCATCTCCTCATCTTATAGCTTTTGTTCATTTCTATTTTCCAAGTGTTACCCACTTTAGTATTTGAGTACCAGCCTTGTTTCTAGAGACAATTTCTCCGAGTCTAGGTTTAAAGCCCACAGCTGAATTAGCTGGCTGAATTGGCTTTGGCTGAATTGGCTGGCTGAATTAGCTGGCTCAATTGGCTTTGGTACTTGTAATTTTTTGGTGCACACTTTACTTCACAAGGGAAAAGCAATTGAATAAGTATTGAAAAACAACATTTGTTACCAATAACATTCTAGATAAAATCCTGTTATTTCAAGCTACAGATTGATCAACACTATTCATATAAAGCAATAAATCAATCAATCATCAATCCAACTCTATTCATTGCAAGGAAGCAATAAAGTGAAGCAGTTTAAAAAAATTTGTCATGAATGGGATTCGAACCCAAGGGGAAGACAGGTCATTGGTTTGATAGGCCAGCAGACTATCCACTAGACCATCGGAGCATTGGTGAGGGGAGCGTGTGGCGGCTTTTTAAGGAGCTCGAAAGGTGTTTTTCTATGCCAAATTTAAGTTGATTTTCTAAGCGAAATATCTGCGAAGGGTTTTGCAAAATCTAAAAAGAATTCGAGATTTCTATTGCCGGATCTATAAGATGGATTTCGAGTTAAAAGGCTAAAAGGTCTAAAAGGCGCCTTTCCCTTGTTTTAGCTATATTAATTTGCATTTGAGAATGACTAAAAAGTCAAATGTGGTTTTTGATCAGCTGGTTTGTTTCTGATCAGCTGGTTTGTTCTGAGAAGCTGGTTTGTTTCTGATCAGCTGGTTTACTTCTGTTTGTTCTGATCAGCTAGTTTGTTCTGATCAGCTGGTTTGCTTTACCGGTTGGAAAAATCCGGCTCAGGGCTTCAGATCTTAGTCCACTAGCTCAGAAATGTTAACAAATCAGTTCAGTTAACAAAACAAAGCTACTGAGCCTTCTTCAAGCCTACTAGTTGATACTGTTTATGTTAATAATGTTCTTAATCTTTCAATTCTTCTTAATATTCTTAATCTTTCGATATAGCCGAGCTTCAGAATAGCCGAGCTTTCGATTCTTCTTAATATTCTTAATCTTAAGATCGCCTCCATTTCCTTCCTCTTTGCGTTCCTATTTTGCAATTATTCGCGTCGCATTTTTTCGTCTTTTTTTTTCTCTTCCCGAAATTATTTTCTTATTGGGGAGTTTTTTTTGGCAGAGCTTCTGGCCCTTTTTGGGGTTGGGGTTTTTGCCTTCATTCTTGGAAGACTTTGATATTTCTATTTATTTATTCTATTTATGCGAATCCTGCTTTTGTAATGGGTATCATTTCATTTTTGGTTCTGTACTAATAAACAGTAAAATTATAAATTCATTTTACTTTCTGCGACCCTTCAGGTTTCAAAATCCTTTTTAAATAGCTGATTTAACATTGTAGATTCCTGTTTAGATAGCTGATTTAACTTAGGCTAAGCCTAAGCCTAAGCTAAGCCTAAGCCTAAGCCTTACTAACATTTGTGTCGCCATCGACGAAGTATCAATCCGTTCTGTACTCTTGTACTGTACGTTCTGTACGAGAATTAACCTTCTGTTAGATGCTGCGTGTTCTTGTTATGTTGTAAGCGTTTTGGGGAAACCCTTTTAACCTTTTTGTTCTATTCGGCTATTCTGTAGCTCGGCTATTCTAAAGCTCGGCTATTCTAAAGCTTGGCTATTCTGTAGCTTGGCTATTCTGAAGCTTGGCTATTCTGAAGCTTGGCTATTCTGAAGCAAAGTCATTCCCGATGATAAGGTTAAAGCGGCTCGCACCCCAAAACTTTAATATTCTTATTCTTAATATTTTTGCTAACTTTTCATTGTCTGAATCTTTTTTTGCGGCTAAAATCGAAACTTTTTTTCGTGACTAAAGAAAGATTTGTTCGCTTGAATACCCACCGGGCACATTTTTGTTTTCTTTCTTTCTCGATCTTTGCCGTGAACTTTCAGATATCTAAAAGATGTTGAAAGATTGCCAATTTTAACCATTTTAACCAAGCTTTTAACAATTTTAACCGGTTTTTAACAATTTTAACCGGTTTTAAACAGTTTCAACCAAGCTTTTAACAATTTTAATCGGTTTTTAACAATTTTAACCAGTTTTTAACAATTTTAACCAAGCTTTTAACCATTTTAACCAAGTTTTTACAATTTTAAGTAACAAAATTGACAATCTTACCACAAAAATCCCCTTAAATTCTTTCTACTTTTTTTTTTATTTTTGACTAGAACTTTTTGTGGAAATGAGATGAGATTTTGAGAGATTTGCAGCGCTTTTCCATGTTTCTTTCGATGAAATTGAGTCCAATTGAATGAGTTTTTTGGAGGGATAAGGCTCTTCTCTTCTCTTCTCTTCTCTTCTCTTCTCCTCTCCTCTCTTCTCCTCTCTTCTCCTCTCTTCTCTTCTCCACTCTTTTCATCTCCTCCAAAATTTCCCCTCTTCTTCTACACTTCCCATTTTAGGCAATAATCGAAATCCAATTTTGGAATCATTTAACTTGATTGGTTTTCAGATCTTTTCAGAATCTTATTCTTTGAGAATTAGATTACATTTGTTCAGCTAGCTAGCCTAGAAATGACTTCTTGTTCATAGCCAGTCAAGGATCTAAATTAACACTTTTAAATCCCACTAATCGTTGAATTAAGCAATCAAGCAAGCCAGAGCAAGCAACTAGATTTCCAAGCGAGCCACAGCAAGCAATCAGACTTCCAAGCAAGCCAGAGCAAGCAATCAGACTTCCAAACGAGCCAAATACGATTGTATTTCAATCAAAACACGTTCAAAATAAGCCCAACCCAAGACAAGACTAACAAGCATATCTTCATGTACTTTTAGTAAACAAGATCAGAAACCAGATCAAGGTTCTGGCCTAGACAGGGATTCTAATTTCTAATGGTCTGCTAGGCCTAAATATTTAGCTGTTTAACTGTTTAACTGCTGTTTAACTAAACTTAACTGTTTAACTTGGATAGATCACGTTCAAGCTCTTCATGTTAAAATAGCGGTTTCAGAGAGATCACTGGGTCGCCAGTCAGTAGCACGCTTCTCTACAGCCCATACGATCCGGGTTCGACTCTCCGTAGTGTCACAGAATTTTGATTTCAAAAAGCTTAACTAGATTTTGATCTAGATTAGAATATCGTGTTTAAGAATATGTTTTTGGCTTAAAGATACACTACTGGACAATGAAATATCATATTTGAAAAAAGATCGTCACTTTCTCGCGTCTGTAACTCCCTTGTGTTTACCGTATTTCTAAATATCAATATTACCATTGTGTAGCCCTTGAAAAGAGCTTTCAGAAAATGTATAACACTAATAGTTTAAACTCAAAGACAAGGGAGTTACAGACGCGCGAAAGTGACGATCGTTTTTCAAATATCATATTTCATTGTCCAGTACTGTACTTCAAGGATAGGATTTAACTAAGTAACTTAACTCTGGAGCTGGAGCTAATAGAGCTCTGGAGTTGGAGCTACTGAAGCTCTGGAGCTCTGGAACTCTGGAGCCCCGGATCTCTGGAGCTCTGGAGCTGGAACTCTGGAACTCTGGAGCCCGGATCTCTGGAGCTCTGGAGCTGGAACTCTGGAGCTCTGGAACTCTGGAGCTGGAGCTCTGGAGCTCTGAAACTCTGGAGCTGGAGCTCTGGAGCTCTGGAACTCTGGAGCTGGAGCTCTGGAGCTCTGAAACTCTGGAGCTGGAGCTCTGGAGCTCTGGAACTCTGGAGCTGGAGCTCTGGAGCTCTGAAACTCTGGAGCTGGAGCTCTGGAGCTCTGGAACTCTGGAGCTGGAGCTCTGGAACTCTGGAACTCTGGAGCTGGAGCTCTGGAACTCTGGAACTCTGGAGTTGGAGCTCTGGAGCTCTGAAACTCTGGAGCTGGAGCTCTAGAGCTCTGGAACTCTGGAGCTGGAGCTTTGGAGCTCTGGAGCTCAGGAGCTAATAGTTTAAACTAAAAGACAAGGGAGTTACAGACGCGCGAAAGTGACGATCGTTTTTTCAAATGTCATATTTCATTATCCAGTACTGTAGCTTAGAAAAAGTGCAAAGATGACGAAAAGACGATAATCTTTTCGATTAGACTTAGACAATAGTAAATTTAATATTTAGACATGAGTAAATCTAACTCTAGTTTAGATTTACTATTGTCTACTAATTGTTCTTAAAACTTTGGCACTGACTCAAGATGATGGGGGAAAAGGAAGTGATTACTCTCGGGTACTCGCGTAGAAACAAGTGTGAATAGTTAATGAGGGAAAGTTGGGGGAAAAGGCAACAAAGGGTTCAGCTCTAAGAATGAAATAGAAGAATATTCAATACGTAGAGTCAAGTGGAGTCTTTCTTTCAATGTTCTTCTGCTTTTGTTTTCTTTCATTCATTTCTTTCTTTTCCTTCTTTCTTTCTTTCTTTCTATCTTTCTTTCTTTCTTTCTATCTTTGCTTTCTTTGCTTTCTTTCCTTCTTTCTTTCTATCTTTCTTTCTATCTTTCTTTCTTTCTTTTCCTTCTTTTAAATAATGAATCCATTTTCTAGAGCTCACCAATTTTGAAAAGCCATTTTGTATCAATAGAAATGTCTAAATTTAATCAATTTTGTATCAATAGAAAGAAATGAATCCATAGGATTAAATCTAATAACTGATTTCTGGATTCAAAAATTGATACAAGTAGATTATCGTAATCAGATCAGGATCAGTTTTTGGGTTTTAAGAAATTCTAAGATAAGATCCACAAAGTATCCAATAGATCATGATGCTTTGAAGATCTGATTTTGATATGATTCATTTTAAGTTCAAATCCACAAAGTACCTCGAAGTAACTCAAAGTCAAATTCATAAATCATGGTGATCTGATGATATGAGTCTGGAGATCTCCAGCTCACTCCAGACTCGAGTGTTGTGGCCTATCTGATTTTCTTGAATTTGATTTTCTTGGATTCGATCTTCTTGGATTTTCCAATCAAGCTTTATTTAGTATCATTTAAAAGCCTGAAATGTCCTCTATTCAATGATATAAAAAGTTTGCGAAAGTATGAATCCTATACAAAGTTATAAGCCTTCAAAGTGTGACGATCCGTTCAAAATACTCGGAAACTAGATGGAACGGATCGTCACACTTTGAAGGCTTATAACTTTCTCTAGAGATAATATTTTTGTTAACTTTTTATATCATTAAATAGAGGACATTCCAGGCTTTTAAATGATACTAAATAAAGCTTGATTGGATAATTGAGTCGGATAGGCCACAACATCCGAGTCGGATAGACCTTTGTTCAAGAAAATCAGAGCCGTTGGCTTTGCTTTTCCATGGACTCAATTATCCAATCAAGCTTTATTTGGTATCATTTAAAAGCCTGAAATCTCCTCTGTACAATGATATAAAAAGATAACAAAAATATTCTCTCTGGATAAAGTTATGGGCTTTCAAAGTGTGACACGACACCCGAATTGGATAGGCCTCATTTGCTCAGAGTTGGCTCTGATTTCCATGGACTCAATTATCCAATCAAGCTTTATTTAGTATCATTTAAAAGCCTAAAATCTCCTCTATTCAATGATATAAAAAGTTTGCAAAAATATTCTCTCTGGATAAAGTTATAAGCCTTCAAAGTGTGACGACCCGTTCAAAATGCTCAGCAAAATACCCAGCTCACTCAAAATGTGTCTGGGAAATTTGCATATGTAAATTTATGAGGATTATTTTGTTTTTTTTCAAAGCGATCCGTTTCTTTTCATCAAAAACTTTAAATTTTTTTAAATTTTTAATAATTTAATGAATTTTATCATAACATTTTTATAAAAAAAAGGAAAAAAAAAAGAATTTTATTTTTTTTATTGAAAATTTTCTGGTTTAATTTAAAAGTTTTCAATCTTTTTCTTTATTTTTTCAATTTCTTTATTTTCAATAAAACAAAATGACTATTTAAGAGAAATCCCGGCTTATTTGCCCTGAAAAAGTGACGAAAAGTCATTTCAATCATCATTTAAACCAAAACGAAAACAAATTTCGATTAAAAGAATTTTTTCGAAAAACTTTGCTCTCTAGATTTAGATTTAGATTTAAAAACAGTTTTCAAAGATTTGTTCAAGGATTTTAGGACAATCTTTCACTAAAATATTGATAGAATTCATTGTACTTTGTCCTCTAGAAAATGCGCCTCTTCGGGAACACTGGCATAGCTCAAAATGGAAATTTGTCGAAAACTGATTGGCTTATTCTTGACCTAATATTCTTTAGGTCAAAGATTCTCCGCCTTCTTGTTCTTGTTCTTCCTGCTTCTTCTTCCTTCTTCTTCTTCCTTCTCCTTCTTGTTCTTGTTCTTCTTGTTCTTCTTCTTGTTGTTCTTGTTGTTGTTCTTGTTCTTCTTATTCTTCTTCTTCTTCTTGTTGTTGTTGTTGTTGTTCTTCTTCTTGTTCTTCTTCTTCTTCTTATTCTTGTTCTTGTTCTTCTTTTTGTTCTTCTTCTTCCTTTCTTGTTCTTGTTGTTGTTGTTGTTGTTCTTCTTCTTATTCTTGTTCTTGTTCTTCTTGTTCTTCTCCTTCTTGTTCTTGTTCTCCTTCTTCTTGTTCTTGTTCTTCTTGTTCTTCTTGTTCTTCTTGTTCTTCTTGTTCTTCTTCTCCTTCTCCCTCTTGTTCTTCTCGTAATTGGTGTCTTCATTGCGCAGAATAATGTCGGAATTGGGACAATTGTTGGTAAGAAATCTGGATTTCACAGTTACTTGTTCTTCTTGTCCTTGTTCTTCTTTTTCCTTCTTCATCTTCTTCCTCTTCTTCTTCCTTCTTGTTCTTGTTCTTCCTCCTCCTTCTTCTTGTTCTTCTTCTCCTTCTCCCTCTTGTTCCTCTTGTTCCTCTTGTTCCTCTTCCTCTCCTTCTCCTTCTCCTTCTCCTTCTCCTTCTCCTTCTCCTTCTCCATCTTCTCCTTCTTCTCCATCTTCTCCTTCTTCTTCTCTATCTTTTCCAATTCCTTTCTTTATTTCTTTTCTTCATTTCACTCACAGATTCACATCGACCCAATTAGCAGCGATTCGTTTAGAGAAAAAGCGCATCTCTAGTCAAGTCTTGGCCCTTTTTTTTGCGATATTAATATTATTTCTCTTTTCTTACGCTCAAAAATCCTTTTTAAGATACATAAATTTCTTATTCTATAATAGATCTTTTACCCTTCAATAATAGATCTTTTAAAACAATTTCTTTTATTTCTTTGAATTCATTTTTTCTTGTTCTATAATATTATCTTTTTATCTAAAAAAAAGCTATTTCTAAAAAGTTTTCTTTAAATTCGAATTTATTAAGAAGCTCTTAAGATTTCAATCTTTTTTAGCTTAAAGCAATGAGAATTGATTTGGATTTGAGAAGTCATTCACGGAGATGAGTGGAGGAGCGAAGAATGGAATCGCGCTGTGGCGGAGGGGACCATTTCGGTAGGAAATATTCGGAAAATTCAGAAAATCGTAAAAATTCGGATTTCTATTGAATAAATGTGTTAGATAAGTGTTAGATATTCGTAGAAAAGTGAAAATTCGCTAAATGAAGCCTAAGCTAAAGCCGAAGCAAAGCCGAGACCAGCCCTGTTACAATCTCGCGAAACGGCTTTATGCTTTACGGCTACACCTTTTCATTGCATGCTAAACGCCCGCAAACAACTCGAAAACCCTAAGTGTTATAGAGAAAATTGAAGCCTGAATCCTTGCCTACATTTCTGTATAAAAAGATTTTTAATTGGAGTCTTGCAGCCGATTTCTCAGACCCTTAAATGAGCTCAATCCGATCAGCTGAAAATGGAAGATTGAGCTCATTTATGGGTCTGAGAAATCGGCTGCAAAACTCCAATCAAAAATCTTTTTATACAGAAATGTAGGCAAGATTTCAGGCTTCAATTTTCTCTATAACACTTAGGGTTTTTGAGTTGTTTGCGGGCGTTTAGCATGCAATGAAAAGATGTAACCGTGATTTTGACGCATTCTATAGAATTGAAGATATCGCGGTCTTATTTTAAAAGAAATAATCTTATTAAAAAGAATTTCAGAACAGTGGTCGCTTTGCTGTTAGTCGGAACAATCTATTTGGGGATTTATGGAGATCCAAAAAGAGATACTCGACAAAAATCATTGCAACCGATTCCTCAATCATCCGCTCATCGATATTTCTTTCGACATTTCAGCTTTATGCCTACATGCCAGTGAGTTGATGCTTAAAATGATTGGAATTTGGAGCTGGATTTGGGTTTGGAGTTGGAGTTGGAGTTGGATTTGGATTTGGGTTTGGAGTTGGATTTGGAGTTGGAGTTGGAGTTGGAGTTGGAGTTGGAGTTGGAGTTGGAGTTGGAGTTGGAGTTGGATTGGATTTGGAGTTGGATTGGATTTGGATTGGATTTGGAGTTGGAGTTGGATTCAAATCAGTTTCAAATCAGCTTCTAATCAGCTTCAAATCAGCTTCAAATCAGCTACAAATCAGCTACAAATCAGCTTCAAATCAGCTTCAAATCAGCTTCGAATCAGTTCCAAATCAGCTTCAAATCAGCGTCTAATCAGCTTCTAATCAGCTTCAAATCAGCCTCAAATCAGCCTCTAATCAGCTTCAAATCAGTTCCAAATCAGTTCCAAATAAAATCCCCTTCTTTCAGAAACACTTCAACAAAACCAGTTGAAAACTCGATTGAAGAAGTGACTGAAGATGGACAATTCCCTCCAGATCTCTTTACAATTGATCAACGACAGAAAGGAGCTGGTAAGCTGACAAAAAAAAATGACAAAAGCTAATGTATCGAAAAATGTTTCTAGAACAGTTTCATTTCCCATTTCCATTTCATTTCCCATTCCATTTTCAGTTTTCCTTCACGTCATCGGCTTGGTCTACATGTTTGTAGCATTGGCAATCGTTTGCGATGAGTTTTTCGTCCCGTCACTTGCTGTTCTCACCGATACACTTGCAATTTCAGATGATGTTGCTGGTAAGCTAAAGAAGGCTAAAGAAATAATAGGCTAAAGAAATCATAGCTACAGAAAACCCAGCTTTTTTTACTAGCAAGTTTACCAAGTTTCGAGTATCGAAGTTTCCTCTAGAGTAGTGCAGTTAAATTCCTTGAAATCTCGACAACCACGAATCAGAACCTATCGATGTGGGGTCGGAAAATGTAGCTGATAATGAGAGCTTGACGATGATTAACATTTTGAGCTTCTGGGAAAAATTTGGAACAAGAAAATAGGCCTCAACTCGGCCCAACCGCAGGACGGCTAACCAAAAGTCCGACCGAACCCGGACTTGTTTGAAATCAGCTTTTTGTTTATAAAACCAATCCAACCTTTAAAATTTCACGCTTTAGTTAGATCTACCACTTCTTAACTTCTTCATAACTTTTCAGGAGCTACATTCATGGCTGCTGGTGGTTCAGCACCTGAATTTTTCACTTCTGTAATTGGTGTCTTCATTGCGCAGAATAATGTCGGAATTGGGACAATTGTTGGTAAGAAATCTAGATTTAACAGTTACTTGTTCCTCTTGTTCTTGTTCTTCTTCCTTCTCCTTCTTCCTCTTCTTCTTCTTCTTCCTTCTTCTTCTTTCTTCTTGTTCATCTTGTTCTTCTTCCTTCTCCTTCGCCTTCTTCTTCTCCTTCTCCTTGTTCTTCTTGTTCGTCTTCCTCTTCTTCTTCCTTCTCCCCGTCCTTCTCCTTCTTCTCCTTGTTCTTCTTCCTCTTCTTCCTCTTCTTCTTCCCTCTTCCTTCTCCTTCTCGCCGTCCTTCCTTCTCCTTCCTTCCCCTCTCCTCCCTTCTCCCTCCTCTCCCTCCTTCTCTTCCTTCTCCTCTCCTTCTCCCGCCCTTCTCCTTCCCCTTCCCCTCTTCTCCTTGTTCTTCTTCCTTCCTTCCCTTCCCTTCTTCTCCTTCTTCTCCTTCTTCTCCTTCTCCTTCTTCTCCTTGTTCTTCTTCCTTCTCCTTCTCCTTCTTCTCCGTCTCCTTCTCCTTCTCCTTCTTCTCCTTCTTCTCCTTCTCCTTCTTCTCCTTGTTCTTCTTCCTTCTCCCTTCTCCTTCTTCTTCTTCTTCTTGTATTATGATTTTCATACATTTCATCCAGTCAAATCATTAAATTCTTAAAGTTTTATAAACAGGAATATGAAATTATTGTTTAAACTTTGTTTTGAATGTTTTATTCTAAAATTGAAAAGGATTTTAGTCTAAAATCCCTCGAAATCACTTTGAAATTCCCTTCCAGGCAGCGCTACTTTCAACATTCTCTGCGTGCTCGCTTGTTGTACTCTTTTCTCTACAACTGTTCTCCAATTGACATGGTGGCCATTGTTTAGGTAAGAGATTAATCTACTATAATCCTGTAACAACGTACAGTCACGTAGTCTCTAAAATCAACTGTTAGTCCATAAAAATTCTTCTCTTCAAGCGCATTGAAGCTCAGAGAATCAAATTCGCGATTGACTACGCGACTATACTACTTTACAGTACTACAGGTACTACAGGCACTGTAAAGAGCTATTCTTTGGTACTCTTCACTCAAGGCACGTTATTTCTTGTTGCGAGAAATCTGATCTTGAACTTGAACGAAAACTAAGACAATTCAATAGCCAACTGACTCGGAATTGATTCGGAACTTGAGAAAATGGTTGCGAGAGTCTTCGAGTTCGATTTAAGCAACAACGAACAACTTTAAACAGAACCTAAGTCCTGGCTTTATCTCTGAAACAGTACAACATCTCTGTAAGTCTGTAAGTTCTCTAAGTTCTGGAAGTCTGTAAGTCTGTAGGGCAACGCAACAGGCAACAAATTTGGGTCAACAAATTCGTTTGGGCCACTGGGTCTTTTGCGCCACTAGGTCGTTTGGGCCACTGGATCTTTTGCGCCAATGGATCGTTTGCGCCACTAGGTCGTTTGGGCCACTGGGTCTTTTGCGCCACTGGGTCGTTTCCGCAACCCGCGACTCTCTTCTCTCGCCATAACTTTCTTCTGAGTCGGCCAATCTTTATGATTTTGGTTTCATTTTGTAGATCTCAATAAGCACAACAAAATGAAACCAAAAATCATAAAGATTGGTTCACTTAGAAGAAAGTTATGGCGGGTTGCGTAAAGGACCTAGTTGCGCAAAAAAAATTTGCGGAAATTAGCCTACCCCATCAAATCAAATGAACAACAGTTGTCTTAGATAGGCTTTAATAAAAGATATTCAGCTAACAAGCTAAAAATAAATGATTTGAGGCGCGAAATAGAATGAAGACGCACAGATTTCCGCCATACTTTTCCAATTCTTTAGGCTGTCAGAGTTAGGTAAATTTTTAGTGGCTATTCGTTGCAGGGACGGTAGCTATATAAGTAATTAAGTACAGTAGATAAGTAAGACGATAGTAAGACAATAGTAGGACAATAGTAAGACAATAAAGAAGGACGATAATTGTTGAATCTTTCATTTCTAGGGACGTCTCCATCTATATTTTTGCTCTCTTTCTCTTGGTGATCTTTTTCCTTGATGAAAAGGTTTGTTGTCTTTAATTTTCAAAATTTCTATAGAGAAATACAGTAAGCTTCTTTGGGTTACTGTAAAAAAATTGTTATTCATTTTTTAGATAACTTGGCCTGAAGCTCTTGCATTATTCCTTATCTACCTCTTTTATTGTACATTTATGAAGTACAATGAAAAAGCTGAGGTTTGTCAGAGACTTTTTAATGCATTTAAAACCATTTAAACCCCCATTTAAAGCCATTTAAAACCATTTAGAGCCATTTAAAACGTTTTAAAGCTATTTAAAACCGATTGAAAGCGATTTAAAAACCATTTAAACCCCATTTAAAGCCATTTAAAGCCATTCAAAATAATTTAAAACCATTTAAAGCCCATTTGAAACCATTTGAAACCATCTAAAACCCATTTAAAACCATTTAAAGCCCATTTGAAACCATTTAAACCCCATTTAAAGTCATTTAAACCCATTTAAAACCATTTAAAACCCATTTAAAGCCATTTAAACCCATTTAAAACCATTTAAAACCATTTAAAACCATTTAAAACCCCCATTTAAAACCATTTAAAACCATTTAAAACCATTTTAAAGCCTATTTGAAACCATTTAAACCCCATTTAAAGTCATTTAAACCCATTTAAAACCATTTAAAGCCCATTTGAAACCATTTAAACCCCATTTAAAGCCATTTAAAACCCATCTAAACCCATCTAAACCCATTTAAACCCATTTAAACCCATTTAAACCCATTTAAAGGCATTTAAATGATATTCTCATCAAAATTTCCTTCCAGCACTTTGTGAAAGTTCGACTTCTGGGCGAAAAAATGGAAATTCAAGAGATGGGAGAAGATGTGGAGGGAATGAAGTTGAAGGCCAATGATAAAGAAGACAAAGCAATGGACAGGAGTGAATATCAGGTGGAAAGCGGCTACCGTAATTTGGATAGACATCCTAATTTCCGTAATTTGGATGATTTCATGGAATTTCATGGAAAAAGAGTGAAATTCAATACATAGAATTGAATCCCGAACTTCTAAATCATTTCTAAACCATTTTTAAACATTCTTCCATGAATCAAAGTCAAAATAAAACAATTTTCTAATAATTTCTAAAAGGATTTACCGGAAGGGGACTCGAACCCGAGCAAAGCGAACCCGAGCCTGGTTCTAGAGACAAGCAGACTATCCACTGCGCCAAGTGCTCCCTGTGGACAGGACCAGAAAAAGCTTATAACTTTGGCTTATAACCACTCTGCTCCGATTCCACTTTGGACAAAAGCTTGACTTGTATTTTGTGCTTTTTGAAATATGCGCTTTCTGGTGCACTGAAGAGCAGAGGTGGGCCAGAAAGGTGCGCCAGAAAGAGTGCGTTGGCAAGAGCACAAAGCACAAAGTAAAAGGTGGAAATTGGTACCGAATTTGTTGATTCTAGGAAGTCTCTCCATTGCATTATCAAAACGGGCAAAGCCAAGCACAAGGAAATGCGAGTGATGTGAGGAATGGACACGGCGATGCACAACAAACAGATCAAGATACGTGGACGAGAGTTGGACGGGGATCGTTTAGGTGAGATGATGATCGAGATTGATCGAGTATTTGCTACTAGACATTATTAAAATTTAAATTTAACACCTATTACTTGTATTACTAGTATTGCTACGAGTAATCTGGACAGGATTGGAGCTCAGATCCAGCTAATTGCCGTAATCCAGCCAGATCCGGCCAGTTACCGTCCAGCCGGGCTACAATAGTCGCGATTAGAGCCTGAGCCTGAGCCTGAGCCGGCCTAGATCTCTCTAATCTTTATAGTATTGCTGTAGTATTGCTACGAGCATTGCTACTCCTCCTTGCAGACAACGATTTAGAGTAGCGCGTAGAAAGCAAAGCGTAGAAAAGAAAAGTGTGATCGTGAGAGAAAAAATGAATGCTTCTCCCAGTAATCGGGCAAATTCTAGTTGCCTTTACGCTCAGAAATCATTTTAAGAATCCAGCAACTCCTTCGCCTAGACCTAAAATGTCCTCTAGGCTCTAGCGTAGACGCGTACATGTCCCCTAGGCTCTAGCTGCCCTCTAGGCTAGGCTGTAGCTACAATAGAGTACTAATAATTGTCTGTCAACAAGGAGCACACTCTAATTGCTACAGTATTGCAAGTTACTTTGGCTACAATATTGTCGAAAGTTCGCCGTAAGCCAAAGTACACTCTAGTTACAGTACAGGACAGTACAGGACAGTACAGGACAGTACAGGACAGTACAGGACAGTACAGGACAGTACAGGACAGTACAGGACAGTACAGGACAGTACAGGACAGTACAGGACAGTACAGGACAGTACAGGACAGTACAGGACAGTACAGGACAGTACAGGACAGTACAGGACAGTACAGGACAGTACAGGACAGTACAGGACAGTACAGTTACAGTACCTTGCTATTTATCATCTTTAAAGATTGCTCAAGCTCTTCTTTCAAGTTCTTTGAGCTCTTTGAGTTCAAGTTCAAAGAGAATTTCAGTTATTTCTTTTTTTTTAGAATCTTTATGATTGAAAAAAATTCTTAGTGCTGCTCAAAAAGAGGCCTTATTGCCAAGGTAAGGTTTTGATGACTGAAAACTTTCAAATTCCTTTTTCATTTACTCGATTTCCATTTCCATTCACAAACTAAACAACAAATTTTTCTTCAAATCAAGCACTTGCATGCTATCAATTTTAGTGTATCTGATTGGAGAAAAGGGATTTACAGTGGCTGAGTTTCTTGAGTTTTCTGTAAACCAGTTTCCAGTAGACTTACAGTTTCCTGTAGAATTACAGTTTCCAGTAGACTTACAGTTTCCTGTAGACCAGTTTCCTGTAGACCAGTTTCCTGTAAACCAGTTACCAGTAAACCAGTTTCCAGTAAGCTGCTACTTACGGTATAAGAGACAAGGTTTTGACAAGACAAGGAGACTGAGCGAGAAGTTTCGTTGAATAGATAGCATCATCCACATTATTCATTAAGGTTCTGTCACTGAATCTTTTGCGAGAATCTCTTGTGTAGGGCATAGGTTTCGGTGAAACAAGAATGCCGGGGTTATTGCAGAATTATTGCATTCAAGAATCCCTCTCCAATCAGAACACAAAAAGAAAATTTCCTTAGATAAATGAAAATCTCTAGACACGGTGCGATGGATCCGCGTCGTTGTTCGATCGGCGCTCGGCGTCAATCAATCCCAATCCTCCATTCTGGATCGATGTTCCGTAATGGAATCATCAATTTAATGGGAAATACTCTGTCGGAGTTGCCGGAAGGTTTGGTTTTGTATTTTCTATTTTCTGAACGAAGATCAGGCTTAGATTAAGCATGATGCTAACACTGCAAGTTAAGGAGACACGACACTTGCTTTAGAAAAGGAGATCGGCTTGTTTATCGATCGTGAGAAATACAGTAGATCAAACTGTAACTACAGTAATCTACAGTAATGCTTAAGGGGCTTTGTAGCTATAGTGCAGTGCTGTACAGTACTGTAACCCTTAAGGGGTACTCTAAGGCTTACTGTAGCTACAATAGAGTACTGTAAGGCTTACTGTAGCTGAAGTAGAGTACTCTAAGGCTTACTCTAGCTACTAGAGTACTCTAAGGCTTACTGTAGCTGCAGTAGAGTACTCTAAGGCTTACTCTAGCTACTAGAGTACTCTAAGGCTTACTGTAGCTGCAGTAGAGTACTCTAAAGCTTACTCTAGCTACAATAGAGTACTCTAAGGCTTACCCTAGCTACTAGAGTACTGTAAGGCTTACTCTAGCTACTAGAGTACTCTAAGGCTTACTCTAGCTACAGTAGAGTACTCTAAGGCTTACTGTAGCTACAATAGAGTACTGTAAGGCTTACTCTAGCCACTAGAGTACTCTAAGGCTTACTCTAGCTACAGTAGAGTACTCTAAAGCTTTCTCTAGCTACAATAGAGTACTCTAACGCTTACCCTAGCTACTAGAGTACTGTAAGGCTTACTCTAGCTACAGTAGAGTACTCTAAAGCTTACTGTAGCTACAATAGAGTACTGTAAGGCTTACTGTAGCTACAATAGAGTACTCTAAAGCTTATTCTAGCTACAGTAGAGTACTATAGTTACAGTACAGTCCTCTAAAGCTCACTATAGCTACAGTAGGCTTAAAACAAGAAAGTCCAATCCCCTAAAGCATAACTTCAGTACTAGTTATCGATGAACAAGTCAATCGATCGATTTCTTTCCTTTCAAGCTTCCAAATCCATGTCCAATTTGCTTTTTGTTCTAAAAAAAGCATGAAAAACTTGCAATGTGTAGGTGCCGATTCAACGTATTGGGCGGAGAGACAGCTTTTCTTGCCAGGTGCCCCATTCACGTGACACCCACACTATTTAACCACTCTTATGCGTTGAGCATTCCTCCAAATGGTTCTGATCAAGCGATAGGCTCTTAGATTCATTCGATTCATTCGACCAAGCTCTTAGACTTCATTCTCGTAATCGCTTTTTCGTAAACATTTCAATAGAAATCAAATTTTAAATCTAAGACCTAGCTTGATCAGAAAAATTTCGACGAATGATCAACCGATCTATTGGAATGATCACTGTATCCCTATCTCTAGCACTTCCCTTTAGTTGTTTATATGAATGGCTTTCGAGTAATTCTTGACCTTTAGTAGCTGTAAATGCCTGTAAGTAGACATTATAAAAAAACTACAAACTACAAAAACGACCTATCACCATACAAACCCTTCTAACTTGTCTCAAATCCATCGCATTAATATGATCTATCGCTCAAAAGATAGAGAATTTCATGAGCTTTCGAATGAATTAAAGCACAGCTGAAAACATCAATCCTAAAGAAAGTTACAGTCGAGGAAACGAAGACGATACTCTTGAACCGATCGAGCTCTCAATAAACCTTTGTAATTTTCTTTAGGATTGACGTTTTCATATGTGCTTTAGTTTATTAAAAAGCCCTTGAAATTCTCTATCTTTTGAGTTATAGATCATATTAATGCGATGGATTTGAGACAAGTTAGAAGGGTTTAAAGTTCAGGTTGGAATTTGTAGTTTGGGCAGGGGAAAACGGTGCCGCGGAGGGATAGGGCCGAGTTTATCCCGCCAAAAAAATTGTGCGGATGGTCTAGTGAGTAGTGTCCTAGCGTCTGACGCGGTTCGACCCTGGTTCGATTCCTGTCACTGTCAAATTGTCAATCTTTAGTTATGAAAACTCAATTTTACTTTTTCTAAAGGTTATACGGTCAGAAAATGACTGAAAATGGGGTTTAAAATGGTTGAAAAATCGAGTTTAACTAGAGTTTAACTGTTAAATTCTTTTATAATCAAAAAAAAAGGCTTTAAAAAGCTTCAAAAAGCTACAAAAAGCTTTAAAAAGCTTTAAATGAGCTTTACGATACATTTCGGATAATATAAACGTCTTATTTCTTCGGCTAATTTGTAAAGAATTGATAAACGAACGGTTGGGATTGAGTTCTTTAAAATATTTAAGTGACTAGTGAAGTAAAAACCTTGTAAAAACCGTATTCAAGTGACTCGAAAGCTAGAAAAATAGAATGGCCAATTGGACTCATTTCCAATTGGCCAATTGGACTTTTCCCAGTTGAGTCAGTTTCCCAGTTGCTCTTGTGTGCTTTGTGCTGTCAAACGCGAGCTTCCTAGTGCACTAGACTCCGTTGTTTCGCTCTTTCATTGCACTAGAAAGCTCGCGGTTTCTATGAGCACAAAGTAGGGCAAGCTTTTTGTCGATAGTATCTATTGTACTGTGTCTAAAATGATTCCAAATCTGTACTCGTTTCCCTTTTTTATTTTTTGCACTCTTATGTCTATTTTTTTGCAGAATTATTGTTTAAATTGAAATTTATATTTAAATTTTGTTTAAGATGAAAGCGAGCGGAGTTCAGTGGATCGAGCCGCGAGAAATCCTCCACAACCGGTGAGTAAACAAAGAAAATGAGTACTTTAGTACTTTAGTACTTTAGAATCACTTTAAGGGATCAAATTATAAGAAAAGAGTATCCATAGCAGCGCTGGGAACGTTAGTAGTTGGATGGGGCAAGATTTCATATTCATTCGGGCAACGGAGTTAACATAGCGGGCTAAAGTTTAGCGCACATTTCTATTTTACTCTATAACTCGACTTCCACTTATCAGATCGACTTGGTATTGGTTTTAAAATGATCCTTATGAAATTTGGTTATAGAAAAGTACAATTTATTTTGTATACTCTAGTGTAAGAACATAGAGAAAATTTGTATTAAAGTTGACTTACTAACCAACAGAAGTCAATCAACTTTGACGATGTATAACTCGAGTTGCAGACATTGAATCAACTTCTGGTTGGTTTTAATAGAATCCACATTAAATTTGGTTTTAGAAAAGTACAATTTATTTGGTATACTTACGTATAAGAACATAGAGAAAATTAGTATCAAAGTTGACTGACTTATCTACAGAAATCAATCAACTTTAACGGCCTATAACTCGAGGTATAGAAATTGAATCGACTTGTAATTGCTTTTAATCGAATCCCCCATCAAATTTGACTAAAGAAAAGTAGAATTTGTTTTGTATACTCTTTGATAAAAACATAGAGAAAATTTGTGTCAAAGGTTCAACTACCTACCACAAAAGTTGATCAACTGGAACGGTCTATAACTCGAGGTATAGAAATTCAATCGACTTGTAATTGATTTTAATCGAATCCTCATCAAATTTGACTAAAGAAAAGGGAAAACCGTTTTGTATACTCATTGATAAAAACATAGAGAAAAAGAGTCTTGAAAATTAGTGCCCTAAGTCAAAATGGCACTCTTTAAGGCCATTTTTCTCTATATTTTCTCCTGTGAATATACAAAACAAGTAAAACTTTTCTCTAGTCAAATTACTTAAAGATTCTATTAAAACCAATCAGAAGTCGATTCAACTTCTATACCTCGAGTTACATCGTAAAAATTGATTGACTTCTGTTGGTTAGTAAGTCAACTTTAATACAAATTTTCTCTATGTTCTTACACTAGAGTATACAAAATAAATTGTACTTTTCTATAACCAAATTTCATAAGGATCATTTTAAAACCAATACCAAGTCGATCTAATAAGTGGAAGTCGAGTTATAGAGTAAAATAGAAAAGTGCCGGGGGGGAGGGTCCCCAAACTCCGAGACTCCTATTTAGAAGGTCAACTTTGATACAAATTTTCTCTATGTTCTTACACATGTAACCATAGCATCTACTCTATCAAAATTAGCATAAGATAGACTTTTTCTAAAATTAGCGAACTTTAGCCTTGCTTGGACACTCCAACACCGGCTCTTCAACACAAACGACACTCTGTAATCGATGAAATTGTGAGTCTTTACCCTGTAATTCACTTGAATATACTCAAAAAATGTAAACGCAACTTTCTAGTGCACTGAATTCTTAATCTTTCAGTGAAAACTCGAGCATTCAATGCGCTAGAAACAGGCGTTTACAAGTTTGCACAAAGTACACAAAAAAATCACCTGTAACTTGCTTATTATTTAGATTATTTAGATATAGTTAAATATCTTTTAATAATTATAAATAAAAATAGTTAAAGATGGATCCGGTCCTGGTCCTGGTCCTGGTCCTGATCCTGGTCCTGTCCTGGTCCGGTCCTGGTTCTGATCCTGGTCCTGGTCCGGTCCTGGTCCTGGTCCTGGTCCTGGTCCTGTCCTGGTGAAGAAAATTGGTCTAGAGCCAGAATTCAACCAGATCGGTCCAGCCTTGCCTGCCTGAAACCTTTTAGAAACCTTTAGAAATAGAAATCTTATAGAAATCTTTTAGAAATCATTATTGGAAGAAGAAGAAGAGAAACCGTTGGATATGTCATGGCCGGATAAACCTTTAAAGGTTCACAGAAAGTTTTTTTAGCAATCTTATCATTTGTTTTTAGCGATTAACATATATCTGTCTTGCTCCACTTCTCATTCCGATGTGGTTAACGATTCCGGATGTGAGAAAAGAAGTAAGTTCAAGGAAAATAGCCATACCGTTCATTTGAACAGTACCCAGATATGATACAGTACCCAGATCTGGGCCTGCAACCAGATTACTGTATAGACAGGCTACCGTAACCTGATCTGGGTTACTGTACAAACCTGGTACAGCCACAGGTTACTGTACTGATCTGAGACAGGTTACTGTACTGATCTGAGACAGGTTACTGTAACCCAGCTGGCGCCAAGAACTTTAGAGACTTGGGACCGGACCCAATTTATAGCTTTAAATCTACCGTACTCCTCTACAGATACTCCATGGGTTACTGTACTCAGGCTGCCGTACCTTAAGACTATGATACTGTAGCCCGATCTGGGACTGGGACAGGCTATTGCACTGATCTCGGACAAGCTACCGTAGCCTAGTTATGGCTTTAAACCTACCGTAACCCTGGCTACAGGTACTCCATGGGTTACTGTAGAAAATAACTAGGATACCGTAACCTGATCTGGCACTGGCTACTGTATCAACCTGGGACAGGCTTGGTACAGTAACCGGTGCCTACCGTACCCAATCTCCAACTTTGAATCTACCCTGTCTCCAGGATCGGGTTACTATGCAAATAGACAGACTACCGTAACCTGTTCTGGGCCTGGCACCGGTTACTGTACTAACCAGGGACAGGCTACTGTACCCAAGCTTTGTAGAAAGGCTGCAATTTTGATTCTACTGTAGCCCTGACTCCACCAGGATCAGGTTACTGTAAAAATGGTTAGCTTACCGTAAACTGGCCTTTCTACAAAGCTTGGGTACAGTAGCTTGTCCCAGGTCAATACAGTAACCGGTGCCAGGCCCAGGACAGTAGCCTGTCCCAGGTTAGTACAGTAGCCGGTCCCAGGTTAGTACAGTAACCGGTGCCAGGCCCAGGACAGGTTACTACCTTAACTTGGATCAACAACAGAGCAATAGAACAAAAGATTAACAACAAGAATTTTCTGATTTTTCCTTTTTCTAGGGTGTCCGCAAATGGTATCCAGTGACTTTTATCTGCTCGATTTTATGGATTGCTTTCTTCTCGTATTTGATGGTTTGGTGGGCGAATACAATCGGAGAAACCCTGCAAATACCTACTGAGGTTGATCGCTATGATGTTACAGTACCCCCTATAGCTACAGTAGTTTTTCAGCGCTATAGTACTACTGTTAAAGTCCATTACAGTACAGTACCCCAGCTAAAACAATAGATGTACTGATAGCTGTGAGATCACTTACAGCAACTACAGTACTATAGCAGCTACAGTGTCTAAGCTACAGTAATCCCAGCTACAGTAATCCCAAAACTCAATTTCAGGTGATCGGCTTAACACTCCTTGCAGCCGGTACAAGTATCCCTGATATGATCACCAGTGTGATTGTGGCACGAAAAGGTTTGGGTGACATGGCCGTCTCTTCATCAGTTGGCTCAAATATCTTCGATGTTTGTGTGGGTTTGCCCGTTCCATGGCTTCTCTACTTCATCACTCAACCGATTCTCCATCCAGATGCCGAAGATTCGATCTCTGTCTCAAGGTTTCGAGATTCGAGATTTCTTTTCCGAAAAATGCGATTCTCTTTCAGCAAAGGACTTCTCTGCTCTGTTGGAATGCTATTTTTGATGTTGATCGTTCTTGTTTTCGCGATTTTCATCTCAAAATGGAGAATGAACAAGGTTAGAGAGCAGTAATTAACTAATAACTCAAAAAATACAGCTAATTACCTAATGCTTGTTGGGTTGGTGAGTTGAAAACTTTGACTTTGAACGCCGGACTTTAAACTAAAATTTATTCAACATAAAACCATCAATTTATTCCAAATAATTTCCATTATTATTGACGACTTCTGCCCATTTTATAGGCAATTTGCGGATTCCTCTTTCGTAGTAGGGTTTTGGTTTGTGTGTGAGACAAGTGTGAGACTCAAAAATGGAGGACTGGAGACTGGAGAAGGACTCCCAGTTTGAGCACTTTCTTCAAAAGAAACCCATTTTGGTGTCAATGGAAAAGTTGTAGAGAATCAAAAATTAGGCTTATAGCAAAATTTCCAAAAAGATACACTTAGTAGTTTCGCTTAAAATGCAAGCTTTGTGAAAATTCGTAATCGAAAATCGAAAATTTGACATTTCTTGAAAACCGGTTTTTGAATCGTTTTGAAAATTTGGATATAAGCTTGATTTTTGATTCTCTACAACTTTTCCATTGACACCAAAATGGGTTTCTTTTGAAGAAAGTGCTCAAACTGTCACATATGGCAATAGCCGGCGGTTTTCAATTCACCAATAACAATAGATTCGAGATTAGCCTTGATTTGAGGAGAAGTCAGTGCACAATTCGAGGATTCGGAGCCAGCCACATTAGTTTGGCAAAGGGAGAGGGAAGGGAGTTATGTAAAAGCCCTGCGCCAGACGACGAGCGATTACGCGGCCGCACAAACAACACACAGAATGTCCAAATTGAGGATTCGGAGCCGGCCAGATTAGATCCGCAAAGCGACAGGGAAGGGGGTTATGTAAAAGCCCTGCGCCAGACGACGAGCGATGACGGGGCCGCACAAAAAACACACAGAACAATAGCCGGCAGTTTTCAATTCACCAATCCAATAATTACTAAAAAGATACAGCTAATCACCTAATATTTATATTTAAAGTTCAAAAAATAAGCTCAAATCACGTACAGGTCTTTGGCGTTTTGATGATCGTTTCCTACACAGCTTTCTGCATTTTCTCAGTGATGTTGGAAACAGATCGAATGCATTGTCCACTCAATTTTTGCTAATTTTTAATTTTTGCTAATTTCTTTTTGGAAAACAATTTCCCTCTAAAGTCTACATCTTCAATTTTATCTTTTTTTTTATGCAAAACGTGGTATTTTGTTTATTTTGTCGTTACAATTAGTGAAAAATTTCTAGAAAATTCATTTGACAGGGATGTTCCTCTAGTTTATTTCATCAAGCCACGTTTTGTCGCCGTAGCGCAGTCGAGAGAGCACTTGTCTATGGCTCAAACGATCTTGTTTCGACCAAGATAGGCAAGGATGGAGCTCGACTTGGCTCTGGATCCGGTCCTGGTCCCGATCCTGGTCCTGGTCCTGGTCCTAGTCCTGGTCCTGAACCTGGTCTTGGTTCTGGTCCTGTCCTGGTGAAGAAAATTGGTCTAGAGCCAGAATTCAACCAGATTGGTCTAGCCTTGCCTGCCTAGACTGGCTAAGATGAATTTGGAACAATCCTGTCACTAAGTAGAGCAAAATAAGCTGTCCAGAAAGTTTTTTTGTTTCTGGAAAGCCTAATATCCTTAGAGCAATCAAATTTTCATTGTTTTCTTCTTCTTTATAAGTTTTTTTACTTTTTAATTGCTTTATCCCAAAAAAAAACTTGAATTTCCCGGTTTGTAGCTGCCTTGAATTGATGAATTGATGAAAAAGAATAAATGAGATTTATACAAAAACTACGCAACTTAACGCTTTTCCGCAGTCTTTGCCTTTTAGCCCAAATTTGACGTATCAGCGAGGTCTGATTTGTCGAAATTAGGAATCTACGCATACGATTCCCTTATATGGAAATAATTTTCGAAACTCTACGGCCTTGCCTAAGGCCTTTTCCAGCAAAAAAAAAGGTGCGCAAATGTCCAGGTGCGCAAAAAAAGGTCGCATTTGTCCCACTCCCATCAATCTGATAAAAACAAATGATTTGGAAATGAAAAAGAAACGACGACGCGGCGCTCCCATCGATTATCTCCAAATGGCGGCGACGTCAATTGGAATGCGACGTCGTTGGCTCCCAAACGAAAATAAATTGCTCATTTCAACAAAAATCTATCGCATAAAACAATACTTTCAATTAATCTGATAAAAACAAATTATTTGAAAATGAAAGAGAAACGACGACGCGGCGCTTCCATCGACTACCTCCGGCGACGGCGGCGGGGCGGCGACATCAATTGGAATGCGACGTCATCTGCTCCCAAATGATTCTCATTTCAGTAAAAAATCTATCGCATAAAACAATACTTTCAATTAATCTGATAAAAACAAATGAATTTCCCGGTTTGAATTAATGCCTTGAATTGATGAATTGATGAAAAAGAATAAATGAGATTTATACAAAACGAAAGATACATTTCAAATTTTATATGCTAAACGGTTAAACTAAAAGCTACCGTATAATAACCTTGATCTAATATCAAATCTAATATATTTCTAATATCAAAAACAAAGAAATTGGTTCTGTTTTGTTTTCGATGAGAAATTTGTAGGGATACTGTAGCCTGGGCAGGCACTGATTGCTTTCAGCTTTCAAAGAAATTAGCTTTCAAATTAACTGGCTAGCTTTCAAATAAATTAGACTATTGAAAATTGAAAAAAGATCTATAAACCTTTAAATTCTAAAATCTAATATCTTATTCTCTTCAAGATTTCTCAAAAAAAAACTTAATTGAGTGTAAAACGGAGCCGAAAAATGACACGCAATGGATGGGTTACCATGGAGAGACCAAAAAAAAGTACCTTTTCTCAAAATTTCTCACTGAAAACAAAACAAAAACCATTTCTTTCTGTATTACTATCTGAAACTTTAGTTTATTATATTTTATAATCTTTTTAAGAATGAAAAGAGATCCGGTGCTTCGGCATGAACAAATGCGGCGCTACATTCAACACCGGAATCGGGTTTGGTTTTTGGAGATTTTTCATGGAGTACAATTGTAATCGCATAGTAACTGGCATATTAAGATAACAATTGGGGCTATACGGGTTGGCGGAGGGGCAGTGGGCGAGGCCTCAAGAATGCCTCTGGCAAGTGTCAAAAAGTTTTTCTAGGGTTTTCGGCCACGCTAAATCAATTGGTAATATTTTCAGAGCTTGTTCTTGCTAGACTAAGCTTATACCAGGCTATGGCTCAGAGTACTGGCTGAGTATAGGCTTATGCTGCCTCGAATGTTGTTAACGGCCTAGACGTGTTACGTAACTTCTTCTTTGCCGCTCTCGCGTTGTTTTTGTGTTATTTATCTAGGCCAAAGCACTAACCGTACACAGCGTACTGACCGTGCAGTCTAGTATACTCAATCATGTTTGAGTATTGGATGGGTATAGGTTAAGACTGGCTGCCTGTTACCTGCCTTAAGCTATTAGGTTGATGCAAAAGTCTTTTTCATTTTTTTCGTACTTCCGTTAAAAAGTAACAAATGCACCAATTGAACAACGGTTTATTGCATTCGAAAGGCCAATTATTTTTCTGCAAAATGACATTAAAACGAGTTTAAAATGTCTTATGTCTAGATTTTTTTGAGAGCCTGAAGTCGGGTAGTCAAAAAAGGCGACGGCTCGATGATGCATTTTAGACGCTTTAGCTAAGGAAACCAATCTTGATGTTAATAAATAAAAGATAGAGCACAAAAAGTTCGATATTTTTTCAGATTTTCAGAGAAATTGATTCAGCCAATTTCTTTATAGAGGTTTTTATAGATTTTTATGAAAAACCCGTTTTCACTCTCGAATTTGCTTGAAAGTGAACCCAAATTGACTTAAAAAGATGGGGAAATTGAACAATAAACACTTTTCATTTCAGAGCAAACCATAGGTTAATTGATGACTTTGTTATTTTTCAAAAGAAGTACGAAAAAAATGAAAAAGACTTTTGCATCAACCTAATAGATTTGTCTCGACCACAAAGAAACAAATCACAAACACTTTCTAAAAATATTACCAATCGATTCAGCGTGGCCGAAAAGCGTAGAAAAGACACTTGTCAGAGGCATCTTTGACGCCCTCCCAACCCATATAGCCTCAAAAATTGTAAATGCTTAGCACCTGGCATAGTAGTAATTCTTTATTTAATTGATTAAAAAGTGCTTTCTTTAAGGTATTGGACATGAAAAGTGTCATCGGGAAAGATCTCCGCAATCGAAGCCGATCAGAGCCACCGAAAAGGAGAAGAAAAACAGAGGACGAGGTGAGGAATTGAAGAAATTTCATGATTGAGTTGAAAGGATTCATCAATTTCATGAATCGCGTAAAACAATACTAAAAGGAACGTAAAATATTTGAAAACCGTCAAATAAAAAGGAGGAAAACAGAGGATGAGGTGGGACGTATAAAAAAACGTAAAATATCTAAAACAATAAGTAAAACATTTAAAAGAATAAACAAAACATCTAAAGCAATACCTGACGAAAAAAACGATTTGAAAATGAAAAGGAAACGACGACACGGCGCTCCCATCGACTACCTCCAAATGGCGGCGACGTCAATTGGAATGCGACGTCGTCTGCTCCCAAATGATTCTCATTTCAGTAAAAAATCTATCGCATAAAACAATACTTTCAATCAATCTGATAAAAACAGGGGGTGGGACAAATGCTACCTTTTTTTGCGCACCTGGACATTTGCGCACCTTTTTTTTGCTGGAAAAGGCCTTAGGCAAGGCCGTAGAGCTTCAAAAATGTTTTCATAGAAGGGAATCGTATGCGTAGATTCAGAATTTCGACAAATCAGACCTCGCTGACACGTCAAATTTGGGCTAAAAGGCAAAAACTACGCAACTTAACGCTTTTCCGCAGATTTGGAAATGAAAAAGAAACGACGACGCGGCGCTTCCATCGACTACCTCCAAAGGGCGGCGACGTCAATTGGAATGCGATGTCGTCGGCTCCCAAACGAAAATACATTGCTTTCTCATTTCAACAAAAAATCCATCGCATAAAACAGGGAGTGGGACAAATGCGACCTTTTTTTTGCGCACCCGGCCATTTGCGCACCTTTTTTTCCGCACCCGGGACATTTCCGCACTTTTTTTTAGCGCACTTAGGACATTTCCGCACTATTTTTTTTGCGTACCCGGGATATTTGCGCACCTTTTTGTCCATTATAACAAGAACTGCCCTAGAACCACAGGACCACTTGGCTTCACTTTTTGTTTTTTTTCCTGCTATTGGTCTGTAGCTTTCATTTCTTGATGGTATCGGTTGTTTTCCTGTCTTTTTGATGGTAGTTTTTTCAATCCAGAGCATTTTATCAATCAAAATATAACATTTTATTCATAAAAAAATAACAAATAACATATATTGAAAGGAAAGCTAAAAGCCACAAAGCGAGACAAGTAACAACTGATGCAATATGAGGCAACAATTGAGACAAGTGTAAAACATGGGCACTATTGTTTCTACCATTTAAAACAGCGTGAAAACGTTGATCTTGGCGAAAAATAACCTTTTTACTCTGAGGATATTGTTGTACCAGCGAAAGGTTGCGAGTCGTAGCAAGCTTCAAGCGATTAATAGCATTCATCGTTTCCTCATAAAGCCGACACACAATGTAACCAGGATGTGGACTCTTTGGTCCGGACTAAAGATAAATAAAAATTATACCGAAATTACCAACAAACCTTCAATAAAAAATTAAACGCCTCGTGTGTTGCATTACCAAGTTGCTGAGATTGGATAACACGACTGTAAACATTCCATTTATCAACAGGATACGTGGGTGGCCGGCGAAAGTTTCCGTTGACAACTTTTCCAATGTAGTTTTTTGCAAGGAATTTATAAAATTCTAAAGAAACAGAATATAAATAAGGCAATAAAGACTAACTTCTAACTGAAACCATGTTGACTTCGGGTGGCGGTGCATTCTGCGAAGAAACAAGAAGGGCGTCAAAGTAATCGGCAACTTCTTGAGGATCAACTAACGACAAAGCCATTGTCGAGTGCAGGTGCACTTTTCCATATGGAGTCTGCAGTTGCGAATTTAGCCCATATCTCTAAAATTGTTATTTGTTAAAGATTAACGACCAACCTCTTTTCCATAGTTCGGGACCATGTGTGCATGATGACCTTCGCTGATAATGCATCCGTCTTGAGCTGAGTATTTGCCAAGAAGACCACATTTTTTTTGCAAGCACCTGTAAGAAACAAGAGTTTTCACTTCCATAAACTTTAAAATTAAAAAATAAACTATTAATCAGTACCTGTAAATCGGTCCTTTGGTTCGAGTGTCCCTGTGGAGCCGAAATTCGAAACCGCTCGCGTCATAAAACACCTCTTTATTCCTGTTGGATCGAGGTGTGGCCGACAAAACTCTAAAAACGAACATTAACGAGAGGATAAATAAGCAAAAGAAACTTTAGGAAGTGTGAAAAATGCAGCTTTTTTTGCGCACCCGGTCCATTAGCGCACCCTTTTTCACGTTTTCAAAAAGCTCTAAAAAAATCCAAATTTTGACATACCAGAGTTTGTGGAATCAATTTGAAAGACAAAACGGGTAGGTAAAATTACAGAAAATTGTCGATTTTTCTCGATTTTGTCGATGTATAACTCCGTCCGTTTGCTTTCACAAGCTCTGGTATGTCAAAATTTGGATTCTACGCCCTAAAATTATCCAGAAAAAATTAATTTCTATTCCAAACAAGTTTTGGAATAGAAATTAATTAATATTAGCTTTTTTAAAACGCAAAAAAGGTGCACTAATGGGTCAGATGCACAAAAAAGGTTGCATTTGTTCCACTCCCTAGCTTTATAGGAAAAACGTAAAACGCAAAAAGAAAGTGCACCTTGGTCGATTTAGTTGCATCTTCCGAGCTTCTTGAAGTCGATTCGTCGATTCGCAACTAAAAAAGCAATTCTAGCAAGTCCACCAACAGAAAAACAAAAAAAAAGAACTCAAAAAGTCGACAAGTGGGGCTAAAAAACAGTGAGTAACCAAATCCCTTACCTAACAAAGCACACTTAAACAACAATATGGGCAAACAATATACACAGGAGAGAACGAACGAGGGGAGACAGCACTTTAAAAAAGGGCCACAAAAACATAATAGATTTCACGGAGGGAAGAAAACTCGGCATAAATCTGAACAAACAGAAAGTTTCCGAGTCCATCATGGAATGAAAAAATGAAAAAAAAATGGCAAAAGGAAAATTTTTGGGCGGGGTACGGTAGCGCATCCACGCTTTGGAAAGTGCACCACGCCGCTTTCGCGCCAATCCCTTGAAACTACACGTTAATAGGAATCTAACAAAACGATTATATGGGTCTAGGGCAGTCCTTGTTATAATGGGCGAAAAGGTGCGCAAAAAAAAGTGCGCAAATGTCCCGGGTGCGCAAAAAAAAGGTCGCATTTGTCCCACTCCCCATAAAACAATACTTTCAATTAATCTGATAAAAATAAATGATTTGAAAATGAAAAATAAACGACGACGCGGCGCTCCCATCGACTACCTCCGGCGGCGGGGCGGCGACGTCAATTGGAACACGACGTTGCGCGAAAATTAACGTTTAAAATTTGCGACAGAAATTCAAATTGAACATGAGAACGTCTCGAAAAACATTTTTTCTCTTTTCTTTCTTTTTTTAAAATTCAAAGCTTTCCAGGAGGAAACCCAGCGTCGAATCGATCTGGAGAATGAGCGGTTGATGGCACAATTGACAACGATCGCGAGGAGACGAGCCGCCACACCGAATCCAAAGAAAACATATTGAAAGCATGATTGAAATTGAAAGGCATAGTATTTTCTTTTCAAATATTTCTCTTTTTGTTTTTAAAAACTTTAAACTTTTATACAAATGGCAAATAAAAGAAAAAAAAGATCGAAGTGAGGTGATTCCCGTAAAGAAACGACAATTAGCACATTTTTTTGGTAAAGATTTGTCATTTGGGATGGAGAATTTGAATCCGTTATCATTTTTTTGAGCTATTTGAGCTTTTTTTGAGCTTTTAATTTCCAATTCAATATACCGTATTTTCTCTAATAGTAGTGCACCCAAACGAGCCGAGTTGGTGACTATTTTAGGTTTTCCAAGCTTTTGCAGAAGCTCAACACTCTAATCATCGTCAAGATCTCATCGTCCGACTTTTGGTTAGCCGGTTGAGCCGAGATGATGCCTATTTTCTTGTTCCCAATTTTTCCCAGAAGCTCAAAATGCTAATCATCGTCAAGGTCTCATCGTCAGCTACATTTTCCGATCCCACATAGATAGGTTCTGATAAGCGATTCTCGAGATTTCGAGGAATTTAGGCAAAGCTTAGAGTGCACTACTATTAGAGAAAATACGGTAGTCATCATAAAACTCTAAGACTTGGGTAATTGAATCAAATTGGAGAAAAAAAGAGAGTAAAACCAATTTGGGAAGAGCAAAACCAATTTGGGAAGAGCAAAACCAATTTGGGAAGAGTAAAACCAATTTGGGAAGAGTAAAACCAAGTACGGATTCGAATTCATTTCCCCAAAAAGCTATAATTGCAAATATTTACAGCAAAACAGCCTTTAAAGAGCTGAAAAAGTGCTAAATTTCGCTAAATTCGCAAAAATGTGTTAAGTGAATGGGATTTGTGGGAATGAAGTAGGAATGAAGTAGGAAAAATGACCCTGAAAGTGAAATTGACTGCAGTTTTTCATCCACGAAATAGGGAAAGGATTTTGTTTTCGCGAAATAGTCCTTTTCGTTGACTCAAAGCTACAGAAACTCTACGTAATGGGATTGTTTTGTTGCTGGACAATCATGGCTTTGTTGCTGGACAATCATGGACAATCATGACAATCCAGCTGGCATACAAAGACTGAGATACAATAAATAAATAATTCAAAGATTGAAGATACTAGATAATCTCTTAAATGAGATATTTTTTTTATAATATGATCGAGAAAAAAATGATTTGAAAATGAAAATGAAACGACGACACGGCGCTCCCATCGACTACCTCCAAATGGCGGCGACGTCAATTGGAATGCGACGTCGTCTGCTCCCAAATGATTCTCATTTCTCTATGATCGAGCTTCAGGACTGCTGATTAATCCAGAAACATCAGTGCTCATATCCATCAAATATTTGAACTCCAAAAGTGCTTCGCGTTCCGGTTGACTGAATCTGTAAATGCAAGGGATTAGCTTCAATAGGTAGGCTTCAATAGCTTAAGGGTACTGTAGCTATAAAGGAGGATGGTAGAGTACTGTATCAGTTCAATTACCGTTCAAGACTCAATTAGGTCAAAACCAGACTTTGAACATGGTTTAGCTTAAGTCTTTGCTTTTCTCCTAATCCTAAGAAACAGTAAAATGAAAAGCTTTTCTTAGCAAAGCTTTTGTTAGTAAAGCTTTTCTTAACAAAGCTTTTCTTAGCAATATCCTTTTCTCAGCACTCACTTTCTCCGAAAATGACGCTGACTGAGCTGTTGTCGGGGAGGATTGTAGCGAACGACCTGGAAATTTAAAAATAAAATTGTTGGCAATATCATTAGATCCCTTAATCAACTTCTTTGCAGTGCACTTTGTGCTCAAAAAGTGTAAACACTCTCTTTCTGGGGCACTCGATTCTTCACTTTTCTTTTAGCAATGGCTTGGCTTAGAAAATCAGAGGATCCAGTGCACCAGAAAGGTTAGGTTTACAGCCCAGCACAAAGTACTATATATAAAAGTACAGACTGTACACGCGAGTTCTCGGCTGTTCTGAGCTCAAGTCTGGAGTTCAAGTCAAGTCCTAAGCTCAGGTCTTGAGCTCAAGTCCTGAGCTCAAGAGCCGATTTAAATGATTTTTAATTTCTTAGGCTTAGAATTCTATACAGTTGTGATCTCATATTTCATTTTTTTTAAAAAGTCATAATACGGCCGGGAGAGTCGAACCCAGATCGTTTGGGCCATAGACAAGCGCTCTCCTCACTGCGCCACGGCAACGGGGAGTTTTGGGCGATAAAAGCCCACCAAAAACCGTTAGCCAGACACACAATAAACAAGATACAGTAAAAAACAGTAAAAATGAAATCTCTGACCTCTCCTTTCCTCCTCAGCTGCCTCTCCAAGAAAGCGTATCTCTCCTCATCACTGCTTGCCGTCATATTCTCCTCGAAGGGCTAAATGTTGAAAAATTTAATAAAATTCTATAAATTTTCTTTAAATATTGAACATTTTTATATTGCACTATGTAAATTATTATGTATATATGTAAATTTTTGTGTTTACTGTTATAAATGGCTCATTGGTGAGTCGACGACGATGTGGCGTTGATGAGGTTGGCATTTTTAACTAAAAATTTAGCTTATCTATTAGATCTATTAGATAAAGAAATACGAAATTACGATGTTTAAATGAAAATCTGATTAGGAATCTGATTAGGATTAAGACTTGTTTAGAAAAATTACTTGTTGATGAAAAGATGCTTCAAAATCGTTGCCGTTTAGACGATCTGATGAAGAAAGATCCGTTTCTGATGAGGAACAACTAAAACATTTCATTTATTTTGAAGTTTTATTTTTAAATTCATTAAAATTCATCATTAATATTAATATTGGGTTGGTGAATTGAAAACTGCCGAACTTTGAACTGAACATAAAACCATGAATTCATTCCAAATAATCTCCATTATTATTGACGATTTCTGCCCATTTTACAGGCAATTTGCGGATTTCTCTTTCGTTGTAGAGATTGGTTTGTGTGTGAGACAAGTGTGAGACTCAGAAATGGAGGACTAGAGACTGGAGAAGGACTCCCAGTTTGAGCACTTTCTTCAAAAGAAACCCATTTTGGTGTCAATAGAAAAGTTGTAGAGAATCAAAAATTAGGCTTATAGCCAAATTTCCAAAAAGATACAAAGAGCCGTTTCGCTTAAAATGCAAGCTTTGTGAAAATTCGTCATCGAAAATCGAAAATTTGGCATTTCTTGAAAACCAGTTTTTGAATTGTTCTGAAAATTTGAATATAAGCTTGATTTTTGATTCTCCACAACTTTCCCATTGACACCAAAATGGGTTTCTTTTGAAGAAAGTACTCAAACTATCACAGATAACAATAGCCGGCAGTTTTCAATTCACCAATCCAATAGATTGAGATTAGCCTTGATTTGAGGAGAAGTCAGTGCACAATTCGAGGATTCGGAGTCAGCCACATTAGTTACGCAAAGGGAGAGGGAAGGGGGTTATCTAAAAGCCCTGCGCCAGACGACGAGCGATTACGCGGCCGCACAAAGAACACACAGAATGTCCAAATTGAGGATTCGGAGCCGGCCAGATTAGATCCGCAAAGCGACAGGGAAGGGGGTTATGTAAAAGCCCTGCATCAGACGACGAGCGATTACGCGGCCGCACACAGAACACACGAATTTTTAGGCGAAACTAACGAAAAGTCAATAGTTTGTTCTTTTTAGGCACCTGTAAGCACTTCAGTTTCTGACTTGGGTAAGTAAACTATTCAAATTGAATGCATATTGTGAATTCAAACTGCAGCAATGTGCCAGCAGCTGATTTTTTGTACGTAAAAGTACACGCAAAACCTTTTTACTTACCCGATCGGCAGCTCATTCAAAGTGACATTCGTATTCTGACGACTCAGCTTTAAATCGTTTGAATTCCTGTAAAAAGATTGAATTTAAATTCCATTCAAAACATTCAGAGCTATGAATTTTATGAATAAATCATTTCAAATCGATTTTTTTTTGTACCTGAACTCTCTTGGTTTTTCCGTTTCATCACTGCTCTCATCTCGGCGAAAGATTCGAACCTAAACATTGGAAAATAAGTTCATTTGATCATAACATTACTTTAAAGTATTGTTAATTCTTGTTAGAACTTGTTAGAAATTTTAAAAGCGCCCAATTACCTTAAATATTATATAATGAAAGCTATAGAAAGCTATAGAAAGCTATAGAAAGCTATAAAAAGCTATAGAGAGCTATAGAGAGCTATAAAAAGCTATAGAAAGCTATAGAAAGAGAAAGAGAGAGAAAGAAAGAGAAAGAAAGGAGTTTTTGAAAGCTACTCTATTAATAAAAGGCAGTTTTTTAAAGACAAAAGAAAAAAAAAGAAGAGATACGAGACCGGGACTCGAACTCGCCGTGGGTCAAGCAACGTCTGGTTTGACAGTATAGCACGGTGGCAGGGTGTGTAACGGGCTCTTAAGGAGTCCAAAATTTAGTTATCTACGTTCTGCAAAAGCTAAAAACGGACTCCAACTCTCAAAGATGGACTTGAATCTTCAAAACCTCAGCCTTTCCCTTTGTTCTCTTCGAATTCTTAAAATACCCCATCCACCTCATCCTCATCTTCCGTATTTGTATGTCCAGATGGTTGACGGCTGATTTGTGAATTGTTGATTCTCTTCTCATTCTCATACAATGGTTCATTCAGTCTGCACAACGCCTCTCCAGCTCCGCTTTCGATCCCTGAAAGGTAAAGCTTAGTTCTAAGAGTTAAAGATTGAACAAACTTGTTTTCCCGAGATTGTTCTGATGGGATAGAAGAGCTGAATCATTGCCCGAATCAGCTTCAAGATCCAACTAGATTATTGGTATTAGTTTTGATTCTCTTTCTTGTTCTCTCTTGTTCTCTCTTGTTCTCTCTTGTTCTCTCTTGTTCTCTCTTGTTCTCTCTTCTTCTCTCCACTCACCACTCTCCTCTGTGCTCTCTGCAATTCAGCGCTAATCTTGTGAAGCATTTTTCGATCAACTTCCCGTTGCATTTGAAGTTTTTTGAATTTGTGCTTGTAATGTTCAGCGTCATCTCTGAAATTAGACTGTCGTGTCACACTTTGAAGGCTTAGAACTTTGTCTAGAGGTTATATTTTTGCTAACTTTTTATATCATTGTACAGAGGAGATTTCAGGCTTTTAAATGATACTAAGTAAAGCTTGATTGGATAATCGAATCCAAGAAAATTAGAGCCAACTCTGAGCAAATGAGACCTATACAACTCGGCTGTTGTGTTGCCTGATTTTCTTGGACTGGATTATCGAATCAAGCTCTATTTGGTATCATTTGAAAGCCTGGGATGTCCTCTATTCAATGATATAAAACGCTTGCAAAAATATGAATCCTATACAAAGTTATGGGGCTTCAAAGAGTGACGACCCGTTCAATATATCCGGATTTTCTAAAATTCTTCAGAATTCTTTTGGATCCTATCAAAATACCGAAAAACTACGCAAAACTGTTATTTCTCACCTCGCCTCCATTTCTTCCGCTTTCGCATCCTGCAACTCATCAGCTAAACGCGTGACCTCATCTTGAAGTCTCAACTCGCGAATCTTACTCCGTGAGAGTTTCTCTTGTAACTAAAAGAGTTTTAAGCTTATCTCAGCTACCGTAAATGCTCTGATTTCAATTTTTGAATTGCCCTTACCCTTGCAATCTTCTCATCTCGTGCATCTCTTGGTGGATCATCCCATTCAAAAAGTTCCTCAACTCCATAACGAAATTTCTCTCCGCGCCGATTTGACATCGAAGAACTGGCTCGATATGATTGATTCATGTCTGGACGCGGTTGGGTATGTCTAGAATAAAGAAAATATAGTTAATACTATTACTAAATTACTTTAGTAACTATAAATAAAGTTATTACAGTAATTTTGAAGTTATTAGCTATATTCTATAGAGTAAAATAGGAATTGAAATCGTTAAGTCATTTGTGCGTTCTTTCCATGTCGCTCGGAAGAAAAAACGGCTTCCGGCACAAGGGCCGGATAGAACTAGCAGGGAAATCGGTTGTTTAATCAGTTCGTTCGGTTTAATTACCCAAATTTGAGGGTAGAAAGCGCGCGTTTATGTCTAAGCAAAGTGTCTAAGCATTCTGTACAAGGAAATAAGGCTAGAATTTAGTTTCCATTGGTTTTTAAATACCCAAAGAGAAAACCCAGCAAACCTCAGCGGTCGATGATCGATTTCTGCTCGTTGTACTCCGCCTGGACATGATCGAGGTCCACGATTTTTCTTTGGTTCAGTTACAATTGAATACGGGTTTGAAGGGAGTAACTGGAAAGATTCGATCTTTGGATTGATTGGATTGATTGATTGGATTGATTGATTGAAATTAGAGAAATATTGGGGTATTGACGTATTGAAGTTAGTGGAGTTTAAGATCTTCAGCATTTACTTGACATTTAGCTTTCCTTATCCGTTTAGCTTTATTGATTGACTTTATTTATCTATTTGGCTTCATTTATCATCAGATTCACCTCTAAATGTCTTCTTTGTGGCTCGGAAAGCAGGGAATTCTCTCCAATTCTTTCCAAATCTCCTTGATATGTTCGGTTGAGAGTTGAGCGTTTCTGGAAGGGAATTTGATTTGGATTTGGATTGAGCTTTGGATTTGGATTGGTCTTTAGATTTAGATTGAGCTTTAGATTTAGATTGAGCTTTAGATTGAGCTTTGGATTTGGATTGAGCTTTGGATTTAGATTAAGCTCTAGATTTAGATTGAGCTTTAGATTTAGGTTGAGCTTTAGATTTAGATTGAGCTTTAGATTTGGATTGAGCTTTGGATTGAGCTTTAGATTTGGCTTGATTGTTAGCTTTAGATTAAGCTCTAGATTTAGATTGAGCTTTAGATTTAGATCTAGATCTAGATTTAGACATTTTAAAGCTACCAATTTATTTTAATTGATATTTCTTTAAATTTTGCTTTTCCAAAACTCACGCCCGCATCATTTTCTTTATTCGATGAGCTTTTCTTTGAGCGAAACATATGACGAACAAAGGATGTCATTCTGAAACTTTCTGAATTATATAAAAATGAAAACAATAGCAACAATAGCAACAATAACAACAATAACAAATTATTTAAATTTATTTAAACAATATAAAGCCTTGGATTTAAACCAAAATATCAAAAAAAATCTAAAAATCAAAAGAATTTATTAAAAATTAAAAAATAGATTATCACAATAGAAAATATTGATCTAGAAAAGTCTTTTCGTTTCTTTTTTTTTACTTTTTTAATGAAAAAAAACTATTGAACTGTTCTGGTTTTAAAAGAAAGTACGAAAAGAAACAAAAAGATTTGTCAAAACCAATTAAATTCACCCGTATCATATACAAATCACAAAAAAATTATTTCACAGTTGTGTCCCTCATCTTTGGTCGATATTGAACACCCATCGATTTCAATTCAGCCACCACACCAGCTGGAAGAGATCCAGAAACAGAAACTGCATAAATACCCTTACACTTGCGGTTGATCTTCTGCCATTTGCATACCTGAATTTACATTTAATTTTGAATTGACATTTTTTGTCATTTACCATTAGCCATTAGCATTTTTCTCATTAGCAATCTAACTTTGAACTCAACTACGCGCTCCGTTCCTTTCCAATCAGCACTCTAACTTTAAGCTCAATTTTCTTGGTGTTCTGCTGTTGAATTTAAATGGTTTTGATATCATTAAATGCGCCTAGTCTTTCTCTATCGATTAGTGCAAAAACTATTGCAATTGGACAATCAAACACCAAGAAAATTGAGCTTAAAGTTAGAGTGATGATTGGAAAGGAACGTCCACCAAAATATTTGGGGGGGTTTAAAAGGCGAAGTTATCCTCCCCCCTCCAAGTTGCTCCATGGCCGATTGGTAAAATGCTAGCCTACAAGGCGGGTCAAGCTGGGTTCGATCCCCGGCACTCGAATCTCTTCTGGTTTTTTGTATTTTGTACCTTACAATTTTATGTGTTTTTATATGCAAATGTTTTTATATGCAAATTTCTTTAACAAATCAGATATGGATCAGACAAATCAGACAGATTACGGTAATCGAACTTTAGAAAGTTTCATTTAAGTGGATTGAATCTTTCACTCACCCATGAACCTTCGGGATCCAATGCGGCGATCATTCCATCAAAATTCGAACTCGTACAATCCAATACTTTACTTGTATCACCCTGGAATTCATCTCAATAACAAAAAAGGATATAAATATTGAATATTTGCTTAAATGCTGAATAGTTTAGATCATTAAGCTTTAGTCATTAAGCTTTTTTGAGCTCTTTAACCCTCTAACCTTTAAATGCAGAAAACCCTCGCAATTGTCACAGCCAGCATCCTCGAATTGTTCGATACTTTTGACGAGTGAGCATAAAAGACAAGCACGGAGACCACGAAGATCTCGGGGGATTGAATCGATTGACATCAGCTAGATTTTGAGAGATGTTTGAGAGAAAAACAAAGGTAAAGTTGTAAAGAAATGGTTTTGAGATGGAGTGATTAACACGTCAATCTTAAGAAATAGTTAAATAGTTAAATAACTTTAAATTTCAAAAAGGAAATTGTAAATGAAAGTATTTTTTGAGAATTATATAAAACGGGGAAATTATTTCCCCTGACAGAAGTCGAGAAATTCAAAAAGAAAAGGCTATTGGCAAAATGCCATCTGCCCGATGCTCCATTCAAAATTCGATCGCAGAGCAAGATTTAGAAAAGACAGAAAGCAAGAGATGAGACTGAGAGGATATTGTGAGTCTAATAGGCTGATAGATGGAGTGACATGGAGTGATTAACACGTCAATCTTTAGGCAAACTTCAATCTCCCATCTTCAATCTCCCATTTTACCACTCTAAGCCCATTTTTTCCTAGATAAACCTAATATCTAATAGTTTCTAATAGATCAAGATATTGAACAACCATTGATTTCAATTCAGCCACCACACCAGCTGGAAGGTCTCTATTTCTAATAGTTTTAAGGCTAGAGAAAATCCAAATATTAAAACGTCAAAGCATCAAAGAAGTTTCGCCGAAAGGAATCGAACTCGAGCAAAAAAAAGCAGACTCCGATTTGCATCCTAGCCTCTTATCCACTACACCACCGTACCTTCTTCGCGGTCTCTGAAAAAAACCGTTATAAAGGCCTTTACCCCAAATTTTTGCAGATTTTACTTTAAAACAAACACATCACTTTTTATCGCCCTTTTTATAAAGTTTTTTATAGATTAAAAGCCATCTAACAAAAACGGAAAGCAAATTCGGAATCAGCGTGAAATTTTGCGTCTAATGCGTTTTTAGATTATCTCATTTAGCCACATTCTACTGTTGTCTTTCCCTTGTAAAAGAAATGACTCATTTCTCTTTTTTTTTTCTCTAATTGGTACAATTCATAAGCTCACATTTCAGAAATTACCCTCAATTAGCAAATAGGCATTCAGTTTTTGCTTTGCTTTAAGTTTTCTTTAAGTTTTTCACCGACATAACCTCAAAAGCAGGAGTCCTGCAGTTAGTTAGAAAGTTAGAAAACGCGTTGTCTGCAAGGAACACACTCTAAGCAGGACTCTCTAAAGAGCATTTGGATGGTAAATGAAATTAGAAAAAAAGTAACATAAGTAGGGTAATTTTGGACATAAAATTCGATGAAAAGTCTTGTTTTTAGTTGAATCTCTTGTCTGGTTTAGAGAATTAGCTCAAAGATTAGCTTTACTATAAAGCTTTACGATAAAGCTTTACTTTTACTCAAAGCTTTACTATAAAGCTTTACTTTTACTCAAGGCTTTACTATAAAGCTTTACTTTTACTCAAAGCTTTACTATAAAGCTTTACTTTTGCATGCTCTACTCGATGAAAATCTGATTCACTTGTTTAACCTTTTTAAGAAGAAAGATGTTGATCAAATTATCTAGATTTTAGCAGAAGGATTTGAAAGCCTTGTTTAGAAGAAGATAAGTTTAGAGAAGAAGTTTCGAAGAAGATTAAAAGAAGATTTGAAGATTAGAAGATCTCAAGTCTCACTCAAAATCAACAGCAATCAACATCAACAAAATTCAGACAAGCAACTGAAAATGCTTTGTTATTAGTTTTGTATTCGTTAAGAAAAGCTTTTCAATATTTCTTCTATGCAAAAATAGCGTTTAACATCACTTTATAACATTAAGAATCACGTTTAATTGTTTTGGCTAGGCTTAGGTTTAGGCTTAGGCTTAGGTTTAGGTCTAGGCTTAGGTCTAGGCTTAGGCTTAGGCTCAGGCTTAGCTTAGAGACTTAGCTATAACTCCTACTCACATAACCAAAACTCACCAAATGACCGATTCGCCGGAGAAATGTAGACAATCAAGCACTTGTAAAATCATCTGTATAAGTCGAATCGGGAAACTTTTGATAGATAAATGTAGCCAAGGTTAAGAGCTATAATTCTCTACCTAACACTTGCCACTTTTGAAATAAATTCGACATTTCCCAGACACTTTTTCGAAATTTGTCGCTATACAGTATTTACAACGACTTCTTTTTGGTAGATTAGCTCCCAAGCGCCAAGTTCAATCTTGATTTGTTAATTGTTATATAAAATATTGAAGCTCTTAATCTTGGCTACATTTATCTCTTAAAAGTTTTTTGATTGGAGGTGCACAAGTCATTTTACAAGCGATTGAAAGTCCTGATCGACTTGTGCTCTTTCAATCACTTGTAAAATGACTTGTACACCTCCAATCAAAAAACTTTTAAGAGATAAATGTAGCCAAAATTATGGTCTTCAATATTCTACACTAACACTTAACAAATCAAGATTGAACTTGGCGCTTGGGAGCTAGTCTACCAAAAAGACTTCGACTTTGAAACCTCCTCCTCATCTAAGCCAATCCCTTCACCGAAAGGATTCAAATTATACCGAGGCACTCAGAACTCCTCATTCCTTTTTTTCCACTAATGAAGATGGTCTTCTTCCCCTTCCTTTTCCCCATGGGGATTCCTTGAATTTCTTTCTTTTTTTTCCTCTTTTTCTTTTCTCAAAAACCCCACGACGATCGCATTTCCCAATTACAAGACACCGCCGAGAATTAGAAACGAAAAACCCCATCCTATTCCCTTTTTTTCTTTATCTATTGCCTTTTAATTTCCGCAGATAGCTTTTTGACGGAAACTCATTTATTGTCGAGATGGAATGGACAATGTTTTTCTTTGTTTTAGTGGAAATTTGGTTTTCAATCGGAAATCGTTGCGTAAATTTGGAATTTCTGTAGTAAATACGAAGTTCCCATAAAAGAACCAATAAAATGGATCTTGCCAATCGCTTCCCTGACCCCGAAAACCCCTGGGTACAAACTTTTGGCTTTGGCTCAGGGAAGAGGGTTTTGGCTTCAAATCTCATCTGAGCAACGTTTACAGAAGAAAAGAATTTCTTTTGTAAAGAGGCAGCGAGGTGTTCTTTGTGCGGTCACGTAATCGCTCAACGTCTGGCGCAGGGCTTTCACAGAAGAGGGGCTCTTCTCTCCTCGAACAAAACTGACGCGGATGAACAGACTTGGGTAATTAAACCGGTCGAAGCGGCCCCTCCGGCCACTCAACCGATGGCCGTGTGCCAGACGGAACTTTTTCCTACGAGCGACAAGAAAAGAACGCCCAATGACTATTTTAGGGGCATTGTGCGTTCTTTCCATCTCGCTCTTAGGAAAAAGCGGCCTCTGGCACACGGACATCGGTTGGGTGGCCGGATGGGTCGCTCCGACCGTTTCAATTACCCAAGTCTGTCTGACACACTGCTCTGGTCACCAAACAAACGATGGACGTGAAACGTCAACGTGGACGTTGACGTAGAATTGTGACTACAATAAGGACCAGATGCCGTTTGTTTCCTGCGATCGACATGGAGCGATCACAAAAGCGAATTCTCTCTTTACCCAATTCCCAGCCACTTCAATTCCCATTTTACATTCTACACTCGATTTTTCCTAGATAACCCTAATATCTATTTGATAGAATCTTTCACGGGGCATATTTTTCAAAAAGAACTACCGTAAATACTGTAATTGAAGCCTCCCAATTTGCATAATTTTACTTTTTAGTTAATAATTTACTTTTTAATTTTAATTTACGTTAATTTACTCCTGTACACTTGTTCATTTCATTTTAAGATTTTCTTTTGTTTCTTTATTTTTTAGACTTTTTTGTTGAGAACCGTGGATACGACAAAATGGAGATCTCAATAATGTTGACAGGATTCAATAATGCTGACAGGACGGAAAGAAACTAAGGCCATTTGTGGTGATGCCGAGGAAAACATTGGATCGAAAAAAGATCGTTGGATCGATTGAACGATTGGAACGATGCCGAGGAACGTTGGATCGGTTGAATCGAAATTTCAATTGAAATTATTGGTTTATTGAAAAGAAAAGAAAAACAAATGCTTCAACCTGCTGATGTTTTTTGGAATGTTTGGATGTTCTTGGATGTTCAAAGCAATGAAAAGATAAAACGAGTGGTGGCAATTTAAAGTCTACTTCAATGGAGACTGTTTCCTTCATTTCCGAACTTCAAGACTAACTGCTTTCATTGAAAATTGACGAAAGCGACAAAAGCGATTGCTCTCATAGAATTGTTTCAATGATCCAAGTAATGACCTAAATTTGATTCCTTATCTTTCTAAATTTGGTTCGTTATCTCTCTAAATTTGGTTGAAAGTAAATGTTTCAACTTTCCACAAAAGAAAAGCTTTTCTTGTAGAGCAATGATCCGTATTGGAACCGTATTAGATCAAAATAGGAACCGTATTGGAACCCTATAAGATTGCTCTATGATTCTCATAGAAGATCTTGATTTTGAATCTTGAATCTTTGAAAGCATTCAATTCCTTTCCAAGCTTACATCTATCATCCAATGCGTGTGTAAAAGAATCCGAGAGCTGTTTTTTCGCGTGTCCCATCTGATCTTCCTCTTTCCCTTCATAGATCTTTCTCCTTCTCTCAATTTCTTTGCCTTCTTCTATTCTCGAAATCCTTTCCCCTTTTGATCCTTTTCGTGTCAACCTCTTCAACCAGGGCAACGACATGATGAATCGTCACGTTTTGTCCAATCTTTCCTCCATCTTTTCCCCATTTTTCTCTATCTTTTCCCATTCTCCTCGTCTTCTGACTTTCCTTAAGACTTTCCCCTCTTTTAGTTCTTTTATTTCTTTTATTTCTTTTATTTCTCAAAATCGTTGCTAATTCGATTGCTTTTTGCAGCCATGCTTTTGCAGAATTCCTTTTTTAGTGACATTCTTGGTTTTATTTCAATTTTTACTTTCAATTTCGAGATTAGTTTGTTTTTGTCCAATTTTTGTTCCAATCCAATTTTTGTCATTTTTCTCATTTGTTTATAGGATTACTGTTAGTATTACTAGAGTCTACTAGAGCCTACTAGAGTCTACTAGAGTCTACTAGTTTCTACTTGACTCTACTTGAGTCTACTAGAGTCTACTAGAGTCTACTAGTTTCTACTAGAGTCAAGCAGATCTCTTTCTTTTTCTTTCTTTCTTTTTCCTTCTTTCTTTTTCATCTGTTAATTGCTCATTTCCGTTTCATTTTTCGAGGCAGATGGAAAGGAAAAAGTAGTCGCAAAGTTAGAACTTGACTAGGGAAAAGGAGCGGAAAATGATTGAGCTATAGCTAATATTGATTTGAATCTTCTTTTTTCCAGTATATTGTTTTTCCACTCTTTTTGGAACACTAAAAGGACACTGAAGGACACTGAAAGCTTTCTTTTTCTCGAGATATCAATTGTTTTTCTAAATGCCTTCTAGATTTCGTGTTGTCGACCACGACGGCTTTACCATCAACAAATGTGTCAACGGTGGCCGATCGGGGGATCGAGCTGGCGCTTCCATTCGTCCTGGCCGTCTATTCAATGCCAGCACTTCTAATTGCTGTCGTTTGTTTTAATTTTGAAATAAAGTATTCAAGAAAAGCCTCAAAATTGATTCTCTTTTGTCAGCTTAGGCTCAGGCTCACTTCTAAGCCAAACTTTTTAGACTTTTGACGTTCTTCTTCACCAGAATTCATTCATTTCTCATTTTTGCACATTCAGGTGTGTCTAATCGTTAAATGGAGGCCTTGTTACGAGTTCTCCGGTCCATTGCACATTTGTCGGTGAGTTGAATTGAATCCTTTTAGAGATCTTTGATGCTTTTGGTTTTTAGATGGTATTGTCTATGTTGTTCAAGGGAAACTCTTGATGAATTGACTGCAAATGATCGACATCTTATTTTGGCTATTGATGTTGAGGTAAAAATCAAGTGAAAGAGCATTCTTCACCGAATTTACTTTCCTTTTCTCACCATTCTCATTTCATTAAAGCCCACATTTCATTTAAAGCTCAGGAATCCAAACTTAAGCTTTACATTAAGCTTTAGCTTTACGCTTTGTGCTTTAACTTTACGATTCGATTTCTAGCTTTACGATTCCAATCGATTACGATAGCTTTACGATAGCTTTACGATTCCAATCGATTTCTAGGAATTAGGCTTCACTTTTGATTGGATTTGATTGGATTTTGATTGAATTTGATTGAATTTGATTGAATTTGATTGAATTTGATTGAATTTGATTGATTTTGATTGAATTTGATTGAATTTGATTGGATTTGATTCAATTTGATTGGATTTTGATTCAATTTGATTGAATTTGATTGAATTTGATTGATTTTGATTGAATTTGATTCAATTTGATTGGATTTGATTGAATTTGATTGAATTTGGTTGAATTTGATTGGATTTGATTGAATTTGATTGAATTTGATTCAATTTGATTCAATTTGATTGAATTTTGATTGAATTTTGATTGAATATGAAAAAGGAAAAATGAAAAATTATCCAAAAAAGTTTCCCAATCGTTTCCGTCTCTTCTTTCTGTCCCTCTGTCCCAACCAAACCAAAATCGAAAGCAGCATTGTCTAAAAACGATTCAATATACAGAAATGTTTAGAGTCTCGCCTCCGACACAGCCTCAATGAGATCAAAAAGTTCGATGAAAGAAAAAAGTCAACGATTTGAGCTGGTTGATGTGAGTTTGAATAGATAGAACAATAGAATTGAACTTTTGGAAGTTGGAAATTGGAAATTGGGAATTAGAAATTGGACTTTTGGAAATTAGAAATTGGAAATTGGACTTTTGGAAGTTGGAAATTGGAAATTAGAAATTAGAAATCCGAAATCCGTGCAAAGACTAAACCCTTTACCATATCTAAAACCAAAATAAGATCAGAACTAACAAAGATCTACACAAAGATCTACCCAAAGATCTACACAAAGATCTACACAAAGATCTACACAAATTTCATTTCCAGAGAAGCCTCCTCCCTAAACCAGTTGATCAAATCTTTGAAGACGAGCCGACAATTGATGATGATGACGAGTCTTCTTTCGATTGATCGATCAGCATTGATTGATCAGCATTGGTTGATCGATTTGATTGATCGATTTCGATTGATCTATCAGCTTATCTGTAAACAAACGGGTTTTTTATTTATCATAAATTGTTCATCATATATCAATGTTACAAAAAATACGAAAAGAGACAATTTTTCAAGTGTTCAACAAGTTTCGAAACTTTCCAAAAGAGAATCAATGCGACCACCGGAGACATCTCGATTACACTATCTATAAACACAGCTCAGACGCAGCAATTCCCCGAAAAGTGGCTGTCCTTTTGTCTCAACTGCATCGCAAATGGCTCAACTAAAATTTTCGTACCTTCGAGCGCTTCTCTGCATTTTGCTGAATATCGAGATTCTATTTTATGCCTCTCTTGCCTATGTTTTTGTTCTATTGTCGCCGATTCCATTTTTCGCAAATCGTGGAATGTGAGTGAATTGGGAAAATTGGCACAATGGCCCTTTCAGATTATCTGGAAGGGCCAAATTATCTGGAAGGGCCTGGAAGATTATCTGGAAGAGTCTGGAAGATTATCTGGAAGGGCCATTGTGCCAATTTTTCAAAACTATCACAATTTTACCCCTACCTTACGGTAAGTGGCTGTCCTTTTGTCTCAACTGCATCACAAATGGCTCAACAGGATTACTCCTGTAGACTTTCGAGCATCCTTTGTGAATCTCGCAGAATTATGAATTAAACCGAGTGCAGATTTGATAAAACAGGATATAATAGTTTTGAAAACTGACAAATTTTGGAAAGCACAATTTTGGAAAGCACAGAGGAGCACATTATATAGGCGGCGTATTGTTACTCGGTATACTGTAGTAAGACAGATAAAAGGCTGACTGGATAAGACAGATAAAAGGCTGACTGGATAAGACAGATAAAAGGTTGACTTGATAAGACAGATAAAAGGCTAGAACTCAAAGTTGTGACCATTTTTACCAAATTTTATTTCAGATTTGTGCATTTATTGCTGTTGTTGTTTTGCTTTGTGAAACTGATGGTCTTGATTGCAGCCATACTCGGAGTGGTGGCTGATCGAAAGCAACTACTCATCCCAAATGTCATTGCATCGGTAAGAAAAACAAATTCTCAATTAGCTTCTTCTATCACTAAAAGAGCTTTAGATCATTCAATCTAGATCATTCAATCTAGATCCTTCAATCTAGATCATTCAACCTAGATCATTCAACCTAGATCATTCAATCTAGATCTTTCAATCTAGATCTTTCAATCTCTAATTCTCGGAGCTCTTCTGTTACTTCTTCTCATTCGTCTCAATGAAACGAATCTCTCGCGAAGAGGATGGCAGAATTTTTATGTCCTTAGTGGAGCGCTAGCACTTTGTTTGACCACAATGAGCATCGAATTTCGATATTATCAACGGATTGGGCAAAGAAATGAGAGAAAAGACATTGTAAGTGATGCTCATGTTATGACGGAAACTCCCTGAGGCTTTTACTTCATCTGATTTTTTAACAATAAAACTAACACCTCATGATCAATACACCTACAACACACAAGTAAACGGGAATTGTTTGAAGAGTTTCACTCTAGCGCCTGCCAAAATTTGAAAGAAGAAGTCATGAAAAGAAGAGAGTCGTGATTCTGAGAGATAAAGGCTTGGAGACAACAAAGATAACTCTTATGTTACCAGATAGAGCAAACAAGCCCCAATCTTGTTTCAATCAACTGATTTTGGCCGTTTGGGAAGGTAGTGATAACAACGAAAGCCTGCACGCAGCAAAAACACATGCAATTAACGTGTTACTATTTGACAAAGGTTTATTAGATTGATAGTTGAGGTAAATAATCATATAAAAGACCTGGTTTTGCTTTTGTCCACATTGTTGACCCATTTTGTTGTTTCTTTGATAAAAGTTTGCTGTTTCTGGCGGAGGTGTCTAAAAAATTCTTTACAACAAAGCAATCCGTTCACAAATCGCTTAAAAAAAGTAACTTTGTGTAACCGTTTTTGTACAAGAAAATATGTTGAAAAAATAATATGTTAACAAAATTAAAAAGGTCATATATTTGACACTCAGGGCATCTAGGGGTACGGTAATTGAAGCGTATTTGAGAAAACAGGGCCCTATTTCTGAGTAGGACAAGAAAAAAAGCCATAGCTTTGCGCAGAATGATTATTTTTAATTACTTTTTGAACTAAACTGCTTAGAAAGGATCGTGAAATAAAAATTATTAGACAGAATTTTCTCTATAGTGGACTTTTCTCAAAGTCAAAGCCTTCAAACCTTGGTCTTGATTTTGAGATTTTCCTACTTTTCCCTTTCTAAAATTTGAGTAATTCTAACAAATGCTTATAACTTACAATAATAAAAAAAGCTCGAAGTATCTATTTTAGAATATTTAAAAAGTAAGCAAACTGGTCAAAGGTGAAAGATTTTATGGCCGTTTTACGAACTTTGGCTTTTTGCGTTTTTTGAAAAAGCCGATTTTTAAAAAACTGTCAATGGAATTTAAAAATGATAGAGATTCGGATTTAGCACTTTTTCCCATCAAATGGTAGCTATAACATCAATTTTAATCAGAAAACGCACTTTCGCGCGGATGTGCGCCTGCCAAAATTTGTTTTGGTTTGTTTCACACTAGCTTTCTCGCATTTTTGGCTTCTAAATCATCCCACTCGTTGAGGATCAGTCTCATTCGAAGAGACAAATCAGCACACCATTTCAGATAGATTTATAGGATGTAAATAGACAATATTTACTGAACGCATTCACAATAATCAAAGTGACAAAATAAGAACACAGATCTGTCTTTGAACATCATTTAATCCTTCTTCGCTGGCTTGGTGTTGCACGCGCAGAATCCTTTGTTGCACTTGAGTCCTAAAACAACAATGTTACAGAACAAATAAACAAGTAAAACAAACCGTTGCATCCACCGGTGGCACAAGTCATCTTGTTGCAGAACTTTGTCAGACGATCCAGGACTGTGGCGTAACCATGAGTCTTGTACGCCTAATATGGTACGCTTTTAACGTTTAAGCGTCAATCCTTACCGCTTCACAGTCGCACACCTTCTTCGTAGTGTTGCACGCCCCTTGAAGTCCTCCACAGGCGGTATCATCCTTGCATGGGAAGAAGCCAATGCATGCATTACAGTTACAACTGGAAGAACGAGATTTAGAACGCCTTTTAAAGTTCACATACCGTCCAGGAAGGAAGCCAAGGCATGATCCTCCATTGCAGTCGTCGTTGCTTTCGCACTGCGCCGCTGCTTTGCACTTCTTGTTGGCTTCGGTGGTCGTCGTTGTAGCAGTGGTTGTGGTGGTGGCGTCTTCGGGTTCTGTTGTTGGTTCGGAAGTCGTTTCTTCCTCGGACTCGGCTTGGCGACGAGAGCGGTAACCATCATCCTTGTCACCGTTTCCAGCAAGAATATTATCCTGAATTTAAATTTTATTCAGATTTACCAAACTCTATAACTTGATTGCATTCAAAAACCTATTCAAAAAACAAAATCTCTGATCTAGCTAGCTTTACTTTCTAAATATATCATTAACAGTCAGCTTTTTACCTAATCAAAACTGGACATAAGTTCAGTGAGCGGGCTTTAAATTTTTCTAGTTGGGTTGCTAAAATAGTAGATAGCTAAAGCTATCTACTAATTTACTTTAGGAAAGAACTTTAAAAAATCTGCTTCCCAGATGCCTAATCTAGGCAAAACTGCCTAGTGTCTTAACGTCCATTTCCACATTCTAAGTCGAACCATGTAAAAGAACAAACTTACCACAATGGCGGATCCCTCCTCGACGTAGCCGTTATCCATGTCACTACCCATATCCGCATTCACCAAAGCGATCGTCAAAAGGGCGGCTAGCACGAACAGCTTCATCTCCGTTGAAAGCGACCGGAATCGAGGCAACCTAAAAAAGAAACACATTAAACGTTGGAAATTGGCAAAAACACAAAACAAAGGAAATTGGCAAAAAAACACATAATTAACGGCTCTACAAAATTTCGGGAATTTTAACAATAGTTTTACTAATGCTGTCGCGCTAGTGCTTTTTCTAAAATTGGTTTTTCAGTGCTCAGTTGAGAAGAGACAAAATTCAGCATATCTATATAATATATTCACAATTTTTTTATAACGTTTAAACTTTATTGCGCGATTACCTATTCCTTACCTTTACTAGATTTGTATATTTCTACATGTCAACGAGTTTTTTAACCAAAAAGATGAAAAAGCTTTCGAAAAACGTAAGGCAAGCCGTGGAAAAGAACCGGCGGAAAGCGGACGACAAAAACAGTGTTTAAATTCCCCAAAAATTTAGTAGAGCCAGGATTGAAAAATCAGGAACATAGGAGAAATGAAATTTTCTACTAGCGCTTTATTTTTATACTCAGGTTACTGTAGTTTTCTCGCCAAATGGCGCATTTTGCAGACTAGTTGCAATTTAGAAAACACTCCTGTAATGAGAGTCAATTCATCGCGCACCAAACGGACCAAAGGTACCTTTGAAAGTCTAGTGTTAGAAATAGACGATTGCTTAACATCTAAACTCTGAGTTAAAGTTTCTGTTATGTTTTTACATTTTACGTTTCAGTACTCAATCATTGGTGAAGAAGACCGGCAATAGAAGTGATCCACCATTACTCAAGCGTCAAATGGGACGTCTGAGAAGGCGAAGAGGTACTATCCTAGTTGAGGGAGGAAGAACTATTTTTTTTCTTCAAAACCACTATTTCTCGGGTAGTTTTATGCGTAGATTCCGAAAAACACAACGAGAGCTTGGGAAAAGGCGTTTTAATCTGAATTTCCGGGCTTCAAAGTGCGCGCTCATACAGTGTGATGAGAGGGATATACATAGGGAAGAGGTCTAAAAATGGTCTCTCAAAACATTTTTTGAAGCTAAAAACACTTCTTCTGGCATAATTTAACCTACTGATTACGTTTCTGATCAAATTGCAGCAAAATAAAAAAAAAGACTTTTTTCCAAATTTCGACCATTCGACATGTTCGTCATGAGTCAAAATCTCAAAAATATTTTTTCGATTTGTTTTGCCTCTACCTGTCAATTTAAATTAGAAAATGAATATTTAGTGGTTAAAAATGGTTTTGGCCTTGAAAAGTGTCCCAATAATCCATAGCTTGGGGTCCATATAGTGAAGTGCACTATAGAAGCGCGCACTTTGGAGCCGCGAAACTCGGCTTCAAATGCCTTTTCCCAAGCCCTCGTTGTGTTTTTCGGAATCTACGCATAAAACTACCCCAGAGAAGTGGTTTTGAAGAAAAAAGGTCCCCCAATTAGGATAGTACCGGCGAAGACGCTATCTTATGGGAAGAAGCACAGCGTCTTTGAATGGATATGAAGAACAATGTGCGTGATGCGACCAACAATTTGCGTTATTGTCGGGTAAGAATTTACTTTTGCCTATTCCAATTATTTTCTAGAAGAACATTGGAGTGAAGAGGCTGCCTGGTGCGAGCGAGGGATGTGAGCAAATGGAAGAAGTTAGTCCTTTCAGCAAACTTATTTGATTCATACTTTTATGGCAACTGTAGTTTTACTTTAGGTTTGCCATGCAATGGATCATTTGACGCACGTGCTGATTGGGAAGAAGTGAACCATCAACCGTCAATAGAACAATTCAAAACTACATTATTTGATGATTTTGTACTTGAAAAATAAAGGATTTTAGAATGTTACTTTTTTAGTATACGGTCTTGATAGCACAAATTTTACCTTTCTTGACTTTGACTTATCGAAAAATTTCAATATCTTCCTAGGACTCACTTTTTGAAGTCTTTTCCGTAGAATTGTTCAAAAGATGGGGTTTGTTCAGGATAGGTCTCACAGCGAAACACTTGTGTCGAAAAGGCTTTTGATGGACAACCGTGAATCAGAGACAATTTATCCCTTGCACACTTGCTTGCTACAAACATGGATTAGTCGGCAATCATTTGTTTATCTTTGCGTAATTTTATGGATTTTTCGTTGCCAGCCTAAATTTTCACACTACAGTTGCACTTTCATGAGAGAAAGTGTCAAAATTAATCTTCCAAGAATCAAAGCAAGCTTTAAAAAAACTTCATTCTCTCTTCAAAAAAATTGGAAATCTCTCACCAGTTTTGATATTTGATTTACCGTTAAGCACGTTGACATGTTTCGATTTTTCATGAATGTTTCAGACTTAAAAGTCTTTAATCCCGCTTATTTAGGTTCAGATGGCTGGACGTTTACCAGCATGTGTCATAGATTGCGGCACGGGGTATAAATATTTCATTTTTACCCTTTTATTATTTCTTTTTAGTTACACAAAGCTTGGATATGCTGGCAACACTGAGCCGCAGTTTATTATGCCTTCAGGTTTGTGGTGTGCTAGATTTTTTGTAATGTAATGGATCCAGCAATTGCTGTACGAGAACACGGAGGCCGTTTTGCACCAGAAAAGGGACGAATTGATGATTTGGACTTTTTCATTGGTGATGAAGCACTCTCGCCAGCTGCTTCTAACTATAGTGTTAAGGTTGAGTATTTGTTTTTAGGATTATATTGTTTTATTGTTGTAAGAAGTATGCCTTAAAATAGATGGCAGACTGTTTAATTTGAGCTTTTTAGTATCCAATTCGCCATGGAATTGTTGAGGATTGGGACTTGATGGAGCGTTTCTGGGAACAATGCATCTTCAAGTATTTGCGAGCCGAACCAGAGGATCACTATTTTCTTTTGGTATTAGTGATCTTTTATTCAAAATCTATCTCTATTTAGACTGAACCACCACTTAATACACCGGAGAATCGCGAATACACTGCTGAAATCATGTTTGAGACATTTAATGTTCCTGGATTATATATTGCCGTTCAGGTGTTTATATTGCTTTTGTTTTTGTTCAGCCATAATTTTTAGGCTGTCCTTGCTTTAGCTGCTTCGTGGCAATCTCGAGGCGTCGATCAACGCTCACTAACTGGATTGGTATTTTTTTTTCCTGCTTTTAAGCATTATCAATCTTTTTAGGTAGTTGATTCGGGAGATGGAGTGACTCATGTCATCCCAGTTGCTGAGGGATACGTCATCGGATCGTGCATTAAGCATATTCCCATTGCAGGTATTGATTTTTTTTATTTTGCAGGTTTACTCAACTTTTTCAGGTCGAGACATCACCTATTTCATTCAGTCTCTATTGAGAGAACGCGAGAGTGGAATTCCGAGTGAACAAACGTATGAAGTCGCTAAAGCTGTGAAGGTTGAGTTTTGTTTATTTTTATAAATTTAAAAGTTATTTTCAGGAACAATATTGTTATGTCTGTCCTGACATTTTGAAAGAATTCATCAAGTACGACACGGATGGGGCAAAGTGGATTAAGGTAGCTTGAGAAGTTAGATATTAACTTACAAAGATTTTTAGACTTATCAAGGAGTCAATAAAATTACGAAAAAGGATTTCTCGTGCGAAGTCGGCTACGAACGATTTCTTGGGCCAGAGATTTTCTTCCATCCGGAGGTATGCAGTCTTGTGGGTAAATTTTCTAACTTATTATAGTTTGCAAATGCTGATTTCACGACACCTATCTCGGAAATCATTGATAAGGTGATTCAACAATGTCCCATTGATGTGAGAAGAGGGCTTTACGAGAATATTGTCTTATCAGGCGGAAGCACAATGTTCAAGGTAAATATCTTAAAATTAATGATGTGATTAGATTAGTTTAATTGATGCAGGATTATTGAAAAATTGTAATGTTGCAAAGATTTTAATATATTAATATTTTAATATCTTGTTTGTTCAGGACTTTGGTCGTCGGATGCAACGTGATATTAAACGATTAGCCGATGCCCGAATACAATTGAGTGAAACTCTTTCTGGGGGACATTTGAAGGTAAGTGCACAGTGTTTTTTTTTGCATCGATTTAATTTTTAGGCTAAACCCATCGAAGTGCAAGTGGTTTCTCATAAGATGCAACGTTATGCTGTCTGGTTCGGAGGGTCAATGTTGGCTTCTACGGTAAGATTTATTAAAGCAAAGCTTAGAATTTTATTGTTTAGGTTTTAATGAATAGCTCAATTAATTTAAAATTTTTTGGAACTTTCATAATTGATAATTTTAGCCCGAATTCTACCAAGTGTCACACACGAAAGCTGAATACATGGAGAAGGGACCGTCGATTTGCCGCCACAACCCTGTGTTTGGAGCGCTCACATAAAAGGACCAATCATGTTTCATTCATCCTTCAATTTTCTCAGGGTGATAATATATTAACTTATTGTGGTTTTCTCAGCTTTACCATTTTTCACGCAGTCCTTTTTCTAGTGAGGCTTTTCTAAAAATCTGGAGTTCCCTCTTTGACACAAACCCCATTATTCAGTTATCGCTTAAATTATCCGCGTGTTTTTTCAGCCTATTTATTGATCCGTGTAATTTTAGCTGGCTTTGGTTGTGCTATTCCGCCTATCTCTTGTTTCTATTTATTGATCAAAGTTGCCGTGTTCGTTTTTTGTTCTATTTGTCAAGCATTCCTTTCTTGCACAAGTAATTCTCTCTTATGTCATACCATTTCTCTATCCAGATGACGGTTGATTGCTGCCTTATTAAGCATTCTGATACATGCTCATTAGTTTTGTAAACTTGTGAAATCTTTCTCTTTTGCCTCTGAAATGCTTGTTCTCATAACATAGTCCTTCTTAATGGATCTGGTATTTTAATAAAGCTTTTATTTTAAAAAAATTAGTTTACACGATTGGGTTTGAATGAATACAAGCAATATTTATGACTACCTAAATAGGTTGTGTGGTACACATCTATTTTGACTTGGCACATTCTTGTCTCTGATGGTCTTTGGCACAAGTTTTAATCCTTTAGTCATTTAGGTAAATGGATTTACCGCTAATCGTCTACTCTCCTGAAGAATACATCGAAACGAGCACTGGAAATAAGGTAAAACTGAATTTATAATGATTATAACAATTAAGATGATAAAAAAAAGCTGATAAAATCATGAAAAGCCGCAACATTGAGTTTAGTTTGTTGTTTTCAGGTTTACAAAAAGGCGAGCATCTACGGGTCGCAAAACATCGTGCTGAGTGGAAAAGTTGGTCTACATTTTTAAAAAAGATATATCTGTTATTGTTTAGTGTGTTTTGCAAAAAGATTGCATATTACGAGGAGATCTTGCGCCAATTCGGATGGGAAAGTTTGGGATTATTGGCGAAAATTCAGTGAGTTTGAGAGTAGGACGATTATTAACTTAACAATTTCTTAGGTCATTCGGCCTAGCTTCAAAAATTTTATCAACAAGGGCCCACAAGGATCGTTTATCCACGTAAAAATTGGCGATCACGTGTTTATTGGAAAGGTTTTTTACTTTTTGTATAATTCATATCCATTTTTGTAATTTTAGAGCTGCATAATTATGGCAGGACAAATCAGCTCTTACTGCCATATCGGTGATGGAGCGATTTTGGGTCAAAGTTGTGTTTTGAAGGAATGTTGTGAGGTTGGTTCTAAAAGCACCGCAAATCTATTTTGACCTTTAGGTTCAAGCAGAGGCTGTTATTGCTCCCGACTCCGTTTTTCCACCTTTCTCACTAATTGGTGGAAATCCAGGTAGATTTTGCTATGATATAAGGCAGTTGGGGGGGCACTTAAAATTTTCTCAAATGTACTTTTTCTAGGGTAATCGATGGCGCTGATCACGAAAAAAAACATTTTTTATTTATTTTTTTTCAATTAAAAACTTATGTATTGCCGTTATATTGGGTAGCTTGTGGCCCTTAAGAGAGTCGTTGGGTCGGGGGTTTATATGGAGGGAATTAATCGCAAGGGTACAATTGACGCACTTGGTCCCAGAAATGGTAAAAGACAACGTTCTTTTTGAATTCCTGACGCCAAAGAAACTCGTTCATGTAACTTAGCTTCTTATAAAGACCCTGACCTTAGGCGGCGGGGCTTATTAAACCAGTCTTAACAAGTGAAAACCAATTTGAAGGGACATGCAGTTTTTTCAAAACAAAAAAGTTACTTCAAAACACGTTTTTTAATTGAAAAAACATCCCAAAAATGTTTTTTCGTGATCAGCACCATCAATTACCCTAGAAAAACACATTTGGGGAATTTTAGGTGCCCCCCCAACTGCCTTAGTACCGGTGTTTGATTACGAAAAATGCCATATAATAAGTTTTTTTTCAGCTCGTGTGATTGGTTCAACGGCTCCGTGCACAGCAGATATGATGATTGAAGCGACACAGGAATACTACGAGAATTTTGTACCAAAGACGTCGGCGCGAGCAGCACTCATGTAATTTTAATGATTTGAAAATTAAGAGCATTTTATGGTGCGTTTTTCTGATTTTATATGCTAGAATTTAAGTGTAAATTTTGATGTGTTAACAGTTTGATGATATATTTTTATTGTTTTAGGGTGTTACTTACGGGTTAAATGATTTTTGTGCGGAGATTCATATAAATTGGTCCGAAATTTGCGAGAAACCTCTTTTATTGCACTGATATACATATTATTTATTTATGTACAAAACATTTTGATGTGAGCGGAAAAGTTTGAGAAAATCGGGGAGAATAAAGCTCTTTCTCTCGAAAAAATCTTAGAAAAGACAAAAATTGAGAGAAAAATATAAAATGGACGAAACCCGGGAATAAATATCGCTCAAAAATCTTCTAGACGAGTGGATAAGAGGCCTTTGAAGCGATTCCGCAGTGGTTCTTCTTGTTTCGGGCCATACGGATGAAGCCGTTCTCTCCCCACGAGGTGCCCCAGCTGAAATTTTTGTTTTATTTTTGATCAGCTTTGTTCTTTGTGCTCGGAATTGGAAACACATCCTTTTTGGTGCACTGAAGTCTTCACTTTACACAAAGTACACCAAAAGATAGCTTATTTGACTTATAATTTGCTAGGCATTCAAAGCATTTATTTTTTGTAAAACTATTAGTTAAACGATCTTACATAAACTGTCTAATATTTGATTGATTTACCTGTTCTTCACAAGCCAATAGTCTCCACCAACAGGATCAGTTCCATATCCGACAAGAAGCACTCCATGATCGAGCTCTTCCGGTGAACACTCAGCCTCATAGTAGACACCTGAGAAATTTTGGATAAAATTTAAATACAAGATTGGTTTTGTTTATCCGACAAAAAGCTGACCCTTCTTGTAGAGTTGGAATGATCGATGACCGGCATCAATGGCCACAGAGATTGGTCCTTGAGTGGCGACGGCCAACTGGAAAACTTTGATTAGCTAATTTCTATGATTTCATATTTGTATTGCCTATTAGATATTCAGTTTACTATTCTTATTTTCTAATTTTAATTTCTTTCCTACTTTGAGTGCTTCTTCGTCATTCTCTGGAAGATCAACGTATCCGATGTCATCGGCTCCAATAGTGCCCTTGTTGAAGTGGCAACGACCGTTCTGAAAGGAGAAAGTTTCGGAAAATCTAGAATATATTACATAATGCATTACAGTATCACAAAATAGCCACTGTGCTAATGTAATACTATGTTTTTTACGACGTCTTTACAGTACTACAGAGTAGTAGAGAATCTTCAGAGAAAAAAATGTTTTTCGAGACGTTCTCACGTTAAATTTGAATTCCTGTCGCAAATTTTAAACGTTAATTTTCGCGCGACTCGCATTCCAATTGACGTCGCCGCCCCGCCGCCGCCGTCGGAGGTAGTCGATGGGAGCGCCGCGTCGTCGTTTCTTTTTCATTTTCATTTTCAAATCATTTGTTTTTATCAGATTAATTGAAAGTATTGTTTTATGCGATAGATTTTTTGTTGAAATGAGAAAGCAATGTATTTTCGTTTGGGAGCCGACGACGTCGCATTCCAATTGACGTCGCCGCCATTTTGAGGTAGTCGGTGGGAGCGCCGCGTCGTCGTTTCTTTTTCGCTTTCAAATCATTTTTTTATCAGTCTAATTGAAAGTATTGTTTGGTTTTGTTTTTTAATTTTGTGTTGAAATGAGAAAGCAATCTATTTCCAAGAGCCGAGTGGAGAATCCGGAACTTTTCCGAACCACAATGAAGGCCAAAACTAACTGCAAGATGATTTGGGGAGTTGAATGGAAACAATGAAAACAAGACTCCTCTTCTGGACCGTTACAAAACTGAATAGCTACGGATAATGTAGCAGCATGTTACGCCAATTGTAGTAGCTAATCTTTGATACTCACCCTTCCAGTGTATGGATAGCTGTCCTCGGTGTCGATTCCGTGGTTTTGCTTGATGTACTCGAAAGCAAAGTCCATCAAACCGCCCTCACAGCCGTGATTTCCGTATTTCGATGAGCAGTCGACCAAATTTTGCTCGGAGAGTGAGATGAGTTTTCCGGATTGCCGCTTGTGCTGTCCCTCGAGAGCTCCAGTGGCACTGTAAAAAGAGTTGCAGAGTTGTAGAACTGTAGAACTACGTAAACTCTAGATGTCTATAATACTCAGCTAAATGTCTAGTTATCTATTTAAATGGACTACTGTAGGGTTTTCTTTTACCTGAATGACCAACACGATCCGCACATTCCTTGGTTTTTCACTGGAGTCACATATCCCTCATCGCGCCAATCAACCTCATCGGGGACCTGGGGAAAATTACAGATAAATTGATGGATTGTAAGAAATTGTATAAATATTCAGTTAGTATTTCAATTTGTTAACTGAATACCTGCACATTCATTGGTGACATCCATTTTGTGCTGTTTCTCTTCGTGGCTCCCAGGCGATCGCCCATCAAACGCGGCTTGAACCCATTGAGGCGCTTGTACTCGGCGCGGGACTAGAAATATTTTTTTATCAACAGTTTTATAAAAAAAGCAAAAGAATTGGCAGCTAGAGAAGGGGCCTCTCTTTTCCGTTCATTTGAGAGACGCCCGCTTTAACCACTCGGCGTCAACGACGGCGCAGTTAGAGCGCACTTGTCTCTAGCCCACACAACCCGGGTTCGACTCCCGTGTCGACACTCTTGGTTTTTTAAGAATTTAAAAACATGTTGCATAGCTACATGGAATTCTAAGCCAGACTAACTATTTGAAAGTTATTTGAAACGGTTCACTGGGTGGAAAGGAGTAGCTCTTTTACAGACAGACAGACCTAGACAGGCAGACCGACAGACAGACACAGGCAGACACAGACAGACAGGCAGATCGACAGACAGACACAAACAGACAGACATAGCTCTTTTATATAGTAGATAACATCTATTGATACTAAAATAGGTTTCCGAGCTAACTCACCAAATCGGAAATGTCATTGAGTCCCATCTCGAAGGATTTCTTTCCGGCTTTGTAGTCTTTGTTGTGACGATCGATGTGAATGACATTTTTGACGAAAGCCTCCATATAGGTGTTTTCTTCGCTTTCCTCGTACTCTTTGCCTAAAAAATACTGTTAAGATACAGTAAGATACAGTAAAATACTTTTAAGTGCTTAGCAAATCTCTTGCACTCACCGAATTTGTTCTTGTACTCCTCCCACATATCCATTGCCTCCTCGATCTGATTCCGGAGAGTGCTTGAATTTTAAAAGTTATTCTTATTCTTATTTCTTATTCTTATTTCTTATTTCTTATTCTTATTTTATTTTTATTTTATTTTTCTTTTCTTTTTTCAATTTTCGAATTGTGAGGACTGGATTGAAATAAAAATTTCTTATTTCTTTGCTTTCTTGGCTTTCTTTGCCTTTTTTCAATCCTTTTTCGGATTTTAGCGAGATTTCGATCAAGAAACATTCCGCCAGGGGAAATCCGATTCTTTTTTTGGCAAAATTTTGAAAACATTCATTAATGCAAAGAGATTTTAGGCTTATCAAAAGTCTATACAGTATACAAAGCTTTTATTAATCACTGTACTCACCTGGCACTGGCGAGTGCGACAAGCGCCAAACTGATGAGCACCGCGTTCCTCATCTGAAGGATAAAGTATTAGATTTTGAAATGGTAATGCTAAACTAAAAATGATCAATGAACAATCAAATGAACAATCAAATGAACAAAACAAAAGGTATATAGGAAATTTGGTGGACTAGAACCTTGTAAGTCTTCAAGATCAGTTTCAGAATAGCTCTCTAAGCTAAATAAACCTTTGAAACCTTAAAAATCAAAGTCAGTAAAGATAAAAGATAAAATAAATATGGAAAATAGAAGTTTCTCGATCCTAGACGAAAATATTTTCAAGTGATAAAAGCTTTTTTTTTGCTTGATTTTGCTTGATTGAGTGATAAGTTTGTGTTTGTGAGGGTTAGAGCCAGCCACGGGAGGTCTGAGATGAAATGGCGGGAAAACAATGGTGATAAGATGGATGGGATTCGGAGAAGGGGAAAGATCAGGAAAGGAGTTGAGTATAGTTTGTCAAAAAGTAATCTGATTGGTTTGGGGTATGATGTACTAGAATGCTCTAGGAGAGAGCTCTAGAATGCTCTAGAAGAGTGCTCTAGAATGCTCTAGAAGAATGCTCTAGAATGCTCTAGAAGAGTGCTCTAGAATGCTCTAGAAGAGTGCTCTAGAATGCTCTAGAATGCTCTAGAAGAATGCTCTAGAAGAGTGCTCTAGAATGCTCTAGAATGCTGTAGAAGAGTGCTCTAGAATGCTCTAGAAGAATGCTCTAGAATGCTCTAGAATGCTCTAGAAGAATGCTCTAGAATGCAATAGAAGTTGAAGGGATACTGGAGTGAAAGAAGCTGGGAGTAGACTTGACTAGCAAGAGCATCGATATCGATATTAATGATATCGATATTAAGAGCTTATCGATGTCTGTTCACGTTTTCCAAGCAATCTAAGCCCCGCCCCTTTTTGCCAACTGGCGAGGCCAACGTTTTCCACGCCCCGCCCCTTTTTACCGTAATTACGGAGCGTCGCGTTTGCGCACAGACAGATGGACAGAGGTCTTTTCTGCTTTATATAATAGTTATTTAAATGATATTTGAATTACACCCTAGAATGCTTTTGATTTACTTTCAGAGTTTCAGATTTACTTTCGAAGAAGTATTAGACCTAGTACTCTTAGGGAAAACATCTTTCCTCTAACAATTTTTCCTTTTCTTGCTGGTGCACGATTCTCTACAAATCTCAAGCTAACTTTTATCTTTCTTAGTATAAACTGCTTTTAAACGCATTTCTTATGAAGTACAAGAGGAAAACAAGAAATAAAAACAGTACAAAAACAGTACAAAAGCTTACAATCGAGATCTCGATATCAAGCTCTCAATATCGATATTTCTTGATCAGAACTCTCGAGTTTAGAGGCAGTATTTTAAGAAGAAGAAGAAGGAGAAGGAGGAGAAGGAGAAGGAGAAGGAGAAGAAGGAGAAAGAGAAGGAGAAGAAGAAGAAGGAGGAGGAGAAGAAGGAGAAGAAGAAGAAGAAGGAGAAGAAGAAGAAGGAGGGGAAGAAGGAGAAGGAGGGGGAGAAGGAAGAAGAAGAGGAAGACGAACAAGAAGAACAAGGAGAAGGAGAAGAAGAAGAAGAAGGAAGAAGAAGTCTAAATGTCTAAATATGTCTAAATTTTATGAAACTTGAATCATTCTAGGCCTTTTCATTCTTGAGCACAAAGTACACCTTTATAAAGTCAAGGAAATCAAATCAAATCAAATCAAATAAAATCAAATCTGGTTGTAATCACGGGTGAGGCAATAACTTGTGAAAGGAGGCAGTTGCCGAGATGTGATAAAAGGGTAAAGGGGCACAAAAACAAGTGATAAGGATGAGAGTTGAAGTTGAAGAGAGAAAAGGGAGCGAGTGACCGATCCCCATCCACAAAGCCGATTTATAGAGCCTTATCTTTTCTGCCGATCGGAAGAGAAAAGGAAGGGGGAGGAGCTAGGGGGGAAAGGGGAGACCAAGAGAGGCGGTCAGGTGCTACAAGAGAAAGACTTTCGTTTTGAAATGATCAAAAGAAATCAGATCAAGAAATATGTAGACAAGGATGATCTTTTGATTTTAAATTTCTAAATCTCTCAGCCCATCATTGCAAATTTCAAGTGGAGACAAGAAAAACAGAGACAAAAATTCGAAAATTTCGAAATTTCGAAAAATTTCCATACATCGACATGCTGTCATGTGGCTAAATGGCTTAGGAAATAAAATCAGAAGAGAAAAATAGATTTGGTGTACTTTTGATTAAAATTTCAGTCGAAATTCAGATTCCTGATACTCGATAACCTTTAAATGATACGAAAATTGGATCAAAATTGGATCAAAAGGTTAAGGTCTCATTTTTGCAACCAATTTCAACCAATATCTATTTTTTAAATGGAAATTTGTTTTTATATGTGTCGCAGCCGCTCGTGATTTTCAGCCGCTAGTGATTGAATCACCATCGGCTAGCCGCTAGTGATTGAAGCTAGCCGCTAGTGATTGAAGCTAGCCGCTAGTGGTTGAAGCTAGCCGCTAGTGATTGAAGCTAGCCGCTAGTGGTTGAAGCTAGCCGCTAGTGGTTGAAGCTAGCCGCTAGTGGTTGAAGCTAGCCGCTAGTGGTTGAAGCTAGCCGCTAGTGGTTGAAGCTAGCCGCTAGCGGCTTTCTTTCTTTCTTTCTTTCTTTCTATAATCTTTTTTTGTATGAAATTTTCTATCAAACCAAAACCAAGAAAAAATAGAAAAGAAAATAAATCGAAAATTGCCGACACGGGAATCGAACTCGGATCAAGAGACTCGAGCGTTGCAACCGTAACCGACAGCACTACCACTTAGCCACAGGGCGATCTCTAGCCTGGCTGAGGAAGTCTTATAAAGAGATAGCTGAACTTTCAAAATAAAAAAAATAAAAATTTTAACGCAAATTCTTCGCAAATTCGCAAATCTGCAAGCCATTTAGAAAAAACTAAAAGCAAATTTGGAAAGCCCGTGAAAAATTGGACGAGATAGGAATCCTATAAGAACTATCCTATCATAGGATAGTTCTTATATTGAAATTCTATCTTAAATTGACGATTTCCCCTAGTGAAGGTTTCCAGAGTCCTCTGAAACTCTCCAACGTGCCTCTCGTATCATTTAGAGGCTAGCGGCTATCAATAACCCAAAAAGCGAGTGAAAAAAGCGAGTGAATTTTCAAAAAAGTCGAGTCCTTAAGTACTGTTGTTGTCCCGGTGTTTAACACATCTTGCCCGATCTCGATTCTTCGCGAGAATGCCTCGTGATCTCTCCTCCCTTCCCTTTCCCTCTAGTCATTCCAATCACTCCCTTTGATCTATCCATTTGCAATCAGACACTCTTCGATGTATAAACAACTGTTCCCTCAGGGAAATCTTGAAAAATCGAATGCCCAAACGGTCAAATATCTGTGTGAAATCAAAGCATCAATCCCATTTGATCGAAAGATTTGAAATTTTGATTGCAAGTCTGAAATCTTTGACTCTTTTGATGTTTTGACTGAAAAAAAAATCCAAAAATGTTTGCAAATCTTGGAAAATAAAATGGTGATTCATATTTTACAGCACAGTTTCGCTTCTCGGGAAAACTTGGGTCCAGTTTTATCTCTCAGAAAATGACTAGAATGACTGTGATCCCTATTTTACAGAGAAATCAAAACCTCTTTAAGAAATGAACCATAGCCTATAGCCACTACTATAGCCAAGCCAGCGTTATGGTAGTATTCGTTTAAATGTTACGATCGCTCGTTTATGAGTTCAGTAAAGACAAAGACAGCTTTGAAAGTCCAAAGACAGCTTTGAAATCACTCATCAATTTCCTCACAAAGATTCAAAAATTTTACATTTAAAGATTGTTTTACTTGTAAAATAGATAAAATTTGTGTAAATCGTTCATTTGAAAAATCATTTGAAATCATTTGAAAAAAGGACAAGAAGAACAGCTGTCATTCACTCGAAAACCCGATCACTCAGATTGACAATGTGAAATTTCATTGCAGATTACCTCAGACTCTTTAAATTGATGGGTGCTTTGGAGAAGTGGTCAAATGGATATACTTTTCTTGAAAAGGAAAGAAAGAAAAGAAAGAAAAGAAAGAAAAGGAAAGCATAGAGTATCAATTCTCGAAAAGGAAAGAAATTTGAAATGCTTTGAAGTAAAAAAAAAGTTAAAAAGTTTTTTCAAACTTCTTAAAAGTAAAAAGTTTGAAATCATAACTGTTTTGCGAATTAACATAGAGTATTTGAAAATTTGAATCCAATTTCCCGAGATTTAAATTTAAGAAGAAAACAAACGCGCGATGGTTGAACGAATCATTTACAATTTCAACACATCTGATTGGTTTCATCTAAGCAACAGCAACAACAACAAAGGTACAGCTTTTTTTAATATTTATGTTCATATTTGGCCTTGCTACTTGATTTGAACTTTGTTTTGATAGATTTATATATATATATATATGTTGTGTCCGATTTAGATTGAACTTATCGCGGACGTCCGATTTAGATTACAGTCTATATCGGAGGTCCGATTTAGATTCAATCTAAATCTTATATAGATTGAACAATAATATAAACATGCTTAATATAAGAACATATAACGCTTAAGAATATATATTAAGCACGTTTATTATTGTTCGATCTGTATCGGACGTCCGATATAGACTGTAATCATAAAGACCGAAAAGCAAACACGAAAAAAACATTTTTTAAACATGTTTATATTATTGTTCAACTTAAATAGCTAAATCGGACGTCCGCGATATAGATTGAATCTAAATCGGACGCACCGCGATAAATATCAATCTAAATCGGACATATATATATTTATATATAGATTTACGAGATTGAATAGACAATAGACAATTTTGTTTTGTTTAATATATTTACCTTGTTTCAGTGTTATTGTTTCAGTGAAAACAATGTGGTATTTGATGTTGACGCTTTTGATGCAAGCCTCGCCGATTTTGTTGAGTACGTTTAAACATTTTCTTTAATCTTCGTAGTACTGAACTTTATCTAAAGTTATTTGAAGTTCTAAAACTTTATCTAAAGTTTATCTTTATCTAAACTAGAGTTCATGTTTTACTAGCCCCATTACTTTTATTACTTTAGTCATTTTTGCGGTTGGATGTGGAAAGAAGAAAATAAAGACAGAAGAATTGAAACGATCGCCAAATGTTCCGAAGCCAGCTCCACCACCAACTCTCACAGGAAATGCAAAAGCAGCATCACTTCCACCCGTTTGATTTTCTAAGTTTTTAATAATGTCCTCTTTACAGTCAACACCGTCTCTAGCGAAAAAAGAAGAGGAGAAAGAGGTACGTGGTTGTTAGAAAATTTTTGTCTAATGTTTCTTTTAGGAAAAAGGCGAGCTTCCGGAGAAGAGTTGCAAGGATGATGAGGAGAAATCATCGGGAAAGGAAGAGAAAAATGAGGAGGAAATCAAGCCGAAACAGATCCCTCGAACCGCCAAAGAAGTAAGTTTTGCTTAAATTTATCTTATCATTTTTTTTGGGAAGAAATCGCGAAGAACAAGGTGACGGTGAACATGGGCGATTATCCGACTTTCATTGATGTCTTGATTGACTGGGATAGCAACAAGAACAAGAAGGTTTGAAGAGATTGGTTGGGTGATATGATTGTTTTTGTATTTAGAATCCAAGCGAGAAGAAGGACGACAAAAAAGAGGTGAGTAGGTTAACTTTAACAAGAGATAATTCTGCATTTTAGGGTGGATCCAAAAAAGGCGAAAAGAAGGGCGACAAGGACAAGAAGGATGCCGGCAAGGACAAGAAAGAAGTGAAGAAGGAGGACAAAGAGGCAAAGGAAGAAGAAAAGAAAGAAGACGATAGGGGAAAAGAAGAGTAGATAGTGGCTATGTACAGTCGAATAAACCTTCACTCGTGTATTTTCTTGTGATTTGTTTTCTTTTACCCAAGATTTGCACAAATATTAACTTGGAAACAGAGTCTAAATCTAAAGTTTTGCTACTTACAAAATAGTTTATTCGACTTGTCAAAAATAAATAACTGCAAGAATATAATAAACAATTACCGGTCTTCGGTTGAAAATGTAAAAACTTAGAATTAGATTGTGTCTAGAAAAGGTTTAATGTAAAACAACACAACCATATTTGAGAGCATAAGTTGATCGAAAATCTTTAAGCAACGCCCATGTGCACATCAGCCAAAGTACCATTTTTCTAAAAGGGTAGGTAATAAATTACTTTCTATTTCAACAATTAAAAATTAACAAAACGTAGCCTAGCGTCTAGGTTTCTTGTTAAAACACACCTGTTCCTCTTCCCGTTGTTGAGCTGCTTCCTTAATGGCTTCATCTTTCTTAGCACGCTCCCTAAATTATTCTAACTTTATCAATAAATTGAAAAGTTAACTTACTCTTTAGCTTTCTTTGGACACTCTTTGCGATGCTTGCGACAATGGTGGTGACGCAGATGGTGATGGCATCGAGTTTTGACCTAAAAAGATGAACTCTGAGAAGCCAAAGATCTTATACTGACTAAACCTATAACTAGCGCAAAACGAACTTTCTTAACAGGTACTTCCTCCTTTTTCTTCTCGTCATCTCTTGGTCGCTTCAATTGATCCCGATCGTCGCGGGCCCTATCTCTTTCGCGTTCCCTAAAGCCATACTTAAACTTTATATTCTAACTCACGAACCTTTCCCTTTGCCGTTCCATATCATTTAATGTAGATTGACGTTTCTTCGCAAAGTTTTCATCAATTTGTTTCTAAAAACACAAACGTTTAATTGATTTTATTAGCAATTAAATAAACTTGAATCGGAACAGGGATTCGAGGAAATAGCGTCGAATACCAGTCAAGCTTTGTGAGCATCAAACGAACCTAAAGAATTTAAGCATTTAGAAGACTTAAAAAATTTAATCACCATGTTTCCAAAAGTCATTTTGTCTCCACCACCAGATCGAGGATCAATTTCTTCTTCATCTTCCTAAAGTCATCAATCAGTAAATGTAATATTGATAACAGTAAGTACTTTAAAAACTTACAAAATAGGGCTCGAACCAGCTCCACAAATCAGCGGGTGCCTGTGTGAATCGAACGTACAAAAAGCCGAGTCCCCTCAAATATGATGATTGACGATTGTCAATCAGGGCGATGAGTTGTCGCCTAGGAAATAATGAGCTTTATTAAAGTTATATTTTTGAAGTATTGACTTTGATTCTGAAAAGAAACAACTCACGAAATGTAGCGTACCTTGTCATCTTGAGCGTGTGGAACTTGTACAAGCAGCAGAAAGCCGATGAAACAACCCCGCCAGCACCAACTCCACGTACCTAAATCAAGCCAATTAGGTTGAACTTAAGTTAAAAGCTGCCACACTTCTAGTGTACATTACACAAAATACGATAAACCCACTCCACCACACATTCCAGTCATTCCTTGAGTTTTCCTTGTTCCTCTCTCCCAAGGCTCGAGATGACGAACCTAAACAATAATTAAATCAACAATCTATTACCTGCTTTAACAATTTTTAAAGATCAATATTAAACTTACATTGTAAAAAGCTTCATCGCAAACTTGTTGATAGTTGACATACTCGACGAGGACGTTTCTGTTGTACTGACTTTGAATAACATTCTCCAGGACCAATGTGTTTAGATTCATCGTCTCCTTATTTCCATGAATCGCGAGGATATTGTTGCGCTTCGTAACACGCTAAAAAGAAATTCTAGCTCAATAAAATAGATTTTAACCTTATAAGTCTAGCAGAAAATGGATTTTTAGGAGAGTGGGACAAATGCGACCTTTTTTTGCGCACCCGGACATTTGTGCAACTGTTTTTCCGCACTTAGCCCATTAGCGCACCTTTTTTCGCGTTTTAAAAAAGCTCTAAAAGCTAATATTAACCAATTTCTATTCCAAAAGTTGTTTTTCTAGGTAATTTTAGGGCGTAGAATCGAAATTTTGGCATATCAGAGCTTGTGGAAACAAACGGACGGAGTTATACAAAGAGAAAAATCGACAATTTTCTGTAATTTGATCTAGTCTTTCAAATTTGACCCTTTTGTCTTTCAAATTGGTTCCACACGCCCTGTTATGTCAAAATTTGAATTCGACACCATCAAATTACCTAGAAAAACAACATTTGGAATAGAAATTGGTTAATATTAGCTTTTAGAGCTTTTTAAAACACGAAAAAAGGTGCGCTAATGGGCTAAGTGCGGAAAAAAAGGTGCGCAAATGTCCGGGTGCGCAAAAAAAGGTCGCATTTGTCCCACTCCCGATTTTAGCCTTTTTTGAAGTGATTGAATCCTAGTATTTGGAAATAACAAAAACTCACATAAACATCGGTTGTTTCCTCGTCGACAAGCTCATCATCGTAAATTGTGGGATCGTCCATCTTTTGCCGAACCTAAAATAGATTTACGAACAATAAACAATCGTTGTATTATTAAAAGTGAAAGCTTCAATAAGATTCTATTCGAAAAGAGAATTTCATGGGGTGGGTCGTTCAAAAAAGCGCACGTTCATAACGTTCTTTGTAGCGACGTTTGGATAGGAGAACACTTCTATTCGCTGATGACAGAATTCCCGCCAAATTTCGTATCTCTAAGCTCTTGATTAAAAACACATCAAAGTTTTTAGTTTTAAAAGTGTCGTAAAATGATTTTTCAATACCGTACTTGGAAAAAGGGTAACTCTAAAAGACATTAAAGACGAAAATGCGCCATTTTCGACACTCTTCTCATTTTAAAATTTCGTTTTCAAAGGTTCTTGCCATCTTTTCGAAGTTATCTTTTTGATTTTTAACATTTTTCTATGGGGGTGGGACAAATGCGACCTTTTTTTTGCGCACCTGGACATTTGCGCGCTTTTTTTTGCTGGAAAAGGCCTTAGGAAAGGTCGTAGAGCTTCGAAAATATTTCCATATAAGGGAATCGTATGCGTAGATTCCGAATTTCAACAAATCAGACCTCGCTGACACGTCAAATTTGGGCTAAAAGGCAAAAACTGCGGAAAAGCGTTCAGTTGCGTAGTTTTTGCCTTCTAGCCCAAATTTGACGTGTCAGCGAGGTCTGATTTGTCGAAATTCGGAATCTACGCATACGATTCCCTTCTATGGAAACATTTTTGAAGCTCTACGACCTTTCCTAAGGCCTTTTCCAACAAAAAAAGGTGCGCAAAAAAAAGGTAGCATTTGTCCCACCCCCTTTTTCTATCATTAAATTGATTCCGATCACCAATTATATACTTGCTTTAGATCCGTCAACAAAAATGGTGGCTGACGAGCGAAAGGAAGTGACCGAAGTCGTCGAGGAAGCCGAACCAGACGTCGAAATGACTCCAGAACAGTGGGTTTTACTGCTTTATTTTCTTTAATATTTTGTTTTTAGGATGAAAGAAAAGTTGAAAGAACTCTACACAGCTGGAAAGAAGGACTACTATGAAGACAACTTCGAGAAAGCTGCTGATTCGCTAGCGGAGGTAAGAACTACCTAGGCTAATAACTTTTTGGTGCTTAGGTTTGGTATAACCTTTTAAAACGAGGGTAAAATTAGCTGTTAAATTAGACTAATTGTTTTTCTATTAGGCTGCTCAACTGGCCGACAAGCTATTTGGACAAAAAGCTGGAGAAACCTTCGACTACTATCTCTACTACGGGAGAGCTGAACTTGAAATTGGACGACAAGAGAATATCCTCTTCCGGAATGCGCAAGAGGTATTAATTTTCAAAAGCGTTGCAGTATTGATGGTCTTTAGGGAATGCCCACTAAAGACGATTCGATGTGCCCTGCCGATGCTTCTGTCTTGACTGGTTAGTTTTACTCTTGGTTTTAATCGTCGATTTAAAATCTATTGTCAATTTTCAGAAGGCCAACTTGAAACAATCAAAGAGCAAGTGGAAGAAGCGCTCGAGGAAAATGCAAAGGAACTCGAGGGGAACGCTAAAGAAACTAACAAAACCGAAGAGGACACCACCAATGAGGCGGACAAGAAAGAATCCGCCAAAGAAACAGCGGACGATGGAGCTGAAGGAGACGAAGAAGCCGAAGAGGCCGAAGAAGGGGTCGACGGAGAAGACGAGGAGGATGAAGAGGAGCGTGAGCCGCTCCAGGTAATTTGAGTTAAAATTGTTTGTTAAGAAAGTACTTCTTTTAGTCGGCCTGGGAGATTTTCGAGCACTGTCGGTTGATCTGCGAGAACCAAGAAAAATCAAAGGACTGGGATCTCAAGCTAGCCGATGTCTTGACCCATCTGGGCGATTGTTCGGCAGAAAACAGCAACTTTGAACAGGTAACTTTTTTCGAATCAGTCACTCTAGAAATCAAAAGATAAACGCTTATAATAACTTCGGATTTTACTCTGTGTAAATTTGTGTTTAGGGGATCGAGGATTTGTGCAAAGCTCAGGAGCTGAAGGAAAAGCACGGATGTATTGGACGCAGATTGGCTGATGTTTTCATCGAGATGGCTCGCGTTTACAAACTGGCAGACAATTTTCATTCGGCGATTCAATACTACGAGAAGGCGAAGGCCACTTTAGAAAAACAAATTGGTAACTTTTTTATTAAGTCTCTAAACAATAAAGTAAGAAATTAAAAACTGTGTTGTTATGTTCAAAATTACGTTTTTAGGAATTTTGGAGAAAGAAGTCAATGATGAGTCAAAGAAAGAAACCGCTGAGCTTGGTGCCATTGCCAAAGATTTGCAAGGACTACTCGAAGATGCTATTGAAAGTGCAAAGCAGGTAAGTTTTTTTGATTGTGCATCAATTAATCTGTGATTTAGGCGGATATGGTCAAGAACCTTGCCGGTGACCAGCCAGCAACTGCCACCACAAAAATCCCTAGCGCTCCTCTTGATGGAAAAGCTGGTACGATGATTGAGGTTGGTTTATCTGTAGTCATTTACATTAAAGTGGTAGAATAAAGCTTCAAAATTCAAACTTAATGCCGTAATGAATGTTATATAGATGTTGTTTGTCTAACTGATAACTTTCTTCAGGTTCGAAAAGCTCCAAAGCGTCCTGCCTCAAGCGACCCAAGTGAGGATGCTGAAAACGTCGAAGCCAAGAAACTCAAGGAGACCGTCGAGAAGGAGAAGACCACCGGCGACACTGCCGATTCAACCGAAACTCCCCGCGAAAATGTTGACGGATCATTGACTGCAGTTTAATGTTGTTCATTTGGCTATCTGCTTGTTATTTTTCTGGTGCTATTCATTTTATTTATTCTATGTTGATTTTCATATTTTGTGTTTAGCTGATCTCTTTTATCCGGTTTAATTACGTGTATAATTCTTCAATAAACGATGTAAACCAAATGCAATCAATGGCACTACGAAAATGACGAATAGGAATATTTTAGGATACGAGCCCAACCGCAGTGTTGGTTGTTTTGCAGCTTGAGGTTGTGGTTGTGGTAGAGTTGACCCTTAATTTGGCACGCCTTCCTCGGTCTCTCAAAAACTTCTCGAGAGAGAGTCAAGGTGTGTGTGATGACCGTCGAGAGTTGATCGTGCTGGTGTCTGCCCCTTGGTGGTGAAAGTGAGTGAGAGATACCCCTCCTCTCCGCCTCCCGCAACAACACAATGCAATGGCCTTTCCCTCCTCCTCTTCTCCTCGATTGAAACTTGTTCTCCTTGTCGACGGTTTCCCCCTCCTTTCCCCCCTCAACCGAATATTTTTCTTTCTCCCAGTAACCGCCACCGACTTGATTTCTGGTTGATTCCTCCAAATTTCCCTTCATATCTTGATTGCCCTTTTTTGGGGATATTTTTATTCATAACCTATAGTACCTGAAGTTATCAACAGTTACCAGCAGCTAGGATTTCTTACGAATGAACTGATTACTAATTGTGAGCCTTTTCTAAAACCAGCGCTTTTCTACCGTACTCTGTGGAAGCTTTTGGTTACGGTATCTTACCGCTTTTTATATTGTTAAGCCTAATTATATGATCTCAAAGAGAGTTTAGTTCCACGAGACATTTTCGTGAACACTTTGTGGTTTTATAACGATCTTTTCTCAAGTTTTCCGAGAGAAAAGTGACATTTCTTGAATAAAGTGAAGAGAGTAATTTTGGAGGAAAAGAAAATCTCTCTCATTTCTCGCATTTCCATCTTCTCCTTTCGCGACTATCACTATCCGGTAACAAAGATTTCCTTCAGTACTCCCAATGAACTTGCTCATTTCAATGCAACTCCTCACGATTCACGATTAAATTGATGGTTTTATGTGACAATGAGATAGGATTTGATAGCATTTTTCGCATTTGCTCATTTTTGGGGATATTTTTAGAGCTGACAATGGAATCGATACTTATTTGATTTTTGAGATTGCCTTGCAAGAAATTTGGAACTCTAAAGATACTTTGAAATGGTTCAAGGCTTCAGCAATGCCTTTGTGTCCGGTAGGGCTGTTGCTAGAGCAAAGATTTCAGGCCAGGCTAGCCATGGCTTTTGATAAGCCATATTCGGCTTTTTCTTTTGACTTCCTTTGACTTTTGCTTTTCTAATGATAAAGTATGTTAAAATCACAAGCTATTTTCGCTATGTTTAAGACGTTTTCTTTGAGTAATCTACAATGTTTTATTCAGATAACAACTAGAAATTATAACAACAAATGACAACAACAAACAACAACAACAACAACAATAAAACAACAACAACAACAACAATAAAACAACAATAAAACAACAATAAAACAACAATAAAACAACAATAAAACAACAATAAAACAACAACAGCAACCACAGCAGCAGCAACAACAACAACAGCAGCAGCAACAACAACAACAACAGCAGCAACAACAACAACACCAACACCAACAACAGCAACAACAACAACAAAGTTAAACAACTAAAAACTTGATGAGTGGCTTCTGTGGTCGTTGCCAACAATTCCTTGAGCTCTTCTTCGGCATTGAAAAGCAACAACAAAGATATTCAGTTAATAACTTGAATATCTCCCTCTTAAATGCTTTTTTCTTTTAAGTGCAAGGTTTGCTAGGTTTTTTGATAACTTTCCAGAGCTTTTCATACCTTTTTATGACTTTTCATGGCCTTGGCTCATGGCCTGGCCTGGCTTGACCTTCAAAATTTTCTAGACCAGCCAAAGTCAGGCAATATGAATGGCTTATGGCTTGGTTTTAGGCCTGGCCTGGCTAGCCATAACTTTTGGCTTTTTTGAACAGCTCTAGTGTCCGGTAGAGTAGTCTAGGCTCAGAATTTATCGATCTTTCTCCCAAACAACAGCCATTTTTTGGGTTTGTTTGTCATTTCCTAAGGATTTTCTGTTGTTTATGGTACAAGAAAAGTGAATTGTCTCACAATATCGCGAAATCTAATACCTTGCAATCAATGAATGTGTCTCGAAAACAAATCTTCCATTTGTGTCTGTGAAATCCAGGGGAAAAGTTCGCGAAAAGGTACATTGGTTATCACAAATGCGTGAAAATATGTGATCCGGCCTTGTTTTTTCTTCTTTTTTTTGATTTTTCTCATTTTCTTCTTTAAACAAACCGTTTTCATTTTTCTTCTTTTTTTCCTTTTTATCCTTTTTCTCTTTTTTCTTCTTCTTCTTTTTCTCCTTTTTCTTCTTCTTCTTTTTCGAGTTCGACAAACAGTTCGCGATTGATAGACACCAATTGCGCATTTACACCGTTTCAACATTAGTTGCCAAAGTCATGAAAATATTTTCGTTACTCCAGATCAAACTTGATTTTTCGAAAATATTGGCTTTTTTTTTTAAAATTTTAAACAGAATATTAGAATATTGATAACAGAAACAGAATATTATTAAAATATTGGGTTGGTGAATTGAAAACTTTGACTTTGACACCGGACTTTGAACTAAAATTTATCCAACATAAAACCATGAATTCATTCCAAATAATTTCCATTATTATTGACGACTTCTGCCCATTTTACAGGCAATTTGCGGATTCCTCTTTCGTTGTAGGATTTTGGTTTGTGTGTGAGACTCAAAAATATACCTAAGGATAGCCCCTAATTTCTTCTATCTTTTGGTATATTACACATAAAAATATCTCAAAATGGAGTTGAGAACGAGGGGTTTAAAGTTGGTCGAGGGGTCGAGGATGAGGGTCAACTTTAGACGCCTCGTTCTCAGCTCAATTTTGAGATATTTTTATGTGTAGTAGACCAAAAGATAGAAGAAATTAAGGGCTATCCTTTGGTATGTTACACATAAAAATATCTTAAAATGGGGTTGAGAACGAGGGGGTTAATCAGGGTGCACTACTATTGGGTTGGTGAATTGAAAACTGCCGGAAACTGCCGGAACTAAAATTTATTCGACATAAAACCATGAATTCATTCCAAATAATTTCCATTATTATTGACGACTTCTGCCCATTTTACAGGCAATTTGGGGATTCCTCTTTCGTTGTAGGGATTTGGTTTGTGTATGAGACAAGTGTGAGACTCAGAAATGGAGGACTGGAGACTGGAGAAGGACTCCCAGTTTGAGCACTTTCTTCAAAAGAAACCCATTTTGGTGTCAATGGAAAAGTTGTAGAGAATCAAAAATTAGGCTTATAGCCAAATTTCCAAAAAGATACACTTAGCAGTTTCGCTTAAAATGCAAGTTTTGTGAAAATTCGTAATCGAAAATCGAAAATTTCGCATTTCTTGAAAACCAGTTTTTGAATCGTTCTGAAAATTTGGATATAAGCTTGATTTTTGATTCTCTACAACTTTTCCATTGACACCAAAATGGGTTTCTTTTGAAGAAAGTCCTCAAACTGTCAAATATGACAATAGCCGACAGTTTTCAATTCACCAACCCAATAAATTAAGAATAATAATTAAAAATAATAATTAAAAAAGTAATTAAACAAATTGGGTTTAATTTCATTTTACTTTAAATCAATTTAAAGGAATTCCCTCTTGAAATAATAAAATTCTGACGCCTTTCGGACCGTCCACCGTACACTTTGCCTTTCAGACGTTTCCGCGCCAAACGTCGGAAACTACCGTAACCCGACGCAATAAAAGGACCCCGCCACAAAGAATTTTTCAGTCTTTCGTCGTGTTTTAGTTTTTCAGGCTTTTTTTTCTTTTTTTTCATTGAAACCAAAATGAGTTTCTTTTGAAGAAAGTGCTCAAACTGTCACATATGACAATAGCCAGCAGTTTTCAATTAACCAATCCAATAAATTTCTGTAAATGCATTTTCGTTAGACTTTTTTTAACGAATATAGTTATCCTTTTTTTTCAAACCTTCAATTTTGGGAAGCTAACTCTATTTTGACCACACTAAACTTGTTCCTAAAGTGACTCGACTCCTTTTTTTGGTCACTCGCATTTCGGCCTCGAAATTTCTTCAATGGTTCGATCAATTGATTGATCAATTAGCCTATTTTGTAGAGGAGATTTAGAACTTTCAAATAGTATATTTGAAATAGTCTTTTGAAGAAAGTGCTCAAACTGCCACATATGACAATAGCCCGCAGTTTTCAATTCACCAATCCAATAGTTACGGTAACCATAGGCTTAGCAATAAAATTGTTTTTACCAATTCCTCTATCAAATCAAAGAACCAAAGTGCAACCAAGTATAGTATTTTCCTTTTTTTCCCTTTTTTTCTTTTTCTTTTCATCTTTTCAAGTGTTTTTTCTGTTTCAAGGCTTTTTTTGAGAGTTTTTCTGTTACTAAAGAAGATTAGAGTCAAAGAATGTTATCGAAATATAAAATAAGATGGGAAAGGATGAGATGAGACGTCAAGCTCCTTTCTCAAGTATTTTCTTCAAAATATTTACATAATATTGACAATAATCGAAATAGAAAGGAAATTAAATATTCAGGGTAGGCTAGTTTCAGCAAATTTCTTTGCGCAACTAGCCATAACTTTCTTCTAAGTGGACCAATCTTTATGATTTTGGTTTCATTTTGTTGCACTTATTGAGATCTACAAAATGAAACCAAAATCATACATATTGGCCGACCCGGAAGAAAGTTATGGCGTTGCCTGTTGCATTGCCCTGTTTGTGTTTGCGCAACTCGCCATAACTTTCTTCTAAGTGGACCAATCTTTATGATTTTGGTTTCATTTTTAAAAAGTATGCAATCACTCAAAAATATATTAGCTCATGAATGTTAGAAATCAGGATTTTGAACTCTTACATTGAAATGTTCTAAAATAAAACATTTTTCAAAAATTCAAAAAACCATTTTGTAGATTAAGGATAGGGCTTTTGAATCAAGCAAACCGTTTTTTGATTGGATAAGCCGTTTTTTCAGAAAACACGTTACTAAAAAAAAGGATAGTTTATAACTTTATTAGTTATTATTTAATGATTAGGCCAACCTAATAATAGAGATCTAATGAAGTCTTCCAGATCAAATTTGAACACGTGGGTGGAGGGGGTTGATAGCGGACATATCAGTTTTCCTTTTCCTGTATTCAAATCGGGATGGTCATTGAATAGCGCTCAAGGTCGGAAGTCTGTGGAGAGGCTGTGGAGAGGTAGTAGATAGGCTATGGAGAGGCTGTGGTCAGGCTATGGAGAGGCTGTGGAGAGGCAGTGGAGAGGCAAGACAGGGAAGATTGAGCGGACAAGAAGAAAGTAAAGATGAGCATGAGATCTTGAGAATGAGAATAAGACAAGATAGAGAACCTGAAGAGATTGAGAAAGAGATGCTGAGACGTAGGCATGAGACGAAAAATAAGACAGAGAACCTGGAGGGTTGAACCCAACAAAACGGATGGAGATCCGAGAATTGAATCCTTTTCTTTTCCCGATCCGATCACAGTTTTTATTAGTTTTTCTCGAGTTTCCCTTCATTTTTACTTTCTTTTCTCCATTTTTTTTCTTAAATCCGCTCTCTTTACAACTTCCTGGAAGTTTTTAAAACAAAAAATTGGGAATTGATCAATTTTTCATTTTTTCACAATTTTCTACTGGAAATTGATCAATTTTGTAGTTTATATACTTTTTTATTGATCAATTGATTATCCTTGGCGTAAAACAGATAAAAATTGAATTAGCAAAACAATTGAATTAGCAATAAACGATGAAAAATTTCATTTCAAAGTAAACTATTAAAAAATGAAAATTTGAAATGATCTGTAAACTATTTGGATAGATAAATTGTGCATTAAAGTACTGTAAAAGTACTGTAGAAATAAAGCTACGTATGCAAAAATCATCCACAAGTACTCGTTGAATTAGAAAACCGCTTTTTTGCCTTGGAGATCTTTCAAAGATTGAGACTCGGCTATTTGCCGAATTTCCCTTTCTTGACCTTAAATCCTTTTCTTGAATTTTGCTTTGCTGAGTAACTGTTTATCGAGTTGATTTCTGAGAAAATGTCTTGATCATTGATGTTGATCTTGATCTCAAAAGGATCTTGGTCTTGATCTTGATCTTGTTCTTGATCTTGATCTTGATCTTGGTCTTGATCTTGGTCTTGATCTTGGTCTTGATCTTGATCACATCCACCTTTTTCAGCCTTTCAATCATTTTTGCCTTATCACCAGCCACTCGCCGCATTGCCACCCCAACAAACAGACGACTCCTTTAATGTGAGTGAATTTTCGATTAGAATAAGAATTTGGTTTCAAATTAGAATACGGCCATTTTCTTTGCTTAGTAAGTCTTTTACTAAGCAAAGAAAATGGCCTTTTACTTGCTTAGTAAGTAAGTAAAAGACTTACTAAGCAAAGAAAATGGCCTGTATGAAGTAGATCTGTAGTTGGAATTAGAGAAGATCAAAAAGCCAAAAAACCATGAGTGCGCTACCGGGACTCGAACCCACGACCTTTCGCTTAGTGGACAACTGTGCTAACCATTACACCACAACGCTTCTGATCCTCCCTCCTCCAGAGGGAGTTAACTTCCCTCCTCTCTGGACGAGACGGTTCCACACTTCTCGATTTTAGATCGCTCGAAACTAGGCGCGCTCGAAAATAGGTATGAAGACCTTAGTCAGCATTGCAGAGGCTTTCCTTCTGTGGTTGCCAGTTGAAACTGCGGCAGATCAAAAACTTGTGCACTGCCGGGACTCGAACCCGCGACCTTTCGCTTACCAGGCAACTTAACTCGGCAGTAGTGCAGTGTATATGTTACGTCCGAATCTGAGGAGACGTCCATCTCCGATCCGGACGTCCGAATCTGAGGAGATTCATTCTCCTCTGAAACCGACGCCCGACTCAGAGATGGACGTCCACCTCTGAGTCGGACGTCCGTTTCAGAGGAGAATTGCCAAACCGTACATATTACCAAATTATTTGTGAAGAAAAAAAAAGTAAATTGAGAGAATTTCCCATTTTAACTTCCTTTTTCATTTGTTTTGTTCAAAACATTGGATTTTGCATTTAAACTATTTGTTCTCAAAATCGGACGTCCGATTCCGAGAAGAATGATCATTCTCCTCTGAAACGGACGTCCGACGCAGAGGTGGACGTCCATCTCTGAGTCGGACGTCCGTTTCAGAGGAGAATGAATCTCCTCAGATTCGGACGTCCGGATCGGAGATGGATATCTCCTCAGATTCGGACGTAACATATATGCTTCTAGATGGAGTACCCGGTGGGGGCTCAAGGTCTGAAGCCTCGTCGCCCATCAATTCTCATCGGACAGCGATCACTTGACGCTTATCAACCTGAAGAAGGGGGAAATGCTGGTGGTGAGTAAGGCTGATACAGCGCTGAGAATTGTCTGTATCTAGGCACCCGTTTCGTCCGTTGGGTCATTTCAATCTACAGTCGTTGGGGCTTCATTATCGCGAAATATGCCTGGTGGATGATCTTTATTTGTCTCACGATCTCCGGGCTGAGCCTCTGGAAAATCGTCACCACACCGTAAGCGTTCTTTAGTCAACGTTAAGTCTTTAGTTAACTACTTTTACTTGATTACTTCAGTTCTCGTTCTTCTCGAATTTGAGCTTAGTATTTGTTATTTAGACAACAAAATGATATCACTGGCTATACACCGTACGGAGCAAGAGCAAACGATGAATACGAGCAATATCAGAAATTCTTTTCAGCAGAAGGTATGGGAGAAGTCTAAAATCTAGATTTATAGATGATTATCGAATTATTGCAGGTCTTCCAATTGCTACTTACATCTTTGCAGTAGCAAAAGATAATGGAAGCATGATAAGAGAGAGTCACTTGCAAGAAGTTGTCGAGGTGAGGATATTGAAGAGATCACAAGGGAATGTCAACCGAATGCCAACCGATTGTAGTGATCAAATGATACGAGTCATATACTATTCGACGCGGAATTTTACGCTGATTCTAAAGCTGCTTTCCGTTTTTGTTAAATAGTCCTCTGTCAAAAGTTCTAAGCATGCAAAGTTTTGAATGGAGTTTGAATGGAGTTTGAATGAAGTTTAAAAGACGAGTTTATAAGCAGAGCCATTAGGGAGCAGTGTTGGCTTCCCAGAGCCATTAGGGAACAGTGTTGGCTGAATATGGTTAGTATCTGGCCACCATAACCGGTTGGCATTCCCTTGTCAATGAATTAGTAGTCCTGGATTGTTACAGCAACCCTATAGAAGGTTAGAGTAGGCTAGAATAGCGCTGTTTCTCTTGTCTTTGAGACTAAAATTGTCATGAGATCTTATTTTTGTTGTTTATCACCTGATGAATGTAATGATTTTCATTTTAGGTTATGAATTTCGTCTACAATAACATCACGATGTACAACAGTGAAGAGGGAAAATATGAGAACTTTCAAGTGTTTTGCAAATCTTTTTGCCAAATAAACGAGCCAGTTCGACAATATTATGTAAGTGGAGGGGGGAAGATGAATATGCAAATAGGGAAAGATCTTCAAGGAGGAATTGAAAATGCATTGAGTTTCCTATAAGGTTTTGCTGGTGAGAAAGGTATCGTAGTCTTGTTAAGCTTATGAGGAAGCTATAGCAGTCTTGTTAAGCTTATGAGAAAGCTATCGTAGTCTTGTTAGGCTTAGGAGGAAGCTATTATAGTCTTGCTAAGCTTATGAGAAAGCTATCGTAGTCTTGTTAAGCTTGGGAGAAAGCTATCGTCTTGTTAAGCTTATAAGAAAGCTATCGTAATCTATCATAATTCCAGAACGGCTATATCATTTTAAAAGACCAACTCGCGAATGGAGAAGAGCTGAACTCGAGAATAAAATTGCAATATCCAATCACGGAAATGATGGGTCAACAATTCAGTTTACAGGTTTTAAAAAAGCTTTTCTTTTCTTTCACCAAAGCAAAGATTTAGCCAAACTTCTTCGGCATTGAGAAATTTGGGAATGACGAGATGGCGAAAGATAAAGCGGTAAAGCTCTTGGCTGGAGATGAAGCGAGCACACAATCGACAGCTATCATTCAAACGAATTCTTCGATCGATGATGAGGGTAATTTGCTGAATTTGGCCAGTGCCAGATCATCTCCGAGGAGATGATCTGGGGCTGGCTTTCTGATCCCCAGGTCATCACCGAGGAGATGATCTGGGGATCAGAAGCCTCCCCCCATATCAGAAGCCAGATCCGGATTAGTTTATGATGTTGGAATTGAATGATTTAAGCTCGAAGTTGAGAATCGATTCGATCATCTTATGTTGACTTCGGACTCTTTATAGCGCGGCTAGAAGCCTTTTTCCCAACGGTCTCTGTAGTCGAATGGATAGAGCGCTGGTCGAGTAAACTGGCGAACTTAGGTTCGAATCCTCCCTTTGACCAGTTTCGGTTCAATTTTGCTTTTTTAAGCATTTAGATTTAGTATTTATGTTTTATACATTGTCTTACAGCTTCTAAAGCTTTTCATAAAACTTGTAGTTAGTATTTAAGTATTTATAGTTAAGTTAGGTTAAGCTAGGTTAAGCTAGGTTAAGTTAGGTTAGGTTAAGTTAGGTTAAGTTAAGTTAAGTAAATCGAGTTCAACGTAGGCTAAGTATTTTAAAATGTAAAACAAAGTGTTTTTGATGTAATCTCATGGTATAAATGCAAAATGTTGCGCTTTTTACAAAGCGATTTGCAATAAAAAACACTGTTTTCCTGCCAGAAATCCTAGAATTCGTTAAAGTCATGAAAAAATGATGCTAAAGCTCGAAATGTCTATGGATTCCTGTGAAAGAAAGATTCTATGATCATATGATGTTTTTAGAAGCTTGTACAAGCTGTAAAAAACTGTAAAATAATGCATAAGACAAAATATTTAATGAAAATGTCCATAAGTATTTAATGCAAAAAAGAATTTAGCGAAAAAGCAAAAAGCAACCGGAGGAGGATTTGAACCTAGGCCGAAGAAATTTCATCGGTTTTGCAGACGATCACGCTATCCATTAGACCATTTGAGCCAATGGGAGGCGTGCTTGTGGCAGCCTCATAAAGAGTCCAAAGTCAGCATTTCTGATTCTATAAGATCGAATCGATTCTCCTTCAAGCATGAGCATGAGCGCTTGAGAAGGAGAAGGAGATAGAGAACCTGAGGAAGAGAGAGAATCTGAGGAGATTGAGAAAGAGATGCTGAGATCTGGGCATGAGACGACAAACAAGTCGATTCAACATTCCCAGCCTTCATTTGATCTACTGTAGTATTGATCTTTCTATCTACTGTAGTATCAGACATTTTTAGTTAGTCTTACTGTGGCTTTAGTTTTTAGTTTAGTTATAGTTATATAGTTTTAGTGAATCTTATTGTCCTTACCAAGTGAATCCTTTCAGCCGCAAATGCGCACTTGTTGACGAATTTGAAATCGGTGAAAATGATCGCTTTGCAATTCCGTGCCGAGCATCGAAAAGGATGGACTGATCAAGAGATCAAAGAATGGGAGTTGAAAGTTGTTGATATATTTCAAAAGTGAGTGTAACCGTAGCAAACTAGCACTTTCTAGCACTTTCTGACACTTTCTGGCACTTTATTCAAAGAGAAGTAAGCCAGAAAGTGAGCGTTTAGAGTACAAAGAAAAGTATACAAAAATTTCCCTTTCAGAAAACATCCGTCGAATCGAATCAAACTCTTTGTGATGTCTCAATCGTATATTGAAACGGAAATGGTTAGAGGTGAGTGGAATTGAAATATTAAATGATTAGAATTGAATATTGAATGATTAGAATTGAATATTGAATGATTAGAATGATTAGAAATGATCAGAATTGAATATTGAATGATTAGAATGATTAGAAATGATTAGAATTGAATATTGAATGATTAGAATTAATATTTTATTCAAAAAACGGGGGTTAGTCAAAACAGCGCCATAATAGAAAACGTTCAAAACAGCGCTGTCAAATTTCTCACAATCCAAAAAACCAAGCCGGTTCAAATTTTATACCAAAAAATTCAATTAAAGATATTCAGTTAACCACCTGAGTATCTTTAATTGTTAATAAAAAAGTTAATATTTCATAGATAAAAAGAGCTCTCAAAACTTTCAATATATTAAAGATATTCAATTAAAGAGACTCAGCTGGTTAACTGAATATCTTTAATTGAATTTTTTGATATAAAACTTGAACCGGCTTGGTTTTTTTTGGATTTTGGGGGTGGGACAAATGCGACCTTTTTTTTGCGCACCTGGACATTTGCGCACCTTTTTTTTGCTGGAAAAGACCTTAGGAAGGGTCGTAGAGCTTCAAAAATGTTTCCATACTAGGGAATCGTATGTGTAGATTCCGAATTTCGACAAATCAGACCTCGCTGACACGTTAAATTTGAGCTAAAAGGCAAAAACTACGCAACTTAACGCTTTTCCGCAGTTTTTGCCTTTTAGCCCAAATTTGACGTGTCAGCGAGGTCTGATTTGTCGAAATTCGGAATCTACGCATACGATTCCCTTATATGGAAATGTTTTCGAAGCTCTACGACCTTTTCTAAGGCCTTTTCCAGCAAAAAAAAAGGTCGCATTTGTCCCACCATTTGATTTTGAGAAATTTGACGGCGCTGTTTTCAACGCTTTCTATTATGGTGCTGTTTTGACTAATCACCAAACAAAACAAAATTTATTCATGCTTAGAAAATGAAAGAATGAATTCTATTCAACAAAATTTAGGAGGGAAAATCATGCTTCCATTTCTCGTTGTCGGTTTTACGATTATGTGTGCTGTGAGTGTGGTGACGGTGTCCGTTCGAGCTTGGTACATGAATCAGACGAATTGCTACAAGGTTTGCTACAAAAGCTACGGTAATACCCACGAGTTCTCTTTACAATTCCAGATTGTACTTGCTGTAATGGCTTGTTTGACTCCGATTCTCGCTTGTACGACAGCACTTGCCTTGATGTTTATTGTGGGAGTGCGATTCGCGTCGATTCTCTGTGTCATCCCGTTTCTTGTGCTTTCCATTGGTGAGTAGTTTTAGAATGACCTTTCCGGCTTTCTTTCAAGGATTACTGTAACTTTCTAGGCTTTATAGGCTTTCCAGTATCAAGATCAAGTCCTAGTCTAAATCCCAAGCATTCTAGATCCTCCAAACTCATGAAATCTCTTCAACTTTTAAAGCCAAACTTTCAGGAGTTGATTCTTCGTATCTGATGCTTCACGAATGGCAAAGAGTCACAAAACATGCCCGGGAAAACCCGAAAAAGAAAGACTCAGTCGGACATCGAATGAGTGAGGTGAGGGAATGATTTAATCTTGTTATCAATACCAATAATCTATGAGATTGAAGCTCTCAACTAAGAACAAGGCTCTTAGCCAGTCGACCATGTAAATTATTCAATTCACAATCTTTAGGTGCTCTCAGAAGTCGGTCCAGCAATTCTCATCTCTTGTCTCACAAATATGTTTGCCGATTTTGTCGGCTCTTTCACTTCCTCTTATGAGATTACTCTTCTCTGCACGGGAAATATGCTTTCAATGTGGTTTGCGTTCATTTATCAGGTATACAAGCCAGATTCATGCAAATAACTGAACCAGTTAACTAACTGGTTTTCTGGTTGAGTGTTTTGAGGTTAATAGTTTGATCTTAGTTAAAGGGATAACTCAAATTTGCATACTCCATGCATACTCCATGCCTGAACTTCAACTCCATGGCTGAAAATATTTCAATCAAAAAATAGTTTGGAACCAATGGGAATCGAACCCGACACCCCCTAGGGGCAGTCGTTTTGTAGACGAGACGCTAACCGCCTCGACCACGTCCCCCCGCCTTTCTGGGGGCTGCTGGAGGCCTCTCTAAGTCGTTTTTCTCATTTTTTTTAATAGAAAACTTGTTTTGATCAAAAAGCATTTACCTATTCATTTTTAATTCCCTATTGATCAAAAAAAAGTTTGTCGAAATCGGTTCATGGGAAGTCGAGATCCAGAGAACGGACGGACAGACAGCTTTCAATTGCTGTAATTTATCGAAATACTCTAGATTATCTATTATTTTATCAAGTCTATCTATTATTTTATCAAGTCAAAGCTTTAGTTAACATTCTACGCGGGTTTAATGTCAATTGTTGGGCGATACGAGATTGATGAGGACAAGTCCGAGACACAAATGGCTGTGAATATTGCCGAGCAAAGAGTGAACATTGCAAGACATCGACGATCCACGCTACAGGTTTGATACTGTAGATATTCTACTGTAGCTTCCTGGGTTACTGTAGCTTTTTGGATTACTTAGCTTCCCTTTACTACCTTCCTTTACTATCTTCCTTTACTAGCTTCCCTTTCCAGCGCCAACCCTCGAAATTCCACGAGGTCACCAAGCCGATCGCCTCAACTTTCTTCACGAGATACGTGAATATCATCTGTGCTCCAGTCACTTATTTCTCAATTGTTGGGATTTATTTCCTCTATTTGGCGATTTCCGTTTGGGTATGGTAAACAGGAAAGCTTGCATCGATCAGCTTTCAGGGAATCACTCAAATTAACATCAATCTCACAGCATCGAAATTGTTTGCAGCTGATTCCCCGCTAGTTCAGGTAGAGATTTAGATTGAAATATTGTAAGTTGTAAATATTAGAAAATAAATATATTAGAAAAGATTAGAAGTTAGAAAAAATGAAATATTAGAAAAATAAAAGTCGAGAAACCGGCTAAAAACCCGCTTAACTGGGGAGTGGGACAAATGCGAGCTTTTGCGCACCCGGACATTTGCGCACCTTTTTTTCCGCACTTAGCCCGTTAGCGCACCTTTTTTCGCGTTTTAAAAAAGCTCTAAAAGCTCTAAAACCTAATATTAACCAATTTCTATTCCAAAAGTTGTTTTTCTAGGTAATTTTAGGGCGTAAAATCGAAATTTTGGCATATCAGAGCTTGTGGAAGCGAACGGACCGAGTTACACAAAGAGAAAGATCAACAATTTTATGTAATTTGATCTAGTCTTTCAAATTTGACCCTTTTGTCTTTCAAATTGGTTCCACACGCTCTGTTATGTCAAAATTTGAATTCGACACCATCAAGTTACCTAGAAAAACGACTTTTGGAATAGAAATTGGTTAATATTAGCTTTTTAGAGCTTTTTAAAACGCGAAAAAAGGTGCGCTAATGGGCTAATTGCGGGAAAAAAGGTGCGCAAATGTCCCGATGCGCAAATGTCCGGGTGCGCAAATGTCCGGGTGCGCAAAAAAAGGTCGCATTTCTCCCACTCCCCTTAATTGTGGGTTTTTCGGGTTAAGGCTGAGTTTTTTCCGACCGGTCTAACTGTCGTCGTGGCTCAGTCGAAGCACGCTGGTCTACAAGCCACAGGATCCGGGTTCGACTCCCCCCACTGCCCGAGTGGCAATAAAATCTGAATTTTTAAAATTTTTCATTTTAAATGGTAGAACTATATCATATTCTAAGGTTTTCTAAAAAAAGTCTAAAATTGATCAAAACACGGCCAGGAAAATGCCCGTACAGAGAAACGGATAGAGACTACTCTTTTATATAGAAGAAGAATAGAATATTTTCTTTTATATCTTGCTAATCTCGTTTCAGTTGGATAACTATCGAGTGAAATACCAAGTTCCTTACTATTCAATGGCTACTGTTTTCGTGTCAAATCCCGGGAATCTCAGCGAGCCGGAACGATTGAAAAAGATGAATCAGTGAGTGGAAAGGAGATTAAAGCAATGAATTAAATCTATTCTATATAAAATCGATTCTATTCTATAATATAAAAGATTCTCGCAGGTTTGTGCAAGACTTCGAGCATTTACCCGGCTCATGGGGACCAGTCGGCACGAAATATTTCGCCCGTGACTTTCAGCGATTCTTGAAAAGTGAGTGATCTATATTTATCGTCATTCACAGTCAAAGTCACTCAAAAATTATCACGAAAACTTTGAAGAGATGTCAACGACAGCAAATAAATGTAGAAAACGATAGAGAAAAGATTTTTTAGCGATTTTTGACATTTTTCATTGAAATCTACACAAAAATCTGGGGAAATGAAAGATTTTGTTTATCATAGACTAAAATGGAATCGATATTTGGATTCTCCATAGTCGATAACCTTTAAACGACATATTACATGAAAGTTGGATGAAAAGAGGCCAGGGTTTGGGGTCTGACTTGGCTTAGGCGTAGGCTTCAGCCCTGTGACTTGATCCTGGGCTTTCAAGGTGCCCTAAGGGCCCTAAGGGCCTAGGGGTCCCCAGGCTTCCTTAAAGCTTCGCAGAGTCATCCTCGTATGTCATTTAAAGCTTTTTAACCATTAGAGATCCAAATTTCATTGCTAAAGCTCCGAATTTCACTGTAAAGCTTCGAATTCCAGAGTACAGCAAAGAGGAAGAGGACGAGGATGGAGTTGGCGGTGGAGATGATCAGTATGATGATTCGGATTATGAGGATGATGATAAACCGATCAATTTCACCGATCCATCCTATGTGAATCCGATGAAATACAAGGTAAAATCAGCTCTAGTGGCCCTAGAATCTCTAGATCTCTAGAAGCTCTAGAATCTCTGGAATCTCTGGAACCTCTAGAATCTCTAGAATCTCTAGATTCTCTAGAATCTCTAGATTCTCTAGATTCTCTAGAATTCTCTAGATTCTCTAGAATCTCTAGAATCTCTAGAATCTCTAGAATCTCTAGAATCTCTAGAATCTCTAGAATCTCTACAATCTCTAGATTCTCTAGAATCTCTAGAATCTCTAAAAGCTCTAGAATCTCTAGAATCTCTAGAATTTCTAGAATTTCTAGAATCTTTAGAATCTCTAGAATCTCTAGAATCTTGAAATCTCCGAATTTCAGGAAAAAGACATGGCTTTCTTCATAAATTGGCCCGAATACGAGTACTGGAAAGGATTCATAAAGCTCAAAAATAGTACAAGAGCCGATGGGTGAGTGGATTTGAAAAGATTCATCACAGCAAATAGCTAAAGAGATTCAATATCATACGCTGACAATTTTTCAAAACGATTTCAAACGACAAACGATTTCATTTCCCTTTTCAGTCTTCCCATTCTCGATCGTTTCTTTTTCACCGCTGGCTTTAGAGGAGATCAATTGAAAGTAGGAAAGAGGCTATTAATCGAACTAAAATTTGATTTAGATATGGATAAATCGAGGGAAAATGCTTCAACAATGGCGCGATGTTGTCGATAAATATCCGTAAGAGTTTTGAAATTTTTTTGATGAGTGATTTGAAAGATTTAAAATAGGCTATGTTTTAATCCGTTTTCAAAAATAGTAAAGTTCAAAGTATGTGTTTCAAAAGCTTACAAAAGCTATCGTTTCCTGGACCTGGACTCATTTCCTGGGCCACGACACAGACCACCGAACAAGCCCTGAGATCGGGATATGATGGACGATACGGACCACAGAGTGGTTACCACGAGACCAGAAGGCCCATCGGAAGACCAGCAACGAGGTGGAGCACAAGAGTGGCAGAGACGGTCAGAGGAAGGATGGCTAGAGTAGAGTGCATCGGGCCCTTGAAAGAAACCTTCTCGGGCACAGAAGACGCAGCTCAACCAAGACCTAAGAAGTACGGATATGCGCCAGCTCTCGGGACTCAGAGATCCAGTGGAAGTGATCGAGAGAAAGACTTAGATGGGCTGGTCACGTAGCCGATTCCGATAGCCAGAAGAACAGACGACAGATGGACGATACGGATCACAGAGTGGCTACCACGAGATCAGAAGAGGCTCAGGAAGAGGCTCAGGAAGACCAGCAACGGGGAGCACAAGAGTGGCAGAGACGGTCAGAGGAAGGATGGCTAGAGTGCAACCACCATCAGCACAAGCAAGTCGAAGACTTCGAACCAGGAACAATCAAGATAGGAAACACTGGATGACAATAGCAAGGGATAGAGAAATGTGGAAGCAGGTTGTTAGTTGCGCAGCTTTTAGCTTTAGTCAGGTTTTATCACAGCTGCGCAAATAGGAACACCTAAGTGCGAAGACAGATCAAAAAAAAATCTCATTTCTAATGTTCAGCTGTCAAAACTCGTTTTCAGCGAATTCCAACCATCAGTCTATCACGAGGATGGAGTCTATCTAGATCTTATCGATAATATGCCCACCGATACCTGGCAGGTAAGGAGAATGGTTATGGAAGCTAAAGATATAGTAAGCTAAAGATACAGTAAGCCAAGGATGCAGTAAGCTAAAGATGCAGTAAGCTAAAGATACAGTAAGCTAAAGATACAGTAAGCTAAAGATACAATAACCCTCACCTCCAATTGAGCTTTGATTTGGTGTTGTGATCTGACTAGACCAATGAAATCCCCTTTGCAGTCAGTCCTCGGCACTCTCGTTTGTATGGCAGCTGTATGTTTCATCTTTTTGAACAGTTGGTTCACCGTTGCCATCGCCTCACTTTCCGTTTTGTCGATTTGTTGTGGTTTGTTCTTTATTTTTGTTTCGACATCACCATTTGCAGGCATTCTCGGAATCTTGTCCTGGTGGGGCATTGATCTCGATCCAATCACAATGGCCGCAATGATCATTTCAATTGGTTTCTCGGTGGATATCCCAGCTCATGTCGCGTATCATTACTATCAAGCGGGTTAGTGAAATAAAAGGAAATTCAAAAGGAAATCCTCCAAAAGGAACACCAAATTTCAGCAATCCAAGGTGGTCCAAACGCAACGCCAGCCGATCGTTTAGCGAATTGTTTATCATCGGGTAAGCCATACAGTTCCCTATATTCCACCAAACAATTTCAGTCGCTTTCCCGGCTCTTCAAGCAGCTTTCTCAACAATTCTTTGCGTTTTATCACTGTGTTTTGTTCACATTTACATGGCTGAGGTGAGACAAGCATTGATCCATAAGCGAATCATATTTTATGACGAAAATCATTCAGGTTTTCGTGAAAACGATGATCTTGTGCGTGTTGTTGTGTAATTTTCACGGTCTTCTCTTTTTACCTGCTATCCTCATCACTCTCGACGAACTTCGAGGGCTGTGTAGACCAAAGGTGAGTACTAGCCAGATCTATGATAGCTTTTGGCATTATAGGCTAACAGCCTGTAATACCAAAAGCCTCTCATTCTTAAAAGCCGGCACTCTACTATTCTTACGAATTTCCAGAGTGTCACTCAGCAATCCTCAACCGCAAGCCGATCAACGCACTCTCGGGAAAACAAGCAACGCGGCAGGGTAGGATTTTAAGACTAAAATGTGCATTAGAAAAACTTTAGAATGCTCCTGAGACATCGAAAGTCACTGATCGCCCAGAAGTCTAAAAACATAACTCTTAACAAATTCTAATTTTTTCCGAGATTAATCTATTTCCTACACGACAAACTTGATACGTGTAAAAATGACCATTTCCTCAGTGCCCTATTCGATTTTATCCCAAATACATTCCCAGATATGATTTGCTCAATTGAAAAGGAGACTACGAAATCCTTCAACAATTTCTCTAATGATGGTGCTTTCTTCGAATTTGCTAGTGTTTTCTGAAAAAGTTTTAGTTGTTGTACATAGCGTTTTCTCCTTTTTCCGAATTCCTATTTAATTGCAACTAATAAAAAAGGAAACGTTACAAAGATTATGACAAAGCACAACTTAAAAACCCGAGAGAATGTATCACAAGAAATGGCGAATATTAACAAAACAATAAAACCCTCTACCTTGTTACTGGCTTATGGAAAAACTTCATGAACATTACCATGAAAATAAAGCTCGAGAAGAGAAAAATAAAGATAAACAGAATGCAACAGTCGAATCCACACCACTAAACATGTAGAGTTCAGCCAAAGTTACGTAAAAGTTACAAACCCGATAAGCGTGCTTCTCAAGTCGGGCGCTTTCAACGGCCAGGTTTTCCCGATTTGCGTCTACTTGCAGATTCATCGTTGAGAGACGCTAAAGTTGTAAATCAGATGCATAGCTTTCTGTGATGCAAACTAAATCACTTGACTACCCAAAAAGATCAAACCTTTGTGTCATCTTTGATCACATTCCCGGCAAGTGTCATATTCTGCTTGAGTGTCCGTGTGAGAGTGAGAAGATCTTGGGCCAGGTTCTCTTGATTTTCCGTGTGTTGACTCATTGTTAGGTCGTGCTCATTTCCTAAAATCAATGTTTCCAATAAAGCCTTTAAATAAACCACAATACCTCTTCTACTTGACTCTAAAAGCTCTCTTCGTAAATCGGCTCGATAAACTGCTCGATTCCGCACCCTTATCTCAGCCGCGGACTCGAAAATTTCCGGATCTAAAGTCTAGATATTTCAATGGAAAATTTTTAGATACAAAACCTCATCCAAAATTTTAACCTGGATAAGTTACCTTCTTTCGATTTTGATTCATCACCATTTTGACTTGTTGGGATGACCTCATCAAAACGATTGGGGATTTTGTCCAACACCCGAAGTTTATCCTCAGTTCGTTTCTAAAAATCATGGATTAATTAATATTAGACGTTTACCAAACAAATATATGTATCAATACATTTAAGCTTAATTCTCAGCTTTATTTAAATTCTCATACTTGTTGCTCAGCCTCTACAAGCAATTTAAGTTGATGTACTTCCCGTCCATATTGTATTAAAACGTCTTTGTCCAAAGAGCTAAACTGAGAAAATAAAGTGAAACATCTTAACACCAACCTTTCTTTTTGTAATCGTTCTAACAACTGATCCAAATATGTGCAACCAGAAGTTATCTTCCAAATATTTGAAGCAAGCTCCTGTAAAACTTAAAACTTATAAATGCAAATGTAAAAAATGTCAAAAACCTTCCGCGAAAGCTTTTTTGTTCGATCAAGTAACCGTTGAAAATTGAGCTCATCCTTCGACAAGCCACCCATCACTGAAACCCAATAAAAATTTAAACGAGGCTTCTTTCTCCAATTATTGTATCGATTAACGAATGCGGTAGAAACGAAAACCAAACTTTTCTGCTAACTTTATTACAAGATAACAACAATATCACATAGAACAAGCTAACAAAACCTAAAGACCTATTACAAAACTACTACCCGTAAAAATAAGAAAAAAATTTCTAAATAACAGAAGGCTAGCTTTCCCTGCTAAATTCTTCGGTATTTATATCGTGATCAATGAAGCTTTTATTCAAATGGTACCACCGTCCAAGAATACCAACATCATAAATATTTTGAAGAAGCTCGTTCGGATACCATAACCTAAACATAACTTTAAATCAAAGGCAAATCATAAGGATCTAAAGTTTAAAAATTCCTGATTGTTAGAAGCTCAACAAAAAAATAACTTACCTGAGATTCTTATCCTGGCTGGAATATGCTCTGACTTTATCATCATGTGGCCCCTTTATTATCAATGAAAAAAGCCTAAACATCAGGGATTAACAAAAAAATGTATATAAGACCCACCAGAGATTATAATAATGCAATCTGTTTTGATTAAGTAGTCGGGTTCGATCAATAAGGGCGTTATCGGCTTGTGGGCTGTGTATCTAAATAAAAAATAATTTATAATGAACATGGCGAAACGAACAGGGCTTGGTGTTAAAGTCATCAGATGTCGTTTTTCCACAAGCTCGTTTTTGAACTCCAACTCGGTTGGATTCATCTGATAGAGATAAGTTAGCCCTCCCAAACCACTGAGAATTATCGTCGTCTAAAGTGACAAGTGATTTTTATTGCTAGGAAAATTTGACTTACTTTCAATGGTTTATTCTTTGCCTCTTTTAACGCGTCAATTGTCACGGTTCTAAAGCAAAAAAAGTTATGCAAAAGCAAATACACTCTCGGAGTTTACCTGTAATCATTGTAGACGTTTATGCAATACCCTTTCAACGTGCCTCCTACTTTTCGAAAGAACGCCATCTATAATGAGCTCCGTGCAAAAACCAATCTTCATAAAAACTGCTAATATATGTTGTCTGAACTGGATAGCCATTTAAGGAATTTTCACGTAATTTTTATATTTATAAACAACAGAATTAACGTAAAAAGAATAAATATCATATCATCAAACTAGAGAAACAATTTAAAGAGGCAAATAAAAAGTCGAGACCGGTATCAAACCACGATTCGAAAATTATAAATCACATGAAACCTTCAGTACAAAAAATGAGTTCAAGTGCGTGCAGGCTCAGCTTCTTTCTCTTTCTCTTCGCGCTCCTTGATGAGGGCTGTGACTTCAGCATGCGAAAGCTCCTCGACCACCGATTTTCCATCTTTCCGGACCAACACCGCCATCTCAACTAAAATTGGAGATCAGCTGATATTTTAGATTTGACATGTTTGAAATTAATTTACTTTTTTCTGGAGCCAGCTTCACGTCCAACGTCTTCCACAAAACTTTCATCGCAAGTTGTTTAGCTTCGGCGAGCGTTGGATTCTTGTACTCTTGCTTCAACAATGAAACGGCCGACTAAACAAAAGTGAAAAAAAATTAGAAATTAAGTGAGAACGAACCTGATGATTATTTCCGATGCAAGTGGCTTTCCATCCAGTATAATTTCCAGAAGGATCAGATTGATAAAGTTGAAATCCGTAATGTTTGTCCCATCCCATGTAAAGAAGCGAAACACCGAAAGGACGCTTGCCTAAAATTTTTTTGATGTAACACAGACTCCCAAGTTAAAAGCCAAAGCTTGCGGCATTTAAAAAAATATATACCTCCAACTTGGGTATAGCGTTGTTTCTCGTTGCAAAGATTTCGGACAAGTTGCTCAACCGGGATGTCTTCGCCATAACCAAGCTGAAATCGAATAAAATTATCAACCACCGATCAGCGTTTTACCTTGTAATCAGCGGCCCAAAAGCGCAAATGATTGATCAAAATATTGGCATCTGCCGTAATCCCGGCCACCGTACAAGCAATGTTGTCGCTGAGGCGATAGATTTTCTCGGCTAACACCTAAATAGCAATACATCAGCAAAAAAATAAACTATAAAAACTTACGGAATCATCTAGAAGTTTATGCACATTTCGTTTTTCAGCAGCAATGAGGATCCCGTCCGAGGCCAGAATTCCGAGGCAGGTACCCGCATGTGAAATTGCTTCCATCGCATATTCGACCTAAACAAAATCGAATTGATGGAAAAGAACATGTAGAAGTTACGCAGCCAAAACTTCATAGGCCATACAAAGTGTCTACCTGATATAAACGGCCTTCGGGAGAGAAAATCGTAGTCCTCGAATCGTAACGACGTGCCTAAACAAAAATAAAATTGCGAGAACAATGAACATTTTCGTACCATTTTGTCGAAGTTCGTAGCAGCACACAAAGTGAAGCCTAAAAAGAGTTAATTTCATAAGTGTGTAACGATAAAGAGCAAAAAACGCAAACAACAACAACACTACTTTTCAGGCATCCTGAAAAAAAAATGAAAAAAACTTGAAAAACGTATGACTTTTATACTTTTTGGAAGCAACGAAAAAGCATGAGCTTCAGCTTCTAGACAAAGTATTCAGTTAACATTTTACGCCACTATTTAATCAGTGCTAAAAAGACGGGAAGAAGGTTTTCACTTTGCGAAAAATACCGCAAACCCCAAAAATTGATGACAGTGATGAATTTTCGTTTCAGCGCAAAAATGGAGTGTAAATAGAATTGAACCGTAGCGCCAAGTCTGTCAAAAAACAAAAGCAGGAGGTTGGTCGAGAAAAAAGTTCGAAGAGTCGGACAAGGAGGGTTTGTTTTTGTTTTGGCAACACAATTTGTGACCGATCACCGAAGCGTTTAGCACTTCTAACCCAACTGACCACCTTTTTAAAAGCGCATGACCGTGAATTACTCGGTGTTGAAGAAAAAGAATGCGAGATTTTGCGATAAGCCATTTTTTCAACATTTTGCGGACAGCATTTTAATCTATTCATCGCTCACATTTTTAAATCCCATTTTATGAATCAAATCGTTTATCCAAGCTAAAATAAGCGTTTTATTGATAGTTTAGGCACAAATTTGCAAAGCAAAACCATTTTCTCTACTTGCTCGTATATTTTTCGTTCTCCAATTTTTAGTTCTTTTTACAAATAGTTTATTTTCAGAAATACACACGGCGATGCATTCTCTACGACCAAAACAAGTCGACTTCGAGAAGCAATGGGGAGTCCTTCAGCCGACAATAATCAACCTTATCACATTGGTGCCGGTAAAGAGACAAGTTTGGAACGACAGCTTTTCGTGGGTTTTTTTCAACGTTTAAAGCGTCAGATCTACCTCAGCGTTTGAGCCAGAGGCTGAAAATCCTCACCGTGGTAAAAAAAAATCAGAAATTGAGGTGCTATTCTGGTTGGGGGGCGCGATTTTTTCAAAACAAATTGAAAAGATATTTTTTGAGATTTTGACTTATTATTTTTATAGTATTTTATAAATATTTTTTCTTTTGCTCCGATTTGATCAGAAATCCGTAATCAGTATATTAAATTATGCCAGAAGAAGTGTTTTTAGCTTCAAAAAATGTTTTGAGAGACCATTTTTAGACCTCTTCCCCATGTGTATCCCTCTCATCACACTGTATGAGCACGCACTTTGGAGTCCCGAAACTCGGCTTAAAACGCATTTTCCCAAGCTCTCGTTTTGTTTTTCGGTACCTACGCGTAAAACTACCCGAGAAATAGTGGTTTTGAAGAAAAAATTGTCCTTCCTCTCTCAACTAGGATAGCACCGAAATTGATTGGCGTAGTTAGTTTTCAAAAAGAAACCAAGAAAAACCCGCGTGGGGGATGGCCAGCGAATTTGGTAATGAATAAAGCGTTAGGTTAATTTTTCAGTATAAATATTTATCTTTAGGGATATTTACGAGATGTGTGTCGCCATACCTTTTTCGTTCAGTCAAGAGCTCTACAAGGCACTAGAGTCAGCTCTGCAACTCCATTTAACAAACAAGACCGAGGTTAGTTTAAGCAAAGTAAAATCATTGGATTCATGTTCTCTTTTAGGAACTCAAAGCTATTGACGATTTGCTTCTACTCAAGAACTACTACTCTACTTGGAAGATTTATTTGGAAGGAGCCTTTTATCTTCATCAGCTATTTGGGTATTAAAAAAGTTTGGTCATGTAATTGCCCATATTTTAGCTACCTCAACAAACAATTCGTCAAAGATAAACAGAAATCTGACACACTAGCTCAGCATCGGCCATTCATCCACGATCCAAACCCAATGTACGAAGTTGGCCATGTAAGTTATGGTTGGGCCATTTAAACTGTTCGTCTTTTCAGCTTTGTCTGGAGATATGGAAAGAAACATTGGTTATGCCTATTCGGAAACGCCTTGTCGATTTGATACTGCAGGTATTTTTCTCCCTAACAAACTTTTCAACAAAACTTGTTCTTTAGGCTGTTTCCGATGACAGAAAAGATGTCGCGATCAACGACAAGAAAATTATTGCCGGTGTCATTAGGTCAATTTTGCAAGTCAGTCTTTATTTTTTATATTATGACAAGCTTTTATAGGTTAGTAATGGTGATTTTGGGCTACAACCCTATGTGAAATATGCGACGTATGAGACGACATTCTATCAGCAAATCTTTGAGCAACAGTTGGTATATTTTGAAATTCTCAATCATTTTTGTTTAGGTTGCTAGATTTAACAAGGAAACATTACTCGGATGTTGCTCAAAACTTACTATCTGCATTTTCACCATCTCTTTACATGGAAAAGGTAAATTTTATGAAACTTTTAAATACAAATGATCAACGGTACAAATGTGGTCTTTAAACGAAAGTACTTTTAGATAATTGAGATTTTGGCACAAGAAGAAGAACGAAGCGAGACTTATTTCAATCAAGTATCTGTGAATAAGGTATTCAATAAACTCGTAAGTCTAATAATAGCTCTTTACAGGTGATCGGAATTTGTCGAGACGTTCTTATCAATGAACACAAAAATTGGCTTGAAGCTGCATGCCCAGAGATGATTGCAGCAGAGAATATAAAAGGTAGTTAAGAAGACATCTTTTTTAGATCGAAACAATCTTGTTTAGATCTTCGCAACATGTATCTACTTTTGAAACCAATTCCATCTGGAACCCAAGTAACGCTCCATTTTATATCATCATTTTTTTGTATTTTAGGTGATGACACGAGAGTTTGAATCGCATGTAAAAAGCAAAGGGTTCGCCTCAATATCCAATTTGAATGGAGATAATATTCCGGCATTGTTTGTTGAAAACTCGATTCAAGTTTGTAAAAAAACTTGTTTTACGATCTAAACAGGGAGCTTACAGGTTTACCAAAAGTACAGCAAGATGAAAAGCCAGGTCTTTGAGGACGACGTTGATTTCACGCATGCTTTTGATAAGGTATCATAAATGCTATTTTTAAATAAAATATTATGCTTATTTTTAGGCCCTGCAATCAGTTATCAACTCGAAAGATTCAACAAAAACTCCAAAGGCGCCTGAGAGAGTTAGGTGTCTATCAAAAATCTTAGTAAACTATGTTTAGTTGGCTCGATTTACTGACAGTCTGTTGAGGAAAAGCACAAAAGCGTTAAGTGATCGCGACTTGGAAAAAAAATTGGACGAGGCGATCATAATTTTCCGTTATTTGGAGGACAAGGATATGTTTCAAAAGGTTAGTTGCTTTTATTTTTGAGGAGCTAAATTCCGACTTTAGTATTTCTCAAAGATGCTTGCAAATCGTCTCATTATGACCACGTCCTCATCAATGGATTCTGAAGAGATGATGATCACAAAGCTGAAGGTTCCATTAAACGATTACTTGCAATTTTGGAGTTTTAGCAAGCTTGTGGCTATGAGTTCACATCCAAACTTTCAAGGATGTTCACAGATATTGGATTGAGCAAAGAATTGTCGACTAAATACGAAGAGGTTTTTTGATTTTAGATCTATTGGAAACTTTACGATTAAAATTCATTTACAACTTTAGTACATGAAGAAGAATAATCTGCCCAACCTGCCCGTCCCTATGACCCCTTTAATTCTCGGTGCTGCCGCTTGGCCGTTGTCGATGCCACAATCAACAAGCCAAGAGAAAAACACAAATGTAAGCCTTGTTTTGCGTCTATGACAAAGCATTTTCAGGAAACAAAGTTCATTTTGCCTCGCGATCTTCAACCTTGTATCGACGGATTCGAAAAATTCTACGGCGATACTCACAATGGAAGAAAGTTGAGCTGGTTGTTCCATTTGTCAAATGGTAATTGAATTTTATTGATATGGTACAGATTGTATTTTTAGCTGAAGTGAGACTGAGCTACTTGGACAAGCCTTATGTGATTAATCTATCGACACATCAGCTGGCCATACTGCTGAATTTGCAACACAAGGTATATAAAATCTCATTCGAATCATTCTGGAAAGTTATAGGACTCGATCACTTTGGACTTGATTGCAACCGACACTGGATTAAAAAACGATTTGTTGCAAAAGAATCTCGCTACCATCCAAGAATCTGGGATCATCGACGTGGAAACGGTAGTTGTTTTTCACCTCAAAACCCCAAGGCATTTTAGAAAGATGATCAACAAATTGTGTCACTGAACAACAAGTTCACCTCTAAACGGATGAAAATCAAAATCAACACGCCGCATTTTGCCAAAACTTCCGAGAAGGCCGAAGCAGAGAGCGTTGCTCACACAGTAAGAGGATTGATTAAATGTATATTCCTCGGGATAAATAGGTTGCCCAAGATCGTAAATACTACATGGAGTGTGCCATTGTGCGCATCATGAAAACAAGGAAGATGCTAAAGCACCACGAGCTCATCCAAGAGGTAACTGTGGTAAAATTGATTGTATCTGAAGTTATTATTTAGGTGATCACTCAAACACGAGGCCGCTTCCAACCAGACATTGCGTTTATTAAAAAGACCATTGAAGATTTGATCGAAAAGGTTGCGTTTTGTGAGATTATTTTTCACTAAGGTATTTTAGCTATACATTCAAAGGACGGAGCAAACGGACGAATATCAATACCTCGCATAATTCTATTCTTTATTTATTGTCCAGCCTTATTTCCTATTTAGTGCATATTGTGCGTGATTTCAAGTTTAGTCTTTTTCTTAAAAGGTGCCTTACGATCTTCTGTGAGTCTTCTGTAAATATTGATCAATCTCTCAATTTATAGGATCTTATGATTTTTTAATCGTGACTTTACCGATGTTATTTGAGATAAAATAAATATTTTATTCAAATGTTTTGTACCGCTTTTTGGTTTGATATTTCATAAAACGTACATGAATATTATAAGGACAATTATAACGAGTCAATGCGATTGAGACGCACACAAGTTTTGTTTTTAAATGTTGAAAATGTTCATAGTGTGTTGCGTCATACTCTTTCAATGCCCAAACATTCAAATTTTCAGTAAATGAGCGACGATTCAACTCTCGATAAAAGTTTGCTGAGGGTTCTCGATAACAAAGCTAAGGGAACGGTTACAATTTTTAACCGTGGAGTAAGCTTTTTAATAGTTTTCGCCTAATTTGTTTTTAGGACTTTTACACGCTTTACGATGATGATGCCAAATTGATTGCCAAGGAGATCTTCATGAGCGATGTTGGTGTGAGAAACTTCAATCTTGGCGGTCAGTTAAATTTTGTTTGGTCTTTCCATCAAGAACTAGCAACATTTTAACCATTTCAGATCGGACAATCAACTACCATAACCTTGGCCAGGCACAATTTGTGAGAGTGGTACGAGAAGTGCTCACAATTCTACGATTTCGTCTAGAACTCTACGAGAATGAAGACGGTGATTGGACACTTAAATCGAAGGTAAAACGTATCCTCATCTATCCAAGGAATGTGGATTCAACAAAAAATGAACAATCGACAAATGAATTTATTCGATTTTCCTATAGAGTTTCATTTTATGGCGATGAAGACAGAAAGTGGAACACATTGAGGCCATTGATCAATTTAGAATGTTGATTTATGGACCAATGTAGGCGGAAACGTCGTCGCAGAAACGGGTGACTCCCTGGCTGCTAGCTAAACAAAGATAAATAGAGACTTTATTCGATAAAGGGTGTCGAATTAATCAAAACCTAGCTACTCTCCGTAAGGAGAGTAGCTGGATCTACTTTTTGCTGATTGTAGACACCGGGGCCTGCGTAGGCATACTCCTCACTAAAGAGAAAAAAATAGTAACTCGTAAAAGATACAGGTAACGTATACATTTTTACAAGTTTAGACCACATACGCTAGTAACGCTAAACCTAGAAAAGGCTCAAATAATAAAATAAATTAAAGCCTGTTTAATAAAATTACGAATCGCAAGTAAACGGATAAAAAGCAAAACAATAAGACCGCAAAACAAACATATCGAGCGTATCCTTCACCGCCTCCTTGATTCTTGTGAAGGGCGCTTCCGTCGTATCCTCCAGCTCCCATGTGTGCCGATTTGTCACCCATTGTAGTCGAGATGATTGCATTGATTGAAAGGGATAAATTCTGCTCAAAGCTGCCGCTTTTTTGACGAATAAATGTAAATTTGTCCCTTTTCAAACGAACTAGGGCCACAAATGCAAACCTTCAGCTCTTTAGAGTTGACAGTAGAAGTTCCAAATTAGCTTCTAGTTTGTTTTTTTTTTCAGGGCACCCCAATCAACTTTGGTGATTTTGAGGAATTGATCGGAAGCGCCGACTCAGCAATTGTTATGGCTGTCAGAATTGGGATAACCCAATCGGCTCATGATGTAAGCTTTTTTTGTTCCATTAGATACGTAATGAGTCTTTAGAACCAATTAGCAATCGCTTTTTGTGATCCAAATGATTATCGAATCACGGTTGCTGAATTCAACGACACGCAAATGTTATCTACATTGGAGGTTAAAAGGTATTGGTATTTAAATAATTATTTTTATTTTAGCAATGCATCATTGGAATGGCACCAAAAGAGACTCTTCATGTTTGTCTAGCGGATACTACGGGTTTGTGATTTTTTTTATTTAAAATAAAGTTGTTGTATTGTTAAATCTTTGCTGGCACCATAATTTTTAGATGAATACAACGACAAAGTGAAAAAGTTGCAACAAGTTTTGAAGCGAACCAATGTTGAAGAAGTGGTTTATAAAAGACACGATCAAAAGTACATTGATGTGAATGAATTGTTCAAGAAGAAGAATCCTTGCGGTGGGAAAAGATAAGAATAATAGTTAATAGATAATTTTAGAAGAGCTAAGCCCAGCCCTGAACGAATGTGTTACGGCATTGCTAAGCCATTTGAATTTTGTCGAGCAGGAGATGATGAAAAACAAGTTTCAGGTAGGTACTTTCAATTATATTTTGGCATTTTCTGTAGAGGACCGTCGAAATCCTAAATTTTCAAATTAGTTACTTAGCTGGGTTCTTGACAAACCTCTTCACCAAATTTGAGAATTATCTTGGTTCGTTTTGGTCCTGATTTCTGCATTTGTCCCAGGAGATCGTGGGTTGACATGGGAAAGCATTTTTCAATTTCTTCCTTCCAACTTGTCCAGACTTGCTCAGAGCTGAAATTGGTTTTCTTCAATTAAATTCTAAATCGATTCAATCTAGTTTCAATAAGACACACCGGTTATCAACGAATTGAGCGCTAAGTGGATCCGGATGGGGAACTTTCAGATGATTCTCAATTGCCGGATATAAGGCTGCTCTAAATTATTGTTGATTTTTTCGCTCAAAAGCTTCTTTTACTTGAAACCACATTTGCATAGGTATGGAGCCTCATAAACGTGCTCAATTAGTAAGTGTTGCAGAATTTCTTTCCCAGAATTTCTTTTGATTTTCTCTTGGCAAATCTAGGCAGGTAGATGTTTTTGAAAGTGGATTTAATTTCTCACCTTGCATTTAGTTATTCCTTCATCAGGTTTCACCACTTCAACTTTGGCTCTTCTGATCCCTCGGGCTCGCTTTTCACAAAAATATTCCTTTAAGATTGCCGGCAATTCGGGGTTTCTCGGAAACAGATAGTTGACAGCTTTATCGTAATTTATTAATGTGACGATTAGGCACCTAAAAACGTCATTTTTATCTCTTTTCTAAAACTCACTCTTTTGTTTTCCTAGGATCAATAAGTTTGTGTTCGTTGTGAATATGCAAGGTGACCATTCTTCCAGCCTAAATGAATCTATAGATATGTATAAACAAGCTTTTCAAACCGAATGATGGAAAGGGCAGGCTGGACATTCAACGATCTCCAACATTGGATAGTGCATAGTGACATGCCCAATGACTCTATCGATGTGCTCCATGTCTACTTCTACTTTGCAGATCTAGAGAATTATTATTTTTGCGTGAGGTTGTATTTATTAGTTGTTTACCTTGCAGATATTGGGCCGGATGATATTTTCTTCTTGATCATCTAGTGGTATTGGGGAAAGATGTCGCAAGATTTGGGTATCATTACGATGATCTAAAGGATTACAGAGTGAACGGTTTTTTTTTGTATCCTCACTATCATCTTGGTCATTCATCGATACATCGCTTAGCGAGATTAATCGTTGATGATGATTGAATGTTCCTTCATCTCTTCCCAGATCTTCCAGGCTTTCATCTTTTGAAAACTGAAAATTTAGAGGTTGTGCAAAGATATGATTTGTTACCTCCGACAAGGCATCAAAGTTGTCATCTCCATCTAGCGGTCCAGCAGAATTTCCGTCAGTGTTCGCTTGATTCTAGAAATTTTTGCCTTTATCAAATCTTTGCCCACTATAAACGACTTGTATCACTTGTTCATGTTCTTGTTGACGCTTCAGGTTTTCTTGAAAGTCGCTTCGTAGGCGAGTAATCGTGTTGCTAATCGAAGCTAAATTGTTAGGATTTAAATCTTAAGAATCCTTTCTTACAAATTGTGTTGCTCGCTAATTGAATTGATGATTCTTGAACGGCAGCAACCTGGAAAAGAAAAGGATTTAGATTTTTGGTGAGTTTCTACTTTTTCGTTGCTTTTCATTTCCCCAAACCATTTGACGAGCTTTTCTTTTCTCCGATTCACATTGAGTGCTTGTAAGCGTTCATTGACCTAAATGCGCAAGAGTTAACGTAATTTTGTGCATGCATACGATAGGTTCGTTGATCGTTGCCTTCAAAGCACTTGTTCCTTGAATGGCTAACTCTAAAAATGAAATTAGTTGCGCTATGATTTGTAGGAAAAACTTACGGTTTATTGTTTTCGAGCATTCTGAAAAGAAGGAATACATGTCAATAACAATTGGAAATGACGATTGACGATTGAATGGGCTTTTTTTCAAAAATCTGTTCCCTCACTACAATGCCATGAGCAATACGTCGGCAATTATTCTACAAGTTCACATCCCTTTAATTTCCGTGCTCTACTTAGCTATTAACTAAAAACAATGCATTTATTAAACTTCCTTTTTAGATATGCCACTACGGAACGGCAGGATTTATGCACTTAAACGCCGCAGCCGTGGAAGCTCTCGAATTGTTTCAAGTATCCCATGGCCTAGGTCTGACTTTTTTTTTGAAAAAAAACTACTCCTTTGATTTAGAAAAGTCAGCGAAGAAAGAAACCCTTTTTGATGTGATGAACAAATGTAAAACACTATCTGGACAAAGGATGCTTCGTAAGTGCAATGACAATTTTGTCACTGAATGTCTATTTAGGTGAATGGATAGCCCGTCCACTGTGTGATTTGAGAAAGATCGAAGAAAGACAGGTCAGGAAAATCTTATTTTACAAAGAATTTTGCGTTTAGGATGTAGTTTCGGCATTAGTTCAATCGGATCAACAACGACAATCTATCCAATCTCTTTTTGGACGACTTCCCGATTTGAATCAATTGGCACAGCGCTTGCATCAGAATAGGGCAAAACTGCAGGTAACTTGAGCTAGTTAGTGTTTAACATGTAGAATTTTTCAGGATTGTTTTCGCGTATATCAATCAGTCCGAGTGTTAGGTCAACTAAAAATTGATCTGGAACAAGTTATGGAACAAAGAAAAGAGTTTGCGAATCATGTACAAGAACTACTTTATGTAAGTTTATCATTGAAAAGCATAAAAGGAGTGGCGTTTCAGGAACCAATTGCCGCAGCGTTGTTCCAATTTGAGAAATTTCGCGAGTTGATCCGGGCTACTGTGGACGTTGAATATTTTGAACGAATGGGTAATTTAAAATTTAAAAGAATTGCTTATGGTCTTTCAGGATCTTTTCGTGTCAAGCCGGACATTGATCCAGATCTACTAAAGCTTTCCGAAGAAATGGATGTGCTTGAAAAGAAGTGCAATCGGGCCCTGAACAAGGTTTGCTTTTAGTTAGCAATTATAAAAGCTTATGAGGAAACGGTCTGAGCTCGAAGTTCAGAGTCGTTATAGAACTGTATGGACCTTATAGAATCGACCATGCTGATCAAAATGAGATCAAAAAGTCTCGCGTTTGCGTGGTTGTTGGCAGCAAATTTTTAGCTCATTTTGATCAGCATGGTCGATTCTATAAGGTCCATACAGTTTCATAACGATTCTGAACTTCGAGCTCAGACCGTTTCCTCGTTAGGAAACAGTTGTGCATGAACCAAATTGTCTCACTTTACCATAAATTTTAGGTGAGCGAGCGTTTGGGAACTGATGCAAAGTTGGATCGAAATTCAACACATGGATTCTTCTTCCGAGTCACTTTGAAAGAAGAAAAAAGTCTTCGCAGCGAAAAACATATTACAATTTTGGACACGAACAAAATTAGCGGAGTAAGATTCAGGTTTGTTGCTGTTTCACGGGAATTCCAGTTAATGTTATTCAGAGATCCCCAGCTAGAGGAGTTAAACAACGAGTACCTTGAAAAGGAAAGGGTTTACGTAGCTGTACAAGCGGAACTTGAAAAGCAGGTAAGCAATTAAGTAGTTTAATAGACAGCCCACTTTGTTAAGGTCGTTGAAACGTGTTGCGGCTATGCATCGGCTCTTTCTTCACTTTCTACTGTGCTTTCGACGACTGATGTTCTCACTGCGATGGCAGCTCTTGCCTCAGAATCTTCAAGCGTTTATGTACGACCGAAACTTTTACCTATGGGTTCGTTTTAATTTTTTTAAGCAACAATTTGACCAACTGACATTTTTGGGTTCCGGAACTTTTCATCTAAAGCGATGTCGACACCCCGTCCTCGAGCTTTTGAGGGATTCGTCATTCATTCCAAATGATGTTTTGCTAGGTAGCCTTGTTTTTAACCAAATTTCACATCATTTAGATTTGAAACAACGAATGCTCGTATTAACCGGAGCGAATATGGGCGGCAAGGCACGTTATTTGAGAGCTATATGAGACTAACACATGCACAACTATCACTTGTATGTGATTTCTTGCTGTGTTTGCTTGTGTTTCTGTTTGTGATGTTTGTTCCCGTGTCATTTCCTATTGAGTGATAATAGTTGTGCATGTGCTAGGGTTATTAATCAATGGGTTGTTGTTGATTTACTTTTTCCTAACAAAGAAATTTAAGAGTACATATCTTCGATCGGCGGCTCTTTGTGCTCTGATGGCTCAAATTGGATCGTTTGTTCCCGCGAGTGAAGCTACCATCTCAGTCCTTGATGCCATTTATACGAGGTTTGAGTTTTCTTTTCTTTCTTGATTTATATCCTGTTATAGAGTTGGAGCGTCGGACCAACAGTGCAAAGGAATTTCAACATTTATGGCGGAAATGATCGATTCAGCGACAATTCTTAATGTAGACTTATTTCATTTGCCTTTCATAAATAATTTTTAGGCAGCAACGTCAAATTCGATGGTGATTGTTGACGAGCTTGGACGTGGGACATCAACTTTTGACGGCTTCGGACTTGCCTGGTCGATTGCTAGGTTTGTTCTTGAATTCGATCTTTACAACGCAACATATTTAGTGAGCTTTTAACAAAAGTGAAGTGCTTCTGCCTGTTCGCCACTCACTTTCACGAAATGGCTGCTTTATGTAACCTGGAAGGAGCAAAGGCTATGCAGGTACGATGATTTATGTGATACGAGTTACTCCAAATTTCAAATTTAGATGATGGTTCGTGCGGATAGCGACAAATTGATTCTTTTATACGAGGTGAGTATCTATAGTAAGTGTCTTTACTGGCTTCTTCTAGGTGCGTGAAGGAGTGGCAGAAAAAAGTTTCGGCTTACAAGTTGCGAAAATGGTTGGGTTCCCTGAGCACGTTCTTTTGGTAAGTTCTATTGACCTTTTGTGGATTTTGATCCATTTTATCAATCAATTTAGGATGCTAGAAACGTTTTGGAGCAACTGGAGACAGGGGATTCAATCGACGAGGAGCTGAAAAGACGGCTCAAATCGGCAACGTCTCTAGAAGAAATCAAAAAGGTTTTATCGGTTTGATTTTCACGTTTTTCCATTTTTTCCATTTTTTTGATCTCTATCTATCTCTACCTCTATCTTCGCGTCAATTTTTTTTGCGCAACCCGCCATAACTTGATTCTAAGTGGTTCAATCTTTATGATTGATTTTGGTGTCATTTTGTAGATCTCCACAAGTGCAAAATGTCACCAAAATCATAAAGATTGGTCTAGAAGAAAATTGTGACGTGTTTTGCACAAAAAAATTTGTCCCGAAGTCACCGCCCTCTATTTATGCCTTTATTTTTGTCAATTTACGAGTACACTGTTAGTTTTACAAGTTTATTTTATAAAATCAATAAATGCTATACTTTCGATCATTTTTCACTTTGAAGTTAACATCAAAATATTTTGGCCCGTGAGAGACCCGAATAAATACAATTCGATCAATGAAGTCCATATAATTTTTCATCGAATTCACCGGTTTCGTTTGCATAATGAACGGAGGGGATAATGATCAATAAAGTGGTTGTAATCGCTGTTGTCGCTATCAAGAAAATCCAGAATAGGAGACGATTGATCACCTGGAATTTGGTCGATTCGCGATGGATTATGTTGATTGTTGATCCGTGAGTTCTTGAATCTACTTACCTGAGCCACTTGTCTCCATTCATTTGCAAGCACTTGGCCGTCATCTTCAAACTGTTGTCGCTTGATGAGAATCTGGAAAATCTGCATTGATATTTTGCTTTGACTTCCTAGAAATCCAATCTACTAGAGATCATGAGACCTGTAGAGCTTTGAGTAGCTTCTCATTCAGCTCATCGCTGTTTCTTGCGGCACTTTTCGGCACGGCACATTCCTCGGCTCCTAGAATTGATTGAATTTTGAAAGTGTCGAATTTAAATCACAGCTCTTCTAGTTTTCTGGGCTACCGTAATTCGCATTGATATGCAAATTTTATCACCTCTTTCCTCTTACTTGTCCATCTTTGATCACTTCTCCATTTATTTGCCTTTCCGTTGCCGTTTTTGCGTGTCCATTCGGGATTTCGGTGTTCAAATATCGGTTTTATCAAATAAACAATTCATAAAAGCTATTTCTTTTCAAACAGATCTTTTGATGATTATTCTAAGAGACGTTCGCTTAATCTCCATTTTTTTGTGACATTTTTCGCACCGATTGCTTTGGCTTTTTCAACAGGTAATCCCTCACTTTTTTTGACATTTGCTGAAGTTATGACCGTTCGCTTTCTTCCACGCCCTGGCTGATTAGAATCCGTTCCCAAGGTATCAAATCGTTCAATTGTTCAATGCACAAACATTCGATTCACTTTGAGACGTTTTGCAATCTCACTCGTTGAGAGTCCCTGTTTGCACAGCGCGATGATCGATCCTCGATGCGATGATGCCCGAGCCATTCTAAAAATAAACATTCTTATGACATTTTTGTATTGTATTAATGTTGAACAACAAATAATATTAACAGAAAAATCAGAAAATAACACAAGTTTGAAGATATGCGCATTTGCGCGTGAGTGAGCATTGTAACGGTAATTTTGCCCCACCCTGTACAAAGTCTTTCATTTGGCTAATGCTAATACTTTCCCTGAAACTTTGAGAACTTTAAGGCACCTTTGAGAGCTAAAGGAAGCAGAAAAATGCTTTTAAAAAAATTTTTGTGAAGCAAAAAGTTGAGAAATTTTGATTTTCAGAAAAACAGATCATTTCTCAACTCTGGTAAGGATTTATATGGAAATTCACCTGATAAACAGCCACCAGATCGAATTCTCCCGAAGTAACATAGTTGGAAAGATCGACATTCACACTTCGATTCGTTATATCCACTTGGAAACCTCAAAGAGATTCGGTAAATTTTTTTGAAAAAGAGATTTTCGAGCCAACCATGATATGTCCATGAGCCAAATTTGAGACTGCAATGCTGAGAATCGAATGGGAAATAGGTTACCTAAAAGCTTTGGGGAAATTTTGAGGCTCAACATTATTAGAAAGCAATTTAAAATCATGAGATTACGGGAAAAGAGCAAACTGACGTCAATTTTGCAAGTTGATCGCAGCTGAGTGGGTGGAGGCCAGAAAACGGTGCCCGTGTGCAGAACCATGGCACGAGAACGCATGAAACCCGCTGTGTAGTCATCGGCACTGAAAAACCCTCGTAAATAGCTTCACAACAGGCAGAAACTATCTAAACTAAAATGTGTGATTAAATGAAACGAAATTAATGATTAAACTACGAACCGCTTTCTCGTAGTCCTTCAGAATATGGTACAGCAATCTAAAAGATACTTTTAGACAATCAAATCTTGACTCTGAATGCTATTCAATCCCCAATTTCATAGCCTTATTACACGTATATTTCTTTGGGTGTTCAGTGAATCCCTTCATCAAAATCCCAGCCATTCAAAGGCTGAAATGAAAGAAATTCAATTTATCCCCATTCTCTCAGAAAATCGAAAGAAAACACATGCATGCCCCATTCAAAAATCTTTTTTCTTTTTGAAATGTTCCGGAGATTCGTCTCTCTTTTGCTTTTTGAAGAAAAACGAATCTTTGACCACCTCACTGTACGTACTCCTGGTCAGTTTTCAAAAAAAGGCTTCATCTGGCACACTGTCTCTCCATTCATTACCCAATTCACCTATTATTATTAAATCCCAAAATACTCAAAATCAGCCCTACTTTTCACTAGCGGACACTTCTACCCACCTCCGCCAGAAATTGTGTAATTCAAAACACCAAACTAATTACAATCAATATACAAAATCATTAGGTATAATGGGCACATGTTAAATGTGATATATTGCTTCAAAAATATTTTTATTCAATAGTAATCTTGCATGGAATTGTGTCACAAATCGCTTGAAGAATATTCAGTTCCTCAAGTGTATAATTGGTGGCTGAGATCTGGAGTCCTTCTAATGTGCCAAATGAAGGGATCCTGGATGACGCTTTGTCGAAAATCGTGGCAACTGTCGAAGCAACATGACCAGCACGGGGCCTGGACCCAAAGAGCTCATCAACCTTGTGCCGAAATGAGCGATCGTTCTCGAAAATCCTGTACCATCGATTGAATCGACTGCCTTCTCTGGTATGATGGTGTCTAAAAATTTTAAGAAATTAGAGCAAAAAATTACTTAAGAAGGCTTTAGAGCAAAAATGTAATCACTTAAATGTTAAAATATATTTCCTAGTTTTTAGAAAGAAACACGTCTTTACTATATTTTGTAAAGCAATATATCTGAAGATGATTACAACCTTCAAAAACCGTCAAAAGTAATTCACAAACCTCTCGAACCATTCAATAACTCTTCGAGCGCTTAGCATTGAATCCATTCGAAGAACTACACTATTGGCGTATTTCTGGAATATGGTATATATGTCGTAGCCGATTATGAATTTCAGCCGATTATGAATGAGCTAGTCCGGACGCGTCCAACCATCAAGTATTTGATATCATTCAACGCAGAATCATTAATAATTATGTTAAATTTTTAAAATTAGAAAGATTGGATAAAAAGAAAAAAATTATGGGGCCTCAAAGTTTCCTCTTGAACAAACAGTTTTTCTGTTCTAATTTTTTTTCTTTTTATCAAATCTTTCCAATTTTAAAAATTTAACATAATTATTAATGATTCTGCGTTGAATGATACTAAATTCTAGATGATTGGACGCTTCTAGATGATTGGAGGCTCTCCTAGATGGTTGGAGGCTCTCCTAGATGGTTAGAGGCTCTCCTAGATGGTTAGAGGCTCTCCTAGATGATTGGAGGCTCTCCTAGATGGCTAGAGGCTCTCCTAGATGGTTGGAGGCTCCCACTCATTCATAATCGGCTGAAATTCATAATCGGCTACGGGGGTCCCGCCGATTTTGAATGAAACGTTGTAGCGCCGGTAATTTTTAACCTAAACTCACAAATTTGGTACCAATCGACGCAGAATTTAATTCCCTACAAAATGATATAATATTGTCCTCATACATTAAAGGGTTGCTCTACTAGAAAGATTTACCAAAAAATTTCATTCATAATCGGCTACGACATATATTTCAGAAGAAAGAATTCATAATGTTAAAGAACGTACCAAATCACTTTCTAGCTTAGCATTAGATACAGCCAACTCTATATTTTCTTCATTCATTTCCTGGTAATCATCATTCCTTCTCCTGAGTACGTTCTGCATTCGAAAATATAAATGATTGGCGAATTCCTGGAATATGGTTTATTGATATTTCAGAAGAAAGAATTCATAATTTTAATAAACGTACCAAATCAATTTCTAGCTTAGCATTATCTACAGCCACTTTGTGGTTTTGTCGAGTCGTTCCTAATAGCATATCTTTCGCCTTCTTGCATTCTTTTCTCAGTTTAAAATACTTTTTTCGAAAATCGAGACGTTTTCTAAAATAGCCCATATAACCAAACATAATCATTAAAATAAGCTTACTTCTCTTCTTCGGAGTCAGAACTTGAAGAACTTGACGAACTTGAAGCTTTCTTTCGTTTCCGCCCTGCCATAGTAATCTTGCATGGAATTGTGTCACAAATCGCTTGAAGAATATTCTGTTCCTCAAGTGTATAATTGCTGGCTGAGATCAGGAGTCCTTGTATAGTGCAAAATGAAACGATCCTGGATGACGCTTTGCCGAAAATCGTGGCGACTGACGAAGCAACACGACCAGCACGGGGCCTGGATCCAAAGAACTCATCAACTTTGCGCCGAAATGAACGATCGTTCTCGAAAATCCAGTACCATCGATTGAATCGAGTGTCTTCTCTGATATGAGGAGGCATTTCACGGTGTCTAAAATTAATGAAATTAGAGCAAAAAATTACTTAAGAAGGCTTTAGAGCAAAAATATAATCACTTAAATGTTAAAATATATTTCCTAGTTTTTAGAAAGAAACACGTCTTTACTATATTTTGTAAAGCAATATATCTGAAGATGATTACAACCTTCAAAAACCGTCAAAAGTAATTCACAAACCTCTCGAACCATTCAATAACTCCTCGGGCACTTCCCATTAAATTCCTTTTAAGAAGTTTATGATTGGCGAATTCCTGGAATATGGTTTATTGATATTTCAGAAGAAAGAATTCATAATGTTAAAGAACGTACCAAATCAATTTCTAGCTCAGCATTATTTACAATCATTTTGTCGTTTTCTCGAGTCGCTTCTAATAGCATATCTCTCGCCTTCTTTAATTCTTTACTCAGTTTAAAATACTTTTTTACCCAATCAATACGTTCTCTAAAATAGCCCATATAACCAAACATATTCATTAAAATAAGCTTACTTTTCTTCTTCGGCGTCAGAACTTGAAGAACTTGAAGAACTTGAAGCTTTCTTTCGTTTCCGCCCTGCCATTAGTTAAGCTTTCGATCGCAAAAAACTGAAAATAGAAAGTAAAGTTTTTGTTTTAAGGTTTTAATTTGAACAAATTATTAGTTCGATAAGCATAAATTAACTCAAAATAATTCTTTTGGAAACCGTGACAAAAGTAGAAAAGGTAACATTGAAAAATGTAATGTCTGCTTAACAAAATTGAAATACAATTCCAAAAACAAAAAGACCTAATACTTTAAATGTGGATAAATAAAAAATTCAAAAAGGAAATTATTGCTGAGTGGAAAAATTGCTACTGAAAAGGATGCTTTGATAGTTGAAAATTGACAACAAAATTAGTGTCAATCAAATCAACAACAAATTTTATTATGAAGTTAGCGGAGTTGATCAAAATAATAATTTCATAAGTGTGTAACGATAAAGAGCAAAAAAAAATGAGAGGCAATAACAGTTCGGGGAACCCCTCAGGCGCACTGACAGAAAAATGAAACAGTTTGGCAACCCTTTTTGCTTTGATACTTTTTGAAAGCCACAAAAAAGCATGATAGTCAGCTTTAAGACAAAGTAAACCCTAAAAATTGATGAATTTTCGTTCAGCGCCAAAAAAGAGTGTGAATAGAATTGAGGCGTAGTGTAAGTCTATCACAAAACAAAAACAGGAGGCTGTCTGGAGAAAAAAGTTCGAAAGAGTCTGACAAGCAGGGTTTGTTTTTGTGTTGGCAAGGCAATTTGTGACCGATCACCGAAGCGTTTAGCACTTCTAACCCAACTGATCGCGTTTTTAAAAGGGTATGACTTTGAATTGCTTCTCGGCGTTGAAGAAAAAGAATGCAAGTGTCACATACCCAACATTTGGAAATCCCATTTTATAAATCAAATCGTTTATCCAATCCGATTTATTGATGTTTTTGCACAAATTTGCAAGGCAAAAGCATTTTCTCAACCTGCTTGTATTTGTTACGCCCGAATCCGGCCATTGATCGTCTTGTGGTCGGTTTCAGACGTCCGAATCCAACCACTCTCAAAATAAATTCTAATTGATCCCTCTTGAATTGAACATATATATTTTTCGCTCTAAAAATTTTTAGTTCTTTTACAAATAGTTCATTTTCGGAAATGCACACAGTGATGCATTATCTACGGCCGACCGCCAGAGAGAAGTCTTATAAAGGAAACAGTTTTCCATCTCGATTTTGCATCCCAGATTCCGTGGCTATTAGCGGCTAAATTTTGCGGCGTTTTGTTCGTCCTTGCCGAACAGTCGTGGATTACCTTCTTTCGATTTTGATTCATCACCATTTTGACTCCTTAGGTCGTGCTCATTTCCTAAAATCAATGTTTCCAATAAAGCCTTTAAATAAACCACAATACCTCTTCTACTTGACTCTAAAAGCTCTCTCCGAAAATCGGCTCGATAAACTGCTCGATTCCGCACCCTTATCTCAGCCGCGGACTCGAAAATTTCCGGATCTAAAGTTTAGATATTTCAATGGAAAATTTTTAGATACAAAACTTCATCCAAAATTTTAACCTGGATAAGTTACCTTCTTTCGATTTTGATTCATCACCATTTTGACTTGTTGGGATGACCTCGTCAAAACGATTGGGGATTTTGTCCAACACCCGAAGTTTACCCTCAGTTCGTTTCTAAAAATCATGGATTAATATTAGACGTTTACCAAACAAATATATGTATCAATACATTTAAGCTTAATTCTCAGCTTTATTTAAATTCTCATACCTGTTGTTCAGCCTCTACAAGCAATTTAAGTTGATGCACTTCCCGTCCATATTGTATTAAAACGTCTTTGTCCAAAGGGCTAAACTGAGAAAATAAAGTGAAACATCTTAACACCAACCTTTCTTTTTGTAATCGTTCTAACAACTGATCCAAATATGTGCAACCAGAAGTTATCTTCCAAATATTTGAAGCAAGCTCCTGTAAAACTTAAAACTTATAAATGCAAATGTAAAAAATGTCAAAAACCTTCCGCGAAAGCTTTTTTGTTCGATCAAGTAACCGTTGAAAATTGAGCTCATCCTTCGACAAGCCACCCATCACTGAAAGCCAATAAAATTTAAACGAGGCCTCTTTCTCCAATTATTGTATCGATTAACGAAAAAATAACTTACCTGAGATTCTTATCCTGGCTGGAATATGCTCTGACTTTATCATCATGTGGCCCCTTTATTATCAATGAAAAAAGCCTAAGCATCAGGGATTAACAAAAAAATGTATATAAGACCCACCAGAGATTATAATAATGTAATCTGTTTTGATTAAGTGGGGTAGGCTACTTTCCGCCATTTTATTTGCGCAACAGGGTCATTTGCGCAAGTACGTTTGCGCAACTTTTTATTTGCGCAACAGGGTCATTTGCGCAACTTTTTTGACGTTTTTAAGGGAAGTTTTTTTTAAGGGAGTTTTTGACGTTTTTTTTTTGTTGTTTAAAATTCTAGTACGGTTTTGTTTATTCTTAAAAACCATTGTTAACTAATTTTCCGCATTTTCCCAAGAATCCGCATCCATCGTATACTGCGGTCAGACTTTACGAAGAAATGACGCAAATAATCAACCGTTTCAAGCTTTCATCGGCTATCAATCTCACTGTTGGACAAAACTACACACGGAAGAAAACTGTATTGGCTCGACAAAATAAAACGCTTTACTGCTATTTCTAATGGTCGCTTGCCCGGTTGCGATTTTGTGCAACATCTTTCTCAGCTTTTGACTTATATTAAAAAAATTTGATTTTTATTGTTGTCCTAACTTTCATTGTTATCGGTTGCACTTTTTTGTTAAAGCGATAAAATATTTTACTAATGGTTATTAGCTCCTAGAAAGGACTAATTTAGATAAATATTGGAAGATAGTGCAAAAAATTGGAAGATTTCATAAAAAATAGAAGAAAATAAAAAAAAGCTCAAAAATGAAAATAATGATTAAAAATTCGAGTGCTTAATACAGTGTTAAAGTTGCGCAAATGACCCTTTTTGTGCAAAAAAAAAGTTGCGCAAATGACCCTTGTTGCGCAAACGTACTTGCGCAAATGACCCTGTTGCGCAAATAAAATGGCGGAAAGTAGCCTACCCCGATTAAGTAGTCGGGTTCGATCAATAAGGGCGTTATCGGCTTGTGGGCTGTGTATCTAAATAAAAAATAATTTATAATGAACATGGCGAAACGAACAGGGCTTGGTGTTAAAGTCATCAGATGTCGTTTTTCCACAAGCTCGTTTTTGAACTCCAACTCGGTTGGATTCATCTGATAGAGATAAGTTAGCCCTCCCAAACCACTGAGAATTATCGTCGTCTAAAGTGACAAGTGATTTTTATTGCTAGGAAAATTTGACTTACTTTCAATGGTTTATTCTTTGCCTCTTTTAACGCGTCAATTGTCACGGTTCTAAAGCAAAAAAAGTTATGCAAAAGCAAATACACTCTCGGAGTTTACCTGTAATCATTGTAGACGTTTATGCAATACCCTTTCAACGTGCCTCCTACTTTTCGAAAGAACGCCATCTATAATGAGCTCCGTGCAAAAACCAATCTTCATAAAAACTGCTAATATATGTTGTCTGAACTGGATAGCCATTTAAGGAATTTTCACGTAATTTTTATATTTATAAACAACAGAATTAACGTAAAAAGAATAAATATCATATCATCAAACTAGAGAAACAATTTAAAGAGGCAAATAAAAAGTCGAGACCGGTATCAAACCACGATTCGAAAATTATAAATCACATGAAACCTTCAGTACAAAAAATGAGTTCAAGTGCGTGCAGGCTCAGCTTCTTTCTCTTTCTCTTCGCGCTCCTTGATGAGGGCTGTGACTTCAGCATGCGAAAGCTCCTCGACCACCGATTTTCCATCTTTCCGGACCAACACCGCCATCTCAACTAAAATTGGAGATCAGCTGATATTTTAGATTTGACATGTTTGAAATTAATTTACTTTTTTCTGGAGCCAGCTTCACGTCCAACGTCTTCCACAAAACTTTCATCGCAAGTTGTTTAGCTTCGGCGAGCGTTGGATTCTTGTACTCTTGCTTCAACAATGAAACGGCCGACTAAACAAAAGTGAAAAAAAATTAAAAATTTAGTGAGAACGAACCTGATGATTATTTCCGATGCAAGTGGCTTTCCATCCAGTATAATTTCCAGAAGGATCAGATTGATAAAGTTGAAATCCGTAATGTTTGTCCCATCCCATGTAAAGAAGCGAAACACCGAAAGGACGCTTGCCTAAAATTTTTTTGATGTAACACAGACTCCCAAGTTAAAAGCCAAAGCTTGCGGCATTTAAAAAAATATATACCTCCAACTTGGGTATAGCGTTGTTTCTCGTTGCAAAGATTTCGGACAAGTTGCTCAACCGGGATGTCTTCGCCATAACCAAGCTGAAATCGAATAAAATTATCAACCACCGATCAGCGTTTTACCTTGTAATCAGCGGCCCAAAAGCGCAAATGATTGATCAAAATATTGGCATCTGCCGTAATCCCGGCCACCGTACAAGCAATGTTGTCGCTGAGGCGATAGATTTTCTCGGCTAACACCTAAATAGCAATACATCAGCAAAAAAATAAACTATAAAAACTTACGGAATCATCTAGAAGTTTATGCACATTTCGTTTTTCAGCAGCAATGAGGATCCCGTCCGAGGCCAGAATTCCGAGGCAGGTACCCGCATGTGAAATTGCTTCCATCGCATATTCGACCTAAACAAAATCGAATTGATGGAAAAGAACATGTAGAAGTTATGCAGCCAAAACTTCATAGGCCATACAAAGTGTCTACCTGATATAAACGGCCTTCGGGAGAGAAAATCGTAGTCCTCGAATCGTAACGACGTGCCTAAACAAAAATAAAATTGCGAGAACAATGAACATTTTCGTACCATTTTGTCGAAGTTCGTAGCAGCACACAAAGTGAAGCCTAAAAAGAGTTAATTTCATAAGTGTGTAACGATAGCAGTATACATATACCATCTCTAGCGCACCCATTCCATCCTCGAAATCTCTCCAAAAATCATACCTTTCACAGATTTTACCTGACTATTTAATATAATAAATACGCAGATTAACCCTTTCTTACTATCACCCAAAGCCACCCACCCGTGTCAGAACCTGCCCAGCCCAAAATACTCAAAATCAGCTTTATTTTTCACCAGCGTACACTTCCACGCCCCTGTGACAGATTCTGTCCTTAAATTATACGTCCACAAATATTATAAGAATAGTACATAGTACCATTTCATTAGGTAAAATAGGCATATATTAAATGAGACTTATTTCTTCGAAAATACTCAAAAACATTTTTATTCAATTGAAGTGTTGCATACATGTCACCATAGCATACATAAATCAGCATAGCATTCACAAATAATGGCGAATAAAAAAATCACAGTAATTTTACAGTTTCGAGTAATCAAAATTTACGAAAATCAGCACTGAGGGTATCACAAATGGCTTCGAGGATTTTCAATTCTTCTTTCGAATAGTCGTCAGCAAGGACTTCTAATCCTTCCTCTGGATGAAATACCGAGTTATGGATCCACTTCGAAGTTCTTCCGTAAATATCCTGAACGTTCGAAGCAACGACTCGTTCCCAGCCTCGTTGCAACCTCGAGCCAAAAGCTTTATAAACGTTGGTTCGTAATGTAGGATCCTCATCCAAAATGTCGATCCATCGGTTGGCTCGACTCCCTACTGTTGTAAAAAGAGGAGGCAGTTCATGACGTTTGCTAAAATTTAATAAATTAAGGTAATTTCACTAAAGAAGGCTTTAGAGATAAAACGATAATCACTTAAATGCTAAAATATATTCCCTAGTTTTTAGAAAGAAGCATGTCTTTACAATATTTTGTAAAGCAATATATCTGACGATGATTACAACCTTCAAAAACCATCAAAAGTAATTCACAAACCTCTCGAACCAATCAATGGCTCCACGCGCACCCAACATCGACTTCAGAAGAAGAACTTCGCGGTTGGAGTTTTTCTGGAACATGGTATATATTTCAGAAGAAATAATTCATAATGTTAAAGAACGTACCAAATGCTTTTCTAGCGTAGCATTTTTTTGTTTTAGCTGAGCATTATCGTTATTCGTTCTTTTCCTTTTACGATGCATTTTCGATAGCTTTTTTTCCGCTATCTCCAAGTCCTTCTCGAGAGCCTCATAGTCATCATCCGTATCGATACTAAAATAACTCATATAACCAAACATAATCATTACAATAAGCTTACTCTTCATCTTCATCGGAGTCAGAACTTGAATTCACCACTTTCTTTCGTTTTCCCCCTCCCATCCAGCTTTTGATCTCGTAAAACTGAAAATAGAAAGTAAAGTTTTTGTTTTAAGGTTTTAATTTGAACAAATTATTAGTTCGATAAGCATAAATTAACTCAAAATAATTCTTTTGGAAACCGTGACAAAAGTAGAAAAGGTAACATTGAAAAATGTAATGTCTGCTTAACAAAATTGAAATACAATTCCAAAAACAAAAAGACCTAATACTTTAAATGTGGATAAATAAAAAATTCAAAAAGGAAATGATTGCTGAGTGGAAAAATTGCTACTGAAAAGGATGCTTTGATAGTTGAAAATTGACAACAAAATTAGTGTCAATCAAATCAACAACAAATTTTATTATGAAGTTAACGGAGTTGATCAAAATAATAATTTCATAAGTGTGTAACGATAAAGAGCAAAAAAAATGAGAGGCAATAACAGTTCGGGGAACCCCTCAGGCGCACTGACAGAAAAATGAAAAAGTTTGGCAACCGTATGATTTTTATACTTTTTGAAAGCCACAAAAAAGCATGATATGCAGCTTTAGGACAAAGTATTCAATTAAGCTTTTACGGCACTATTTAATCGGTACCAAAAGAACTGGGAAGAAGGGCTTGGGCTATTTTCCACCAGTTTATTTGCGCAACTTGCCATAACTTTCTTCTAAGCGGGCCAATCTTTATCACGAGGCCATGACACATCGCTTCAAGAATTTTCTGTTCCTCTTTTGTATACGCAAATTAGCCCTTTTTAATATTATCACCCAAAGTTTTTAGCTACCTCAACAAACAATTCGTCAAAGACGAGCAGAAATCTGACACACTAGCTCAGCATCGGCCATTCATCCACGATCCAAACCCAATGTATGAAGTTGGCCATGTAAGTTATGGTTGGGTTATTTAAACTGTTCGTCTTTTCAGCTTTGATGGGAGATATGGAAAGAAAAGTTGGTTATGCCTATTCGGAAACGCCTTGTCGATTTGATACTACAGGTATTTTTCTCCCTAACAAACTTTTCAACAAAACTTGTTCTTTAGGCTGTTTCCGATGACAGAAAAGATGTCGCGATCAACCACAAAAAAATTATTGTCATTAGGTCAATTTTGCAAGTCAGTTTTTATTTTTTATATTATGACAAGCTTTTATAGGTTAGTAATGGTGATTTTGGGCTACAACCCTATGTGAAATATGCGACGTATGAGACGACAATCTATCAGCAAATCTTTGAGCAACAGTTGGTATATTTTGAAATTCTCAATGATTTTTGTTTAGGTTGCTAGATTTAACAAGGAAACATTACTCGGATGTTGCTCAAAACCTACTATCTTCATTTTCACCATCTCTTTACATGGAAAAGGTAAAGTTTATGAAACTTTTGAATGAAAAAAATGAAATTTTATGAAACGATCAACGGTACAAATGTGGTCTTTAAACAAAAGTACTTTTAGATAATTGAGATTTTGGCACAAGAAGAAGAACGAAGCGAGACTTATTTCAATCAAGTATCTGTGAATAAGGTATTCAATAAACTCGTAAGTCTAATAATAGCTCTTTATAGGTGATCGGAATTTGTCGAGACGTTCTTATCAATGAACACAAAAATTTGAAGCTGCATGCCCAGAGATGATTGCAGCAGAGAATATAAAAGGTAGTTAAGAAGACATCTTTTTTAGATCGAAACAATCTTGTTTAGATCTTCGCAACATGTATCTACTTTTGAAACCAATTCCCTCTGGAATTCGAAAAATTCTACGGCGATACTCACAATGGAAGAAAGTTGAGCTGGTTGTTCCATTTGTCAAATGGTAATTGAATTTTATTGATATGGTACAGATTGTATTTTTAGCTGAAGTGAGACTGAGCTACTTGGACAAGCCTTATGTGATTAATCTGTCGACACATCAGCTGGCCATACTGCTGAATTTGCAACACAAGGTATATAAAATCTCATTCGAATCATTCTGGAAAGTTATAGGATTCGATCACTTTGGACTTGATTGCAACCGACACTGGATTAAAAAACAATTTGGTATATAAAATCGCATTTTGTACCGCTTTTTGGTTTGATACTTCATAAAACGTACATGAATATTACAAGGACAATTGTAACAAGTCAATGCGATTGAGACGCACACAAGTTTCGTTTTTAAATGTTGAGAAATGTTCATGATGTGTTGCGTCATACTCTTTGAATGCCCAAACATTCCAGTAAATGAGCGACGATTCAACTCTCGATAAAAGTTTGCTGAGGGTTCTCGATAACAAAGCTAAGGGAACGGTTACAATTTTTAACCGTGGAGTAAGCTTTTTAATAGTTTTCGCCTAATTTGTTTTTAGGACTTTTACACGCTTTACGATGATGATGCCAAATTGATTGCCAAGGAGATCTTCATGAGCGATGTTGGTGTGAGAAACTTCAATCTTGGCGGTCAGTTAAATTTTGTTTGGTCTTTCTATCAAGAACTAGCAACATTTTAACCATTTCAGATCGGACGATCAACTACCATAACCTTGGCCAGGCACAATTTGTGAGAGTGGTACGAGAAGTGCTCACAATTCTACGATTTCGTCTAGAACTCTACGAGAATGAAGACGGTGATTGGACACTTAAATCGAAGGTAAAACGTATCCTCATCTATCCAAGGAATGTGAATTCAACAACAAATGAACAATTGACAAGTGAATTTATTTGATGTTCCTATAGAGTTTCATTTTATGGCGATGAAGACGGAAAGTGGAACACATTGAGGCCATTGATCAGTTTAGAATGTTGATTTATGGACCAATCTTTTATACGAGGTGAGTGGCCAGTAAAGACACTACGCGAAGTGTCTTCTGGCTTCTTCTAGGTGCGTGAAGGAGTGGCAGAAAAAAGTTTCGGCTTACAAGTTGCGAAAATGGTTGGATTCCCTGAGCACGTTCGGAGACAGGGGATTCAGTCGACGAGGAGCTGAAAAGACGGCTCAAATCGGCAACGTCTCTAGAAGAAATCAAAAAGGTTTTATCGGTTTGATTTTTAGTGTTTCCAATTTTGATCTCAACACTATTACCGCCTTTTTGATCTCTATTTAGGGGGTGGCGGTTGCGCAAAAAAATTTGTCCCGAAGTAGCCACCGCCCCCTATTTATGCCTTTATTTTTGTCAATTTACGAGTACACTGTTAGTTTTACAAGTTTATTTTATAAAATCAATAAATGCTATACTTTCGATCATTTTTCACTTTGAAGTTAACATCAAAATATTTTGGCCCGTGAGAGACCCGAATAAATACAATTCGATCAATGAAGTCCATATAATTTTTCATCGAATTCACCGGTTTCGTTTGCATAATGAACGGAGGGGATAATGATCAATAAAGTGGTTGTAATCGCTGTTGTCGCTATCAAGAAAATCCAGAATAGGAGACGATTGATCACCTGGAATTTGGTCGATTCGCGATGGATTATGTTGATTGTTGATCCGTGAGTTCTTGAATCTACTTACCTGAGCCACTTGTCTCCATTCATTTGCAAGCACTTGGCCGTCATCTTCAAACTGTTGTCGCTTGATGAGAATCTGGAAAATCTGCATTGATATTTTGCTTTGACTTCCTAGAAATCCAATCTACTAGAGATCATGAGACCTGTAGCGCTTTGAGTAGCTTCTCATTCAGCTCATCGCTGTTTCTTGCGGTACTTTTCGGCACGGCTCCATTTTCGCTCCGAGAAGCGAAAAGATTTTTTTGGGACAAAACATTCACACGATCAGCTCTGATTTGAGAAATTTGGATGCAAAGAAGCTGGCTCTTATCGTTTTTTGCATACCCTATCACTACGTCCACCGGGACGAGATTTGTCGTGAATATGGTAGACCTGAATGAGGTGAAAATTAAAGCGAACACTTGTTTTGTGTGTTCTTTATGCTCGGATCGTAGAGACACCCTTTTTGGAGCAATGAACTCTTCATTTTTCTTTGCTCACAATAGAAAAATGAAAAATATGGATACACTCGATGAATCGGGTGTGTCGAGTGCATAGAAAATGGGTGCGTTTACGGCTTGAGCACAAAGTACGCCTGTTTTTGGGATTCGGACTTATTTGAAGGAATTTAAATCGAAAATCGAATAGTTCTAAAGTTCTAAAGTTCTAAAGTTCTAAAGTTCTAAAGTTCTATAGTTCTAAAGTTCTAAGGTTCTATAGTTCTAAGGTTCTAAAGTTCTAAAGTTCTAAAGTTCTATAGTTCTAAAGTTCTAAGGTTCTATAGTTCTAAGGTTCTAAGGTTCTAAGGTTCTAAGGTTCTAAGGTTCTAAGGTTCTAAGGTTCTAAAGTTCTAAAGTTCTATAGTTCTATAGTTCTAAAGCTCTAAGGTTCTAAAGGGTTCAATAAGCACACTGAAACTATTAGTTGCATGGCAGAAACTGATGTCATCCCCATCACAACTGTCAGATAAACACCGATCAATGGCATTGAATCAGAGGTTTCTGGCATTTTTTCAGCTATCGCAAGCACGAACACCTGAACGTTCAGAGTTATTTATTTTAGAGTTATTTATTTATTTAAGTTCAGAATTATTTATTTTCGAAATTTGATGAAAACTCACGGAGAATGCGAGCAAAACGGTGATCCCCAAAGCGATTTTTTCCCCGGAATCTGGTGGCAACCAAAAGACTCAAAGAAACTTTTTTAAAACAAAAAAACAAACGTTCATATACCTAATAAAGTGAGAACGGACATCATCAAACAGGGGAAAACCACGTTGTACATGTAGTAGAGAGTCTAAAAAAAGGAGATTATAGAAGAATAGATGAGAAACCTTTCTTCTGATATGAATGTAGAATGTGAGATCTGGATAAGGCTCGGGACAACAAGTGTACTTTACGACTCGACGTTTCTGGAAAATCATTGAATCTTTGGGCTGCTGATAATCGAGAAACGGCATACGATATAAGGGATACGCTGCGGAGCTTTTGGGCACCCTGGGCCCTCAATTTTGGGCCCCTCAATGGACTTTGAGACCTTCATGGTGAATCCCAGATCCAAGTCAGACTCTGAACCCTGGATCCACGGCTCTTTTCGATCCATTTTCGTGTCATATATGGTTTAAAGGTTATCGCCTATGGAGAATTCAAAATATCGACTCCATTTTGGTCTATGATATACATTACAAAGTCTATGATATGGTCTATGATATGGTCTATGATATACATTACTATTACTGTACAAAGTCTTTCATTTGGCCAATACTTTCCCCGAAACTTTGAAAAAAGATTTTTTGTGAAGCAAAAAGTTGAGAAATTTTGATTTTCAGAAAAACAGATCATTTCTCAACTCTGGCAAGGATTTATATGGATATTCACCTGATAAACAGCCACCAGATCGAATTCTCCCGAAGTAACATAGTTGGAAAGATCGACATTCACACTTCGATTCGTTGTATCCACTTGGAAACCTCAAAGAGATTCGGCAAATTTTTTTTCGAAAAAGAGATTTTCGAGCCAACCATGATATGTCCATGAGCCAAATTTGAGACTGCAATGCTGAGAATCGAATGGGAAATAGGTTACCTAAAAGTTTTGGGGAAATTTTGAGGCTCAACATTATTAGAAAGCAATTTAAAGTCATGAGATTACGGGAAAAGAGCAAACTGACGTCAATTTTGCAAGTTGATCGCAGCTGAGTGGGTGGAGGCCAGAAAACGGTGCCCGTGTGCAGAACCATGGCACGAGAACGCATGAAACCCGCTGTGTAGTCATCGGCACTGAAAAACCCTCGTAAATAGCTTCACAACAGGCAGAAACTATCTAAACTAAAATGTGTGATTAAATGAAACGAAATTAATGATTAAACTACGAACCGCTTTCTCGTAGTCCTTCAGAATATGGTACAGCAATCTAAAAGATACTTTTAGACAATCAAATCTTGACTCTGAATGCTATTCAATCCCCAATTTCATAGCCTTATTACACGTATATTTCTTTGGGTGTTCAGTGAATCCCTTCATCAAAATCCCAGCCATTCAAAGGCTGAAATGAAAGAAATTCAATTTATCCCCATTCTCTCAGAAAATCGAAAGAAAACACATGCATGCCCCATTCAAAAATCTCTTTTCTTTTTGAAATGTTCCGGAGATTCGTCTCTCTTTTGCTTTTTGAAGAAAAACGAATCTTTGACCACCTCACTGTACGTACTCCTGGTCAGTTTTCAAAAAAAGGCTTCATCTGGCACACTGTCTCTCCATTCACTACCCAATTCACCCATGATTATTAAATTCCAAAATACTGAAAATTAGCCCTACTTTTCACCAGCGGACACTTCTACCCACCTCCGCCAGAAATTGTGTAATTCAAAACACCAAACTATTTACAATCAATATACAAAATCATTAGGTATAATGGGCACATGTTAAATGTGATATATTGCTTCAAAAATATTTTTATTCAATAGTAATCTTGCATGGAATTGTGTCACAAATCGCTTGAAGAATATTCTGTTCCTCAAGTGTATAATTGGTGGCTGAGATCTGGAGTCCTTCTAATGTGCCAAATGAAGGGATCCTGGATGACGCTTTGTCGAAAATCGTGGCAACTGTCGAAGCAACATGACCAGCACAGGGCCTGGACCCAAAGAGCTCATCAACCTTGTGCCGAAATGAACGATCGTTCTCGAAAATCCAGTACCATCGATTGAATCGACTGCCTTCTCTGGTATGATGGTGTCTAAAATTTAAGAAATTAAAGTAAAAAATTACTTAAGAAGGCTTTAGAAGCCAAAATATAATCACTTAAATGTTAAAATATATTTCCTAGTTTTTAGAAAGAAACATGTCTTTACAAAAGATTGTAAAGCAATATATCTGAAGATGATTACAACCTTCAAAAACCGTCAAAAGTAATTCACAAACCTCTCGAACCATTCAATAACTCCTCGAGCGCTTAGCATTGAATCCATTCGAAGAACTACACTATTGGTGTATTTCTGGAATATGGTATATATTTCAGAAGAAAGAATTCATAATGTTAAAGAACGTACCAAATCAATTTCTAGCTTAGCATTAGATACAGCCAGCTCTATATTTTCTTCATTCGTTTCCTGGCAATCATCATTCCTTCTCCTGAGTCCCTTCTGCATTAGAAAATATAAATAATTGGCGAATTCCTGGAATATGGTTTATTGATATTTCAGAAGAAAGAATTCATAATTTTAATAAACGTACCAAATCAATTTCTAGTTTAGCATTATTTACAGCCACTTTGTGGTTTTCTCGAGTCGTTCCTAATAGCATATCTTTCGCCTTCTTGCATTCTTTTCTCAGTTTAAAATACTTTTTTCGAAAATCGAGACGTTTTCTAAAATAGCCCATATAACCAAACATAATCATTAAAATAAGCTTACTTTTCTTCTTCGGAGTCAGAACTTGAAGAACTTGAAGCTTTCTTTCGTTTTCGCCCTGCCATTGGTCAAGCTTTTGATCACGAAAAACTGAAAATAGAAAGTAAAGTTTTTGATTTAAGGTTTTAAGTTGAACAAATTATTTAGTTCGATAAGCATAACTCCAAATAATTCTTTTGGAAACCGTGACAAAAGTAGAAAAGGTAACATTGAAAAATGTAATGTCTGCTTAACAAAATTGAAATACAATGCCAAAAACAAAAAGACTCAATACTTTGATTGTGGATAAATAAAGAATTGAAAAAGCAAATTATTGTTCAGTGGGAAAATTGCTACTGAAAAGGCTGCTTCGATAGTTGAAAGTTGAAAACAAAATTAGTGTCAATCAAAACAACAACAAATTTTACTATGAAGTTAACGGAGTTGATCAAAATAATAATTTCATAAGTGTGTAACGATAAAAGGCAAAAAAATGGCAGGCAATAACATTTCGGGGAAACCTTCAGGCGCACTGACCGAAAAATAAAAAAGTTTGGCAACCGTATGGTTTTTATACTTTTTGAAAGACACAAAAAAGCATGATATTCAGCTTTAAGACAAAGTATTCAATTAAGCTTTTACGCCACTATTTAATCGGTACCAAAAGAACTGGGAAAAGGGGAGTGGGACAAATGCGACCTTTTTTTTGCGCACCCGGACATTTGCGCACCTGGCCCATCAGGGCACCTTTTTCGCGTTTTAAAAGGGCTCTAAAAGCTAATATTAACCAATTTCTATTCCAAATGTTGTTTTTCTAGGTAATTTGAGGGTGTAGAATTCGAATTTTGATATAACAGAGCGTGTGGAACCAATTTGAAAGACAAAACGGCTAGATCAAATTACAGAAAGTTGTCGATTTTTCTCTTTGTATAACTCCGTCCGTTTGTTTCCACAAACTCTGATATGACAAAATTTCGATTCTACGCCCTAAAATTACCTAGAAAAACAACTTTCGGAATAGAAATTGGTTAATATTAGCTTTTTAGAGCTTTTTTAAAACGCAAAAAAAGGTGCGCTAATGGGCCAGGTGCGCAAAAAAAGGTCGCATTTGTCCCACTCCGGGAAAAAGGGCTTGGGCTATTTTCCACCAGTTTATTTGCGCAACTTGCCATAACTTTCTTCTAAGCGGGCCAATCTTTATCACGAGGCATCACACATCGCTTCAAGAATTTTCTGTTCCTCTTTTGTATACAAGAATACGCAAATTAACCTTTTTTTTTATTATTACCCAAAGCCACCCACCCGCGGAAGAACATGCCTCAGCCCTAAACTACAATATTATACCCAAAAATACTAAAATCAGCCCTATTTTTCACTAGCGCACGCTCCCACCCACCTGCGCCAGAAACTGTGTAATTCAAAACACCAAACTCTTTACAATCAATATACAATTTCATTAGGTATAATGGGCATATGTTAAATGTGATATATTGCTTCAAAAATGCTCAAAAATATTTTTATTCAATAGTAATCGTACATGGAATTGTGTCACAAATCGCTTCAAGAATATTCTGTTCAGCAAGTGTATAATCGATAGCTGAGATCTGGAGTCCTCGTATAGTGCAAAATGAAACGATCCTGGATGACGCTTTGCCGAAAATCGTGGCGACTGACGAAGCAACACGACCAGCACGGGGCCTGGACTCAAAGAACTCATCAACCTTGTGCCGAAATGAACGGTCGTTCTCGAAAATCCAGTACCATCGATTGAATCGAGTGTCTTCTCTGACATGAGGAGGCATTTCATGGTGTCTAAAATTTAAGAAATTAAAGTAAAAAATTACTTAAGAAGCTTTAGAAGCCAAAATATAATCACTTAAATGTTAAAATATATTTCCTAGTTTTTAGAAAGAAACATGTCTTTACTATGTTTTGTAAAGCAATATATCTGAAGATGATTACAACCTTCAAAAACCGTCAAAAGTAACTCACAAACCTCTCGAACCATTCAATAACTCCTCGAGCACTTCCCATTAAATTCCTTTTAAGAACTTGATGATTGGCGTATTTCTGGAATATGGTTTATTGATATTTCAGAAGAAAAAATTCATAATGTTAAAGAACATACCAAATCAATTTTTAGCTTAGCATTATTTTCAGTCATTTTGTGGTTTTCTCGAGTCGTTTTTCGCTTTCTAGCTCGAGCTTCCTTGTATTCTTTGCTCAGTTTAAAATACTTTTTTACCCAATCAATACGTTCTCTAAAATAGCCCATATACCCAAACATAATCATTAAAATAAGCTTACTTTTCTTCTTCGGCGTCAGAACCTGAAGTCACAACTTTCTTTCGTTTCCGCCCTGCCATTAGTTAAGCTTTCGATTGCAAAAAAAACTGAAAATAGAAAGTAAAGTTTTTGATTTAAGGTTTTAAGTTGAACAAATTATTTAGTTCGATAAGCATAACTCCAAATAATTCTTTTGGAAACCGTGACAAAAGTAGAAAAGGTAACATTGAAAAATGTAATGTCTGCTTAACAAAATTGAAATACAATGCCAAAAACAAAAAGACTCAATACTTTGATTGTGGATAAATAAAGAATTGAAAAAGCAAATAACTGTTCAGTGGGAAAATTTCAAATAATAATATAATAAAATAATTTCATAAGTGTGTAACGATAAAGAGCAAAAAAAATGACAGGAAATAACAGTTCGGGGAGCCCTTCAGGCGCACTGACAGAAAAATGAAAAAGTTTGGCAACCCTTTTTGCTTTGATACTTTTTGAAAGCCACAAAAAAGCATGATAGTCAGCTTTCAGACAAAGTAAACCCTAAAAATTGATGAATTTTCGTTCAGCGCCAAAAGAGAGTGTGAATAGAATTGAGGCGTAGTGTAAGTCTATCACAAAACAAAAAGAGGAGGCTGCCTGGAGAAAAAAGTTCGAAAGAGTCTGACAAGCAGGGTTTGTTTTTGTTTTGGCAACACAATTTGTGACCGATCACCAAAGCGTTTAGCACTTCTAACCCAACTGATCGCGTTTTTAAAAGGGTATGACTTTGAATTGCTTCTCGGCGTTGAAGAAAAAGAATGCGAGATGTTGCAAGTGTCACATACACAACATTTTGAAATCCCATTTTCTAAATCAAATCGTTTATCCAATCCGATTTATTGATGGTTTTGCACAAATTTGCAAGGCAAAAGCATTTTCTCAACCTGCTTGTATTTGTTACGCCCGAATCCGGCCATTGATCGTCTTGTGGTCGGTTTCGGACGTCCGAATCCGACCACTCTCAAAATAAATTCTAATTGATCCCTCTTGAATTGAACATATACATTTTTCGCTCTAAAAATTTTTAGTTCTTTTACAAATAGTTCATTTTCGGAAATGCACACAGTGATGCATTATCTACGGCCGAAATAAGTCGGCGACAAGATGCAATCGGGAGTCCCAACCCACTAGGCCACGAGCTAATCTCTGACCGCCAGAGAGAAGCCTTATAGAGGAAACAGTTTTCCATCTCGATTTTGCATGCCAGATTCCGTGGCTATTAGCGGCTAAATTTTGCGGCGTTTTGTTCGTCCTTGCCGATTCTATGTTCTATGCACTGTTTCCAGTCGATGCCAAACTTTGAGCTGAGACCATTCCCTTGTAGGAGTTCAGCCAAAGTTACGTAAAAGTTACAAACCCGATAAGCGTGCTTCTCAAGTCGGGCGCTTTCAACGGCCAGGTTTTCCCGATTTGCGTCTACTTGCTGATTCATCGTTGAGAGACGCTAAAGTTGTAAATTAGATGCATAACTTTCTGTGATGCAAACTAAATCACTTGACTACCCAAAAAGATCAAACATTTGTGTCATCTTTGATCACATTCCCGGCAAGTGTCATATTCTGCTTGAGTGTCCGTGTGAGAGTGAGAAGATCTTGGGCCAGGTTCTCTTGATTTTCCGTGTGTTGACTCATTGTTAGGTCGTGCTCATTTCCTAAAATCAATGTTTCCAATAAAGCCTTTAAATAAACCACAATACCTCTTCTACTTGACTCTAAAAGCTCTCTTCGTAAATCGGCTCGATAAACTGCTCGATTCCGCACCCTTATCTCAGCCGCGGACTCGAAAATTTCCGGATCTAAAGTCTAGATATTTCAATGGAAAATTTTTAGATACAAAACCTCATCCAAAATTTTAACCTGGATAAGTTACCTTCTTTCGATTTTGATTCATCACCATTTTGACTTGTTGGGATGACCTCATCAAAACGATTGGGGATTTTGTCCAACACCCGAAGTTTATCCTCAGTTCGTTTCTAAAAATCATGAAGATTAATTAATATTAGATCTTTTACCAAAAAAATACATGTATCAATACATTTAAGCTTAATTCTCAGCTTTATTTAAATTCTCATACTTGTTGCTCAGCCTCTACAAGCAATTTAAGTTGATGCACTTCTCGTCCATATTGTATTAAAACGTCTTTGTCCAAAGAGCTAAACTGAGAAAATAAAGTGAAACATCTTAACACCAACCTTTCTTTTTGTAATCGTTCTAACAACTGATCCAAATATGTGCAACCAGAAGTTATCTTCCAAATATTTGAAGCAAGCTCCTGTAAAACTTAAAACTTATAAATGCAAATGTAAAAAATGTCAAAAACCTTCCGCGAAAGCTTTTTTGTTCGATCAAGTAACCGTTGAAAATTGAGCTCATCCTTCGACAAGCCACCCATCACTGAAAGCCAATAAAAACTTAAACGAGGCCTCTTTCTCCAATTATTGTATCGATTAACGAATGCGGTACAAACGAAAAGCAAACTTTTCTGCTAACTTTATTACAAGATGACAACAATATCACATAGAACAAGCTAACAAAACCTAAAGACCTATTACAAAACTAGGACCCGTAAAAATAAGAAAAAAATTTCTAAATAACAGAAGGCTAGCTTTCCTTGCTAAATCCTTCGGTATTTATTGGGTTGGGGACTATGACTCGGCGCCAAAAATCAAAAAAACTTCTAAAACTTCTAGCAGACTTCGTCAAATAATACGCGCTTAATATCAGTAGAAAAGTTAACTAATTCTCTACAAAATGACATTTAAAAGAAAACTCAAACAGCGCCTCAGCTCAAGAAAAGGCCATTTTTTCACAAAAACTACAAACTGTCATCCAGAAAAAGCGGTTGGAGGGCTCTTCCTGCAAATTCGGCAACTTATGTAATCGAATATACTCTATCTTTTTTACATATACACCAAAGAGGGTTTATGTGCAAGAAACTGTTCAAACGATGAGTCAGACTCTGCCATTTTGATCAACTGCGTTTGGATGTTCATAAACTCCACAAAAGAAAAGCTTTGTGGAATCTCTCAAAAGTCATTTTGTAGAGAAAAATGTAGTGGATCCTTTTGATGAAAGAAAACGTATATTTAAAGAAGGCTTTATGCGTGCAAAAAGTGTCTTTAAAGTTTGGCGCCGAGTCATAGTCCCCAACCCAATATATCGTGATCAATGAAGCTTTTATTCAAATGGTACCACAGTCCAAGGAAACCAACATCATAAATATTTTGAAGGAGCTCGTTCGGATACCATAACCTAAAAATAATTTTAAATCAAAAGCAAATCATAATGATCTAAAGTTTAAAAATTCCAGATTTTTAGAAGTTCCACAAAAAAAATAACTTACCTGAGATTCTTATCCTGGCTGGAATATGCTCTGACTTTATCATCATGTGTCCCCTTTATTATCAATGAAAAAAAACCTAAACATCAGGGCTTAACAAAAAAATGTATGTAAGACCCACCAGAGATTATAATAATGTAATCTGTCTTGATTAAGTAGTCGGGTTCGATCAATAAGGGCGTTATCGACTTGTGGGATGTGTATCTAAATAAAAAATATTTTATAATGAACATGGCGAAACGAACAGGGCTTAGTGTTAAAGTCATCAAATGTCGTTTTTCCACAAGCTCGTTTTTGAACTCCAACTCTGATGGATTCATCTGATAGAGACAAGTTAGCCCTCCCAAACCACCGAGAATTATCGTCGTCTAAAGTGACAATTGATTTTTATTGCTAGCAAAACTTGACTTACTTTCAACGGTTTATTCTTTGCCTCTTTTAAAGCGTCAATTGTTACGGTTTTAAAGCAAAAAAAAGTGATGAAAAAGCAAATACACTCTCGGACTTTACCTTTCAACGTGCCTCCTATTCTTCGAAAGAACGCCATCTATAATGAGCTCTGTGCAAAAACAAACTTTCATAAAAACTGTGGATATATGTGTCTGAACTGGATAGCCATTTAAGGAATTTTCACATAATTTTTATATTTATAAACAACAGAATTAACGTAAAAAGAATAAATATCATATCATCAAACTAGAGAAACAATTTAAAGAGGCAAATAAAAAGTCGAGTCGAGTCGAGTATCAAACCACGATTCGAAAATTATAAATCACATGAAACCTTCAGTACAAAAAATGAGTTCAACTGCGTGCAGGCTCAGCTTCTTTCTCTTTCTCTTCGCGCTCCTTGATGAGGGCTGTGACTTCAGCATGCGAAAGCTCCTCGACCACCGATTTTCCATCTTTCCGGACCAACACCGCCATCTCAACTAAAATTGGAGATCAGTTGATATTTTAGATTTGAAATGTTTGAAATTAATTTACTTTTTTCGGGAGCCAGCTTCACGTCCAACGTCTTCCACAAAACTTTCATCGCAAGTTGTTTAGCTTCGGCGAGCGTTGGATTCTTGTACTCTTGCTTCAACAATGAAACGGCCGACTAAACAAAAGTGAAAAAAATTAAAAATTAAGTGAGAACGAACCTGATGATTATTTCCGATGCAAGTGGCTTTCCATCCAGTATAATTTCCAGAAGGATCAGATTGATAAAGTTGAAATCCGTAATGTTTGTCCCATCCCATGTAAAGAAGCGAAACACCGAAAGGACGCTTGCCTAAAAATTCTTTGATGTAACACAGACTCCAAAGTTAAAAGCCAAAGCTTGGGCATTTTCCAAAATATATACCTCCAACTTGGGTATAGCGTTGTTTCTCGTTGCAAAGATTTCGGACAAGTTGCTCGACCGGGATGTCTTCGCCATAACCAAGCTGAAATCGAATAAAATTATCAACCACTGATCAGCGTTTTACCTTGTAATCAGCGGCCCAATAGCGCAAATGATTGATCAAAATATTGGCATCTGCCGTAATCCCGGCCACCGTACAAGCAATGTTGTCGCTGAGGCGATAGATTTTCTCGGCTAACACCTAAATAGCAATACATCAGCAACAAACTAAATCATAAACTTACGGAATCATCTAGAAGTTTATGCACATTTCGTTTTTCAGCAGCAATGAGGATCCCGTCTGAAGCCAGAATTCCGAGGCAGGTACCCGCATGGGAAATTGCTTCCATCGCATATTCGACCTAAACAAAATCGAATTGATAGAAAAGCACATGTAGAAGTTATGTAGCCAAAACTTCCTAGGCCATACAAAGTGTCTACCTGATATAAACGGCCTTCGGGAGAGAAAATCGTAGTCCTCGAATCGTAACGACGCGCCTAAAGAAAAAAAAAATTGCAAGAACAATGGACATTATCGTACCATTTTGTCGAAGTTCGTAGCAGCACAGAAAGTGAAGCCTAAAAAGAGTTAATTCCATAAGTGTGTAACGATAGCAGTATACATATACCATCTCTAGCGCACCCATCCCATCCTCGAAATCTCTTCAAAAATCATACCTTTCACAGATTTTACCTGACTATTTAATATAATAAATACGCAAATTAACCCTTCCTCACTATCACTCAAAGCCACCCACCCGCGTCAGAATCTGCCCAGCCCAAAATACTCAAAATCAGGTTTATTTTTCACCAGCGTACACTTCCACGCACCTGTGACAGATTCTGTCCTTAAATCATACGTTCACAAATATTATAAGAATAGTACATAGTACCATTTCATTAGGTAAAATAGGCATATATTAAATGTGGCATTTCTTCGAAAATACTCAAAAAACATATTTATTCATAGAAGTGTATACATGTCACCATGGCATAAAGCTGCATTCACAGAGCATTCACAAATAATGGCGAATAAAAAGAATCACAGCAATCGAGTAATCAAACTTACGAAAATCAGCACTGAGGGTATCACAAATAGCTGCGAGGATTTTTAGTTCTACTTCTGAATAATCGTTAGCAAGGACCTCTAATCCTTTCCTTGGTTTAAATACAGAGTTATGGATCCAATCTGAAGTTTTTCCGTAAATAACCTGAACGTTCGAAGCAACCCAGTCTCGTTGCTTCCTCGAGCCAAAGGATTTATAAACGTTGGTTCGTAATGCAGAATCGTCATCGAAAATGTTCTTCCATCGGTCGACTCGATTCCCTCCTGTTGTAAAAAGAGGAGGCAGTGAATGACGTTTGCTAAAATTTAATAAATGAAAGTAATTTCACTAAAGAAGGCTTTAGAGATAAAACGATAATCACTTAAATCTTAAAATATATTTCCTAGTTTCTAGAAAGAAACACGTCTTTACTATATTTTGTAAAACAATATATCTGAAGATGACTACAACCTTCAAAAACCGTCAAAAGTAATTCACAAACCTCTCGAAATAATCAATAGCTCCTCGAGCACCCAACATTGATTTCAATAGGAGAACTTTGCGCTTGGAGTTGTCCTGGAATATGTTATATTGATATTTCAGAAGAAATAATGTTCAAGAACGTACCAAATCACTTTTTAGCTTAGCATTATCTTGCTTCAGCGTAGCATTATCTTTATTCGTTCTTTTCCTTTTTCGATCCATTTTCGATAGCTTTTTTTTCGATATCTCCAAATCCTTCTCGAGAGCATCATACTCATCATCCGTATCGATACTAAAATAACTCATATAACCAAACATAATCATTAAAATAAGCTTACTCATCATCCTCGGAGTCAGAACTTGAATTCAGAACCTTCTTTCGTTTTCGTCCTGCCATTGGTAAAGCTTTCGCTGGTGAAAAACTGAAAATAGAAAGTAAATTTTCTGATTTAAGATTTTAATTTGAACAAATTATTTAGTTCGATAAGCATAAATTAACTCAAAATAATTCTTTTGGAAACCGTGACAAAAGTAGAAAGGGTTACATTGAAAAATGTAATGTCTGCTTAACAAAATTAAATACAATGCCAAAAACAAAAAGACTCAATACTTTGAATGTGGATAAATAAAGAATTGAAAAAGCAAATTATTGTTCAGTGGAAAAATTGCTACTGAAAAGGATGCTTTGATAGTTGGAAGTTGACAACAAAATTAGTGTCAATCAAAACAACAAATTTTACTATGAAGTTAACGGAGTTGATCAAAATAATGATTTCATAAGTGTGTAACGATAAAGAGCAAAAAAAAATGACAGGCAATAACAGGTTCGAGGAACCCTTCAGGCGCACTGACAGAAAAATGAAGAAGTTTGGCAACCGTATGGTTTTTATACTTTTTGAAAGCCATAAAAAAGCACGATATTCAGCTTTAAGACAAAGTATGCAATTAAGCTTCTACGCCACTATTTAAGCGGTACCAAAAGAACTGGGAAAAAGGGCTTGGGCTATTTTTCACCAGTTTATTTGCGCAACTTGCCATAATTTCTTCTAAGCGGGCCAATCTTTATCACGAGGCCATCACAAATCGCTTCAAGAATTTTCTGTTCCTCTTTTGTATACAAGAATACGCAAATTAGCCCTTTTTTTATTATCACCCAAAGCTACCCACCCGCGTCAAAGACAAACAGAAATCTGACACACTAGCTCAGCATCGGCCATTCATCCACGATCCAAACCCAATGTACGAAGTTGGCCATGTAAGTTATGGTTGGGTTATTTAAACTGTTCGTCTTTTCAGCTTTGTCTGGAGATATGGAAAGAAACGTTGGTTATGCCTATTCGGAAACGCCTTGTCGATTTGATACTACAGGTATTTTTCTCCCTAACAAACTTTTTAACAAAACTTGTTCTTTAGGCTGTTTCCGATGACAGAAAAGATGTCGCGATCAACGACAAAAAAATTATTGCCGGTGTCATTAGGTCAATTTTGCAAGTCAGTCTTTATTTTTTATATTATGACAAGCTTTTATTAGGTTAGTAATGGTGATTTTGGGCTACAGCCCTATGTGAAATATGCGACGTATGAGACGACATTCTATCAGCAAATCTTTGAGCAACAGTTGGTATATTTTGAAATTCTGAATGATTTTTGTTTAGGTTGCTAGATTTAACAAGGAAACATTACTCGGATGTTGCTCAAAAAGCCTACTATCTTCATTTTCACCATCTCTTTACATGGAAAAGGTAAATTTTATGAAACTTTTAAATGCAAACGATCAACGGTACAAATGTGGCCTTTAAACGAAAGTACTTTTAGATAATTGAGATTTTGGCACAAGAAGAAGAACGAAGCGATACTTACTTCAATCAAGTATCTGTGAAGAAGGTATTCAGTAAACTCGTAAGTCTAATAATAGCTCCTTATAGGTGATCGGAATTTGTCGAGACGTTCTTATCAATGAACACAAAAATTGGCTTGAAGTTGCATGCCCAGAGATGATTGCAGCAGAGAATACAAAAGGTAATTAAGAAGACATCTTTTTAGATCGAAACAATCTTGTTTAGATCTTCGCAACATGTATCTACTTTTGAAACCGATTCCATCTGGAACCCAAGTAACGCTCCATTTTATATCATTATTTTTTGTATTTTAGGTGATGACACGAGAGTTTGAATCGCACGTAAAAAGCAAAGGGTTCGCCTCAATATCCAATTTGAATGGGGATAATATTCCGGCATTGTTTGTTGAAAACTCGATTCAAGTTTGTAAAAAACTTGTTTTATGATCTAAACAGGAAGCTTACAGGTTTACCAAAAGTACAGCAAGATGAAAAGCGAGGTCTTTGAGGACGACGTTGATTTCACACATGCTTTTGATAAGGTATCATAAATGCTATTTTTAAATAAAGTTCTGTTTTATTTTTAGGCCCTGCAATCAGTTATCAACTCGAAAGATTCAACAAAAACTCCAAAGGCGCCTGAGAGAGTTAGGTGTCTATCAAAAATCTTAGTAAACTATGTTTAGTTGGCTCGATTTACTGACAGTCTGTTGAGGAAAAGCACAAAAGCGTTAAGTGATCGCGACTTGGAAAAAAAATTGGACGAGGCGACCATAATTTTCCGTTATTTGGAGGACAAGGATATGTTTCAAAAGGTTAGTTGCTTCTATTTTTGAGGAGCTAAATTCCGACTTTAGTATTTCTCAAAGATGCTTGCAAATCGTCTCATTATGACCACGTCCTCATCAATGGATTCTGAAGAGATGATGATCACAAAGCTGAAGGTTCCAACAAACGATTACTTGGAATTTTGGAGTTTTAGCAAGCTTGTGGCTATGAGTTCACATCCAAACTTTCAAGGATGTTCACAGATATTGGATTGAGCAAAGAACTGTCGACTAAATACGAAGAGGTTTTTTGATTTTAGATCTATTGAAAACTTGACGATTAAAATCCATTTACAACTTTAGTACATGAAGAAGAATAATCTGCCCAACCTGCCGGTCCCTATGACCCCTTTAATTCTTGGTGCTGCCGCTTGGCCGTTGTCGATGCCACAATCAACAAGCCAAGAGAAAAACACAAATGTAAGCCTGGTTTTGCGTCTATGACAAAGCATTTTCAGGAAACAAAGTTCATTTTGCCTCGCGATCTTCAACCTTGTATCGACGGATTTGAAAAATTCTACGGCGATACTCACAATGGAAGAAAGTTGAGCTGGTTGTTCCATTTGTCAAATGGTAATTGAATTTTATTGATATGGTACAGATTGTATTTTTAGCTGAAGTGAGACTGAGCTACTTGGACAAGCCTTATGTGATTAATCTGTCGACACATCAGCTGGCCATACTGCTGAATTTGCAACACAAGGTATATAAAATCTCATTCGAATCATTCTGGAAAGTTATAGGATTCGATCACTTTGGACTTGATTGCAACCGACACTGGATTAAAAAACAATTTGGTATATAAAATCGCATTTTGTACCGCTTTTTGGTTTGATACTTCATAAAACGTACATGAATATTACAAGGACAATTGTAACAAGTCAATGCGATTGAGACGCACACAAGTTTCGTTTTTAAATGTTGAGAAATGTTCATGATGTGTTGCGTCATACTCTTTGAATGCCCAAACATTCCAGTAAATGAGCGACGATTCAACTCTCGATAAAAGTTTGCTGAGGGTTCTCGATAACAAAGCTAAGGGAACGGTTACAATTTTTAACCGTGGAGTAAGCTTTTTAATAGTTTTCGCCTAATTTGTTTTTAGGACTTTTACACGCTTTACGATGATGATGCCAAATTGATTGCCAAGGGAGATCTTCATGAGCGATGTTGGTGTGAGAAACCTCAATCTTGGCGGTCAGTTAAATTTTGTTTGTTCTTTCTATCAAGAACTAGCAACATTTTAGCCATTTCAGATCGGACAAATTGATTCTTTTATACGAGGTGAGTATCTACGCTACGTGTCTTTACTGGCTTCTTCTAGGTGCGTGAAGGAGTGGAAGAAAAAAGTTTCGGCTTACAAGTTGCGAAAATGGTTGGCTTCCCTGAGCACCTTCTTTTGGTAAGTTCTGTTGGCCTTTTGTGGATTTTGATCTCATTTTATCAATCAATTTAGGATGCTAAAAACGTTTTGGAGCAACTGGAGGCAGGGAATTCAGTCGACGAGGAGTTGAAAAGACGGCTCAAATCGGCAACGTCTCTAGAAGAAAGCAAAAAGGTTTTATCGGTTTGATTTTTAGTGTTTCCAATTTTGATCTCAACCCTATTACCTCCTTTTTGATCTCTATTTAGGGGGTGGCGGTTGCGCAAAAAAAAATTTGTCCCGAAGTAGCCACCACCCTCTATTTATGCCTTTATTTTTGTCAGTTTACGAGTACACTTTGTTAGTTTTACAAGTTTATTTTATAAAATCAATAAATGTTATACTTTCGATCATTTTTCAATTTGAAGTTAACATCAAAATATTTTGACCCGTGAGAGACCCGAATAAATACAATTCGATCAATGAAGTCCATATAATTTTTCATCGAATTCACCAGTTTCGTTTGCATAATGAACGGAGGGGATAATGATCAATAGAGTGGTTGTAATCGCGGTTGTCGCTATTAAGAAAATCCAGAATAGGAGACGATCGATCACCTGGAATTTGGCCGATTCGCGATGGATTCAGTTGGTTGTTGATCCGTGAGTTCTTGAATCTACTTACCTGAGCCACTTGTCTCCATTCATTTGCAAGCACTTGGCCGTCATCTTCAAGCTGTTGTCGCTTGATGAGAATCTGGAAAATTTGCATTGATATTTTGATTTGACTTCCTAGAAATCCAGTCTACTAGAGATCATGAGACCTGTAGCGCTTTGAGTAGCTTCTCATTCAGCTCATCGCTGTTTCTTGCGGCACTTTTCGGCACGGCTCCATTTCTCGGCTCCTAGAATTGATTGCATTTGAAAATGTCGAATGGAAGTCACAGCTCTTCTAGTTTTCTGGGCTACCGCAATTCGCATTGGTATGCAAATTTTATCACCTCTTTCCTCTTACCTGTCCATCTTTGATCACTTCTCCATTTATTTGCCTTTCCGTTGCCGTTTTTGCGTGTCCATTCGGGATTTCGGTGTTCAAATATCGGTGCAATAAGTAGTTTGATTCACCGGCTACTTCAGATACAACCTGAAAGCGAATTTTTTAGAGTGGTAGATGGTAGATATTGCGTTCTCAATCGCAATCTTTCAGTTTCATTGAAGCCCTCACCTCTCCTTTCAATTCATTCATCGCCAATCTAACCGATAATCTCCGCATCATGCCCGTTGTGCCGCTGGCTGTTGTTGCGCGGGTTGCGTCTCCGTAGCCTAAAAATCGGAGTTAAAACCAAAATCGAAATTCCTATGCACTTTCCCCTATCACACACCTGTATGTGGCAATTTCATCCGCAAAAATCGCCTCAATTTGTCCAAAACGAGCACCCTCGCCCATCGGGGTACCGGATCATGGAAAGGACCTCGATGATGGAAATTGAGCACCTAAATTTGCCAATTTAAACAAAATTCTTATCACAAATCTCACGGCAACGATTTTCGAGAAATAGAAACGTGCAAAAGAGTTCCGAGAAGCGAAAAGATTTTTTTGGGACAAAACATTCACACGATCAGCTCTGATTTGAGAAATTTGGATGCAAAGAAGCTGGCTCTTATTGTTTTTTGCATACCCTATCACTACGTCCACCGGGACGAGATTTGTCGTGAATATGGTAGACCTGAATGAGGTGAAAATTAAAGCGAACACTTGTTTTGTGTGTTCTTTATGCTCGGATCGTAGAGACACCCTTTCTGGAGCAATGAACTCGTCATTTTTCTTTGCTCACAATAGAAAAATGAAAAATATGGATACACTCGATGAATCGGGTGTGTCGAGTGCATAGAAAATGGGTGCGTTTACGGCTTGAGCACAAAGTACGCCTGTTTTTGGGATTCGGACTTATTTGAAGGAATTTAAATCGAAAATCGAATAGTTCTATAGTTCTAAGGTTCTATAGTTCTAAGGTTCTAAGGTTCTAAGGTTCTAAGGCTCTAAGGCTCTAAGGTTCTAAGGTTCTAAGGTTCTAAGGCTCTAAGGCTCTAAGGTTCTAAGGTTCTAAAGTTCTAAAGTTCTATAGTTCTATAGTTCTAAAGCTCTAAGGTTCTAAAGGGTTCAATAAGCACACTGAAACTATTAGTTGCATGGCAAAAACTTTAGCATTTAATGCTATGATAATGATGAAACTCTTGAATGATAAAAAGAAACGTACAAGAACGGTCATCACAACGGAAACTGATGTCATCCCCATCACAACTGTCAGATAAACACCGATCAATGGCATTGAATCAGAGGTTTCTGGCATTTTTTCGGCTATCGCAAGCACGAACACCTGAACAATTTGAAGTTTAGAGTTATTTATTTTAGAAATTTTATGAAAACTCACGGAGAATGCGAGCAAAACGGTGATCCCCAAAGCGATTTTTTCCCCGGAATCTGGTGGCAACCAAAAGACTCAAAGAAACTTTTTTAAAACAAAAAAACAAACGTTCATATACCTAATAAAGTGAGAACGGACATCATCAAACAGGGGAAAACCACGTTGTACATGTAGTAGAGAGTCTAAAAAAAGGAGATTATAGAAGAATAGATGAGAAACCTTTCTTCTGATATGAATGTAGAATGTGAGATCTGGATAAGGCTCGGGACAACAAGTGTACTTTACGACTCGACGTTTCTGGAAAATCATTGAATCTTTGGGCTCCTGATAATCGAGAAACGGCATACGATATAAGGGATACGCTGCGGAGCTTTTGGGCACCCTGGGCCCTCAATTTTGGGCCCCTCAATGGACTTTGAGACCCTCATGGTGAATCCCAGATCCAAGTCAGACTCTGAACCCTGGATCCACGGCTCTTTTCGATCCATTTTCGTGTCATATATGGTTTAAAGGTTATCGCCTATGGAGAATTCAAAATATCGACTCCATTTTGGTCTATGACATACATTACAAAGTCTATGATATGGTCTATGACATGGTCTATGGTATGGTCTATGATATACATTACTATTATTGTACAAAGTCTTTCATTTGGCCAATACTTTCCCCGAAACTTTGAGAGCTTAAGGGCACCTAAAGGAAGCACGAAAATGCTTTTAAAAAAAATTTTGTGAAGCAAAAAGTTGAGAAATTTTGATTTCCAGAAAAACAGATCATTTCTCAACTCTGGTAGAGATTTATATGAAAATTCACCTGATAAACAGCTACCAGATCGAATTCTCCCGAAGTAACATAGTTGGAAAGATCGACATTCACACTTCGATTCGTTATATCCACTTGGAAACCTCAAAGAGATTCGGTAAATTTTTTCGAAAAAAGATTTTCGAGCCAACCATGATATGTCCATGAGCCAAATTTGAGACTGCAATGCTGAGAATCGAATGGGAAATAGGTTACCTAAAAGTTTTGGGGAAATTTTGAGGCTGAACATTATTATTAGAATTATTAGAAAGCAATTTAAAGCCATGAGATTACGGGAAAAGAGCAAACTGACGTCAATTTTGCAAGTTGATCGCAGCTGAGTGGGTGGAGGCCAGAAAACGGTGCCCGTGTGCAGAACCATGGCACGAGAACGCATGAAACCCGCTGTGTAGTCATCGGCACTGAAAAACCCTCGTAAATAGCTTCACAACAGGCAGAAACTATCTAAACTAAAATGTGTGATTAAATGAAACGAAATTAATGATTAAACTACGTGATAACTAATGAATTGAACAAATTTTTCTATAAATTTTTAAATCAATTAAAGGGGATGATGAATAGAAAACGTTTCAAAAAAAGGCGTCAAATTTCTCACAATCCAAGCTGTGATTTGATTTTAAATAAGATTTAAATTCATTATACTAACTGTAAATACACGGTGACCAGAAATTACCGTAAAAACTTTAATAGTACCCCACCCCCATAATGACGGTGCGGAGCGTTGTGTAGTCTAGCTTTGAACGAGTTTTTCTTGACACTGGTTTATGCTACAATGCTCGTATAGGTATCAAAAAATAGCTGAAATTCAGGGCTATTTTTTGATACCAAAGACGCATTTTTTGAAAGTACAGGCGCTTTGAAAAAAGTGAAATACTAAAAAACTTTTGCGACTACGCGACTGTACGAGGGCGGTGGGGTACTATTACAGTATTTACGGTATTTATTTTCGTCTACAAATAACTAGAAATATAAGCCTAGAAAAAGGGACGAATTATTTCTGGTCCCTGTAGTTTATCCCACGGATTTTCTCGGATCTACATAAATTGTTGTCTTTTTTTAAAGGCTTTAGAAACGCATTAATCACTAGGAAAACACTCTAAATGAAAATAGAACCTACTTGTTGTATAGAACGATATCGGGTAACCAGATGAGATCACAGGGTAAACGAATCGACGTAATCCCTCCGAATTGTGATGGATTCCATCGCAAAAGCTCATCATCCCATTCTTGATCCAACCATACATTGATCGTTAGCACTTGATTTCGCTCATCCTAGAAAATAAGAAATAGATAGATTCCTGTAAGGCTTAGCAATAGATAGATCTATTATCTATAGATTTATAGCTAATAGATCTATAGCTAGATCTATAGCTAATGATCTATAGCTAGATCTATAGCTAGATCTATAGCGAATAGATCTATAGCTAGATCTATAGCTAGATCTATAGCTAATAGATCTATAGATAGACCTATAGCTAGATCTATAGCTAATAGATCTATAGCTAGTAGATCTATAGCTAATAGCCATAGCTTAAGCTAGTGCTGACACTCAGCACACTCAAATCCCTTTTTCTAGCATTTATTCAAGCACACTGTACCAGAAAGAGTTCGTTTACAGTTGAAAGCACAAAGTACACGTTATTTCAACCATAATCTTACCAACCATATCAAAAATATTCGTCATTGTCATTCCCAATTTCACGACAACTGGCGTCGACGCGTTTCGCACTGGTCGAACCGCTTTCTCGTAGTTCTTCAGAATATGGTACAGCAATCTAAAAGATACTTTTAGATTTTTTAGACAATCAAATCTTGACTCTAAATATTATCCAATCCTTAATTTCATCGCTTTTGATATTCAGTGAAACCCCTTCCCAATCCTGTCATTGGGAAAGCTGAAATGGGAAGGCTGAAATGAAAGAAAATTCAATTTACCCCCGTTCTCCGTTAGCGAAAGAGAGCACATTCATGTTCTATTCAAAAATCTCTTCTTTATAAAATCCTTCAAAGATTCGTATCTCTTTTGTTTTTTCTTTTTGAAGAAAAACGAATCTTTGATCATCTGTGATAGGCTTTATCTCAATTTTCAATTATCACACCGATTCGAGGTACTTGTGGAGTATCGGGGGGTCCCCCAACTAGGATACTATCAAAAGTTTTTTTTTCAGAATGCGATATTCTGAGGTGAGCGCGCTTTCCGAAAGTTTTTGAAAGTTTACCCCGGATCTTAAAATTTTACCCCACCAGATCTTAAAATTTTACCCCCCCGGATATTGAAAGACCCCCCCGGATACTCCACAAGTACCCGATTCGATTACCCAAATGAATTACGAATTTCAAATTTCAAATCAATTTCAAATGCCCACCTCTGTTCATCCGTTTCTCCGCCATATCTGATCTGATCCGTTTGATTTTTCGGTGATAGATGCGGGAATTCGGGAATGAAATCCTCTCCAGCAATCGAAGAAAATAAAACCCAAATCGGGAAGAGAAAGAGTCGATTTTGATCGATCATGTCATCTGGAAAGAAATTAAATTAAATTGAAATTGAAATAAAATCGAAATTGAAATTAAATTAAATTGAAATTGAAATTAAATTGACAAAACAAGAAATTCGATTCAATGAAATGAATGCGTTGATGCCGATTTTTAGCTAAACTCAAAATCTTTTCTCTACAATGGATGAATGGGAAAATCCATTCTGTTAATGAAAATTTCCGTGTTTCCGTGACTCAAAATAAGCAAAGAACAAGTTTTAGAAAAAATATGAAAACGTAAAAAAACTGACTAAAGAATGATTTTTATAAGCTAAATTTATCTACAGAAATATTGTTTACGTTATTTGAATGCTAAGCTTTAAGCCTAAAGATCTGAAAGCCTAAAGATTTGAAAGCCTAAAGATCTGAAAGCCTAAAGATCTGAAAGCCTAAAGATTTGAAAGCCTAAAGTCTAAAGCCGAAAGCCTAAAACCTAAAGCCTAAAACCTAAAGTCTAAAACCTAAAGCCTAAAGCCTGAAGTCTGAAGTCTAAAACCTAAAGCCTAAAGCCTAAAGCCTAAAGCCTAAAACCTAAAGCCTAAAGCTAAAGCCTAAAGCCTAAAGCCTAAAACCTAAAGCCTAAAGCTTGAAGTCTAAAGCCTAAAGCCTAAAACCTAAAGCCTAAATTCCATCTAAATGACTTTACTAGGGTGCCAGAAAGCAAGCGTTTATCAGAACATAAACTCTTCGCTGATATGCCAGAAAGTGTGCGTTTGCAAGAGCAAGAGCAATACAGGAAAGGCTGCAGCAAGCACAATTACCAATTAAGTGCGAATTTCTCAATTTCGTAAAGCAAATCGAATGGAGTCATTTTTGAGAACAATGAACATCAAAAAGAAAAAGACAGAGATCATTCAAGTGGAAAAAAAAGAAGAGGAAAAGCTTGGGGGGAATTTTGTGGAATAAATGGACTCTCTCTCCTTCGCTCCTTTCCCATTTCCAACCATCGAATGGGCCTTTTGGGAGTTGGCCAATGACAAGGAAAACTTTTGAACATTGAAGTTTGATTGCTGAGAGAAAATGAGTGAATATATTGAAAACCTCGTGCTCTCGCAAACGCACACCCTCTGGCAGACTCTCCTTTTCTTAGGGATCTCTGTAAAGAATGCCAGAAACTGTACGTTTCTGTGAGCACAAAGTACTACTTGTCGCTAGACATTAAAGCATTTAAATCGACTTTTTTATTACAAAAAACTCAAGAAATAAGGAAGCGCAAGGGGGAAATTTTGTCTAAGAAAGACTCTAGGGGGTAGTTAAAGGGTATGGGAAGAGAAAAACGAGAATTATTCACTCGTCCCTGATTCTAGTGAGAAAATAAGGCCACGAGATTTGATATTGAAATTTCTTCACCTCTGATTGCTAGGCAGCTCTAGCTAAAACTGCTCTTTTTTTCTTCCGAACCTCCGCTTTTCCTCAAAGCGAACTTTTTCTGTGCCCAAATTTTGCAACTCCTGAAAAAGCAAGGCTTAACCGCAAGATTTACCTCGAGAAATGTCTTCAGAAAAAGATCAAAAAAAAACTTGAAAGTATCAAGAACAAAAGTTGAGAAATGAAATTAATGGATTCGCGTGATGTTTTGAGTTTTTCCCAAATTCTACGTGTTAACCCAGAGAGCAATTAAAGCCGGAAATGGGGATTGGAAAATTGTTGACCTTAAAACTCCGACAACTGCAAAGAAAACACGTATTCTTTCTTGAGAAAATATAATTGATTAATTGAAGTTCAGTTTAGGGAAACTTTTGGATCGCCCAACAGGTTTGTGAAACGAATACGGATCATTGTAGCTGTTACAAAGAGTACTGTAAGGGTACTATAGCAGAAGCATTTGGTACTATAGCTGCCGCAGAGAAATGATTGCACTTTCACTGCGACTTGCAAGTAAGCTTCTTTAGTACTTTTTATCCTCCGTTTTCTCTATCTCATTCGCTCAAATTTCATTCCAATGCTCAAAGCGTTCATTCCCAGAAAATCAAATATTTTCGAGGGAGAAAACACTAAAAAAAGCTCTCATCATTATGAGATTTTTGAGGCATGGGATTGGTTTTACGAATGAGTCATGTTGGAGTTTGATTTAAAGAATAAAAAAGGAAAGTTCTTGAAAGTTCAAAAAACTGACTTGAAAAAAGAACCGGTTCAAAAATCAAAAAAAGAACCGTATTGGAACTGTATTGGAACCTTATTGGAACCGTATTGGAACTGTATTGGAACCGTAAACAATGAAATGTTATTGTTAAAGTACAGAACTCTATCCCAACATTCCCCAAAAATAACTTTCGACCAAGTCGGAGCTCTTTCTGAAAGATGACTTTCACCGAGCAAAAACCCCCCAAAAGACAATAACAAAGGGGTCAAGTTTGGGGGAAATCCTGAGTTCAGACAAAAAGCTGAACTCTCAGTGAGAAAAAAAAGAGGTGTATGAGTGAGTGGATGGATGGATGAACGGATGAACCCTCTTCGTTTCCAATGCTTTTCACTCCCCGAAAAGCACCAAAAAACGGGGCACCTCCTATCCCCTTTTTTGTTGTTCCTAAATAAATTATCTCCTTTCGCGCGCAAAAATGGATTTACGAGAGGAAAGAGGTCATCTTTATGAGAGAGTTACGCTTGATTATGATTCGGAATGGAAATTTCAGAATTTCAAACTAATGAAATTGAGCGGGATTGAGCGGGATTATGTGGCTGATTCCTTGTTTTTCAAATTTAGTTTTTGATCGTATTTCGAATTCACGATAAAATTACTATAATATTTTGCTAAAGAAATCATAAAATTAAATTGACTGTAAAAGTATAAATTTAAAATTGATTGTTATTCCTATTAAAATAATGCTAATTTATGGGTATAAATGCTAATTTATCGGTAAAGTTTTCGGTAACCTTTGTTTTAAAATTGCTTTTAACTACACCAGAAAAAAATCTCAATAAATAAAAAAAACCAAAACTGAACTTTGACTCCTTGCACACCAAAAATCGGGTGCTCATTTCAAAAGAAACAAAGGAAAAACTCCACCAAAAGTCACCATCACTTTAACTTTAAACAATAGCGAGTCTAGGCAGGCAAGAGAGATCTAACTTTCAAAAGCATAAAACTTCAGAAAGTTGACGAAACGTTTTAAATGATAACTTTTTTTTTCGGATCAAATTCTAAATGAAAGGCGCAGCTGCTTTTTCGGTCTGAAAATCATGTTTAGAAAAAGACATCTGCTTTGATAAAGTGTATAAACCAATATTTGAATTTAAAAAGTTAAGCAAAGTTAAACTTACAGAACATTTTTTCAATTTGTCCACGGTAGCCAACTCAATAAGAAATAAGCAAGCTTACTGTAACTCGGTCTACTGTATTCGGTGGAGATTTTTGAAAGTTCGTAAAACTTTCAACTTTACCACTGGTAAAATCTCGAGATTCAAAGTGTTTCGCTCTAAAAACGGCGGACCTCGAGATTTTCGGTGCCAATTTGCATCCCATTTGTAGCAACGATGGAAAAGGGAGGATGAAAGGAACGGAGAGACATTTTTGCGGATGCTTCTCAACAAATGTCACAACATTTCACTTTGGGCTAATTGGAGAAATCGGTGATCAAATGTTTGTTTTCTTGTCTTCTGAGTTAAAATTCAAATTTAAACCATGTACGTCTGCCTGAGGGAAACATTCGGGACGTTTCAAAATCCGCTTCTTCGCACGTTGTGAGCTGAACAAATAATCAAAATTTATTTGCGTAGAATCTTTTTACTTTCGATAAACCAAAAGTCAGAAAAAAACGAGAAGACAGATCACAGAACCCACATAATTGTCACTATTCAGAAAGAAACACTGGGCCAGTAAAAATACAATTTAAAAAAGAAATTGCACTTATTATTACAATAAAACTAGATGGAATGCAAGGAAATAACACAAATGGGAACTTTATCAATTTGCTTATTTCATCACAACAATTATGAAATTATGCCAAGTGTAGATAAAGCAACGATCATCAAAGATAAATTAGCATAGGGCTTTGGGCAACATGCGGAGAGAAATGCACATAAACTTAGGATTTGGTGGCTACCTGTAAGATGGAGAACTCAATGATTATAGAAGGGGGATCGAGCATAAATGAACTGAAACGAGTGGCCATAACAAACTAGGAAAAACGAGGGTACTGAGCAGTTAAAATGGAGAATCAAACCTAGCACTCGAATCATGTCGTCTTGATGTCTGTGGGAACAAAATCTCCCTTTCCTGCCGACGGGAGCTCATTCCCGTGTCGAAGTTCGATGTATTTCCTTGTCTCGTTGAATACAAATACTGACGACGAGAGAATGGTGAGAAAAACCAGGTCTAAATAAAGTACAATGAAATAATTCTAGTTTAAAGACCAATACGGTTTTAGTATTCTGTGCAACAAAACCCAACCATAAGCGGAGAGTGCCTCAGTTTGGAAAACGTGTTGAAGTGGAGCCCAATAGATGACTGCTAGTTGACAAAGCAACGACCCCGAGACGGCCAAACAGAACATTCGATTTCTGCAAAAAAAGATATTTACTCTGATTTGACCTAGCTAACAAGTAAATAGCGTTCAAATACAAACCTCAAAAGACCAATCTCCCAAATCATTTTCCGACTACTTCGGCAAGAGAGCGCATTCCACATATCTAAACATAAAACATAATTTCTTAAAAGGAATAAAAAAGTACCATAAAGCACAAAACACGTAAACGTCATCGTCGTATCCCGCGGAGTAATCTTGTTGTCAGCTGACATCTAAAAATTAATAACACTATGAGCTTTGCCTAAATCAAGAGCAACACTTCTTTAACAAGATAAACCCCACTAACCTCTTTATAGAAGACCCAGAGCGTGCCCAGCACGATGATAGCGGCAGATGAAAGAATATGTGCAATCAGGCGTCCATTCAACATCGGCTGTTTTGTGTTCCGGGGTTTCTGGCGAATAATGTCGGCGTCAACAGGTTCAACGCCGAGACTAAATTCGTTGTAAATAAAGTAATGTTTAAATTAAAACCTCTGTGCTGGTGGGCCATCCATGATAATATTGATCCTGGAATTTATTTTAATAAAATGAAGAAATAAACAACAACTTATCAATTAATAACCCTAATATATCAATCAAATGATTTGTCTCAAACATCTTCTCAAAAACATATCGCAACAAACTCCTTACCAAAGAATTTGCATAGCATTCAAAGGGTTCTCAAAGTGAAAGATCGTTGACGCTGCAATAAGGGAAAGGGCTGCCACTGAGCTGAAAATTATATTTGTGAAATTTGACCTGAAAATTTGTGAAAAAATTATAAAAATCCCACGTTGATAGCTGGAAGCGAACAAAGTTTGTGATATTGTGGTAAATGCCCTTTCCCTCCTCAATCGCGTGCTCAAGAGTTGAAAAATCGTCATCACAGAGAACCATGTCGGCCGCTTCTTTGCAAACATCTGTGCCACCTAGACACGATAAGTTTAAATAGGTACCTATTAATAAATTTTTATTTTTTATTTTTCTTGAAAGATAATTTCTGCGCAGAATCTTGCAAAAAAAAAACTGACTGATTCCCATTGCTATTCCAATGTCAGCTTTCTTCAAGGCAGCTGCATCATTCACACCATCACCGGTCATTGCCACCACTTCGCCCAATGTTTGTAGCGCCTAAAGAAATTTGAGCTAGCTGACAAAAGTAATGCAGTACCTTCACAATCTTCAGTTTGTGTCGCGGAGTCGCCCGATAGATTATGGTCACCTAAAATAAGCGCTGAAGCTGCAAAATCACAGCGAACTTACTTGACGAATCACCATTTCCAAGTCATGTTCGCTCATTTGTTCAATTTGTTGTCCGGAAAGGCACATATCCGACGTTGAATGAATCCCGAGACGCTCTCCTGCAATAAAAAGATGATTTTCGAAACAAATTAAAAACAACTCACCAATGCTTTGTGCTGTTTCTCGGCTGTCTCCTGTGATTAGCTTAACGTCGACTCCTGATGATTTTACAACCTGAACAAGCAAGAGTTCAAAAAATTATTTGATTTAATACTTCGATTGCTTCTGTGGCGCCAGGACGCGGAGGATCCCACATTCCAACCATTCCGAGAAGTTGAAGTGATTGCATACTTTCACCCCTGCACAATCCAAGTACTAAATTTTATGAATTACAGTATTACCGCCTTGAAAATTACCCCGAAGGCCTTGACTAGCAACAGCACAAGCTCCATCGTTGATTCTTTTCCTTGTCTGTGGGTCCAACGGAATTCGTCGCCCGTCTGCTGATAAATACGAGTCACAAATGTCGATGATTCGATCAGTTGCTCCTTTGCAAAAATTCATGATTTGACCCTAAAATTTAGTGATAAAGAGCCTTTCATTAAGATTAGAAACCTGCTGATTGATACATTGCACAGCCATCCATTTGTTTTCGTGCGTAAATGCAATCTCCTTTTGGCGAGTATAAGCTAGACGACAAGATTCGAGACCAGCCTAAAATCAAACATACAAATCAACTTGCTAATGTTTGACAAAACACAAACCTCTTTAAAAGTAACTCACCTTTTTGGCTAAAACCACAAGCGCTCCTTCAGTTGGTTGACCAATTACACTTTCGCCCACTATCGCTGCATTGTTGCAAACAGCTCCAGCCTGAAAGAAGAAAAGTGGTGTTGAAATATCAGATTTCTTTAATGGATCTTTGTATTTGCAGTTATGTATGTAGGTAGTGAGTCCACTAAAATTTGCACATGTCACGCAAATTCGTCTGAAAAGGGGCAAATTTACATTTATCTGTAAAATAAAAGCGGCAACTTTGAGCAGTATTTATTCCATCCAAATAATCCAATCAATGGGCGACAAATCGGTATACGACAAGTTGGAGGATACGACAAAAGCGCCATTCACAAGAATCAGGGAGGCGGTGGAGGATACGCTTGATATGTTTGTTTTGCGGTCTTGTTGTTTTGCTTTTTGTTCGTTTACTTGCGATTCGTAATTTTATTTAACGTAGGCTTTCATTTATTTTATTATTTGAGCCTTTTCTTGGTTTAGCGTTACTAGGGTATATGGTCTAAACTTTTAAAAATGTATACGTTACCTGTATCTTTTACGAGTCACGATTTTTTCTCTTTGGTGAGGAGTATGCCTACTGGTTGCTACAATCAGCAAAGTGAATCCAGCTACTCTCCCCTACAGAGGTGAGTTTTAATTTTTGTTACATTTTACACCCTTTTCCGTAGACCTGCTAATTTTCTTTGTTCAGCTGGCACCCGTCCCTGCAATGACGTTTCCGCCTACATGGGTTAATAAATCGACATCTTCAACGCTGGCACCGGTCCTCAATTTACCAACGTCGACTTTTCTATAAAAGCTCAGCCAAAATTTGTCGGCAATAAATCGTGCTCTGTGTCTTTCACTTGTGTTTCTTGTTTGCATTGTGCATTTTATTACCTCAATGATAGCCGAGACTTCCGGGTGGCTCCAACCAGACACGAGTTGACCCTCATAAGTGCAACTTCCGCCATCGAGGCTGTACCCAAGACCCGTCACCTAAAATGTATTCAATTGCAAAGTAGTAGTTTTATCTGAACCCATTCGTTCAAAATTCTCTTTCTAATCTAAAGCCTTGAAGCTAAGAAAAATGAAAAAAAAAGGAAATTTTGATTGAAAACTTTACCTCAGCTCGTCTTCCTTCTGCTGTAACAACAACGACTGCAGTCATTTCGTTCTTTGTTAGTGTCCCCGTCTTGTCTGAGCAAATCACAGTAACACATCCAAGTGTCTCAACTAAAACCATAGCTAGCAATGACTTTTCCTCTGTTTTCTTTTACCGGCCGGCATTTTCTTGACAACAGCTCGTCGATTTGCCATTCGCATAACTCCGATAGCCAATGTAACTGCCACAACAATTGGTAATCCTTCAGGAATCGCGGCAACAGCAAGACTAAAACACAGTTTACCAGTTTGCATAAACAAAGTTACCTGACTCCAATCGTAAACATGTCGAGAACGTTCCGCCCTTGAACTAGACCAATCACGAAGATCAAGCCAATGACACCTAAAATTTTACGATGAAAATGAAAACTAAATTTCCTGACCAAATGAGTAGATCGACAGCTGTTTACCGAGATGATCCATAGACTTTTGCAGGGGTGTTTTCGGAGACTAAACTAAGAAATTTGTACAACTTTAAAACGGGCTAAACCTCTTGTTCTTGCATCATTATGAAGACTTCGCCAAAGTGTGAGCTAGATGCCGTTGCAATTACAAGACCCTAAATGATTTTAATCAGCACCTTTTTAAATCTTACCCTTCCTCGACCCGAACAAGCCAACGTCCCCATAAATGCCACGTTAGCCATATGCTCGACATGGCCACCATTACTTTGCCTTAAAAGTCTGTTAATAATCTAAAGCTATATTCAATGCAACCTTGGAATTGCATTGGTAACTTTATGTTTCGGCTCGGTTTCACCCGTAAGAGACGACTCGTCGATTTGAAGATCACTAGCCTAAATTGAATTGAGATTGGTAAGGAGGAGAGGAGAGAAATTTAGTAAGAACCTTCAACTACATTGTTCTGATAAAATATGTAACAAGTTTACCTCTATCAATCGAACATCAGCGGGAACCCGATCTCCGGTATTGAGTAACACAACGTCCCCTGGTACCAATTCTCGAGCTAACATCTCGTGCTCTCTTCCATCTCGTAATCTATAAAATAATTAATAAAGTAGCTGAAAGAAGATAACGTACACATGACAAGCTGGTGGTACAAGTTTGGATAGTTGCTCCAGAGTCTTTTCCGAGCGATATTCTTGAATGAATCCTACAGTCACCACAATGACAACGGAAACCTGCAAAAACAATGCTTGTCTGAAAAAAATTAAATAGTTTACCGTTATGGAAATTGCATCGTCAAACTGTTTCATCAATATGGAGACTATGGCGCTGGAGAGGAGAAGTAAGATGAGGGGGTTTTTAAACTAGAATCAGATTTACTGAAAAATTTTAAGAAGAACTAACCTGTTCAACGTACTTCTTCCATATTGGCTCCGGATCGTTGACTTCGAATTCGTTGAAACCGTGAAATTGCCGCCTTCTTGTTGCCTCAGCGGATGATAAACCCGCTACTGGATCAGAACGTAGCATCCCAACACATTCCTGAAAAGTATTGAAATAAAAAAGAATTGGAGTCAAAAAGAGGGGATAATTCATTTGGATGTAACAAAATAGGCACTCATTTTACCTGAATAGTGAAAAAGTAGGGTTCTCTCTTGAGAAAATAAATTATTATTTAGAAAAGTAAAAAAATAAAAACCTGTAATTCGTGGGCGCTCGCATTCTCGGCTGTGATTGTTTCAATCACCATATCTTCGGCCGCTCCACCCGTCTAAAAGCGTTGATATTATACTTTGGCAAAATACCGCAAAGACTACCTTCACTCCAATATTTTTCCCCAAATCCGTTCGCACAGTTCCTCCACCTTCCACTCGAAAAAGTGCTGAGACTGGACGAGGTGCGTTCTTGTCCTTAAATTAAAGTGTACTCTTGATTTGCACAAAAAGTTAAGTCAAGATAAAGAATATCTATCTTGCTTAAAATAACATTGTTTTTGAATCTCGATTACATTTTTGTGTACATTTGGCGATTCGCCATTCGCTGATGATCCATTAGCAGTCGGCTCTGGCATTTTAAAAATAAATCCGCTTGTTTTTACGTTATTAACAACCAAAACTTTTAGTTGACCAAGTTAGAGAATACAGCTACATTGGGGGTTTCTGAAAGTTGTAATTTGTGTTAAGAAAGAAGTAAAGAAAGTGGAAAATAGAAAAAAGGAATATCAAAGTTCCTCGTTGAGAGCAGTGAGAGGCAAATCAAATAAATTACATTGCGCGTTGGGCAGCAACGAAAATTGGCCTTCTCACTAAAAGGTAAGACCCAGACTTGTTCAATAATTCATCTCGCAAAAATTAACTTAGGAACTAATCTAAAAAAGGAGAAATTGCTTGAATTTTGGCAGTGCAGCATTATTTGACAATTCGGGTTAGACTAAAGTTTTGGGCGGTGAGTGAGGGGCTATCAAACGGCCACGTAATTAAATTGGAAATAGAATTCAAAGCCTTTCGAAAGGGCAACAAATAAAAACAATTTTAGACTCGCCAACCACACTTTTATTTGCCTTTTTTCCCAAGAAGCAGCAAAGAACCCTAAATAAAGCTCCTACTAGTCCGTCCAATTATCGCATAAATGAATGAGCGGTCGAGCAAAAGACTAGATCCTAATTTGGCTTGAAAATAAGCTCCGCGTCGAAGGAAATACTCTAGCAGTCACCTATTCGAAACGACGTAAATGCCTTAATAGTTATTTCATAAAGTCAAAAACTCGTCCATCTCAAAATGAAATCCAATAGGCAAATTCGAGGCATAAGGCAAAAAGCGGACTTGAATTCATGCATGTAACATGAGAATTCACGAGAATGGATGTTGACTTTTCGGGCTGTTTAAAGATTTTTTCACAGTATTTTAGTAAATGTGTTTGTCACTTTTGCTTGGCAAATCAATTTACAGAAGTAGCAAGAACAAAAATGAAAAGGAAAAATTGTTTACTTATGTCCCGTTGCGTGTAAAAATCGTGGCAGGATCAAAAAGTTACATGAACAGAAGAGATTATGGGAAATTTTTGCTTTGCTTTTCGAAAACACGATGTTACGCGAATGAAAATGAAAGAGATTTAGAGTTCGATTCATAGAGTCACGGCGGTGAGTGCCGCTCGTAAAATTTGAATTGCACCCCAATCATAGTGACGAGTTGGAATTGGAGTGGTTTTGCAAATCACTTATCTTGACTGGTTTTGAGAGAATTGGACTTTGTTGAAAACTGAAAAGTTTAAAAATAAAGCGCATTTTATGTCCGAAATTTTTACTTTAGTGACTTATTGAAAAACAATTTTAATGGAACAAAAAGCCAAATCCCTATTCTGCAACAATGCATTCAAAATTGCAACCACTATAGGTCCATTCATTCGAGGAGCTGCCTGCCTTCACCCCATCAGAAAAAACGACGAAGGTGGTAAGCGTTGGAGCGAGGCTTTTAGGGCGATTTCCGCAAAACGGAAAGCGGGTTGCCCGCTCGAAAAGAATAGCCAAATGACGCAGAAACTTGTGGGAAATGAAAAGCATTGAAAAAGGCAAAGTCCAGGGCATACGAATATTTGCAGTAGGCCAAAAAGTATCTGCTTATTCTTTTTTAAAAAACAATGATGTGAAAGCCGAAAAGTTATTAAAACGATCGTGCGTTTCTTTGAAAGGGCAAAAAAGAAGCGCGAATCGTCCACGTGTGCACACATAAAAAAGCTCCTTTGAGGGAATGTGAAAGGCAAAAGGGCGGAAATGTTGAATTGAAATTTCCGATTCTTTTCTCACCCGAATCGCTAATGAAGTCGCATAATAATATTACGCCTATTCACAAGTCGCGAACAAAGAAGGCAGGTGATTTTAGAAAAATGATATCGATTTTGTCTAGACAGAATTTTGTCTTTTTTAGAGTTAGGATTTGATTTGTGCTAACTTCATCAAAAAAATGGGAGTGAAATCTCTCGTTGAAAATCACCGATGCGCAACTAGGCAGCGAGGAGTGGGAACAGAGATAATTGCGGATTGACGGAACCAATAGACAGAATTACACAGCAATGGACGGGACGGAAACAATTGGAAAAACAAAATAGTGGCGAGTAGTTTTAAAAAAGTTGTCTAACTGGAAATCTGGAAATTGGTGGTGAGTTTTCGATCATTTCATTTTGCAAATTTTTCAATTCTGGAGAATTGATTAGCCATCCTCAGGACTGCCAAGTAAACTCGAAGTCTAATAAAAAGGACAGCTACTTTCGGAATGCGAAATGAAAAAAATACTGCGGAGAAAAGGAGGGTCTTACAAATCAAACAAATCGATTACGGCACTGCCTTTCTTGCTCCAATGCTCCTTTTCACTATCGGATTAAGAAAATGGACTTTTTTTTCCGTCATCTCATCTAGATTAATCTCCTTCGAATTTCCTGATTCCAAAATGGGGATAGAAAATCTTGAAATTCTCGAGAAAATACAACTACAACTAATCTTTTTTTACAAAATGAAGTCGAAAAAGTCGTATTCGATGTTGATACAATACCACTGCCCTAATTAAAAACTCGAATGTTTTAAATGCTGAGCCGACTAAAGGATCACCAAATAGATTCATTGTATTTTCAATATTTGTTTGAGATTTAATAGAAAAAAATACAAACCCAAAGTCCGGCCAAGAAGATGGAACCGTTTGCGAATCGAAACTCTTCGGAAGAGGCGGTGCTAGAAAATAAACATGAATCTAATTGTAGGACCGCTTGAAAAAGGCAGGTACGAGCGCAAAACTATTGAGCACGACACAACAATAATACAATAACATCAGGTTTATTAAAACTTCGCCAAGACAAAAGGAAATAAAAGATGGTTTATTCTACTTCTCGCAACAAAAATAAATAACGATACTTTCCATGGTTTGAATGAATAAGAAATGACGAACCTGGCAACGGTCAAGAAAAAAAATTTTAACACAAAGAGAATAGAATTGGAACATCAACAATAGTATAATTAAAACTCAAAGTGAAACAAGATATATAATTAGCGAATAGTAAAATTGAGACCATTTTATGAGATTTGAGTAGAAGTTGCGCTTAATCTCTCCATAGCTTCAGTTGAGTATCTTCCGCAAAGGTTGCGATGATATTTTGATGTGGGTGATGGGTGATTCCAAGAACGGTTGCATCAGCGACCTAAAGTATACAATGCTGCATTGATTATAAAGTTATTTTTAAAAAATGTAAAATGTACACGAAAACATACCGGTATTGTGCTTTCTAAATTGCCGGTAAGAGTGTAGAAACAGTATAGTGTTCGATCTTCGGCAACCTAAGCAAAATATACATCAGGTATTTAAAGTTAAGCGTACCGCATACGCCCATTCTCCTCGTCCTGAGATTGCAAGTGCCACAAACTCTCCCCCTTCGCGTTTTCCAGAGTTCATGGTTCGAACAACCCGCAAAATTTTATATAACCAAAAGCTCAAAGCTATTAAAAACCTGTCCTTGCAAGTTGACAATATAAATACGAGTGCTGCGGTTGCACACAACAAATTGATCGGTCTTTTGGCATTTGAACGATACTATGCACAGGTACATCACCTTAAAAAGCTCCAGTCTTCCACTAAAAAAAAACTTAACCTTCGACGCGGAAAGTTGTTTGACATTCGCCTGTTTTGGTAGACCACACTCTCACAGTTCCATCTGCAGAGGATGACAACTAAAGCATGATTAAATCAATCAAAATCCAAATAACAACTTACCGCCAGGTGCCCTTCTTCAGTGTACCGGACGTCAGTTACAAAAGATGTGTGTCCTCGTAATTCCCTCAAACATTTTGCAGACTTCAGGCCAAAAATTCTGAAACCGTATTTTGTAAATAGCTTCAAAAGTCAAGCTACTTCACTATCGTATCATTGCTTCCCGAAAGAACGTGCGAATTGTCCTTGGAGAAACGTAGCGCTGTTATTGGGCCAGAGTGCGCGGAATCATAGCGTCTCAGACATTCTCCAGTCATTATTTTCCAGACCTTTAAGAATTTTTGTTTATACGTTTTACTAGGGTTTTACCTTGATTCGGCCATTTATTGATCCCGATGCAAGCATTTCTGAGTCGCGACTAAAGCTCAAAGCAGAAACACCAGTGTCCATCATCATCAAATTGTCTTGCGCCTATAATTAATCAACATAGGAAATTCAAAACAAAATAAAACTTGATATTTCAAATCTTTGCGAAGTTTTCCGTTCATAAAGTTCCACACTTCAATGAAACCGTCCTTTGAGCCAGTTACGAGAAACTGCCCATCTGGGGAAAATGTAGCGGATAGCGGATAGGAATCTAAAAAAAATTTATTTGTACCTAGGATTAATAATGCAAATAAAAATTTAATAACAAAATTAATAAAGATTAATAAAAAAATAAATCGTACCGTTTCCGAATTTGATTTGACGCGAAAGTTGAGTAGGGTAATGTTCTTCTTCTTGCTCCTTCATTGCCGCCTTTCCTCTAAACAAGTCGATCCTCGTACCTAAAAATTGTTCGTAACAAAAATTCTAGTTAAAAAAACAATTTACCTGGTGGAAGTAGACCTTGATGCTGTTGCCATTTGAGTGATTGTTGGAGCAGAGCAAGTAAACGAGAAGGAGGAACAACATTGACCTGAAAAATATACATTCATTGCATTTTAAATCAACAATACCTCAGTCACTAAAGATTGAGCAATTTGTGATCGCCGTTTTTCTTTATTCATTCCATCTGGATACACATCCCGAGCGTCGAAGTAAGATCTAGCCATCAGATTTTCAAGCCGAGTATACCTATGCACTTCTTGGTCAATTTAGCCAATGCAACCAAACCTTTGAATATCACTTTGTTTCAGCAACGACATGGGATCTGTTTGACGCAAGATCAATCGCGCAGTTCCAAGTTCGCGTAGTTCGATAAGCTCAAGAACCATCTGAAGCGTTCAACGTTCAAGTTGCTTAACCATTTTATATAAAACCTGCTCGTAGAGGTCAATCAACTTTTTAGCGGGAAGCTTCAATGGTTGAATGATCTATAAAATAGCTCAAATTTCAACAAAACCATTAGGCAAACCTTTAAAACAGAATCCCAATGACCAGCTCCAATTTCGTGCGAGAAATTGTCCAGATTGTCGACAGTGTTTAACGAAATATTTGTTTCTTCCTAAAAAAGTTGTAAATAACTTTTTATTGTTAATCGCAAACCTGCAAAGTATTTAAAGTACGCATCAAATTGTTTTCCTTCAAATACTGCTCGATGAGCCGAACGACACTAAAATTCGCAAATGGTAAAATTCTTAAAATAACCCACTCAGCAGCTTCGATCTCAATTGAAGTCATGTTGACTTGGCAGTTAAGACCTAGAAACGTTTGTTACAAAGTTAAAAAAACCCACAATAACTAGAGGTGCTTAATTGCTGCTAATTAGATAAAATTAGAAAACTAACTGCTGGTGCTATTTTAAAATACCGTCAAACCATTTATTCAAACGAAACGTTATCAATTCACCAAAGAAAATTTAATAAATAATGCAAAATCGATAAGTTTTTCAAAGACACATTCATCGCCAAAATTAATGGAATCACATACTTACAAAAAAAATAAGAAGCAAAATTTGGCATCTAAATTATGAACCAACTTCAGCGAGGAAAATAAGACAAGAAAATGAATCACAGTCAACAACCACACAAATCTCTATCAGAGTAACTCAATTTATTGATAGTATTCTGCTTGAGGTGGAGGTGGCATCATACCTAAATGACCTGGATTAGGATAGGATCAAAACTCAAAAAAAAACCTGGTTGCGTAGGTGGAGGGTAAGCACTTTGTGGCGGCGCGGCAAGGTTGCTGATTCCAATCGACGAAAGCGAAGGCATCGGGAACGAAATTGGTGGCGGAGGCGCAAATTGAGTTGGAGCTGGTGGGGCAGAAAACATAGCCGGCATAGCAGAAGGCACGGCTAAAATTTAATCATACAAATAAGTACTTCTCAAATCTTTTATTTAGATGCTTCGAAACACTCCACATAACAATGTTTAAAAACAATTTTTTTATAAAAAGACACTTACTGTTATAGCCTGGTTGAGTGTGAGCTGGTGGCTGATAATATGTCGGAGGTGCATACGTTGTTGGAGGCTGAGGTGTGTAACTAAAACGCATTTTAAAATTGCAACTAATTGACCGTACCTTTGACCCGGATAACTTGCTTGTGTGTTCACGTTGTATGGAGCGGGAGCAAAGGCTTGAGTAGGTGGAGGTGCATAAGCTTGAACTTGTGGTGTTGGCGAAGGCGTCTAAAAATTTAAAATAAATAAAATCAAAAGAAAGAAATATTCTGAAACTCTCACATGTTGATATCCATGATCGTGACTATGGCCATGCCCTCCGTCATCGTGCGAATGTCCATGTCCGCTATGATCATGCGAATGCCCATGGCCACCCTGATCGTGCGAGTGTCCATGACCCGAATTATCATCGTGACTATGGCCGTTGTGCCCATTGCATGGTGCCTAAAAAAATGATTTTTTAAAAAAGCTGGTAATCTTATTTACCTCTACTTGTGGTGGCACTGGTGTTGAATGTCCAGAAAATTGAATCTTTTGTACTTGTTGAGCAAGCTAAAACCAAATAATCTTTGTTTAAAACGTGCTAGTATACTTGATCAACAGGATATCCGAGAACTGGAGCAGTATAAATTGCATTAGTAGAGACCGGCACAGGCATCTGTTGTTGTGAACTTGCGTAAGACTAAAAATTACAATAATAAACCAGAAACTTGAGGCTAGACCTGAGGAATATTAGCAGCAAATTTAGATGGATCTGGAAATGACGGCAAATTTGGATTAGGCATAACCTAAAAAATATTACTTCCTTTTCAGTATGAGAGGTAATTGTTTTCAGTTTTAAAAGTGACTTACTTGATCAATCTGTGGAATCCCTGTAAATCCAGCAGCTGGTGGTGGAATAGGAGCAGTCGGTGCTTGTTGAGCATATTGTGCTGGCATGGGTGGAAGTTTACGAGCTGGTCTAAAAAGGAATATTTGAAAATAACCTCATGCATTATCAAAGTTTTGCTAACAAACCTTTCAGTGGAGATAGGAATTCTATGCAAGTAACCATAACCAATGTCGCAACCAAGAGAGCCTTCGCCTCCCCATGCAGAATTCGGTGTTAAAGTCACCTAAAAAAGTAGATAGGTAAGAAGCTCAAATATTTCTCAACCTCTCTTACGACATCTGCATCTACATTGTAGACGTAAAGCTTTAGTGGCTTGCATTCATTAGCATGAACCTAAATTTAAAAAAAATAAAATTTAACTTCACGAACTCACTTGAACCAAAGAGATTAAGTCATCTGCATGGTTTAGCACCGATTCGGACCCAAGTATGTAATCCGTTTGTGAGATGAGTCCTAAATTACGATTAAAACACAAAATTATTTTTTAAAAGTCACCAGCAATTGAAGCAGGAGAATTCGGTTGGACTGTCAGAACATGCCATACATGTTGAGAAGCACCATCAAAAGAACAGAATCTAATCGAAACGCCGAGCAATCCCTAACGATCGGGTCATTTAGTAAAAACACCTGAAAACTACCTGTCCTCCCCACATATTCGATGGAGTGATGCTAGTTTGTCGAACCGTTTGCGTCTTGCTGTTGTAAATAGTGAGCTCAAGCGGTTTCTCAATGTGTTGCTTCAAGATTTCTTTCATCGTGTCATTGTCTTTATCCTGTAACCTCAAAAATTTTTAGCAAATTCTCTTATTAGTGCTGCCTTTTTCCAATTTAAATCAACCATTTCAGCTTAATATTAAATATATCCAAGCAACAAACCAATCTGGTGTTCCCAATGCTGACGATGTAGTCGAAAAATGGTTCCAAGCCAGCAAACTGTCCAGGCGAGTTGTCTTGAACCTAAAAACTTGATGAAAAGCAAATTAGAAAAATTTTTTACCCGAAGAACGTGATATCCTTCGGTTCCACCGCCTGGAATCGGCACACTTTCGCCTTGACCCATGCTCTAAAAATGTTGTAAGCATCGAAAATTAACTAGTTAAAAATTAAGGCTTGAAAGCAGGAAATAAACAAAAGAAAATTCAAACAAAAGCAACGTGGAGGAAAACTTTAAAGGTGGAGCTACGAGGCAGTACGAGCGGATCGCTGGATTTGGGCAAAATTGTAATGGAAGAAACAGCTGATAGAATTGCACAAAGAAACTCTTCTCGGAGCATTAAAGCTCAAAAATACTAATTTTTCTCAATTTAATCCAGTGACAAAACTTATAAAACGGGTATTTATTGAAGGATAGTGGTTTAATGATGTGACCAACGACTTTGTAACAATTCCTTTTTCTTCGTAAAAATGAATCCAAATGAAAGGCCACAACAACGAATTCTACCTTTGAAGTAGTAAGTTCTCAGCTGAATATCTTAATTCTGGTTAAACTTTCTTCTTTAGAAGTTTTTACGACTTTTCGTTCTCTCAACTTTTTTTTGATTGTTTCTCGATTTGTTCCACCTTCTACTTTATTTACTAATTGTCTATATTTTCAGTTTGAATGCTAGATGTGTTGACGACTTCGAAATGAATCAACTCGATCAATCGACTGCTCATTTGTTGCGGCAACGTGAATTGTGATTTTTCTTGTAATGAACCCTCCTCTAAAATCTATTCTTTAGGTGCGCCGGTAACGTCTTTAAAAACTATCAGGATTGGCGTTCGTTAATTGATAGGATTGGATTGGAAAAAGTCCTTGAGGTTTGTTGAAGTGATTTTCTTCAAAAATATTTTCTACTTCTGCAGGGTCACGATGGCTGTGTGAACACTCTTCGATGGAATCGCTCTGGAACGTAAGAATTTGCATTTTTGGTACTGAGGCAGTTGAGGGATCACCTAAAATTTTTCCAAATATATTTTTTCTAGGGGAATTGATGGCGCTAATCACGAAAAAAAAACATTTCCGATTAAAAAAATAAAAAATAAAAAAACAAAATTTAATTATTTATTTTTTCAATATTAATAACCGGTTACTTCCATTTACTTAATCTGTGTCGCATTTGCGCCGTCTGCTAGAAGCCTGAATGTAGCAGGTTTTGTGTTTGTGGAGCTTATCAATGTTGGCCGTTAGGCGATCGGCGCCACCCACACACAAAGCCCGCTACCTTCCGGCTTTAGGGACCGTCGCGCTCCGAGGTGCTGCAGCCAGGTCACACGGGCGCTTTCGGTGCGGTAGAGGCACGGAGCCAAAGCCTAGGTAAAAAAAATATATGGCGCCTATGTAAAAGTAAATGTAAAAAGAATAATTTTAAAATGTTTTTTTTTTTTGTGTGATCAGCGCCATCAATTACCCTAGAAAAACTACATTTGGGGAAAATTTTAGGTACCCCCCCAACTGCTTTGTACCGCATTTTTTACACTGGTAATTTCCCTTTTCAGACTCTTGCTTTCGGGCTCTGATGATCAAACTGTGAAAATCTGGAATTTGGCAGGCGAACTTGTGAAATCAATCGCCACGACTCATACGGGAAATGTATTTGGTGCAGAGGTAAGAGCTGTTAGGTGATGTAAATTAAGTGTTATTTCCCTTTTCAATAAGTTGATTTATTTGCCGATTTAGTTTCTTCCTCATTCGGGAGATCAAATTCTCGTTACAAGCGCTGCCGACTGTTCAGTTAGATTGCATTATTTGGAATACAAAGAGGAAGTTAGTTTACATCTCTGATTGTCAATTAGTTAAGCATTTTTAGCCGTACGTTTGGAAAGCCAGGCAACGAGTGAAACGATTAGCTGTTGCGAATGATGAACCTTATCTCGTCTGGTCGGCAGCTGAGGATGGACATATCAGGTAATGAGTACTTGTTGCTTAATGTAATAAGTATTTTAGACAACATGATACTCGGACGTACGAAGCGCCGACGATTTTGCGACACGAACAAGGGTTCAAGTCGCTGGCTGTTTGCGCAGAGAGAACAGAATTCTTGGCGGTGGCACCTACAAGTGAAGTAACTTAAATAGGTCTTTCTAAAAAGTTTGGATATTTTAGATAGTGCCAGTTTATGATCGACGGTACATGTCGAAGCCTATGATTGAAGTACAGCCAGGTGATTTCGATGCCGAGTCAGACGATTCCCACTACCCTACACATGTTGGATTCGACGATCTTGGCACGGAACTTTTGGTCAACATGGGCGGTACAATCAGCTGTATAAATTTTAGATATTCATATTTTAGGACGAGCCGTCTATGTTTTTGACATCAGAAATCCACAAGAGAAACCGGAAAGCACATGGGATGCCGTTGAAAAGGTAAAATGAGTTTGAAGTACGTGCTTATATAAATTCTAGGTGGTTGCAAACCCTACTGGTCCCCATGAAGACCTCAAAGGATCAGCGGATCTGCTAGCTTGTACGCGAAGATTAAACAAAATGATTGAAGAGAAACGAGTATTTGGTAAAATCTAAAGAAGAATTTTTAAACTTATCTTGTATTTTATAGAAGGAATCGACGCCTACACAACGGAAATACACTCCGGTCGTTATTCAGAGTCGGATCAATCAATTCTACTTGCTGAGCGAGGCTTTAGTAGACTGACGCGACACGGCGATGGAGATGCTTATGCTGCTTTAAAGGTTTAGCTTTGACACGTTTTAGTCTTTAATTTAAATGCGTTATTTAGGATGCACTTGAAGCCATGAAGATCTCTTGCCAAAATCGAAAAGCTATATTTTGTTTGGCTCGAGCGTTGGTGAATCTAAAACAATGGAAACTAGCTTCGCAGGCCTGCCGACTTTATCGGTAAGGTATTCACACTGTTTTATTAAATAGTACGTTTAGTGTTTCTTTCCCACAAAGTAACACGATTCGTCGAGTTGAAGACAAATTAAGAGGCATTGAGGATTCGTTTAGTGCCGAGAATAGGTTTGTTGTGCTTATTTAGGTATTAAGGTGTAGGCTCTATTTAGGGATTACAAAGAACGATACATTGGCCAACATAACAACTTCACGGACATAAAGGAAGCAGCCTTCTTTGGTGGAAATCAAGTGAGCCTAATAAAAAGAAATTTTGAACAGCAACTTTATTTAGGGCTATATATTGGCCGGAAGTGATTGCGGAAGCCTATTTGTTTGGGATCGAAAAGCGGGAGTACTTCACTCACGTTAGTTGAATAATGGTTGATTTTTTGAATGGTTGATTTAGTCTTTAATGCTGATGCGGACATTTTAAACATCGTGCAACCTCATCCAACATTGCCAATTTTTGCCACGTCAGGAATTGAGGATGTTATTCGATTATGGGGTCCAATGCCAGCGGAAGAATATCGCTGTCAAGAAAAGTGGGTTACCCTTGGGTTTTATTTTTAAACAGTACAATAATTTATTAAGCGTTTCCAAACTTTCACTTTAGATATGAAAATCCATACGAGGCACTCAAGAGCATCCATGGACCGGGTGCGTCCGATGCTTCAATCTTACAAGGTCATCAGTTTCTTCGAATGTTTCACATGAATGAGGCTCCAATTGAATGTACAATGCAGTAGTGTCGTAGGATTTTGTGTACATATGTGCTTAATTTGTAGTTTTGTAATCAATTTCTAGGTTCAACATTAGAAATAGTTCGTTTTGGATTTATTTTGCATCGGGTTATTTTTGACAATGTTATAAATAATTTTTTCAACATTATGTATTTAGGCAGTGAGCACAGCGGGTACCACAGGTTAAACTGGTCAAACGTTTTTGGGACAACGATAATCTCAACAAAATGCGGAAATCACAACAAATTGAATAGTTATTTGTAAACGATAGATGATTTTCGGTGTCTTTTAATGACACTCCGCTTGGCAAGCTCGATTCCAGCCACATCACGTCCGAAAAACGAGATCAACTGAGGATGTAGGCTGAAATTGGAGTGTTCGGTTTAATGGAACAACTTGTGAAGCAACAAATGGACAATTGGACAGCGACCACTGTAGACTTTAGTCAAATTTAGCTTCACTCACCGGAAATGCAATGCCGCATCAGCTGGCTGATGGAGAATTTCTGAAAGAGCACTGTACAATGGGTATTTTAAATACTCAAACCTCCATCAAGATTCCACACACCAGGCGTTGCATTTATGTTCATATTCGGTTGAAAGGACCACCGCTCAACCCGGAAAACGTTCAAAGATCGATCCAGACCGTATAGCTGAAGTAGGTAGTGTTTTCAGAAATCTTTTAGGTCTACGTAATAGTGAAATTTTATCTCAAATCCATTCACTAACCCCTTTTCCTCCGTACATGGCAACTTTTCTCATGAATTGCATATTATGACACCGAGAGATTTGTGGGACCATCGCCAAATCGAGTGAGCCGTCACCTGGAAATGTTTAATAGATCTGCGTAAACTGCTTACGCAAAGCAACTGAATTGAACCAGGCTTTTCGAGATTCATCTAGGATTGAGATATTACGATATTGAATTGTTCTGTTTCATGGGCGTGATAGGGATCTACCGTGACCTGTTGACGGAGAGATATCTACGTAAAATAAAAGATCTTCACTTCACATACCGATTCCCGTGAATGGAGCTAAACCATAGGGGGTAAATGGGGTGATCGTCGGAATGACACAACAGATAACGTGAGTGAAATCAGCCTGCCAATGAAAGTCGTAACCACCAGCCGTTTCTTTGCTAAAATTTGGACATATTGGGCTGTCCAGAGAGCCAGTCTAATCGATCTTTTCAATCTGTAACAAATTGATAATACGACGAACCCTTCACAAATCGGACATTCACCAACACACGGCGGCAAAGAATTCTTCGGATCTTGTGTCTCTTTTGGCACTAATGAGAATTGCACTCGCCCCCGGTACCTTGGATGTCGGATTGTTGTTCGGAGAGCTAAATTGAGAGATGTGAGTCTGAACAAAGGAGTGAATCTGTTATGCAAATCTGATCATAACCATCACCCACCACTCCACTGATATCGAATGGGTCCAAGCCATCGAAATCTCTCCGAGTCCTCTAACACGTCACCCAACCATCCATACGAGATCGCGTTCGCTGATATCCGCAACAATTTCTCGTTCTCGTGCACCGTACACACGTCCACATTGCATTCAGAACCTGAGATTTACATTTTTGCTGGCTAGAACCCTCTTCACTCACCAATAGCAATATGCACGGCAGCTGTTGCCCAATCGTCCGTCTCGTGCACTGTGGAGACAATCGAGTTCGCACTGCCTGCTCCAATGATCCCAAAACGGAATGATGGGGTGGATAGACGGGGAGCGGTTGGAGAGTTGATGTCTTTGCCTAGATGGGAATAGTTAGGTACTAGTTAGATCTCTATTATCTGTAGTTTCTACCTGCTTCATTCTGTGTTCGCTGAATGGCGGCTGAGAGAATCTCGTTGAAAAGTCCATCGCCACCAACAGAAACAAGACCCTCCAAGGCTTCCCATCTAAAGTTGAGGTTGGACTCAAGTTAAATAACAAACTTAAGACACAAAAAACAACTTTGACAAGGTAAAACAGTTCTTAACACTTCTCAAAACATTACTCATGTTGTGGCATCTCTTTGACAAAATCGTGTGCGTGATTCGCTCTCTGTGTCTCAATCACATTACACCGAATGCCAGCCATCTTGAAAAACGGTTCAACCTAGATTTTTTATTACATTTACTTATAAATTTTAACTTTTAAACCTGTGTCTTGTAAATGTGCCTTGCTTTCCCTTTTCCACCAAAAGGATTCACGAAGATGGTGAGCTTGTGCGGGCGTTGGCGAATGCCTAAACATTTAACAGTTTAATAGTTATCATCAGATATGCTATTTTTACATTGTAATGTGGCGGTGATGATCGATTGCCAGTAGTTTCGCTCGGATGGAGTCGCGAATCGAACGGGTAATTCCTAAAAGCGACATTGTTTGGACTGTTTGTTTGAATTCGTCACTGACACAAGAATGACAATTTGATCAGAATTGTCAGAATTTACTGATCATCAAGTCAAGCAATGCCAGAGCAAGGGAAAAGGCCAAGATTTAGTTGCCTTGGCTGGCCTAGCTTTACTGAAAGGTCGCGTCCGTTCCCTTCCTATTTGCGTTCTTATTTGCATTTAATTTGCGTCGCTTTTTTGTCTCATTCTCTTACGTTGCTTTTTCGTCTCATTTTCTCCCCACAAATTTCATTTTTTGTTTTTCGGGAGAACTTGTGTGTGTTTGAAATGATTTTTGAGTTTCCCCCTCTTCTTTCGGGATTTGCTGACAGATTGCTATCTTTCGTATTGAATTTCCTATCGTGAAGCTAGTTCATGATAGTTTGTCATTCCGCCCACTTTGCGTTTTTGCTCTAAATTCCTTTATTGTCCGTACTATTTTCCCTCTTTTCTATTCGGTGTAAATTTTGCTGGTCGACTTATTCATTTGCCGAATAAGGATAAATATTAAGTCCGAATCCGATCTAAACTTAATTGTTTTTGCCTTTAAACGTAATCTAGCCTATCTGGGTTATATGCTAGTTATTTCTTGAGAATTTCCTATAAATTTAGTATCATTTGATGAAAAATTAGGTATAATAAATTTGCGGGGGGCGGCACTCTTTTTTTCTTCAAAACCACTTTTTCTGGGGTAATTTTATGCGTAGATTCCGAAAAACACAACGAGCGCTTGGGAAAATGCGTTTTAAGCCAAGTTTCGGGGCTCCAAAGTGCGCACTTCTGTAGTGTACTTCACTATATGGAACCAAAGCTATCGACTATTGGGGCAAAACTAGAGCCAAAACCATTTTTAACGACTAAATATTCATTTTCTAATTTAAATTGACTAATAGAGACAAAACAAATCGAAAAAATATTCTTTGGGATTTTGACTTCTTTTGACTCATTTTACAGAAATCTAAGGTATTTGGGCAAAAACTAAAAACGCCATCGTGTTGCCCGTGTTCGACTTACGTAAGTCATATAGTTTTGGTTCGGATTCGCGCTTGCGAAATCTGATCGTTCCCTAGTTAGAGCCAAAATGGGCTAGGTTGTTGTTGGCAAAACAATTAAGTTTAAATCGGCTTCGGCCGTAACATATTTGATGTTTCTCTTCATGTGCACACTGTTTTTGTAATGGGTATCGTTGTTTTTTCTTTTATTAAACCGTAAATTATAGATCCGATCTACTTTAAACTACTTTTAAGTTTCTAAATTCTGTTTATATAGCTCTAACGTTATGAAAAGAATTTGCCAATATTTGTGTTGCCATCGTCAATCTGTTTAGTTATCACGAGCGTTGACTCTATACTGAATTTTTCGTCTTCTTATGATATTGTGAGCGTTTTGGGGAAACCCGTTTAACTTGTGCTACTTGGCTATCCTGAAACAAAATCATCTCTGATGATAAGGTTAAAGCGGGTTACACCCTGAACTGCAAGCCTGGTTCAGCAAAAAGTTCGCTAAAGCAGCTCTGGACCCTTTTGCTCATATTTAACATATTCAACTCACGTTTTTAAGGATTTGTTATTTATTTCGTAGAAATTTCTCGGTAACTTTGTACTAGTTTTCAAGAGGAGATTCAGGGCTATCGAATGAATGTGTTATAATTTAGTTTATCTTTTGATCTTCACTAATTCCTCAGTAAAGCAGTTAACAACTACGCGACTGTACGTCCAAAATACCGTCCAATGAATGTGTTAATCCGTATTCAATCACCTTTAATCGCCATTTCTTCTTATCCTTTCGAAAAACAAAGTAGAAAAAGAGAGTATTCGTTGAAATTGGTTCTTTTCCGGTTAGAATGGGAACACCTAAAGTCGAAATATTTGTATTTTATTGCTTCTCATTCCCTTACCCGATTTAATCTTCACAGAATAGTCTTGTACACACAAAAGTTCATCGATTCGAAAGGTGACCGTGTGTTTTCGGCTACCGCTGAAATGAGGGATTTTCCGGTAAAAAATTGTTAACAAATTCAAAACCAATACATTTCCAAGGAGACAAACAACAATCAAGGACAACACTTTCATTTTTCTCATTTCTTACTTGCTAGACGCTTTTTGACAGAGACCCGTACGAGAACTAAAGGAGCGATTTTATGAAGGAAAGATTGTCATGCTGAGGGAGAAGAGAGATTGACAAGAGAGATTTTAGGGTGTGCTTTATAAATTGTAGCTTACTGTACAAAGCACACCCTGACAGAACGACTAGACTTCTCGAGGCTGGCTAGGAGAAGCTGACAAGGGAATGGTGCCAGCTCGTAGTTGAGAATCATTTTGGACTCTTTATGAGGCCGTCACAAGCAATGTCCCCGACAGCTCCTGTGGTCTATCGGATAGTGTGCTGGTCTACGGAACTTTCTTTGGATTGGATTCGAATCCTCATCTACCAATTTTCTTGCTTTTTTACAGCTTCTAGAGTTTCTACAGCTTCTACAACTTCTAAAGACGTCTCGATTCGATTCTCAACTTCTGAGACCATTTCCTTGTAAGCTATAAGTCATGAAAATGGGAACTCTTTCTAAACCTCTACATCAACTCCAAACATCAACTAGTAGCTTATCTCTAACTCACTCAAGAAGAATGAACTGAAAAACGTTTAGATGTCGATTGAAGACAACACGATGACCAATCCCGTGTGGAGAAGTGACATCAGCAACGAGGAAACCACCTTCACCGGGAACCTGGAATTAGGAGAATACCATTTGATTGATTGACTAGAACTAATTGATTGATTGACTAGTTTATAATTGATTGATTGACTAGCCATCTCTTATAGGGATTGGCGAGAGTGGGACTCGAACTTGGGGACAAGAATGTGATATAGGTTCGGCAGTCTAGCAGACTATTCACTGGACTATCGAAGCAGCTGTTCAAGGAGCTCAAAAGCTTCTCATAAGGAGCTCAAAATGCAGCGTGGCAGCCTAAGCATGGCAGCCTAAGGAGCTCCCTATAAGGAGCCTCAAAGCGATTTTCTATGCCAAATATCTCGCGTTTGAGAAGCGTTCTGCAAAAACTAAAAACGGATTCGACATCTCCATTGTCGACTCTATGAGGTGGACTTGGTCTTGAGTCAAAAAGCCATGCTTGATTCGGTGCCTTTTTAGCTCAAAGAGTCAAATACTGTTCGGAAATTCTTCCGATAAAGTTGATTTCTCTTTAAAATCTATCGATCAATGTTCCCTTAATCCTCCTTTATCCTCCAAAATCTTTCCGCGATTTCCCCAGATATAAGCTAGCCAAAAAGCTAGCCAAAACATAGACATTTCAAAACAATTCCCATTCAACTTTTCGGTATATAAACCCTCCTGTGCTTTAATAAATATTCTGCCTGAACCAAGGGCTTTAATAAATATTCTGCCTGAGCATCTTATCCCGAACAAATACGATCAAATCTCTGACCTGACTCCTTTGTGACGGCAAAAGCGAATTGGGATCCGTTGACAGAAAATTGTCTTTCTCTCCGGAGGTTCCAAAGTCTGAAGAGAAGATATCAGGAATGTACTTTGAATTAGAGTTCGGCAAACAAAACCGAAACCAAAACAGACCAAAACCAAAACCAAAACACCAAAACAAAACAAAGCTTAATTTGCATATAAATTAACATGTAAATTTAAAATTGTAAAATGCAAATTTTAATGTAAAATGCAAATTTGCCTTTCACTTTTTCTCACTCCCCAAAATCTCGCGGCCGAAAAAAGGACCAAAACACGACCTCGAAATTTCGAAACAAAAAATAGCCTATGGGATAGATTTTTGGACGCTGATTTCAAATCTGCAAACAGATTTTCGCTAGCTCCTCCCAATCCCGAGATATTGGCGAGTTTTGGTTAGTTTTGGTTTTGGTTTTGGTTTGGTTTTGTTATGGTTTTGGTTTTGGTTTTGGTTAAGTTTTGTTTTCCGAAGTCTACTTTGAATCAAATTTCAGGCAGCTTCTTTACTATTATTCATTTTTCATTGTTCACCTAAACTTTGCTGAACTTTTCCATCAATTGTCAGCGCTGCATTTCCATCTTTTGACACCTCTATCGTCATCTGAATTGAAAAGTTTATGGGAAAAGATTGAAGGAAAAAAGTTGGGAAATTCGGAAAACCGGGAATTGCAGAGTTTAAGTAATGTTTTTAGAATAGGAATCGAAAAAATAGGTACAACTTTTCTTTGGAAACTTGGATGATTCAAGTTTTCTTTTTTCTTTCCTTTTATTTGACCTTTTCATCTCTTTTACCTTTCTTGCTCGATTTTTTTTCCAGAAATTGAGAGATTTTTTCTTAAAATTGAGAGATTTGTGCAAAAGTCGTGATTTCTTTTCTTTCTTTTCAACCGAAAATTGCATTTCCTCCGAATCAATTGAAATCGCCCACCCTTTTTTGAAAAAGATGTAAAAGTTCTGAATTGTGATCTTTTAGAAAAGAAAATCATCTTATGCTAAAACAAATTTCTTTAACTATTGCAAAAATGATGAATTGAGTGTGATAGGGAGCGTTTGTTAACAGATTTGCGACGACCGATGAGCTGTTCGTGAGCTAAGCTGTTCGTGAGCTGAGCAGTACGTGAGCTGAGCTATAGGTGAGCTGAGCTGTCCGTGAGCTCAGCTGTCCTTGAGCTAAGCTATTCGTGAGCTGAGCAGTACGTGAGCTGAGCTATAGGTGAGCTGAGCTGTCCGTGAGCTGAGCTGTCCGTGAGCTCAGCTGTCCTTGAGCTAAGCTATTCGTGAGCTGAGCAGTACGTGAGCTGAGCTGTTCGTGAGCTGAGCAGTACGTGAGCTAAGCTGTATGTGAGCTAAGCTGTTCGTGAGCTAAGCTGTTCGTGAGCTGAGCTGTACCTGGGCTGAGCTGTTCATGAGCTGAGCTGTTCATGAGCTGAGCTGTACGTGAGCTGAGCTGAATTTAGCACTTTTTTTACAGGCCAATTGGGCTGAAAATTTGCATCAAAGGGTTTTCAGGGTCAACGAAATTCGAATCCGTTATTAGTTTTTAAAGAAAACCGTAGGATGGATATTTCATTCGGTTTAATTACCCAAGTTTTAGACTTTTGTGATGACCGTATTGGCTTGGAGATTAAAGTTGCTCAAAAACTAATGACGGATACAGATTTTTCATCCCAGAGTGCTTTCGGTTACAATTTTCAAGTCAACAGCTAACATATTAGTGATAGAAATGAAAGCATATCTTTTCAAAAATAAACATATTTCAAGGCACAGCAAATAAGTGTTGTACAAAAGCTCTTGGAATAGCTGCTGTTTAAAGATTTTTAAGACGTTTAAATTGAAAAACAAAAGCTACAAAGAAGAGATGAGATATTACTTGAGAAATTAGAACCATTCTTCAATGGGAAATGTATTGCAATCATTGATTTTAGATTGGTTTTGTATAAGAAAAGCATAAAAACTAACACTGTCAAGCGATTCCCCAGCCCCGAAAACCCCGGGTGCAATTTTTCTGTTCAAAAATTTGAAGTTTTTGAAATTTAAAATTCCAAAAAGAAGATCGCGGTGTGTTCCCTGTGCGCGAGCACAATCGCGCTCGATCTGGCATACGGTGTTAGCAGATATTGTTCGCTTTTCCCCGTTCTAATCGGAAGCGTCCATTTTGGGTCATCCGGTAATCAATCCGTTGTCTGCCCCATGTGGTCACCGCTTCTCACTCTGGCTGTAGGAATGGTGAACCCACTCCCAGCCCATCCTGACCATTGTGGCAGGTTCTCCGCCGGTCGAAATGGGATCCCAAGTGCCTGTAAAAGGGTGCTGAAGGGAGCCGCTGTGAATTTTTGGATTCATCCCAAGGATTTCGGTCCGCAGGGGCAGCAAAAAACTGATGAAACGACACTACAGGGTGTTCCGAAGAGGATATCCGTTTCGGGTCAAATTGTAAAAATATTGCTGATTGGCCAAGGTGGTAGGTATGGTGCGAAAATGATTTTTTTGTGGTCGGGAAATTTGGATGTTTTTTAATGATTTTTACCATATCACGACCCTCTCTATGCAAGAAATTCCTGAGCCACCAGTTGCGCTTCGAACAACACCAGAACAACGATATCGATGGAGTGGTGGCGTTGTTGAGATTGAGGGGTAAGCTAAAAGCTAAGTAACCGTTCAAGTGGAATGGTGAACCCAATCCCGGCCCATCTTGACCATTTTGACAGGTTCTCTGTCGGTCGAAATGGGATCCCAAGTGCCTGTCAAAGGGTGTGCAAGGGAACCGCTGTGAATTTTTGGATTCATCCCAAGGATTTCGGTCCGTAGGGGCAGCAAAAACTCATGAAACGAATTGCATGGCTATTACCAGAAACACATTTTCCAGAAAATCGTCAGAAAATCGTTTTTGACCTTCCAACTTAAAAGTTCCTCAAGTCCCCAATAATAAATCCAATTCAAAATCTTTATGCACTATTTTGTAGAGGAGATTCAGGGCTTTCGAACAGTATATTAAAATTATTGTCTGAGGCTTACAATCTTTCAATTTTTGCAAAGATACGTGAGCGCTCCCACTCTAATAGCTAGTCCGAAGCAGCAGCCAAGCCAAAAATGACTTTATTGTGAATGTGAATGACACAAAGTATGCCGGTTTTGTCTATGACTGGCCATGTTCAATGTGTCATTCTTAAAAGTTAGCTATTTAGCTTTTTATAGTCTTTCTTTGGCCACATGTTGAAGGCAGACAAGCGTGAAGAAATTTGCGGATAGGGGGACTCCACCTTGCACAAAACCACATGGAACCAGCTAGAAATGAAAAAAGAAAAGAAAAGAAAGAAAAAGACAAGAGAAAACCTTTTAGACTAAAGGAATTGTTTCTTCTTATCCAATTTTTATCCAATTTTTCTTATCCAATGGTAAAACTAATTACGTGAAAGACAAAGTGATCTTTGAAGGACAAAGTGATCTTTTATAAAGTCTAAATTGACTTTTAAAGGTAGAAATGAATTCAAATTTGCTTTATTTTTAATTTTATTTAAATTTGCTTTAAAATCTTGATGTAAAACAGACAAATATTGAGAGAAATCAAGAGATTTTTCACTTTTCTTGAAGAGAATCTTTTTTAGAGATAAGAGGAATCAAAAACAGTTGGATTATCAAGTTAGATTATCAATATTATTTATCTTTATCAAGTTTTGGATTGATTTCGAATGTTTACTAATATAAAAAACTTGTTTTTGTTCAACTTTTGCGTTATCTTTTGAATGGGTTTATGAACAAATAAAAGTCAACTTAAAAATGCAAAAGAAAAGGGGAATCGAGGAGTTTTTAGAAGATTTTGAGGCTGAGGATTTTGAGGATTCAAGGAAAAAGCTTAAAAATGAAGGGAATTTGGATTTTGTTAATTAAATTGGGGGGTGGGACAAATGCGACCTTTTTTTGCGCACTCGGACATTTGCGCACCTTTTTTTTGTTGGAAAAGGCCTTAGGCAAAGCCGTAGAGCTTCAAAAATGTTTTCCTAGGGGGGAATCGTATGCGTAGATTCCGAATTTCGACAAATCACACCTCGCTGACACGTCAAATTTGGGCTAAAAGGCAAAAACTACGCAACTTAACGCTTTTCCGCCGTTTTTGCCTTTTAGCCCAAATTTGACGTGTCAGCGAGGTCTGATTTGTCGAAATTTGGAATCTACGCATACGATTCCCTTCTATGAGAACATTTTCGAAGCTCTACGACCTTTCCTAAAGCATTTTTCAGCAAAAAAAAGGTGCGCAAATGTCCAGGTGCGCAAAAAAAGGTCGCATTTGTTCCACCCCCGAAATTTTCAAAAAGAGAAATCCAAGTGAAGCAAGGTTTTAAAAAAAACGAAAAATTGTAAGCTTTTAGATGAAAAATTTCAATTTTAGACAAAAATTGATGAAAGATTTTGAATTTTAAATAAAATTGAAATGAAATTGGAATAAAATTGGAATAAAATTGGAATAAAATTGAAATAAAGGAAGCAAAATGAGAGGAATTGTATACATGCGGATATTATTTATCTTTTTCTGTGTTCAATAAGTGAGTGATGGGAAATTTGAGAGAAAAAAAGGAAAAAGAAAGGAAAAGAATCATTGGGGAAGAAGATGAGAAAAAGAAAGAGACGAGAAAGAGACGAATAAATGGAGAGAAAAGTTTTTTAAGCCAAAATCTCTCATTCACCTCTCTCGTTTTCAACGTTTGCTCAGCTCTTTCTCTATTTCCTTTCCTTTTTCACCTCCATTTCTATTCCCTTTCCATTCCATTTCCATCCAATTTCCTTTCCTTTTTCACCTCCATTCCCATTCCACTCTTTTCTCCATGGAAATCTGACCGACAAACGGACCTGAACTGGACCTTTCCTCTTTCCAACGACACCGAACGTGACAACCGAGTGCCTCACTCACTTATTGAACACTTCTTCTCCCCAACACTTTACCATTCAAACACAAAACACTTTGAGCATTTGTTATGAAAAGATAGAACAGAACAGAACCAACGAGGATTTTCAACGACACCGAACTTGACAACCGAGTGCCTCTTCTTCTCCATTTACCTACTCAACCAATATAGTCGTTTAAACGCATTTCCCATTTGCATTCCCGACGGCAATTGGTCGTTTAAACGAGCACGAGCAACCAAGAAACCGAATCAATCCACCAACACAACCAAGGAGGATCACTCAACCAATCGATTATAGTCATAGGTAGACAAAGAGAAACAGTGAACTGAAAACCAAGAAGCACAAATAAAGCTTATAAAGAGCACAAAAAATTGTTCCCTTTACAGCTATCAACAACCACCGGCTCCATCACAGCCAATCTTCACGTCATCGACCTATTCAAATCCGGTCGAAAGTCGAGCTCCCGTCATACAAAAACAACCAAAGCTTGATGAAATGACCTCTTGAAAATGATTTGAAAACCAAAATCTTCTGCTAAAACTTCTAAAGTTGATAAAATTGATGTGAAAAATGAATTTCTGAGGTGTCGAGCTGGCGAGCTGGCGAAAAGCTGTTAGACTGGGATGAAGGGTCGAAAATTGCCCCTTTCAAATGGCCATTTATCCCTCCGCTTGCTCCGTTTCTTAAATAGAATTTCCCGAATCGAAATTGAGAATTTCTGGTGAAAATGCTATATGATTCTTATGGGTTATACAGCTGCCGATAATTAAAGCCAAAATACGGAATGGCTCAAGCTCAATGGCTCAAGATCACAAATTAGAGATTTTTGCTTGGTGATACAACAAATGGATCCCGCCAATCGCTTCGCCGACCTCGAAAACCCCTCAGTACAAAATTTTGGCTTCAGATCTCATCTGAGCAATGTTTACAGAACAAAAGAAATCCTGAAAAGAGACCGCGTGTTCTATGTGCTGTCTTTGCGCGGCCGCGTAATCGCTCGGCGTCTGGCGCAGGGCTTTTATTCAAGAGGGGCGTGGCGCAGGGCTTTTCCCCCTTCTCCCCAAGCAATCTGTCCGGGTCCGGGCCACACTTCCCGGGTCCGGGCTACACTTCCCGGGTGCGGGCTACACTTCCCGGGTGCGGGCTACACTTCCCGGGTGCGGGCTACACTTCCCGGGTCCGGGTTACACTTCTCGCTCAAATGGATCAAACAATTCAGTAGTAAAGGACTCATCCCGTCTAGAATTGATGTTTACATGAACAAATGATCGTCAAGTCTTGATCCAAAGCCAATCCTTGAAGTCAGGAAGTTCCAGGTTCAGCGACTGAACTGGATAGCTTTTGCCGCTTGACTTAAGACAAAAAGCTTAGCTTGTTTAGATGTGACAAAGCAAGGTCCAAATCTGATATCAGTTCTTTCTAATATTTTCAGTGATAGGAAATTTTCAGGGAAAATCGAATAACAAAGATCTTAATGGGACAATTTGAACGATTGTCACACTGGAACACACTTGATCTCAAGATCAAATGTGTTCCTTTTCCTAAAACGTGAAAACTTTCGAAAACTACCCTTTCTCTTTCAATTTTCAAATGACAAATTTCAATTCAATCTCAATTTTGCCAAAAAATTCTGAATCAGTCAGAAAATTTGTCTCAAATCTCAAAGATTTGTCAAAAATGAAATCTCGGCGTCTCCAGCAACTCCAGCAAAAGCTTAGCAACAAAAACAACCTCCCAGCAACCCGTTTTTGTATAAAATTTCAATCTCCAGACTTTTGAAGAAATAAGAATTTTTATTTAGATATTAGCATGAAACTAAACTTTCAACTTTCAACTTTAAACTTTAAACTTTAAAATTTAAACTTTAAATTTGAACTTTAAACTTTAAACAGTTTGATATTCAGGGTAATCCCATCCAAATGTTGCCACCACATCCCATTTCATCGAGTGGAGCTGCTGTGATCGATATCCCGTTGACACCAATGGTAAACTTTGTTAGCTGCTAAACATAGCTGCTAAACAATAGCTGCTAAACAGTCATAAACTTACCGTAACCAGTTATAGTTAGACTAGTAGCACTGTTAAGCAAGCTGCACACTGCACTACGAGACTGGATTTTTGTCAAGGTTTTTGTCAAGGTTTTTGTCAAGGTCTAAGTCAAATAGGAAACCATATTGCTGATAAAGTAAGGAATTAGACTAGAGTGTGTTCCTCATGAACTGGGAAATAGTTAGAAAACAGCTAGAAATGGATGATCGACTGATCACCGATCGATCGGTGACTGATCGACCGATGACTGATCGGGCTCATTTGAGGGTCTGAAAAATCGGCTGCAAATACTCCAATCAAAGGTCTTTTCGTACAGAAATGTAGGCAAGAATTCAGGCTTCAATTCTCTATATAATACTTGGGGTTTTTGAATTGATTGGCATGAAATCTGCTGAAAAGGTGTAGCCGTAATTCTTGCGCAGGCAAACTGGCAAACTGGCATAGGAAATAGGCATAGGCATACCTAACTGCCTCGCTTGGCATTTTCTTGCCATTCTTTTGCCATTCTCATGCCATTCTCTTGCCATTCTTTATCCCAACTCATCCAGACTCTCTCCCGCACTCCAATCGCTCTCATTGATGGAGATCCTTCTCAAACAAAAGATCTCATTGATGGAGAAGTGAACAATGTGGATATCGTCTTTGATAAGGAATTGCCTGATGAACTCGCTTGTCCATGCTGTGAACAGGTTTCAGAATTGATTGTACGTCTAGTAGTTACAGTATTTGAATTTGAGACAATTCTGTTTACAATACCCTTCCAGGCTCTCCGCTTAGCAACAAAAGCCCCATGTGGTCATCTCTATTGTCAAGAGTGTTTGAATGGGTGAGTTTGTTTGGTCTTTAATAACTGAATAATACTTTAATATTCAATATAAAACTTTGAATCACTTATTAGACAAATTCTAGCCTCAAAAATTGCATGGTTTGCAACGCGGAGATCCCTATCGGTTCGGGGAAACTCGAAAAGAATACAATGCGAAAAATTCAGGTCTAAAAGTTTTAGTTTTATTAAAAAAAGGTTCAAAATGTTAAAAATACTTAAATCTGCTAAATTTCAATGGAAATTCGACAATTTCTAAGACTTACAGGCGCTTGGCGTACTATGTTACTACTTACAGGCTCCTAGAGTACTATGTTACTACTTACAGGCTCTTAGAGTACTATGTTACTACTTACAGGCTCCTAGAGTACTATGTTACTACTTGCAGGCTCTTGGAGTACTATGTTACTATTTACAGGCGCTTGGAGTACTATGTTACTATTTACAGGCTCTTGGCGTACTATGTTACTAGTTACAGGCTCTTAGAGTACTATGTTACTATTTACAGGCTCTTGGAGTACTATGTTCATGGCAAGATCAAGGCTGCTCATGGAGAGGAGTGCTAAAAGATCTTGAGGTGAGGAAAATACTATTATTTAGCGATATAATCGATGTTAAAAGGAAAATAATGAATTTACTATCGATAATGAATTTAAAACTATTGATTTAAACTTACTGTACTCTTTTTAGAAGCACGCACTCGGGTGTGAGTACCGAGAAATCGTGTGCAAGCAAGGCTGCGGGCAAATCTACGCGAAAAAGAATGAGGGTTTGCAAATTTGTATACCGTAAATACTGTAATAGTACCCCCAACCCCCTCGTACAGTCGCGTCGTCGCAAAAGTTTTTTAGTATTTCATTTTTTGCAAAGCACCCGTACTTTCAAAAAATAGCCCTGAATTTCAGCTATTTTTTGATACCTAAGCGCACATTGTAGCATAAACCAGTGTCAAGAAAAGCGCGTTCAAAGCTAGACTACGCAACACTCCGCCCCCGTAAAACTTTGGATTTAATTTTTATAGAACTTGTATTTAAAATTATAAAAAAGATTAAGTCGGATTTGGATCTGATCTGATCGCCTAGTTGGATTCGAATGTCCGGATCAGATCTGATCTGATTGTCAAGTCGGATTCGAATGTCCGGATCAGATCTGATCTGATCGCCTAGTCGGATTCGAATGTCCGGATCAGACCTGATCTGATTGTCAAGTCGGATTCGAATGTCCGGATCAGATCTGATCTGATCGCCTAGTCGGATTCGAATGTCCGGATCAGATCTGATCTGATTGTCAAGTCGGATTCGAATGTCCGGATCAGATCTGATCTGATCGCCTAGTCGGATTCGAATGTCCGGATCAGATCTGATCTGATTGTCAAGTCGGATTCGAATGTCCGGATCAGATCTGATCGTCAAGTCGGATCCGAATGTCCGGATCAGATCTGATCTGATCGCCTAGTCGGATTCGGACGTAACAAATAAAATATAGTCTTATATCTATAGAATTATATCTATAGAAATATATCTTATGTCTAGAATATTGTGAATTTGCTCTAGAACTTCATCTCCTCGAAGAATGTGGTCGTCGTGGGGTGATTTGTCCGGATTGTAACAAAGAGATCCCAGCAAAAGCTATCGATGTCCATAACAAGGTTACTTTTCTTGCATTTCTATTAACTATTTCCTTAATTGTTACTAAGCTGTAGTTGAGTTGTCTGATTTCGGAAAGCCAAATTTGCAGTTTTGCGGAATGGCGATCATCAACTGTCCGAATCAGTGTGGATTGGAGAATGTGACGAGAGATCTCGTGAGTAATATAGTGATATCATTAGAGATCAAATTGAATAGTTTATAAGAAAATCTATGAAGCTATGAAGCTATGGAGCTATGTAGCTATGAAGCTATGAAGCTATGAAGCTATGGAGCTATGAAGCTATGAAGCTATCAAGCTATGGAGCTATGAAGCTATGAAGCTATGAAGCTATGGAGCTATGAAGCTATGAAGCTGTGTAGCTATGGAGCTATGAAGCTATGAAGCTGTGTAGCTATTAAGCTATGAAGCTATGAAGCTATAAGTCTAGAAATCTAGGCTAGAAAGCTAGAAAGCTAGGCTATAGATCTATAGTCTATAAATCTATAGATTTATAGATCTACAAACCTATACTCTGTCTGTACCCATTTCCAGGCTCATGCCCACCTTCCACTTTGTCCGAAACGCGGGAATGGTTGTCCATTTGGAGAGTTTGGGTGTGATTATGCGGGAGAGAAACGGGTGAGTCCTTTCCGATCCGATCTTAAAGATAAAGATAGCTCTGTCCTTTATACTCTTTTTCTATTCTATCTTCTTAATCTTTCGATGCATTTAGGCTCTTCAAAAACATATCAGTGAGGAGCCAATACGTCATCTCACCTATCTCTGTGATGGAGTTGTCGAGTTGAAGGTGGGGAACTCGGAATACCAACCACAGTCCGCCAGTGTGTCTACAGAGGCTAAACTATTGACTAACTATTGAATAACTATTGCTAAACTGACTATTTACTGATTAAACTATTGCTAAAGGATATCTACAGTAACTATTGCTACCGTAAGCTTACAGTAAGCTAACTATTGCTACAATCTATCTACCGTAAGCTAACTATTGCTACAATCTATCCACCGTAAGCTAAACTGTTGCTTCTAGATGCTTCTCACTCACATGCAATCACAAATGGAAACGATGACCAAAGCGATGCAAGATCTGCAAATAAAAGTAGACAAATGAATGTATTTTATCAGAGCAACATGCAACATCTTGGAGCAAACAAGATTCAAGATTCAAGAAAACAAGACAAGCAAACAAGAACGGAGATCTTTCAGAGCAACATCTTGGAGAAGCTCTACGGATCGCAACTTGTCTGGCGTATCGACAACTTTCGTCAAAAGCAAAACGAAGCAAGATCCGGAGCCAAGTAGGAATTCTCAATTACCTTAAGAATTACCTTTTCATAGATCAACGATCTTTTCAACGCCCTTCATGTCGGGTCGACATGGATATAAAATGATTTGCTCGGTGTGTCCCTATGGAGATGGAGCTGGTTAGTGAAAGGGATGTGAAAGGGAAAGGGATCGTACATTGTGATATTCTAAAAAGTGCATTTGAAAAGCTATTGTATCCGGTTTATTTAAAGTTTAACCAATGATTAAACAGTGAATTCGACTAGGGGCTTTTGATGGCTTTTGATAGCCTCTGATGACCTTTTGATGGCTTTTGATAGCTTTTTGATGGCTTTGGATGGCTTCTGATGGCCTCTGATGACCTTTTGATGGCCTTTGATGACCATTTGATGGCCTCTGATGGCTTTTGATGGCCTCTGATGACCTTTTGATGGTTTTTGATGGCTTTTGATGACCATTTGATAGCTTCTGATGACCTTTTGATGGCTTTTGATAGCTTTTGATGGCTTTGGATGGCTTCTGATGGCCTCTGATGACCATTTGATGGCTTCTGATGACCTTTTGATGGCTTCTGATGGCATTTTGATAGCCTTTTTGATTCTCTCCCAGTCTATTTCATAGAGCTTTCAATGGAGATTCTGAATCCGTTTTTAGTTTTCCCAATCGAGCTCTGTATCGCGAGGTATCTGAGATCAAAGTTTAGGTGTTATAGAGCTGTTATGGAGCTGTTATGGGTCTTATTCATCACTTATTCATCTAATAGTTTAAAAGAAGGATTACGATAGGTTTAGCTTTCAAAATCTCATCAAAATCCTTCAGCTCGAGGTCAATATTTCTCGATTTATGTGGCGATAATGAGAGGTGAATTTGACGCTCTTCTCCCGTGGCCTTTCACTCATAAAGTCACGTTCACTTTGATGGATCAAGTGAGGAAAATGGCCATGTTTTTTTGATTGTTTGAATGCCAGAATGCCAGAACTGAATGCCACAAATGAATGCCACAAATGAAAGACAAGAAAAGTTTTGATTTCAGACTCGTATCAACGGAAAGGCTAACAACAAGACGTATGTGGTGAAGCCGATCACCTCGAGGGAAAATAAGGTTGGCTTACTTAGGCTCCAATCGGCTTTCCATCAAGATTCCAATCGATTGATTGGAATCTTGGCTGTACTTTGAGCACTCACAAACGCAAGCTTTCTAGTACACCGTGCTCTGGTGTACTAGAAAGCTAAAAAAAGGACAAAAAGCTGATTTAAATCCATTTTTAGGTTTTCTTGGAGCGCCCGGTGAGCGAGCGAAACGCGGCCTTCGGAGCACAGAAATTCTGTGATCTCAGCCAACTCGAGTCGTTTATTGTGGTGAGTTTAAAATAAATACCGTAAATACTGTAATAGTACCCCACCCCGATAATGACGGGGGCGGAGTGTTGCGTAGTCTAGCTTTGAACGAGTTTGTCTCGACACTGGTTTATGCTACAATGCTCGTTTAGGTATCAAAAAATAGCTGAAATTCAGGGCTATTTTTTGATACCAAAGACGTATTTTTTGAAAGTATGGGCGCTTTGAAAAAAATGAAATACTAAAAAACTAAAAAACTTTTGCGACTACGCGACTGTACGAGGGGGCTGGGGGCTCTTGGAGTACTATGTTCATGGCAAGATCAAGGCTATTCAGATCAAGGCTATACAGTATTTACGGTAACTTATTCTACAAGAATTATCTAATCGTTATCATTATTATCGTTATCTTAAATAATCTCATTTCAGGATGACACGATCTTCATCAAAGTGAACATCGATTTGGAGACTGAGAGAGGATGAGAAACGCACTTTGAGAAAATGATCTTTTTTCTTTTAATCTTCGGCTTAACTTTATAACTCTTTACTTTACAATAACTTAAACTTTATAACTTTACTATTCAAGTCCATCTATAACTTTCGTTCATTTAAACATTCATTCATTTAAAGAAGGAATAAATCCAGTTGTTAAATCCAGTTGTCCAGCTGGGAATAAATCCAGTTGTTAAACATTTCTGATACCCTGAATTCATTTGTTAAACATTTTTGCTGGATTGCCTTACAAATCCAATTGAAAACGCCGCAAACCCAAAAACTATGGTTCACCAAAAAGCAGGAGCCGGGGTCGAACCCCGGACCCCCCTCGGATTGAGAGACAGACGCTCTGTTAATACACCATGAGACCACCTTGATTCCTTTGCTTTTTCGTGCCTTTTCTCCTCGAGGGACTCTTTTTACTACCTTTTTGAGAATCCATCATTTCAACACAAACTTTCAGCTTTCCTATGGATACGGTAGCTGCTATAATAGAGAAAATGGTTATAAGGAAACCTACAACCTAAAGCTACAGTACCCTAGCTACAGTACTGCGTTACAGTATCCCCCACAGAGCTCCAAGTCCCGGCAATTCTTACAACCGCCACATCTACAGTACCTTAGTAGGGTGCTGTAGACGTTGAAGAGTACTGTAGCTGTAGAAAGAACTGTTTTTTCTTAACCTTATTGTACAGAAATATAAGAATTGTACAGAAATATAAGAATTGTACCTTATTGTACAGAACGATCTTGTACAGAATTGTACAGATCTTGACCAGCCTCTATGATCCACTACAATTCTAGTTTAAGAAAAAAGTTGCAAATCGTGGGACTAGAAAAAAGCGAAAAGAGATAGATGAGGAACGGAGATCTTGTAGAGCTGTCAGAATGGGGGAAAAGAGGAAAAAGAGACGAACTTTTTCCCATTGAAAGATGCCATTCGATGACATCGGTCATCTCAAAAGAACAGTTCATCCCATCACAGTATATAATCTACTCCAATCACAAGTCAAGCATCAATTGATCTACGTTCAATTTCAATTCTTCAAATGGCTTCTCAAAAGCTCTGCTCTTTGGCTATCATTCTTGCTTTTGCGGTTTTCTATGAAGTACAGGTAAGGAATTGGAATCCAGTTGTTAGCTACAATCCAGTTCTTTCTTACAATTCTTTCCTACAATCCATTTCTTCCTTACAATCCAGTTCTTCCCTACAATCCAGTTCTTCCCCACAACCCAGTTCTTCCCTACAATCCAGTTCTCCCCTACAATCCAGTTCTCCCCTACAATCCATTTCTAGGCAGCTCCAACTCCAGTTGATGTATCAACTCTATCGAATTCCACTGAAATCTCTACTTTAGAAGAACATGGAGTGAGAGTGAAGAGAAGTGGATGCGGGTGAGTGGTGGGATTGTTGATTGAGTTCTGCTGAGCTCTGAGCTCTGAAAAGGACTCAAGGCTCAGGGAATCCCGGGACGATATGACGCAGATGCTTTAGACAAAAGCTTTACCACTGAGCTATGAATGCACAGGAGATCCCTCGTTCTAGGCTCAAAGGCTCAGGCTCGAGGCTCAAAACAACGGCAATGATCTCTATCCCTGTCCCTTCTAGTTCTCATATTTCCATTCAATCTTTAGCTGCTGCGGATGCGGTGGATGCGGTTGCTGTGGCTGTGGAGGATGTGGAGGATGTGGAGGATGCGGATGTTGTTGTTGTAAACCGTAAGCTCCGATTTTCGTAGTCTAATCTTTACCTCAATTTCTAGATGCTGTTGTTGTTGCTGTAAACCGTAAGTTGTCAAAGAGATTGTTTTTCTTGGTGTAAACACACCTTTTCTAGTGCCGAGTACAAAGTACAAAGTAGAAAGTACAACGTACAAAGTACATAGAGCTATCTAAATATGTTTAGATGCTGTTGCTGTTGCAAGAGATGCTGTTGCTGTCAACAATGCTGTTGTCCATGGTAGATTTAAAAAGGAAAATTTCAAAAGTTCTTTAGCTGCTGTTGCTGCAAGCCATGCTGTTGTGGATGCTGTGGATGTGGAGGTGAAAAGAAATCCCTTAAACATTTCGAATCTCGACTTTCAGGTTGTGGAGGTTGTGGATGTTGTGGATGTGGTGGTCGTCGTCGTCGTTCCATTCAAAAGCTTCGAATTCAACATATTGAAAAGCAAATTGCTGAGAAAAAGGTAATAAAGTAAGAAAGATAATGTTATAAAGAGAAATATCTAGGCTCTCTCTCAATCACTCGAGGAAATCGGCCAATAACTAACCAGCCAATAACTTTTATTTAATAATTTATTGATTCGGGGAATAAAGGCGTATCATGGAAAAGTTCAGAAAAGGAAATCAAACAATCAAACACATCTCTGACAGATTACAGAACAAAGACAGACAGACAGATAGACAGACAGACAGACAGACAGATAGACAGACAAATCGACATTTGTACAGCTGTACGGTTTCTCCTTGTTCGTACAAGTACAAGTGTACCAAATCTTATCTTCATATGATCCAGCATCAGCTCGAAGACGATATGCATACTGAATCCCCTTGTCGTTTGTCTAGTGTGTCTCGTTTTGCACTCTAAAGATCCCCTCTCTTGAAAAGAGACTCACGGGGACACTCACACATGGGACCTACTCTTTCCCGTCTCTTCCTCTTCTCTTCCTCTCTTTCCTTCTCTTCTCCGATGTGTATTTGTGGGTGAAGGGTCTCTCCCATCCCTTCCATTCCTTTTCTCACCTCTTCTCACCCCTTTCCCCAACCACTAATAACGATTTCCTCTCACTCCACCCCATCTCCTTCCCTTCCTCCCCTTCTTCCCCTTCTTCCCCCTTTTGCGAATAACTTTTTGATTCAATTTCAATTGTTACATTTTTTTTCTTTGAAAGCTGTAGTAATCGATTTTTTTGAACTTAGAATATAGAAGATATTCAAAAAAAGAGTGATTTGTTCAATTTTCGAATTTTCGAAAAGTTCTTTTCTTTTTTGCCACTTCCTTTTTCCAGGAAGTACCCAGAGTACACCATTTCGCACTCCGCCACTCAAGATTGAGATCTTGGCCGTTTGACCCTTGGCGATTGCACCGACTCTCGCTTAAAGAATGCTCAACTTTCTAGCTCCGAAGTTACGTTTTGTTGATGGAATTGATCAGGTCCTCAGTTGGTTTAACAACTGGGGACCTGATGGTTTGACATGGAACATCACGGTTCCAATGCGATGTCCAAACTTCTGGCATCTAGACGACTATAAAGTATACAGCTGAGCCGGAGCCCAAAGGGAGCATAAGGTAATTCGGTGAGGAGCGACAGACCATTCTGCATCCCTCCAAGCGTGGCACTGTGAAATAGTAGTGATTACATGAGCTGTTTCCCTCACGGAATGCTTCTACAATCCCAAATCTCATTTTTTTTTGTCGGAGGACAGGTGTGCGAGTGAACAGAAAGGAAGACGAAGATCTAGTGGCGGGGAGGGGGAGTCCCTATGAGTAAAACCCCTCTGCTAGAAAGTGCGCGATTGTGTGCACGCTCAAAGAACACCGATCCGTCCACCAATCCGTCCACCGATCCGTGATTTAGTTTTTGGCTGTTTCTCAGCCATACTTTAACGGATTAGGCTCATTTTTATGTGAAAAGATCCGCCTTGAAAAACTACGTCGAATGAGTCTGGGTTTGTTTGGCAAAAGTAAGTTTGAGTGGATAAAACGGGCTTTCTATTAGAGCTTTATCCTATCTGTAAAATGAGCTTTTCTCATATAAGCTTTTATCCTTTTTTTCATATTGAGTACCTCGAACTAGATTGGATTTAAGATTTTGATGATTTTTTTGCTAAATTCCTAGTATCAATTTGAGTGCATTCTTGGGCTCATTTTGATCAATTAGACTGAATATCATAATCCAGACTGAATACCGTAATCCAGCTACTCTTAACTGAATACCCATTCTAGACTAAATACCGTAATCCAACTAATCTAGACTGAATACCTTAATCTAGACTGATCAATTTGATCAATTTGAGTGCATTCTTTGCTGTCATATAAATTTTAGCATTTTTAGCTTTGTACGACTTGTTTCCATCAACTGACAGCTTTTTAAAGGCTTTTTAAATATCTACTTTTTTTTGCAAGACAATCAGATTATCTTTTCTTGGAATTTCTAGCGTAATCCATTTAAAAAATCATTCAAAAAGTTACAAAAGGATTTCTTTTTTTTTCTTGAACATTGCACAGATGAGATTTGAAGCCAAAAGTTTGCACTAAGGGTTTTCGAGCTCGGGGAATCGATTGGCGGGGTTCATTTATTGTATTTCCTAACAAAATCTCTAATTTGCGCCGATCTTGAGCCTGATTGCAACAATTTGGACACCTTTTCCTTTCCAGAATGATTGATCGAGGTCGGGGAATCGATTGGCAGAGTTTATTTCGTTGGATCTCCAAGGAAAATCTCTAATTTGTGACGAACGAGTCATTTTTTTGACTGGAAATAATTAGCTAGCTATCCAGCTCATAAGCTATCCAGTTCAGTGGCTGAACCTGAACTTCCTGACTTCAAGGATTGCCTTTAGATCAAGACTTGACGATCATTTGTTCATGTAAAGATGCTCGGCGAGATGAGAATTACTGAATTATTTGATCGATTTGAATTGGAAGCGTAGCTCGGAGCGGGACAGATTGCCTGCGACGAGCGGAAAAAGCCCCTCTTCAATAAAAGCCCTACGCCAGACGGTGAGCGATTACGCGGCCGCATAAAGACCGCACAAAGAAGGAGAAATCGGTCAATTATTAATAACCGGAAGCGGGACAGAATGCTTACAAAAATGGAAAAGGCCCTCTCTTGAGTAAAAGCCCTGCGCCAGACGGTGAGCGATTACGCAACCACACAAAGACCGCATAAAGAACACCGGTCTCTATAGAATTTCTTTTGTTCTGTAAACATTGCACAGATGAGATTTGAAGCCAAAAGTTTGCACTAAGGGTTTTCGAGGGCGGGGAATCGATTGGCAGAGTTTATTTCGTTGGATCTTCAAGGAAAATCTCTAATTTATGCTGATCTTGAGTCATTTTTTGACTAGAAATAATTATCGTGCTCACAAAGAACCCAGAATTTCTCCGGTTCACTTTTTTTTCTTCTGAAGGTCATTTTGTTTGTTGATGAGGTCTTTTTGAAAAGCAAAAGATTCCAAAAATAAATGCTTTCGCCCCCGTTAATTGGGAATCGAATTTCTCAATCCTTTTTTTAAAATGAAAAATGAATGAAAAAAAATGAATGAAAATGAATGAAGAATGATGAGAAATGAAAAGGTTTATAGAATATAGAATTATAGAATACCCATATAATATTCATTTTGCTTGCAAAAATCAATTTTTCAAAGAATTTCATTTAAAAATATGTTTAAATTCAATTCTTTTACATTAAAAAGTAAAAAAACAACAATTCAATTGTTTCTTAAAAGAAAAGTGTCAATTTGAAAAGGCTTTGAAGGCTTTGAAGGATTTTGAAATTGAAAACAGGAAGCGTGATGAAAGTTCAGCACAGTTTATCTCCAGCACACTTTCCTTCTTTGTAGAGCTGGATGGCTTTGAGCAGAATGGCTTAGAAATGAAATAGAAATGAAATAGAAGCGCTTAGAGTTTCAGCTTCAAATTACTATATAGTTGGATCTGGGTTTTAGCTAGATTTTAGAGCTAGGTTTTAGCTAAAATTGAGCTGTGAAGTGTGAACTTTTTTGAGCACTCTGTAATTGCTAGTTCTGTAAAAGTTGAAAGGGTGAACTTAAGTCTAGAATCTGGCTCTGACAGACTAGTGAATCAAGCTCAAAGCTGGAAAGCCTAGTCAAGGCAAAATCTAGTCAAGGCAAAACCTAGTCAAGGCAGACCTAGACAAGGCAAAAGCTAGTCAAACCAAAAGCTAGTCAAGCCAAAAGCTAGTCAAGGCAAAGCCTAGTCAAGCCAGCTAGTCAAGCCAAAACCTAGTCAATGCAGACCTAGTCAAGCCAAAACCTAGTCAAGCCAAAAGCTAGTCAAGGCAGACCTAGTCAAAGCAAAACCTAGTCAATCCAAAACCTAGTCAAAGCAAAACCTAAAGCAAGGCAAACCTTACAGTTTCAAGCTTAAAATCTAAAGCTAAACCGGGCAAGACCTAGCTTAGATTTAAAGAAATACCTTTAAAACCTTAAGAGTAAAGAGGGTGTTCAGATGAGAGTGAAGAGGGAAATGAAGGGGTGAAAGGGGACCTATGTGGGGTTGAGACTCCTCCTTTTTTCCTTTTACATGGCCCTCTGGGGATCCTTTCCTCCTTTCAGTCGAAGAGCTAAAGAAGGATGCATGTGCAATGTGCTCCCCTTTTTCTTTTTTTTCTACATTTTCCGCTTTTCTCTTTTCCTAAACTTTTTATTAGAGATTAATCCAAAGGCTTTTCTGGCTTTTGTTTTTTACTTTTTGAATAGCTTTATACAGTTTTACAGAAAGACTTGGCTTTGGATTTCCGATTGCTTTCGATTTTTCGATTGCTTTGTCCCATTTCGTTCAATTGCTTACTTGTCTTTAAACTATCCGTTTCTCAAGAGTTCCAAAACAATAGCTAGGTTTTGGCAAGGTTTCTGAACCTGGCTGATGGCCAGAAGGCCAGAAGTAGGTCAGAAGAGCTAGAGGAGAGTCAGAGTTAGATCTAGATCTAGATTCTTCTGGTTCTGGTTAGCTGAATCTGATTTTAGAGCCATCTGTTGAATAGTTGAATAGAAAAATAGCTGATAGTGAACTGCAGTAACTGGATTCAAGTGGAACTGCAGTAACTGGATAACTGGATTCAATTCAAATCTAGGATCTCTAGAAACGGTATGGATTTTAACTAGCTTTACCCAACTCTGGACAAGCCATGCTAGGCTTATAACACATTAATTAACTTGACTAGAATAGACATAAAAACAAATAAACGTTGCCATCAAATCGCTCTAACATCACCGCATTGATTATCAATTTGCCCCGTTCATTTCCAATATTTTCCTTTTCTCTTCTCAATGTGCCCACTTTACGTTGCCAATAGTTCTTTCCCGTTTTCTTTTTTCTTTTTTTTTTCATTTTGCTTCTTTCAACGAGTCAAAGAATTCGAAATGAAGAAGGGGCTTTGAAGCAAAAAAGAAATGAAAGAAGACTTCAGAAAAGGGATATCTTTCTGTCCCTTTTCTTTCTTTTCCTTTTTTCTTTCATTCATCTTCACTCTCATTCATTCGGATTGATCTTTTCTTATTAGTGAATTGATTGTTTTTCTTTGAAAGCTTTTAAATTTTGCTTTTCTTGTTTGTCTCGTTTGTCTTGTGTGTCTTGATGTCTTGATTTCAAATCTTGTTTTGTCTTAAAGTTCATTTTTAGATTGAAATCTTCACACTGTCACCTCTCAGCCAGTCATCGATTACAAGAGATTTTCGATTAGATTTTGAAGAGAGCGGTCAGTGAAAAGCACTTGAATGGCATGTTGTGCGTTCTTTACGTGTTCATAGGAAAAAACGGCATCTGGCACACGGGGAAGCCCCATAGACCAGTTTCGGTGCGCGTACCCTTGACGTCGTTCATAGGAAAAATGGCATCTGGCACACGGCCTTAGCTTAAGTCCCCGGAAAAGCCGGTTTAATTACCCAAGTTTTATGTACCAAAAGGCGATTATGGAAAGCCACAAAGAATAACACTCGTTATTTTTTTTCCGATAGACATAGACACTACAAACGTAAACTACAAAAGCTTCTAACTTGCTTCAAATCTGTCTGATTGAGATGATCTATAGCTCGAAAAATAGAGAATTTCAAGAGCTTTTGAATGATCTAAAGCACATCCAAAAATCAATGCTAAAGAAAGTTACAGTGGTTTATAGGGAAATGGACCGTACTCGCGCGTAGTCATGCTACAGACCACTATAACTTTTTTAGCGTTGTTATTTCCAGGTGTGCTTTAGTTCATTCGAAAGCTCTTGAAATTCTCTATCTTTTGAGCTATAGATCATCTCAATCAAACAGATTTGAAGCAATTTAGAAGCGTTTGTAGCATGACAGGTCATCATTTTTGTAGTTTATAGTGTCCATGTCTATTTTCTTATTTAACTTTTCTAATTTCAGATCGAAATCGAAAAAGTTGATTGTTTTATTGTCTGAATTCATGAACAATTCTCCGATGTGCTCTTGATCTTTTCGTCATTTTCGACATCTTATGTGCATTCGGCGACGTCGTCGCCACTCCTCCGACTCGCCTCACAATAAAGCACATCATTGTCGGTGAGTGAAAAGAATTTACATATCTAATTGTACTCTAAAGATACTATAAAGTAGAAAGCGTTTTCCAAGCCGTGTACATTTGTCATAATTACCCGGACTCACTTCCAGGAGCCAACCGAAGTCGCCTTCCAAACCAACGGAAGCGCGACTCCCAACTTTCAGAGCCTATATAAAACTTTTGCTTACTCCAATCGACTAAATATTGAGCACTGCTGCAGGAGAATTAGTCAAAATTTACCTCTGAAAAAATCAGAGAGATTGCTTTGATTTTGGCTGAGCTAGACTCCTGGAAGTGAGTCCGGATAATTCTCTGTACTCTGTGCTCTCGTCTAAGTGCACACGTTCTGGCCCACCCGTTGAACCCTTGTTTAGTTTAATTACTCAATGAAAACACGTCTTTTCACAAGCTCATTAAACTGAGCTCTCCTTGTTGACCAATTCTTTAAATCACATGATAAAATGAGGGATTTTATTGTCCATCAAAATCCTTTCAACAAATCTTCAAAGCTTGACGACTTGCACAAATGAGGTCTAATTTCCCGTCTCTTTGCTGGCTCTTCTCCAAACAATGCCCATCTAATTATTCTCATCGAATCGCTCTGTTTTTTTTCTCTTCATCTCAACTCCTCATTTCATATATTCAAATGTTAAAAAGCGATTCGATTTACGACTTTGACAATCTTGAAGTGCCGAGTAAGATTAGGTGAGTGCATTTGGATTTTGAGGTGATTTAGAGCTGGTTTTTGATTGATTTTGAGTTGATTTTGAGTTGATTTAACGATTCGCTTGGGATCAATTTCGATTCGATTCGATTCGATTCGACTTGATTTGATTTAACGATTCTAAAACGTGTCTCAAATTTCTTTGCTACTCTGAACGGCCAGCTGGGCAGCTACGCAGAAAGCAAGAGAGTGTTTTCGAATTTTAAGCCATTGAGTCGTCGTTTAAATCATTGAAAGTCGTTAAAACGAGAGTGTATACTTTTCACTGTATATACTGTATACTCAGCTGTATACTTTTCAAAAAGCTCTATGCCTTTTTTTGTGTTTCTTTGAAAATTCTTCGTCTAACACACCGCCAGAATTGCGCAAAACGCTCAAATACTCAATTTCTGTCCTTTTTGACACCTTTCGGTTTAAAATGTTGATATTTATCAAGCTTATAGTTAGAATCAGCACAGAATAATGAGATTCATTCCATATTCTTAAGGAAATGATAAAATTGCAAAAAAGCGATGATAAATCTCCAAAAACTAGTCATTTCTCTTAAAAACTATATGACTAAAAGATCTAAGCCTGGGTCTAAGCCTAAGCCTAGGCCTGAGCCTAAGCTTGAGCCTAAGCCTAAGCCTAGGCCTGAGCCTAAGCTTGAGCCTGAGCTTAAGCCTAAGCCTTTCTTTAAAAACCCTTTAATCAATAACATTGATATAAAAAAGAATTGACTGTGAATAAGATGAAATCTAGAGAGGAAATGGAGAGATTTGGATGGATTCGATGATCTCCCCTAGGGAATTTCTTCGAGAATATCCTTTCCCAAAATCCCTCCATCATCGACTTCATCTTTCACATTTTAGTCATTTCTTCCACAATCTTTCATTTATATCCCAATTTTTTGGTTTTTTAGCTTTACCTGGCTTTCATTTATAATCAGAATCAATAGCTAGAGTGTGTTAGCTTTTCTTAATTAGCTTTTCTTTAAAAATAGCTTTGCCTTAAAAATAGCTTTTCTTTAAGAATAGCTTTTCTTTAAAATTAGCTTTTCTTTAAAATTAGCTTTGCCTTAAAATTAGCTTTGCCTTAAAATTAGCTTTGCTTTCTCTTAACGTTGTCAAATTAGGATCGAGTTTTAGAATAGTCATCTGATCTGATCATCTGATCGAGTTTTCATCGAAGATTCTGAATTCTCCTTTTACTTCTGTATCCGCATTTTCAGAAGAGCTCTAACATAAAAAATTTGATATTTTTTTAAGAGCTTTCAAGCTTTGTACACTTTTCTTACACGTTTTCAACTGACCAAATGGTTAGTGTGAATGCCTTCGAAAATCTTTCCCTTTAAAATCCTTTTCTGCCTGCTCTTTTTGATTTTTTTTTGTATCAAAAGCTGTTTTTTAGGTTTTAAAGAAGTTTACTACACCATTTAACGGTGAAATCTTTAAAAAAAACTTGATCATTTAGTAAGTTGACTGCTGAATCTTGAGATTTCATTCAAACATTCAATTCTTGTCTTATCTTCTCATCTTTTTCTTCTCTATTATCATTTGTTTTTGTTCTTAGATGTTGAGACCAATTGCCCCTTCATCTCCTTCATCTTCTTCATGTCCTGAATGTTCAACGAGAAGAAGAAGCTCTTCACAAAGGATTTGTGATGATCCTGAATGTCATTTATACAGAAAACATTCATGGTAGTTCAGCATAAACAATAATTTAAATATTTACATAGTGGCTATAGTTTAATGAGGTCTAAAGCCGGGTTTTCTTTGATCTTTGTCGTCCTCGTGGTGCAGTCAAGAGCGCGCTTGTCTACAGCCCACACTACAGCCCCTACAGCCCACGGTTCGACCCTCCTAGTGCCACTCTACTTTAAATTTTTATCTAAAATAGCATAACTATACTATTGAGACTATATTTGACTATATTTGAATATACTTGAGACTTTTAAAAATCAGTTCTTATGGCTAAGCCCGTACAGAACAGACACTGCTGTTTATATAGAGTCTTACTTAACTTTTAAACAGAAATTCTAAGTCCCTCAAAAGTTCCTTGTTGTGAAGCACTTGAATCCCTTCCATCTCCCTTTTCCCTACGAAATGAGCTTCGAAATTTCGGCGAGGAAATCGAGAAGTGAATCTTTCTGACAAAGAACAATCGACAACGAGTTTGAGGTGAAAGAGAAAGAAAAGGAGGAGGAAGAGGAGGAAGAGGAGGAAGGAGAAAGAAAGAGAGAGAGGAGAAAGAGGAGAAAGAGAAAGAAAGAAAGAAAGAAAGGCAAGAAAAGGAGATGAGACTTCACGGAGGAAATCTTCATTCTAAACATGATTCGAATTTGGAGAATTCAAGGATTTTCGTTGAGAAGTGGACAATCAGAATAGAAAATGATTAGAGATCAAGACAAGGAAGTTATGTTTTGAGCTGGTAGGTTTTTGCAGATTTCTGCCTGTTTCAATTGCCCAATTGTTGTTGTAGTGCGCCAGAAGGTGTGCGTTTGCCTGCCCGCAAAGCATCTTACAAAGAAACCCCACTAGATCTCCGACATTGTTCAGCTAGAAAGATCCTTTTTCAAAGTTTTCAAAGATCCTTCAATAAGATCCTTTTTCACCCACTTCTCCCAGCTACCTTGGTGGCCTAGTGGTTATTCCCCTTGGTTCATAGGCGAACCGCTGCGTTCAGACCCCTGGTTCAATCCCTCCTGCCGCCTTTTTTTGGTTTTTAGCTTTTTTGGTTTTATTTGATTGGCTAATTGGTTTTTAATTAAACAAACTTATATAATAATAATCTTTATAATAATTTACAATAGGATAGATATCAGAAAACTAAATAACTACATTCAAAGATAGAGCAGTAAGTAGTAACAGTAAAGTAGTAACAATCAGAGTTGTAAAATGAACAAATCAAAACAAAGCATTTGCTCATTTGGCACACCTAAAAAAGACAAATTCGCGCAAATAAAGCAATTAGGGTTTAGATTTTTGAGAAAACAGATCTCAAACAGACTTCTGTAAGATCCAGCTACGGTTTATAGGTAGATTCAACGAATTTCCTCTCTTTGATTCCAATCGAACTTCCCCCGAATCCTTGATTTCTCTCAAGATCCCTCTTTTCTTCAAAAAAGCCCATCAAGCATCGCAGAGTTTATTCTCCATCTCATTGCCCTTTTTTCATTCTCCCCGAAATGCCAGCAATTCCTCTTGACCAGATGTCTGTGTCTCCAGAATCGCCCAAATTCAACTTCACTCTTTCCCTAGCTTCCCAGTCTTTTCCGTCCAGCTTCTCAACAATTCCTTTGATCTTTCTCTATCTCTAGCAATTCGAGCTTTTGCCCGGCCCTGGGCATTCACCGAAAAGAGAACCGCTGCGCGACACGCATCGCCTCTTGCCGAAAAGCCTCTTGACAGCCTCAAGGCTTCTCTCTCTCCATTCCCTCTACGTCTATTCCATCCCGTTGCATCAAAACGGCAACTCTTCACCTCCAGAAAACCCAATCCATCTCCTCATCACTTCTCCCCGTTTCTCCTTTCACAAACAATCCTCCCGAAACCCATCCGTCTCCTTTTTTTGGCCTCTTCTTGGCCTCTTCTTCACCTCTTCTCCCATTCGAGCTCATCTGAATATTGATCGTCGTGGGAGAGTGAATTCTTTCAACATTCCTTTCAACTAAACTGATATTAGCTACAGCGCACAATTTCCGGATTACTCACTGGAATTGATTTGATCTATTGCTTCAAAAAAGAACTCTAGCTTTTGAAGCAATAGATCAAATTCTTTGAACTGGCTTTTCTTTGTCATTCAAACTGATCTGCCACTTCAAACCCGATCTACAATCATCTACAATCATCTACAATCAAATCCTCTACATCAAATCTAGAAAGCTGTCACTAAATTCTTTCAAGAACCATTTCTCCCCTTGATCTTCAACTTCACCATAATCTCCAGAATCTGGTGAACGCTCAAGTGGCGGAGGTGGAGACGGATTCGGATAGAGAGGTGGCTCGACAAGGAGTCCCACCAAGATCCAATCCATCGCCGCCACGTGGGAGAAGAAGGAAAAGATCGAAAAGGCGAACTGAGCGGAGAGCTGAAGGAGATCGATTGTTGTCGACTTCTGCTTCTCCGTCACCCGTACATCGAGAGGATCAAGAAGAAAGAGAGCAAGAGCCCGACGAGCTCTCCACAAGTGCCGGTTTGTGCTCGAGCTATTCACGAATGCTACTCAAACTTCTGCCATGCAGTTGCCCAAATCAGGCACATCCACACAGGTTTGTACTGTGATTTGACAAGAGATTTGAAAGCATTTGTATAATTTACTTTTGTACAATTGTACAATTTACTTTTGTACAATTTCTGCCCAAAAAAATTTTTATCAAATCTTTTCCAAACTATAAACAATTTGGTTTTTTGCTTTTTGGCTTTTTGGTTTTTATGATCAAACCCAAATTCCTATAGTCTTTCTTCTCTTTTCTCTTTCCAATTGACATCTCAGCTGATCCCAAATTTGGAAAAGAACCGTATTGGAACCGTATTAGATCAAAAAAAGGAACCCCAAATTTGGCACGACCAAATTTTCAATTTCAGATTTCATCTGGGGATTTGAGCAATTATAAAAACAATAATTTTCATTCGTAGAATCACATTTTCTTTTTTATTTCTTTTTCTTTTCTTTTTCTTTTTCTTTTTCATTTTCTTTTTCATTTTCTTTTTGATTTCTCATTAATTTCCCTCAATTCTCCAAGGCTTGAGAACAAATTTGAGTCGGCCAATCTGTGAATCTGTATCTGTAATCTGGCCAATCTGTATTTTGTGAAAACATCGACAAATTGTGGGTTTTGATAGAAAATGTTGAGCTTTTGCTGGTTTGGAGAAAACAAGATTGAGAGAAAGTGCGAAAAAAGCTTTAGATAGAGTTTTAGCTTTAGATAGAGAGATAGAGCTTTAGATAGATAGATAGAGCTTTAGCTTTAGATATAGAACAATCGCTTTTTATTCCTATAATTGTCTAATGATCTAATGATCCTATAATCTAATGAAATCAATTAATTCTTTTTGCAAAAGATGTAGCAGGAATTTGCAGCAATTGTCTTTAGCTTTAAAAAATGTCTTTGAATTCTATTAGATAGATATTAAGTTATCTGAGAAAATTAATTTAGAGTGGTGAAATAGGGATTGAAGTTGTTGGGAACTGTGTGATCCCTCCAGTAGGAAAAAACGGCGTCTGGCATGATCGAAATGCCTTCTTGGCCGGTTTAATTAGTGATATTAGTCTAGTTCTGTTTAAGTCTCTTTCTTATCTTCATTACACAAATAAACAAGAGCTATTCTTTCCACGTTTTTTCCTTCATCAGCTTCTTCAAAGCTTCTCCCAATCTGCCATTGACATCTTTGAATCTAGAATCTTTTCTGATCTTTCCTAATTTTTCCCCTTTTCTCCATCAAATTCGTCTAATCGAATATCGATTCGATTAGACGATTAGAATGATCGCATTGCAAATCGATTCATTCAAGATCATTTCTTGATTTGATCATCAATTCTCGACAAAACCGTTCAATTATTACTGAATTAATTAATTGATTTGAAGGGGCAGTGCGGGACAATCCCTTTTCGGTAGAGATTTGGTTCCTCTTCGGTAGAGATTTGGTTCGAGAGCGGGACAGAGTGCTTACAAAAATGAAAAAAGCCCTCTCTTGGGTAAAAGCCCTGCGCCAGACGGTGAGCGATTACGCCACCACACAAAGACCGCGTAAAGACCGCGTGAAGGAAAAAGCCCTCTCTTAGGTAAAAGCCCTGCGCCAGACGGTGAGCGATTACGCCACCACACAAAGACCGCATAAAGACCGCGTGAAGGAAAAAGCCCTCTCTTAGGTAAAGCCCTCCAACGGTGAGCGATTACGCCACCACACAAGGACCGCGTAAAGACTGCGTGAAGGAAAAAGCCCTCTCTTAGGTAAAAGCCCTGCGCCAGACGGTGAGCGATTACGCCACCACACAAAGACCGCATAAAGAACACCGTTCTCTATAGAATTTCTTTTGTTCTGTAAACATTGCTCAGATGAGATTTGAAGCCAAAATTTTGTACCCAGGGGTTTTCGGGGTCAGAGAAGTGATTGGCAGGGTCCATTTTAGTGATTCTTTTATGGAAAATGTTGAAATTGTTCTAGATTCTCGTTTACTCAGAAGAAACTCAGAAAAATGTGACCAATTAAGCTTCATTTGTTTTTACCAATTTCACCCCATTCACCAATTCCAAAGTTCATCTTTTTTCTCCAACAAAATCCCGTCATTTTTCCTCAATAATCGGGGAAATTTTACGACATTTCTAAATTTGGAATTCTTCTCGAAAAGGGTTTTCACCGATTTTTATGTCTAAAATTCTTTTCTGATAAAATTTCTGGGAAATCCGGTTAAAATTGGGGTAAACATATGCGTTTTTTAATGAAATTCAATCACTTTATGCAAATTTAATGAGTGTCAAAGGAAAAAGGAGACTTGATTGAAAAGCTTAACTAAGGAATGAAATTTGAAAAATCTTTTCTGAAAAAAATCCGATGTTTACCTGGATTTATCGGCAAATTCGTGGCTTCAGGTTGATTATTTGTGGCTTATTTTTTCTCTTAGACTTTTCTGACTCTTTTCTTCTCATTTTTTCTCTTTTCTAACTCTTTTTCTGACTAATCTGTCAAAAATTTCTCTATTTTTCATTGAATTTTGATCTAAGAACACTTCCCGGATATTTTAAAGTAAATACAACTGTGTAAAGAAATCGAATTTCAAAAAGGGAAAAGGATTTATAAAGGAAAAGAATTTATAAAGGAATTCCGACTTATAAAAGAATTCCGATTTACTAAAGTTTTATAGACGATTTATAGACGAATTCAGATCGTTTCAGATCAAGAACGATCGTTTTAAAGAAAGCTTTTAACATTCTAGAAAAAGAACAGAGATTTTCCTGCTTTAAACCTTTATTTTGGAATGTATTTGATGCAAAAAAAATTAGGCTAAACAAGCTAAACTGGGAAATAACTAAGTGTTTAGCTAAACAAGCTAAACAAGCTAAATCAGCTAAAACAAGCTAAACAAGCTAAACAAGCTAAACACAAGGTTTTCTTTTCTTAGGAATCTCGCAAATCATTTCTGGCTTCATTTTTGGCAACTTTTAGCTCTAAATAGGTACTTATTGATTATCTCCCCCAAAAAAGAAACCAAAAAATTGACAGTGAACAAAATGACATCAAAATCCTAAAGATTCGATCATTTAGAAGAAAGTTATGGCAAGTTGCGCAAATAAAATGCCGGAAATTAGCCTATCCCAATTTTCGCGCAACGTCGCATTCCAATTGACGTCGCCGCCATTTGGAGGTAGTCGATGGGAGCGCCGCGTCGTCGTTTCTTTTTCATTTTCACAGTGTTTTGAAAGCTCTTAAAAATCATAGCTTGTCCTTCGTCTATCAAAATTTTATTTTCCCGGAAGAGCACAGTGCAATCGCATTGAAAAATTCATTAAATTCCACACAGACACCAAAAAATATTAAAGATTGCTTAAAGTGGCAAATAAATGGCCAAAAAAAAACGAGATAAAACATTTATGTTTGCGTTTTTGCAAAAAATTTCCGAAAATTTGTCTTTTGGGAAATAAAAAAACAGAAAATGATAAGGATTACAAGGGAAATTTTGGGGAGAAGTTTGAGACGTTGTTTACCGTACGAAATGCTAAGAGGAGCGTTGTGTAGTAAACGCCCTGGCCCCTTTTTTGTCATTGACAAAATTTCTTTTTCTCAGCTTTCCCTGAACGAATTCTAAAAGTTTTTTTATCATTTGATAGAAAAAAGAATTAGCTATTGAATGGTAATAAATAGGTGCAAAATTGGAAAAAATTTGATACAGAAAAGTAAAAGAAAACAAAGTTGGTCGAACGGAGTGTAGATTTGATCGCTTTCCTTTCGCACATACAGCATTACTGAAAGATCTGTACTCTTTTTTCAACAAAAGCCAAGAGCAAGCCATAGCCGACTGACTAAGAGTCTCGTATCTTAGTCAGGAGATCTTAGTCAAGGTCAAGGGTTGGATCCCGGCTAGTTTATTGGTTCTTTGTTGCCATGGTTTTTTTCCATCTACCGTATTTTCTCTAATACTAGTGCACCCTAAGCCTAAATTCCTCGAAATCTCGAGAACCGCTTATCAGAACCTATCGATGTGAGGTCGAAAAATGTAGCTGACGATGAGATCTTGACGATGATTAGCATTTTGAGCTTCTGGGAAAGATTGGGAACGAGAAAATAGGCATCAACTCGGCTCAGCCGCAGGACGGCTAACCAAAAGTCGGACGATGAGATCTTAACGATGATTAGAGTGTTGAGCTTCTGCAAAAGCTTGGAAACTGTAAAATAGTCACCAACTCGGCTCGCTCGGGTACACTACTATTAGAGAACACTACTACATACGGCAATAGCGAGTCTGACCACCATTTACTTGAGTTACAGCACAAAGATGATCAGAGATCACAAAGATGATCATCATACGATCATTAACTTTTAATCGAGATTCTTCCAAGCCAAATACCCTTTTTAGTTTCAATATTCTGATATTAATTGTCATTTTTGTATACTTGCAAGACTTCTTCTATTTGACAATCTTCACACATTCCGGATTTTTAGATCAGGGGAACGCGTACAGCCTAGTCAAGAACAAGCGCATAGGTAAGCACACGTGAGCAGCGTGATAGCGCGTGGTAAGCCTGTAGATAAGCACAAGGTATGTATGAGAACCAAGAGAACCAAATCATGCTGAACAACATAGAATTGGGAAACTGTGCAAGAGTTCAAGTGATCCTTTAAGAACACCATTATAATCAGAATTTATTTTAAAGCTGGTGAAGAGCAAAAGAACTCCGCCTTGTGCAGAAATAGCCGTCATGATCCATGTCAGAAACATTGATATAACATTTTATTGGCTATCATCAGATAATGATAATATTATCAATCATCATCATAATAATAACATCACAAATTCTTTCGATTTTATCCAAAATTTAAAAACTTTTTGCGATGGCTAAGAGATGCCTCAAAACAAGGAATGTTTTCTTTTTTTAAACAACTTTTAAAAAATGTCTTTGACTGGGTTAAAAATGAATTTAACTGTGTAAAACTATGTGAACAAGCAATAAATCAAAATTTGAGTTTTACCAACAGCAATTTGCAGCAATTTGCGCAACAGATCCTTTTCTCAATCATTTGCTCTTGTGTTTAAAACTTTGAAATCGTTTCCATTGCAATGTAAAGAATTTTCTTGACGAAAAATGTTTTCCATTCCCCAAAATGTGACTTCTTTGTCGACAGAAACCTATAATTATTAAAGAAAATTCTTTGAAAACGAAAACGTAAAAAGATGAAGCAACATTTTCGAAAAAATCGTCACCAAAAATCCATCGAAAAAATTGATATTAGAATATTCAATGCGGGAGTGTTCTGGAGAACTAGTGAACTAGTGAAGATTTTTGGGGAACTAGTGAACTAGTGAAGATTTAGAAAGATTTAGAAAGACCTAGAAAGATTTAGAAACTTTATTAGAAATTAGAAAACACAAGATTTTCATATTTTATTTCTTTCTAAATTTTGTTTTTCAGTCTGCCATCAAACAGCGACGAGCGACTTCAACGGGGATCCGTTCTTGGACTCATCGATGATAGGTAAAAGATTCATTTGATAACTAGGTGACAAAATAAGATAAGGAAACCAAATTATGAGATAAGGAACCAAATTTAGAGAGATAAGGAACCAAAAATGAACATTCTAAAGATTCAAACAAATGCCATAACTTTCTTCTCATTTCATTTTCAATGAATGAAATCAAAAGATTTCCAATAAGTCCACGATTTTAAAGCTTTCTACAGACAAAAGAAATCTCGCAAATCATTTCTGGCTTCATTTTTGGCAATTTTTAGCTCTAAAAAGATACGTATTGATTATCTTTCCCAAAAAAGAAACCAAACAATTGACAGTGCAACAAAATGACATCAAAATCCTAAAGATTCGATCATTTAGAAGAAAGTTATGGCAAGTTGCGCAAATAAAATGGCGGAAATTAGCCTATCCCAATTTTCGCGCAACGTCGCATTCCAATTGACGTCGCCGCCATTTGGAGGTAGTCGATGGGAGCGCCGCGTCGTCGTTTCTTTTTCATTTTCAAAACATTTCGTTTTTTTGTCAGATTTTTCCCACTTGTTGAAATCTACAAAATGACATTAAAATCATAAAGATTCGCCCATTTTAGAACAAAGTTAAGGCAAATTGCGCAAAAAAACCCCCTCAAATGATGAACGAAAGGTTTCAATTGACATTTACGTTGAAAATTTGTAATTTACATACCGTAAATACTGTAATAGTACCCCACTCCCCCTCGTACAGTCGCGTAGTCCTAAAAAATTTTTTAGTTTTTTAGTATTTCATTTTTGTAAAGCGCCCATACTTTCAAAAAACGCGTCTTTGGTATCAAAAAATAGCTGAAATTCAGGGCTATTTTTTGATACCTAAACGCGCATTGTAGCATAAACCAGTGTCGAGAAAAACTCGTTCAAAGCTAGACTACGCAACGCTCCGCCCCCGTCATTATGGGGGTGGGGGTACTATTACAGTATTTACGGTAAGTTTAATTTTAATTATAAAGAAAAAAACAATGTGAATACCTTATTTTTAACATTGTTATCATTGTGATCATTGTTTTTCTTTTTCATAAAGATCATATGAGTGAATCGTCGATGACGATCACTTTTCCCTCAAAAATTAGCCTCAATTTCATGAAATTTCGTGGAATTTTCTTTATTTCCGCCCATTTCCCTTTATTTTCCATAGAAATCGGACTCATTCAAAGAAATATCCAAATTTTTACGCCCACAATCCTCACCCGAAAATGACCAGCGATTTGCCCGAATATCTAATCCAACCCGAGCTTTTCATCACTATTTTTCGGTTTGCGCTTGAAAAGCTTCTTTCAGCTCAATATTATTAGCGAATGTCACGAATCGAGGAAAAATCTCTAAGAAAATGTTCTTTTTCCTTTCTGACACGCAGACTTGGGTAATTAAACCGGCTGAGAGGGCTTTCTGGCGGTCTCGGATAGATATATGGCTATATATCTATCCGAGGTCGTGTGCCAGATGCCGTTTTTTCCTACGAGCTACGTGAAGCGATCACACAAATCACCCGACCACTTCAATCTCCCTTTTACCACTTTAAACTTAATTTTTACCAGATAAACCTAATATTTATCTTATAGAATTTTTTACAGCGCATCTTTTGCAAAAAGAATTAACCAATTTTGTTGAAAATTGGTGATTATATGAATAAAAAATTGTTTTTTAGTGTTCTGAGAGAAAACAAAGAAATTCTATTGTAATTAATAAAAATAAAAAGAATTGAAAGAAGAAATAAAAGAAGAAATAAAAGAAATAAAAGAAATAAGAACTAAAAAACTGTAAAGTTAATAAAGATCGTTAAAATTGTTTCTTATTAAATGATTTTCAGGACAACATTCGACGAAGTGTCCGCATGGGGTGTTTCCTTTGAAAGATTGATGAAAAGCAAAGGTTTCTTTCATAAAATTAAGTAAATATCTTTATCTTTATCTTTATTTATATCTTTGTTTTTATCTTTATTTTATCAATATTTAGTTGGACAGAAGTATTTCGCGGAATTTCTGAAGGGCGAATTCTCGGATGAGAATATTCTTTTCTGGCAAGCTTGCGAGGAACTCAAAAGGGAAAGAAATGCTGAAAAGGTGGGGAAATTCGTTAAAAACTTAATTATATTAACCCATTCGAAACTTCTGCAGCGAATAATCGCTGCAGCAAAAACTCAGGAACGGACCGCTGCAGCGATTCTTCGCTGATTATTCGCTGCGATTAAAAGCTTTAAGAGCTTTAAAAGCTTTAAGAGCTTTAAGCTTTAAGAGCTTTAAAAGCTTTAAGAGCTTTAAGAGCTTTAAGCTTTAAGAGCTTTAAGAGCTTTAAGCTTTAAGAGCTTTAAGAGCTTTAAAAGCTTCTTTAATCATTTTTAAAATCAAGTTTTTATACCAAAACTTTTGTGATGACAACCTGGACAACCAAAAAGTGCCTATAAAATTGGTCCCTTTAAAACCCTGGTCACTCGGTCGTTTGATCTAAAATCCTCCATAGAGTTCCTCCATTTCTTTCCCAGAAATCTTTTTTCATTCACTCAATGTGGTGTTGTTTGTTCTGGCGCGGAGTGCGCGTCCTCAATCCTGCGCGGGGTCGGCAACGGAAAAAAACATTGAAATCGGGGGAAGAGAAGAAAAAAAGATGCAAACAGTGAAAAGAAAAGTGAGTGAGGAGTGACGCGGAACTGGAGGAACCGGATTGGAGAAAGCGACTCATCGTCTAGAGTCTCCAGAGTCCACCCTGGACTCACTTTCCACCAACAGTCTCCTCCATTCTCTTTCCCCAAGTCTGTCTTCTTTAGCTGTATATTCTTTTCCACATTTTCCAATCTCTCTCGATTCTTTGGTGTCGATGAGAGCTTCCGCATCGTCAAGGAGTGCGTCACTGAAAGATTGAAAGAACTGAAGACTGTAAGGCCCATCCATTGGACATCGATGGCTGAATACCCAAAAAAAACCCACAACTCGGCGCGTCATCTCTTTCAACCCAAATGACGTCAATGTTTTTTTCTCGGTGTAGATCAAAGATGGTTTGGATACCATGACATTTGAATGTTTTAGAGTTTTGTGATGACTGTTGGAATGCTTGGAAACTGTTGGGAAACTTGGAAAATGTTGGGAAATTGTTGAGTTGGAGATTAAAGTTGCTTAAAAACTAATAACAGATTCAGATTCTCTATCCCAAAATGTTTTCTCTCTATCTCTATCTCTATCCCAAGAAGTTTACAGATCTACAACTAAAACAGATAGTTCAAAAGGCAGCCAAGCCAAGAATGGCTTTATTGTGAATGCATTAGACTCAATTGTTGAATCAAGTGCCATAGAAATGTCATAGAATAAGCTCAAATCAAAATGTCATCGATTAAACTCAAATCGAACTCAACTTCAGGTCGAAGAGAAAGCCCGTATCATCTATGAGGATTTTGTGTCAATTCTTTCCCCAAAAGAGGTCTCACTCGATTCGCGTGTTCGTGAGATCATCAACGCCAATATGGTACATCCAACGGCGCATGCTTTTGACGAAGCACAGGTATGGGGAGTTTTATAATGGTCTATGGTTCTATAATGGTTCTATAATGGCTCTATAATGGTTTTATAATAGTTCTATAATGGCCAATCCGGGATACTTTGTGCTCGAGTAAACGTACGCTTTCTAGCAGACTTGATTCTATGAAAAGCTAATCAAGTGCGCCAGAATCTAATCTAATCAGAATCCAGAAGCTAATCAAGTGCGCCATTATACCAGAGTTACAGTGACCTATTCAAAGTTACAAAATTCTTGAACTCTTGAGAATATCAAGTCATAGTCTTTATCTACAATATGTAGATAAAGATTAGGACTTGGCATGGCTAAACTGTTTGCTAAGCATTGCTAAAGGAAATTCCCGATTTTCAGGCCCAAATCTTCACCCTAATGCAACGGGATTCCTATCCACGATTCGTCAACAGTGCCATGTATCGAAAATTGATTTCCTCGTTTGGAACAATCGAAGACGCTTGAGAATCTAAACAATTTGCATTAAGAAATCTGCATTTAATTCTAAAACTACCGTACTTTTGACACTTAATCCTTACAGTGGCCAGGTCAGGCCACTTAATCCTTACGGTGACCAGGCCAGGTCACTTAATCCTTACAGTGGCCAGGCCACAAAAATTTGTCTCTTTTCTCTTTGCGCTTCATTCTCTTTGAAATCTCAAATTCTTCCGACTTTCCCAGGAATTGAAAACATTTTTAGCTAAAATCCGAATTATTCTTTTAAAATCTTGCCGATACGATTAAAAATTTGCATTTTAAACTTTCTTTGCTTTTCTTTTCTTTTCTTTTCTTTTCTTTTCTTTTCTTTTCTTTTCTTTTCCCCAGTTGATTTTCTCTGGTATAATACGCCAAAGCATGAATATATCTATGACATTTGAAAACTGTGACAATTTCTTTGACTTCTTTGACTTCTTTGACTTTGACAATTTGGTATATTATTGAACAAATGAAAGTGAGGATTTGGTTGAGTTGGCATTGTTGGCATTGTTGGCATTGTTGGCAAAAAGAGTCGAACCATTCATACTCCGATTGGCAATTAAACTCGTCAACCACTCGGCTCAGATGTCTCGAGCCTAAGCTCTCCTAAGCCTAAGCTCTCCAAGCCTAAGCTCTCCTAAACTTAAGCTCTCCTAAGCCTAAGCTCTCTTCATCACTTTCTTTCTCTCTCTCTCTCTCTCTCTTCACTTCCGATATTTAACCCAAATTCTTTAACCATTTTGTCTCGATTTCTTGTAAATATTGCCTTAAAATGGCATTTGTTTTGTTTTTTTGGCAATTTTTGGCTAAATTTACACTTGATAATTTTTCCTTATAACTTTCCTACCAATTGCATGTCATTTGCCATGTCATTTATTTTTTCTCGTACTTTCCAAACACTTTTCCCTGTCAACAGAGCTTTTTCATGCAAAGCATTGTGATTGTGGAACTTTAAAACAAAAAAAAAAACTGGAAAATTTTGGATTAAATGAAAAGAAAGAAATGAGCTTTTGCTTTGAAATGAAAGAAATGAGCTTCAAAGCTATCCAAATGCTATCCAAATGCTATCCATTTGACTAAAACTTTAAACTCATTACACCAAATTTTCCAGAGTCAAATCTTTCTTCAAACTAGTCACAAATAGGCGGTGATTTTTTTTTTCTTTTGTTTAATTCATTTCATGGTTTTTTTCCTTTGTCACAATTTGGGAATTGTACATTTCTTTGATAAAGTTTTTTGGAAAAACATGCGGAAAACATGGAAAAACATACGGAAAACATGGAAAAGATACGGAAAACAACAAAATAATAAAGTTCTTGTATTGTGTATCATTTTTTTCGATGGTGAAATGGATAAGCTCGAGAAAACGTGAGCATTCATTGGGTAAAGAGTTCGATTCTTCTTGGGGTATCGAAAAACAAAAAGAAACGATGTTTTGAAAGCTTAGATCAAGAAAACATAGTTTGAAAGGATTTGAATGAAGATTTGAAGATCATTTGTTCATAAACGCATCAATTTTCAACAAAAATCGGTCAATTATTATTGAATTAATTAATTGATTTATTTGAACGAAGAGTGCGGGACAATCCCTTTTCGATACAGATTTGGTTCCTTTTCGGTAGAGATTGGTTCCTCTTTGGTAGAGATTTGGTTCCAGAGCGGGCCAGATTGATTACAAAAATGGAAAAAGCCCTCTCTTGAGTAAAAGCCCTGCGCCAGACGGTGAGCGATTACGCGACCACACAAAGACCGCGTAAAGGAAAAGCCCTCTCTTGGGTAAAAGCCCTGCGCCAGACGGTGAGCGATTACGCCACCACACAAAGACCGCATAAAGAACACCGGTCTCTATAGAATTTCTTTTTTCGTACGAAAGTTGGAAAGGGCCCCTCTTGTGTAAAAGCCCTGCGCCAGCCGACGAGCGATTATGCGGCCGCACAAAGAACACCTCGTCTCTTTAGAAAGTAATTTTTGTTCTAGAAAAATTGCCGAGATGAGATAGGAAGCCAAAAGTTTGTACCCAGGGATATTCGGAGTTAAAGAAGCGATTGACAAAATCCATTTTATTAATTCTTTTATAGGAAACTCGTGCTTAATTGAAATAGCTCTTTTTTCAGGTTTCTAAAATAGGAATTGAAGGGAAAATAGGAATTGAAGGGAAAATAGGGATTTTCTAAAATAGAGATTGAAGTTGTTGGGGTCGGTGGGTCGCTGTAAGAAAAAAACAACGTTTGGCAGTGTTTCTTGACCGGTTTAATTGCCCAAATTAATTCTATAAGTTCTTTTTGGGTCTCATTTGGTTTTTCTGTTTGACTTTCATCACAAAGAATAAACAAAAATCATTCTGTTCATTGTTCTTCTTTCAAAGCAAACGTCTTCAATCTGCCATCGACATCTATGAACCTGAAATCTTCTCTGATCTTCTCTGATCTTCTCTGATCTTCTCTGATCCTCTCTGATCTTTCCTCTTTCCTCTTTCCTCTTTTCTCCATTAAACTCGTCTCATCGAATCGATTCATTCACCATTTCGAGGTGAAAAACTCGTTCAACTCGTTTCTCATCGTTTTCTTATTCCATAGATCGATGAATTGGAAGGATTTCCATTCAATATCCATCCATTCAATATCCTCGAGGCGGACAAGCGAAAGTAGGACTCTTCACGTGCACAGAAATGCAATCGTCGATCGTCAAACCCATTTCTCTCTGTCTCTCAGCCTCTCATCTTTCCCTCTCCATCTTCCAGTCCTTTTCTCAATTTTTTTCCATTTCCTCTCTACCATCCCTCTTTTTTCCTCATCCATCACTTGTCCTCCTTCTCAATTACTTTTCTCTATCATCTCTCTATTCTCATTCTTTACCATATCTTTTCCTTCTCTTTCACCTCCCCATCTCCACCAGGTTCTCCCCTCTCCCATCCAATGCAAGTTCCAAAAAGAGCCTTTCCCCTCTTCCCTTCAACATACAGTCTCACCCTTGCCTTTCCTCTCCTCTAAACCCCGCCCCATTTCTGTCTGTGTGTCCTCGCCTTCGATCCACCCACTGGTTTTTCGAGTTTCCACCGCCGGGAGCTAGCTGCTTGTAGCTGTTCGGTCCTAGCCTTGTCCCTCTTTTCTGAAGACCGCCACCGGGCGAGAAGCGAGTTGTGCCGAAGAAGACCGGATAGGGGCGAACACGGTAAGCCTGTTTTGTGTGGAGTGTAGGGATTGTGCCCTTGCCTTCTTCTGTTGCTCATCCTCATCTCCCCTGTGCTCAGTACTCAATTTCGAGATGAAGGCCAAGTTAATGAATTGGTCTTTATCATCGAGATTTTGTTTAATATTTATTCGATGGCAAGATTTGACTTGAAGATTTGAGGTTGTTTTTGTAACACTGAAGGCTCAGTGTTTGGTTAGACTAGCTTAAACTGAAGATTCAAGGCTATGCGTCATAATTATAGGCTCAGAAAATCAGTGGTAACAAGTCACCCAAAGATTTAAGACGTGCTTCAACTGTGGCACGCAAGGCAACAGCAAGCTCGTCTCATGCTTTAAGCTTTCTTTAACGAGTCAACTGTTCGATGTGGTTTAGCACACGCTTTAGCCATTGACCAGACTAAGAAATCAAGCGGATTAGAACCAGCGAGCTTGCTGTTGCCTAAGCCTAAGCCTAAGCCAGTGAGCTTGGATGAGATGAGAATGATGATCTTGTTGAATGAGATGAAATCGGGTAGGTTCTGCTCACACCAATCCTGTCCAGGCATTCGAGACCTGTCAGCCGTTGTCTTGTCAGCCTCCATCTTGTTAAAATACCCAGCTATGTTGTCCAAAATGAGATTGAGTCCAGGGCAAAACGTCTTGTCGCAAAATATTCAAATATGCTTGACTGTTGACCTTGAATTCTGATGGCACGAAGACAAGAGACTTCCCATCGGCCGTGATCCCTGCCCACACCATGAATGAAGCTGATTTCGAGACAGAGCAAATCAAAAACAAATCGATTTGTGTGGATTGGAAATGATAAATTCGATCATTCTGCTTGTTTAGCACTTGTTCGAAGTTAAACAATTTTTCATCTAAGAACAAAATCTCACGACAGGTTGGTTGAATCGCCTGAGAAGGTCCATAGCTTTTCTTCCCCCCCCCCCCCTTTTTTTTTTTTTTTTTTAAAACCTTTTTTCTTGGTTCCCCCCCCCAAAACCCCACGAAGGAGGCAAATTTCCATTTGGCGTGAACTGATCGTTCCTGGTCGGCTGAACTGATCGTTCCTGGTCGACTGAACTGATCGTTCCAGGTTACGACGCACGTTTTTTGATGTTGGACTGACTGAAACGCCGTTTTCCTCGACTAGCTCTATTAGCATTTGTTCTCAATTCCTTGAAGCATCTTGAAGCATAATCGTCTTGTTCACGAGCTAGTACTCCGAAATTTTGAGAAATTGCGTCGTCGATGTGTCGTCTTGTCAAAAATCGATGCAACGCTACGATTGAGTTTCGAATACTCGGCTTGACCATCTCTAAAAACACTGTATAATTTAAAAATTATATGTTACGTCCGATCTAGAAATCCGTCCAATCTGACCGACTGACTCTAATCCGTCCAATCTAGATCGGACGTCCAATCTAGAATCAAGTGGATCACTGCTAAATCTAAGTCTGGATCGGACGTCCGATTTAGAGTGAAGTGAGGTCAAACGGTCGGATCTAGAATCACGTTAATCACTCTAAATCAAACGTCCGATCCAGACTTAGATTTAGAGTGATCCGCTTGATTCTAGATTGGACGTTGATCGGCCGATCGTTCGATCTAGAATCAGTCATTTCTAGATTTCTAGATTTCTAGACGGATTTCTAGATCGGTAAACATGAAAAAAGGCAAAAGAGATATAATAACAACATATAGATGTCATTAAATGGTCAGAGATAAAGCTAAGACTCCGCCTAAGCCAAGCCAATAATTATGACGCACTCTGTAGCCTCCAATCCAATCTTCTAGCATCAGTCACCTAGCATCTATCTTGATATCCTTTTCTATCTTGATATTCTTAACCAATATCTTTCAGGCCTTGGGTTTCGTGTATGCTTGACTCAGGGTTGAGCAGGATGTCGTTTCAACTCGAGCAATCCTCGGTCATCAAAACCGCGCCACCTGGTGGCCGGCAACAACTCGAGATGAAACATGAGCCAATTGATCTCAATCCATTATCCACGTCATTTCAGGTATCTAGAATTTACAAGATTACAGATTACAAGATTTCCAAGAAACCCAGTGCCTTCATTTCACAACCTCAATTCCTAGGATTTGACGAAAATGCAACTAACAACCGACTACTATCAAGCCAACGCGATTCCTCGATATTCAGTCTATCAGGGTTTCGGTCAAACCCTCGACGCTCTCCACAATAATTCCCTCCTCGCCCAACAGGGCTCTATCGCCAATTATTATTATCCACAACAAAATGTCATTCAACAAGATTGGTCAAGAAATGATTATCAACAACAATATCAACGAGCGTCTACTTTACAATATGCATCCGAACAACAAGTCCAAGATCGGGCGTACAAGGTTTGTTAAAGTACTAAGGATCAAGAAGCCTCATAATGACGGGCGTACAGTCGCGTAGTCTAACTTTGAACGCTACGAAGCTACAGCTCAGCTACAGCTCAGCTACAGCTCAGCTACAGCTCAGCTACAGCTCAGCTACAGCTCAGCTACATCTCAGCTACAGCTCAGCTACAGCTTTGAGCTACAGCTACAGTGCTTGGGTGTCAAATGATAGCCCTTGAAATTTATTAGGTTGAACCAAACCGACGTTTTCTACATAACATTTCTACATAACTTTATTAGGGAAAAATCTGGAGCTGAGAAACAAAAGATTTTCTAAGAAGTTAGACTACACGAATGTACGTGGCGTTCTATTAGAGTATTTACCCTATATTCTCTCATACATTCTCCTGTTCTCTTACAGTTACCGGTCACTGATATGCCATCTCCTGTTGATTCGGGTATTGGTGCCGATTTGTCGATGATCGCCACAACAAAAGACGAGTTTTTCTCTACAAATGACTCGCTTGCCCTCGAGAGACCGGAAAGAGCACTCTCACATCGAGATTCACCAATCATTATCCCGAAACTGTAAGCTTTCTTTTGAATTGATCGATTTTTGTTCAACATCTTGAACTAGATAATATTGTTGTCATTGTTTTCAACTTGACAACATTGTTGTCATTATGTCCAACTAGACAACATTCACCTTATCTTTCTAAACTCATTAACTTTATGTTCCTTCTCCTTCTTCTGTTCTTCCTACGACTTTTTGAAAATATCAAGTATCAAGAAAATCAAATTTCCATTGCTTTCCTCTTTCCATAAATCTTCAAATCAAAACTTTACCCTTCTTCTTTAATTTTTATGGTCAAACTTTTCTATTACTGGTTTTTTTGCGGGAAACTGTGCCGGTTTTTTTCTTCTTTCTCCTTTTGAAATTTCGAGAGAAAAGGCCTTGGCCTAGTTTCTTGACTCAAGCCATTATTGAGGGTTTTCTACATGGAAAATTTTAAGATCCTAATTTGAAAGCCACTTTTTCTATTCTCAAATTCTCTATTCTCTAATTCCAGCTTCCAGCGCTTTGTCATTTCCCTATTAGTCCATTGTAGAAATCTTTAAATTTACGTAAATCACAAGGCTACACATCTAATGATGACTCACTCAAGGAAAAACTCACTATGACGTGATGTCTAGAACACTAAAAGAGTTTTTCGATTGCAACACGAAAACAAGCGATTGTTCAAGAGCTTTGTTCGGACTATAGCTCTAAAGTTCTATAGCTCTAAAGCTCTATAGCTCTAACGTTCTATAGCTCTAAAGTTCTATAGCTCCAAACCTCTATAGCTCTAAAGCTCTATAGCTCTATAGCTCTATAGCTCTAAGAAATTGAATCTATCTTTGAATCAAAATCAAATCAAACAGCCAAAATAGTGTAGTTCATTTCCCTTGAGATTCTTCTTTGAAATGCCCATCTTTGAAATTTTTTTTACTCCCGAATCTGCGCAAATGTTATCCTAACCGCGACACTTTTTTCTCAATCCATATTCGGGAGATCTAAGTTTGAAGGAAAGGGAGCAAGAGACAGTTGGGTGGATGGATCGAGATGGGTAGGGGTAGATGGGTGAGCGGGTGTCTCATGTGACCTTGACAGGGGCTCGAGGGGGTGTTTGTCATTTCCCGGGACTCCCCCCACTCTCAACTCTGTCCGATCCTCTCCCAATCTATTCCCCCATCGCATGGTTCTCCCCCCACCACCCCAAAAACTCTCCTCTCCTACCTTTTCGGGGAACACCCGGTTTCACGAGAGAAAAATATTGATTGAGCACAATGGCACTGTTTTGAGATAAAACTCGAAACAGGTTGAGAGAAAAGTGATGAGAATTGGGGAAAGCCGGGCACCTGACCATCAAAATCCGGTTCTCTGCTCATTTTTCTTTTCTGACTTGACCCCCGCCGGGGAAACGAGTTTGAGTGAAAGGGATTGATGCAAGGATTTAGTTAGAACAATGTTGCAAAGCCAAAATGAACTGCATAGCATTTACAGATGATTTGTAGTTAAAGAATCGTCTCAGATCGTCTGTAAAATCTATCTTTAACCTAATGCAAGCTATTGACTTCATCCATTGCTCTTTTTCGATATTAACAAATTCAAAGAGATGGCAAAAAAGATTTCTGGACGGGATTGAACTCTCGACCTTTTTGCTTTCTAATCCTGATGCTTTAACCACTGAGCTATTCGGTATCTTCTTGTCAGAGAAGAAAGAGAAAATACAAGGGGAAGAGAAAAGAAGACGAGTAGCTATAACCAGGAGAAACTCTGGCCTTGCCTAGACCACTTAGCTTATTACCTGGCTCAGCTCTACCTTTTAAATTGCCCAAACCTCTAGCTCCAAGATAAAGCCCTTCAACTCGCATCTTGCAGCTTTTCCCAAATCTTAAATCAAATTCTTTTCTTCTTTGACTGTCATCACCGAATTTCTCCAACTCTTCTTCATTAACCTCAACCTCCTTTCAGCCACAATACCCTCGGCTTCCAATATGTTCTCGAGGCTCCAATCTCAACATCGATTCGAAAAGATGATGATCGAATGACATATGTGAATAAGGTGAATCAATTCAAAATTAAAATCAACCCAACCCAATCCTTTTCTAGGGTCAATTCTACACGGTCACTCTCGATTATTTGCCCGATCCATTGAAGCCGTTGAAGAGTCAAATTGTGAGGGTGAGTCTACCAATCGGGAAACGAAACCGAATGAATCTGATCTGATCTCAAATTTTGCATAGAATATTCTCCACTACACTTCCAACAAAATTGAGGCTTAGATCATTGGGAGTGACACATCCCGATTTCATCCCTTTTCCCTCCTGTAATAGCCTCATCTCCTCTTCTCTCGCATACAAAACTCACTGAAATTACCCCATCTCCTAGTCCCTTTTTATCGATGAAAAAACGAGGAAAATCATAGACACTTCTCTCTTTCTCTAGAAAAACTAACTATTAGAAATCTGAAATTCTAAGGAAGAAAAGGACGGTTATATTAGGTTGATGAAATCAGTACTTTGGTTCCTTTTCTTACTTCCGTTTAAAACCAACAAATGCACAATTGATTCACCAACCTAATAAAATAGACCAAGGGTATAAAGGTACGGTACTAAGTTAGTCTATAGTCAATTTATTACTCTAGGTTTATTCTAAACTACACTACAAGTAAAGCTTTGAGTTACTACAGGAGTGAAGTCAACCTCTGATAGTAATCGTCTATATCTTTAACAAGAAAATACTCTAGAGTCAATTGATGGTCGTATTCCGAGAAGACAAGACATATGAGGAGGAGATCAAAACATGGCAATTCTGGCATCAACGACAGCATTCGGCAAAACAACGGATACTTGAAGTGGGTGAAAAATTAAGTACTGGCGAATTAAGTACGCACCCCTGAGAATCCAAAAAGTCGCTTTCTCGGTTTAATTACCCAAGTGATCCTTTCAAATCGTGATTCTTCTCATTCATTCATTCATCTCATTCATTCAATTCATTCATTCAATCACTTTTTATCCAGAATATTTTTGTAACGGTCCAGAAGATGATTGCTTTCGTTGTTTCCATTCAACTCTCCAAAACATCACACAGGGTTTTGGCCTTCACTGCGGCCCAGCTACGAAAGGTTCCGGATTCTCCACTCGGCTCCTAAATAGAAATAGATTGCTTTCTCATTTCAACACAAAATTTAAATACAAAACAAATCAAAACAAAACAAAACAAAACAAAATAAAACAATAATTCCAATCAATCTTGACAAAAAAATGATTTGAAAACGAAAAAGAAACGACGCGACGCTCCCATCGACTACCTCCAAATGGCGGCGACGTCAATTGGAATGCGACGTTGCGCGAAAATTAACATTTAACAATAAGATAAAAGATTTAAAATACTAACATTTAAATTTGCGACAAAAATTAAAATTTAACATAAAAACGTCTCGAAAAACACCTTTTTTTTCTCTCTGAATCTCAATCCGATCAAATCGATCGCTTTTTGGCCTTTCTCTCATCCTTTTTCCATTCTTTTGCCCCAAGGCGAGGTGAAGCGCCGGAAAAAAACCGAAAAAATCAATCAGCAAACAATAAATGAGAAGATTTTTCCTTTTTTCCTTGAATTCTTCTTCTTTTCTTCTTCTTCTTCTTCTTCTTCATTTCTTCTTCTTCTTCTTCTTTTCTTCTTCTTCTTCTTCATTTCTTCTTCTTCTTCAAATCTTTGTCTCCCAAAACGGGGCTCTCTTTTCTTTCAAAAAAGAATCGGGGGAAAGTCTTCTCCTCTTTTCCCCCTCAAGCACAAACACGAAATGCACACACACTTGGAAGAAAATGAGAGGAAGAGAAATTTTGAAGGAAAAAAACATTATCTGGGGACCACTGAATGTTTTGAATAATGAATGATTGAAGAAGAATTGTTAAGAAGATTAAAAAATTGAAACTTTAAACACAAAGTATTCCAAATGGTACACAAAGTATTCTAAATAGTACACAAAGTAATCCAAATGGTACACAAAGTATTCCAAATGTTTCCCAATTCCAGGTTGACGGAAAGAACAGTTCGGGTATGTCAAGTATCGGAATGAACGCGAGTCCAATCACTGAGATCGCTCACAATGCGGTTGAATTTCACTGGAGTCCAAACGAGTCGCCTGTTAAAGTGAGTTCAAAAGTTACAGTACTCCATTCTTATCTTTTCTACCATTTTATAATTGTTTTGCTAACTTTCTGAGATTTCCGAGATTTTCGAGATTTGCTCACTTTCACTTCCAACTCTAAACCTTTGCCTCACAAGAAGAAGGTTTTTTGAACTTTGACTGCTTCATCATACCGAATTTTCACAGTTTACTTGTTATTGTTTTATAAATTTGAACTAAAAAATATAAAAAAAATAAAAAAAAAAAAAAAAAAAAAAAAAAAAAAAAAAAAAAATTAAAAAAATTCCTCAAGCATTTAGATTTGGATTTAGAAAAGCTTTTGATTTTTTGATTTAGAAAGATTTGATTTGATTTAGAAAGATAAAAATGAAAAGATTGAACTCTGAAAACAATGCCGGGGATCGAACCTAGCGAGGGTCCGGGGTCGTTCGCCTTGTAGCGTAGCAACTTAACAATTGACCACCGTGCAGCTTGGCCGAACAGCTTTGGAGGGTGCTTAATTTCACGCTATGAAGGCGAAGTCAAGCGAAGTTAAGCTTAAATTCGGCCCAAAAATCTCAATTTTCCTTGCGATTGCAAAAGATTAGAGAAAAAGTAAAAATTGGGTTTGGATTGGGTTTGAATTGGGTTTGAATTGGGCAAAAACTACTTACAGATTCAGATCCGGCAGCTCAAATTTGGTAGAAGCAGTCAAAGAAGCACTCAAAGTTCAAAAGTCATAATTTTGTTAAGAATTGTCAAAAAAGCCATGCCTTCTTGTCATTTGGATCCCTTTTCTTGAACTATTCATCCATTTTAAACTATTTTCAAACTATCAATCATATTTCAATCAATTTCAATCAATTTCAAACTATGCATCAATCATATTTCCAAAAAAACAGTATCCTCAAGTATTTGATTTGAACTAGGGTCAGTGAAGTCCGGTCCACCTTTTTATCCTCTCACTTTCCCCGAAAAGAAAGAAAGAAGACCGGTTCCAGGTCAGGATTCCGAAATTCCCATTCACATTGACCCCCGAATTTGAGGGAAATGGTGGAATAGATAGAATGAGAATGTGAATGAGAGGAGGTGAACATTTTGGGGGAGAGAGAGGAGGGCGGTGATGCGCTTGACCTAGTTTCTGTACGGAAAGCACCTACAGGCCTACCCCATCCTCTCAACCGGATCCCCTCCTCTCCCCTTTCTTCTCCGTGATTCCTCTCTGAGCACGATGTTCGAAATCCCTGCTCATCTCACGTTTAGCTACTTTTCAGGGATCGAAAAAACACGATTTGTTTGAGCGCTGGATTTAGAAAACAAACAGCGCCTTGAAATAGAATTTTGGAATATGAAATGAAATAGAAAGAGATCCAGAGATCTAGAGATCTGATCTAGAGATTATTCCAGAGATTATTCTGGAAAAGATCAATAATCTATCACCTGGAAAAGCTTGAATAAAGAAGCTGGAAGCTGGAATAAAGCTCAATCTAAACCCTGAAACAGTCAGAGTTCTTAATTTGATTTTAGATTTCTTGATAATTGAAGTTTACATAGAAGAAGCTTTATAAGAAAAGCTTTTCTTATAAAGCTTCATAGAATCTTTATAAGAAACTCTGATCAATCTATTCTTTAGATTACTCTGATTAATATATTCTTTAGATTAGCATCGCCGTTCAATGTCTTTCAACCGATTTCTCGAATCAAAAAGGAGTAAAAGTGAGAAGAATTGGTGTTTGAAAGACTCAAGAACAATTCAGGGACTTCCCCTTCATGTTCAAATCGATACTTATGATCGAGATGATGAAAAGATTCCATTTCATCGAGGATATTGTCAAATCAAAGTTTTCTGTGATAAGGTTGGTTCAGTCTTGAAGACTCAGTACTGTAATCGTTACTCAGTACTGTAATCGTTACTCAGTACTGTAATCGTTTTAAAGATCATTTAAAGAAGATCGTTAAAGATCAAGATCGTTAAAGATCGTTAAAGATCATTTAAAGAAGATCGTTAAAGATCAAGATAAAAATAATCTTTATCTTTATACCAATAATCAATAGAAATCCCATTCTTGATGATTAGATATTGAAATTTTGAGTTTCCCCTTTTCCAAACTCCAAACTCTCGTCCGGTTACTGTATTCTCACTCACATCTCTCTTTTTCCCAAAATTACCTATGCTTTCCGATTTTCCCCCCTTTTCCTTTCACATAAATACCATTTCGGCGCCTCTTTTTTTTCTGGGTCATGCAGAGGAATTGAAAGTGGAGAAAGAAGACTTTGGGGAAATTGAACAATCTGAAAGAGAAAGAATTGAAAGAATTGTGGAGAGAAAAGAAATCGATCTACTCTTCTCCCTTTCGCTCACAAATTGCTTCTCTCTCTTTTCTCTTTTTTTCCCTTTTAATCGAAGTGTTCCCCATCCATCCATTCGGGAATTTATGATGAAAGGGATTGGGAGTTTTATTTCTTTGAAAAATTTGGGTACAGAGCGATAGCGAGAGCTATTTAAAGTTATCTTAAGCTATCTAAGCTATCTAAAGCTATCTAAGCTATCTTGAGCTATCTAAGCTATCTAATCTCCCTTAGCTCCAGTCTACTGTAACCAAATAGTACAAGATTACAATATCTTGAACATTTTCAAAGCCTCTTTAAACCTAGAACTTCTTCTTTAAACTCAGGAAAAGTAAAAAGCAAAACTAGACCCTAGGCCGGGATCGAACCTAGTGATTGACCTGGATCATTCGCCTTGTAGTGTAGCCACTTACCAATTGACCACCTTGCAACTCCTCACCGCTGCTTATCTTCGCCTTATAAAGCCCCTTTATGAGATTTTCTTAAAGACCTCCATTCTCCCATCAATTCACTAATATTCAGCAGATTTCCCATTGATTTCCTTTGATTTCCTTTCTCATTGAATAGAACTTTCTCATAGTTTTCAGTGAAATGAAAAACGAGAAAGGAAATTGTAAGTTTCGCTCTAGAAAAGAGAAGAGAAAATGGGATAGAATTATGAGATATTCAGCGAGAGAAGGGAAAAGTTAAAGGGGGATGGGTGAAATTGGGGATGGATGACCCGGTGGATCCATCGAAATCTGGGTCAACCCCGTCTCCTCTCTTTTCCCATCAACACCGAAAAAGTTTTCACTTTTCATTGCCCTTTTGCTCTGAAGTCAGGGAATCCTTTTCTCTGAATTTGAATTTGAGCAAAAAAATTTGGGGAAATCGTAGAAAAATCGTAAAAATCGATTTCTTGGCAACTAAATAGTTAAAACTCAACATTTCCTAAAGAAAAATTGTTGAAAAATCAGGGTGCTGAACGCAAATTGCGTGACGAGGACAAACGGGCACAAAAACGAAAGAATAATATGACAGGTTTGGACACAAAAAGGTTGAACAACAAAAAAAAGTTGTTCTATGCAAATGTGTCCTTTGTCTTACTGTAGGCAATCAAAATGTGTCCAAATGTGTCCAAAAATGTTTGTCAAAAGAGCTCAAATCTAACCCCACAATGCTAGCAAATGTCCATGGAAAATGTTTTGCAAGAAATTTCTATCTCTTTTAAAACTATAGATGTCAAAATGTGATCCCTTGATACCGTAGTCTTGGAGCTGTGTTGAGACGTTGTTGAGACGTCTTAAACGGTGTTGACACGTCTTTAACGGTGTTGAGACGTTGTTAAGACGTCTTTAACGGTGTTGAGATGTTGTTGAGACGTTTTCAATGGTGTTGAGACGTTGTTGAGACATCTTCAACGGTGTTGAGACGTTGGTGAACCATCTTTAACGGTGTTGAGACGTTGTTAAGACGTCTTCAACGATGTTGAGACGTCTTCAACGGTATTGAGACGTTGTTGAGACGTCTTCAACGGTATTGAGACGTTGTTGAGACGTCTTCAACGGTATTGAGACGTTGTTGAGACGTTTTCAACGGTGTTGAGAGTGAGAAAGCTTTTCGACAAAGTTTGTGTCAAATAGGGAACAGTGTAGGGTTGAATATTTCATTTTACCGTAATCCTTTGCATTTACGGATACGGTAAAGCCCTTTGCTTTCGACTTTGGCACTAATTTTATCGATAAGCTCAATAAGCTAAGTCGATAAGCTTATCGATAAGCTCAATTCTCGATAAGCTCAATTCTCGATAAGCTCAATTCTCGATAAGCTCAAGTCTCGATAAGCCTCGATTTCATTTCCAATCATTCAAGACACTTTTTGACATACTGTAGCTCTAACATTTACCATATTTGCACCTTTATTTTATAGGGAGCCAACAGAAAAATGTTACATGAAACGAGACGAGATGAGAAAAGGCGATTGAATCAAGGTGAATTCAAAAGAGTCAAAGAGAATTGACATCTAAATTTTCACTTTTCTTCACTAACTTTATGTTTCTGTGTGAATGTCGACATTCTGTGTTCTAACTGAAATCTCTTTTTGTTTCTGTGTTTGCACGAGCTTCAGCCAGAGCTAAACGCTTCAGCCAGAGCTAAACGGATCTTAAACGGAGCTAAACGGATTCTGGATCATCTCCGGAACATGGCACATCTCTGGAAATTATCCGAATGGTCATTTTACATCGGTTATCGGTCATTTTACACGCGCCTGCCCCTTTCCCCATTAGAAATCTAACTTTGAACTCAAATTTCTTCGTGTTGGGCTGTTTAATTTCAATTTTCTTGATATCATTAGATTTGTCAAGTCTTTCTCTGTCGATTGGTATAAAAACTATTGAAATTGAACCGCTAAACACCAAGAAATTTGAGTTTAAAGTTTGATTTAAAGTTAGATTGCTAATGGGAAAAGGAGCGCGTATTAAATGACTGATAACCAAGAATTTTAAATTTTCGTACTGGATCCGGAAAAAAGCACTGATCCTAATTCGAATCTGAATTTAGATCCTAATCCGAATCTGGATCCGAATTTAGATCTGAATCCAGATCCGAATCCAAGTCTGAATTCGAATTCGAATCCGAATCGAATCCGAATCGAATCCTAATTCAGATTCGAATCCGAATACAGATTCGAATTCAAGTTCGAATCCGAATTCAGATCTGAATCCAAGTCTGAATCCGAACTGAATCCTAATTCAGATTCGAATCCGAATACAGATCCGAATCCAAGTCCGAATCCAAATTCAGATCTGAATCCAAGTCTGAATCGAATCCTAATTCAGATTCGAATCCGAATTCAGATCCGAATCCAGATATCCGCCCAACCTCGAACTCCAATCTTTTCACACTAATCTATTAGTAAAAGAAATGAGTGCTTCTTTGTTTTCTTTCCTTTTCAAATCACTGATTGTTCTAACAACTTTTCAATAAACTAAACAAAATCTATCTAAATTTAGGCCAAGTTCCAACAAATGGATTATGGGCTGGAGCTGGGACGTCACCGGCTGGACAACAAGGTTTGGGAAAGCACATTAAAAAGTTTATGAAAAATGAGAAAAATGAATGAATCATTTAATGAAAATTAGGTTCAATGGATTTAGGTTCAATGGTAAACCGAAAGAAAAGTGATGGAGAATATCATGAATCGTGTGATCGAAGTGAATTCTATCATATGAGAGAATTGGATAAACCGGCCGCTCTATTCATCGCACCTGAGGAATATGATAGGTGAGTGGATCTATGATTGCTAAATTCTTCAGCTTCTTCTTAGCTTCTTCATTTAACATTTAACAAATTTGCTAAATGCTAATTACTTTGCTCAGGCTCAGGCTCAGGCCTAAGCCTAAGCCTGAGCCTGAGCCTGAGCTAAATCGATTTAGCAAATTGCTAGATGTTATTGCTAGATGTTAAATTGGTAAATGCTAGATGATAAATGCTCAATACTTTGGTAAAACCTGGATATCTTTATAACATTTTGTAACCGATTTACCTATTACTTTTCTGAGTTACTATTACTTTACTTAATCACTTCTGTTTAGATCATTCTTGGACAGTACGAGTGTCGGTGGTTATGATCTTGATTTGGAGCCAACTCATCGAAGACCGAGACCCTCAGAAAGGCGTTAGTTTTTGAAAAAAACAGATTTAGTCAGATGATAATGTGACACAAACAATACACAAGCAAGTTCTAAATGTAGGAAAGTAAAAACCAATATACCAATATAGCCTAAGCCTAAGCCTAAGCCTAAAACTGGCTGAGATCCAGAAAATGGGGGTTCAGCCCAAACCCAAATAAACTTAGTGCTAGGCGCTAGCCGCTAGCCTTCGCACCAAGTCCAAGCCTAAGCCTAAGCCTAAGCCTAATAGTAGTGCACCCCGCCAAGCCGAGTTGATGACTATTTTACGGTTTCCAAGTTTTCACAGAGCCTCGACACTCTAATCCCCCACAAGATCATCTCATCGTCATCTTATCGTCAGCTACATTTTCCGACCCCACATCGATAGGCTCTCATAAGCGGTTCTCGAGATTTCGAGGAATTTAGGCAAAGCTTAGGGTGCACTAGTATTAGAGAAAATCCGGTAGATGGAAAAAACCATGGCAACAAAGGACTATGGCAACAAAGAACCAATAAACTAGCCGGGATCCAACCCTTGACCTTGACTAAGATCTCATGACTAAGATACGAGACTCTTAGTCAGTCGGCTATGGCTTGCTCTTGGCTTTTGTTGAAAAAAGAGTACAGATCTTTTAGTAATGCTGTATGTGCGAAAGCAAAGCGATCAAATCTACACTCCGTTACACATCATTCCACCGAATTTGATCGGTTTAGCCGCAGGAGTTGCCGCAAAATTTGGAATCGATGCTGAAAAGGTGAAAGAAAGGTTTTTGAGTAAATAAATCGGAGTTTTAGATATCAGCGATTTACAAGCGATGTGCGAAAGGGATTACAGTGAGGATGGACGATGATATGTTGAGACATTATAATAATGAAGAGACGTTTGTTATTGATGTCGAACAGGCACAGGTGAGGAGGAGTTGAACAATAAGACTGGGCAAATGGAAACACATCTTTCTAGTACACTGAAGGACTCAGTTTTTGTAGAATAAATTGAATAGCTCAGTGCTCTAGATGTTTTTTTCGAGTACAAAATGAAGTTCAGAAGGAAAGGGAAGCTTTGATTGGTTGATTGGTTGATTGCCAAAAGATTAGCTGATTAGATAATTGATTGGCTGATTGGCTGATGGATTGGCTAATTGGCTGACACCAGATTGTCTAATGGATCAATTGTCTATAGTAGCAATTGTCTATAGTAGCTACTATACCAATTTGCATCTATTGTATCATACTGTAGCCATTCCAAGAATACCTTTTTCAGGAAGATCCCTCTCTATTCTCAATTTTCCTCATCGAGATCGCTTCAACAGCCGGTCAACCCTCATACTCACAACCACAATCATGAACAATCCTAAATCCCTAAAGCTGTTGGAATTTTCCCTAAACCAATTCCAACACTTCCCACTACAATATTCAATAGATATCCCTTCGAAATCCTTCTCTCTCACAGTGCATTCCTATCGATCATTTCCTTTCCTTTCTACCCGATATGTCTTTTCATTTCATTTCAATCGGGTATTTCGTCGTTTTGTTTGTTTTGAAAATGATTTCCTTCAACTTCTTCTTCTTCTTCTTCAACTTCTTCTATTCTTACCAGAAATTTAGTCCGGTTAGCTGCAATAAAACCGATTGATTCATCTCGTTTAAAAAGCTTACTTTGGGAAGGATCAATTGTTGAGGTTGTTGAATGATTGTTCAATCCAGATTGTCCAATCCAGATTGTTCAATCCTGATAGTCCAATCCAGATTGTCCAATCCTGATTGTCCAATTCTGATTGTTCAATCCAGACTGTCCAATCCTTATTGTCCAATCCAGATTGTCCAATCCAGATTGTCCAATCCAGATTGTCCAATCCAGATTGTCCAATCCAGATTGTTCAATCCTGATTGTCCAATTCTGATTGTTCAATCCAGACTGTCCAATCCTGATTGTCCAATCCTGATTGTCCAACCCAGATTGTTCAACCCAGATTGTCCAACCCAGATTGTTCAATCCAGACTGTCCAATCCTTATTGTCCAATCCAGACTGTCCAATCCTTATTGTCCAATCCAGATTGTCCAATCCAGATTGTCCAATCCTGATTGTCCAATCCTGAATGTCCAATCCTAATTGTTCAATCCATTATTCAACCAGATTCAAATCCTAGAAAACTCTCCAAAGTAAGCTTGCCAAACCCGTGTACTTTGTGCATGCAAAAGCGCGCATCATCTAGCAATCATCATCTAGCATCTAGCATCTAGAAAAGCAGATGCCAAATGGTGTGCGTTTATGGCAACAAAGTTTTACCATTCCTAAACTTACCTGAAAACTTTTTCCATTCAGGTTCTGGTGCTGAAAATTGTACTTTCATCGTTTTCACTTCACAATTGAATCATTTTATCACTTTCATTTTATAATCTGATCATTTTATCACTTTTATTTCGTTTTTCACTTCACAATTCTATCATTTTTCTTCTTCTTAAAGCCAGAATTGCCTTTACTTTACAAAAACGCCTCAAAAAAAACCACTTTCACTTACCGAATTTACCGAATTTACCGAATTTCTCTTTTTTTTTCTTTTTCTTTGAAAGTATTTAGCCCACAGATGATCCTCAGATAATCAACGATGTTTTGTAATTCAATCATTCATTCAAATCGATCATTCATTCATTCAATCGATCATTCATTCATTCAATCAAATCGATTTCTCTTTTTCCGTCGCCTTATTCATTCTTGTGGCCTTATTTCACTTATTTGTGTACATAAAGAAAAGAAAATGATAGACACCAGGTTTATTTTTTAAATAATTCAAAAGGTTTTAGTTGAAAGATGAATTGAAAGATGAATTGAATTGAAAGATGAATTGAATTGAAAGATGAAACAAATTCAATTCAAAGCACTTTTGATTTTACTAAAACCTTTTCATTAAAATCAATCCAGTTTTTTCTTTGCAAAGTCTAGCCAAAGTTCGTTTTTTTTCTTTTGTTTTTCTTTTTTTTCCTTTTTCATGAATCCACAATTGTGCCTTTCTTCCGAATGATTTTCCGAATGAAAGAATTCTGTGAAGTTGTATGAAATTTTGTGATCCTGATGAATAAAACGAGTTTTGAAAAGCAAAAAAATGGGTACAATTCATTTCTGTACAATTTATTTCCGTACAATTTCCTTTTCACCAATCAAGCACTGATTTCACTTGGTTTGAGACAGTTCCATTCGGCAAAAGACGAGGACTTTTCTCAGTGTAGAATTGAGAATACCTGGGGAAATGAGATAGAAATGAAATAACAAACTTTTACCTGAATATCTTAATGGTTTAAAGAATATAGAATAAAGAATATTACAAGGGAATTTTGTTGGAAAAGTTTAGAGGTTAAGAAGGGAACCTTCCCAAGTTACCCGCGAGTTACAATATGAGGTAGGTGCAAAAAGAAACCTCTAAACTTTTCCAACAAAATTCCCTTGTAATATTCTTTATTCTATATTCTTTAAACCATTAAGATATTCAGGTAAAAGGCCTGAAAATGTACGTTCAGAAACCGTTTTCAAAAACCGCTAATCGGCAAAACGCACAAAGTTATCGCCATTTGAATTTCGAAAAAATGAAGGCTTTTCTCGAATTTCTGGTACACTGATTTTTGCCGGCGGAAAGACTTTCCTTTCGCCATCCCAAAAGTCAGCTCGTAGCCTAGTGCCTGCGCTGGGAACTCTTTGATCTTGGTTTGGATCCGCTAGCGATCCGAACCACTAGATCCGAGCGCAGGCACGCTAACCACTAGGCTACGAGCTGACTTTTGGGATGGTTAGCGTGCCTGCGCTCGGATCTAGTGGTTCGGATCGCTAGCGGATCCAAACCAAGATCAAAGAGTTCCCAGCGCAGGCACTAGGCTACGAGCTGACTTTTGGGATGGCGAAAGGAAAGCCTTTTCTCCGGCAAAAATCAGTGTGCATCAGTGAAGGGAATCTCAGCTCGAAGTTGAGAATCGATTCGAGACCGGGCTCTTTATCAGGCCTTCCCAAGGAACTTCACCGATGGCTTCTGTGGTAGTCTGCAAAACTTAGAGAGGTCCTTTGGCTTGGGTTCGAATCCACCCCGGACCAATCTTCAATGAAATTTATTTTTGATGCATTTACATTAAAGATTTATGTTTTATACATGATTTTCTTATCAACTTTGAGCTGAAACCGTTCCTTTGCTAACCTCTAAACAACATTAAAATTCCTTCATTAAAACATTACAAACCATCTTCGATGTTTCTGCACGGGTCCATCATTCTTCACCAATAACGGACTCTTCAAAAATCGTTTGTTCGACCATATGTACACGTCTCTTTCAAACTTGAAGATACTGATAAATGGTAATTTCTACTTCATACAGTACTGGGAAAGTACCAAGACATTCAAACGAAAGACTCTGTTCTTTAAATCTAAATCCGTTCTCAAATCTGTCCTTCATTACCTGTAAAGCCTCGGAGTTGATGAAAAATCGAGAGAACACAGGATTTGTTGCTCCGTACATAACGAAACGGGCTCTCTAAGGTTTTACATGTCTTGTCTTGTTACTATTAATATGTCTTGTCTTCTTGTCTTGTCTTGTCTTCTTGTCTTGTCTTGTTGTCTTGTCTTGTCTTCTTGTCTTGTCTTGTTGTCTTGTCTTGTCTTGTCTTGTCTTGTCTTCTTGTCTTGTCTTGTCTTCTTGTCTTGTCTTCTTGTCTTGTCTTGTCTTCTTGTCTTGTCTTCTTGTCTTGTCTTGTCTTGTCTTGTCTTGTCTTGTCTTGTCTTGTCTTGTCTTGTCTTGTCTTCTTGTCTTGTCTTCTTGTCTTGTCTTCTTGTCTTGTCTTGTCTTCTTGTCTTGTCTTCTTGTCTTGTCTTGTTGTCTTGTCTTGTCTTGTCTTGTCTTGTCTTGTCTTCTTGTCTTGTCTTCTTGTCTTGTCTTGTTGTCTTGTCTTGTCTTGTCTTGTCTTGTCTTCTTGTCTTGTCTTGTCTTGTCTTCTTGTCTTGTCTTGTTTTCTTGTCTTGTTGTCTTGTCTTGTCTTGTCTTCTTGTCTTGTCTTGTTGTCTTGTCTTGTCTTGTTTCCATTGATGTCATTTACTTAAATACTCTCTTTGACTAGTGTTTTACCTGGAATAGTGGTTCTTCCGGGGTTACATGATGAAAAACAATAGCTTTACCCCAAAAACCAAAATCAAAGTGCATGTAAACTATGCCTGGGCCGATCTGGAATAAATTTTCTAGAGAAGAGACTAGAGTACTTACTTGATGAGCATGCAAAAGACTTGCTGTTAGTGGAAGCTGAGTTTTGCCTATCATCATCACCTGAACATCTCATTTGCTTACAAGGGAAAAGCACCGAGTCAAGCTGGCCTTTTGACTCGAGACCAAGTCCATCTTTTAGAGTCGGTCAGAGGGATTTCGAAATCATCTTGAATTTTAAGCTCCTTATGATTCTCGACCCCCATGACCGACGATAAGATGGAGTTGTTCTCGAGATGGAGATGGAGTTGTTCTCAAAAGGCCAGCTTAAGCCTTTCTCTTATTAATACAAAGCAATCAATACTTGTTGAAGTTTCATGACAGAAATATGTGCTTCATCTCCTGTTCTTGCCTCCCAACCACCGTCCCAATAATGGTAAAGTCGCGGAGAGGGATTCGTGAGTTTCAATTCAAAAACGTCACTGCCTAAATAGGGAGCTATTGTGTCTCTTGTAATACGATAACTACAGCATGAAATCTTCTGCTTCCAATAGTTGAAGCTACAGAAATCTTCTGCTTCCAATAGTTGATGTAATCTAGTCTTTTTCTTTAACCTGCTTGCGGTATTTGTAGATGTAGATAGTTGAGATGGGCCAAATCAGCACCATTCTCTGGGATCTCTTGACAGTGACAAAGTAGCTGAAAATAGATTGCTTTACTGGAATTTGAAAGGTGGACTAAAAACACTTGTAGAATCTCCACCTCATGCTCCGTTCTCCCTCGATATTTCCAGTCTCCATTCATCACTTCTTCGATCTCTGGAATCTCCCATTGAGGCTCTAATCCATCACAGTGATACCTGTGATAAAGTGATAAAGATTTTCGTGTACTTAATGATTTCTTTTCATACCAAACATAGATGTGATGATTTCTTTCGAGAACAGGCCATGTGGAGATCTAGATGGATAGCAAGATTTAGATCTAGATTTATTACTAATATTTACCTTTGCTTGTTCCGGAATCGTGCCTGAATCATACGGTATACGGACGCATTTCCCAGTTTCGGCTGAGAAAACCCAACCATGGAATGGGCACTGCACACAGTTGTTGTTCACAACCTGAAGATAGATAAATAATTCCGCAGGTTACGGTTACGGTAACGAGCCTAGAGATTACGGTGACTGAATTGGAGTTACGATAACTAGTCTGGGGTTACGGTAATTAGTCTAGCCTTACGATAACTAGTCTGGGGTTACGGTAACTGACTTATGGTAGAACTGGGGCTCCCCAATAGTCAGTCAGCTCCTCCTCCGTCATTCAGCTCCTCCTCCTCCATTATACAAAACCAAAGTCAAAGCCAGTCAAGTCTTTTCATTCACCTTTCCACCGACACTCAAATTCGCTCCAAGATGAGGACAATACGAATCGATAAGATGAACGTATCCATCTTCAGCTCTCACAAGACTCAGTTGTTCGCCTTGATTTCTATGTATAGACATTGAACCTTTCTACTTACAGATTACGGTACTTGAAAATACTAAACAAAGAAGATTCAAATCAAAATTATGCAGCGATTAGCACTAGTGCTTGGCCGACATGTGGTTGGCAAAGCGAACGGAGTCGGCAAACGAATCCATTACTTTCTTCCAAAGAACAATAAGACATTTCGGTGATAACGTCCAAAGGTCACCTTCACTCACCTTTCAAAGAAAATTTTCGACAAATTGTAAGAAACTGGTATAAATCTTTTAAAAACTCACCAAAAACCACAACCGCTTTAATCCCTTTCTCTCGCACCTCATTCGATTCTGCTATGCAAAACCAACTAAAGATTTCTTTATACAAATCAATTCTTTCCCATTTTCTTACCCATTCGGATAAACGGGCGGCAATTCGCCCACTTTTCTCAATCTTTTCACTCTTTCCAGCTGACGTTCCCTGTAGGTCCCTTTTTGCTAAATAGACAAAATCTCTTATCTTTCAACTTGAGTATTCCTTGGAGAGACGAGTTTTTTAAAAATTTCAACGGTAAAAAGTTTTATGACTTTGCTGACAAGTCTCATTCAATTCAATGTAAATCATTTTCATTGACTTAAAAATTTCAAATAAATACTCCTATTTGTATGTACAGTGGTCCACAAATGTATTGTCCCATTGCCATCCAAAAGTTTCTTTTGTACGAAAATCTTGCAAAATAACGATATTCCCAAAAAGTGTAGGGTATTTTGCTTACCCATAATACTCTACTTTTCAGGATTATAAGATTTATCCGTATACATTGCACAAAAATTAAAGTATAAAACAAAAACAATAAGTTACTGAACAAATAGCTCCACAAAAGACCCAAAACACAAGTCGAGACTGATGATGGGACGGTTGGTGCCACTTCAAAATGGTACCAGAGCTCGTCTGCCCGGATGGTTTGCGGAAAATCGTGTTAAATTGATCAATCCACCTCCCTACTCACCGGATCTCGATCCAATTGAACATTTGTGGTCATTTGTGAAGTCGCGCCTCAAGGGAAAGAAATTCGATTCGAAGGCCGCCTTATGGGTTCACATTCAACGTCTTTGGGCCACCATCCGCCCAAGTCTTTTGAAAAATCTCGTGGATTCCATGCCGGATCGACTCAATGAAGCGATAAAATCAAAAGGAGGATCAGGCAAATATTAATTTTTTGAAAAAATTGTTAATTCTTTGCAAATGGGACATTACTTTTGTGGAGCTATTTGTTAAGTAACTTATTGTTTTTGTTTTATACTTTAATTTTTGTGCAATGTATACGGATAAATCTTATACTCCTGAAAAGTAGAGTATTATGGGTAAGCAAAATACCCTACACTTTTTGGGAATATCGTTATTTTGCAAGATTTTCGTACGAAAGAAACTTTTGGATGGCAATGGGACAATACATTTGTGGACCACTGTATCTTTATTAAAGTCACTTGAAGAGTCACTTTATTAAAATTCTAAAGTTTGCGCGCTTTTTTTTCAACACTTACATCTTTCGGATCGAAATGAAATCCCAATTCCCCCAGTCGAACCACATAATTCATTGGTTGCGAATAGTAAAGGTATAGAAAAACGAAGATCACACTGGAAACACCGAATAATATAAGCAGAAGCATTTTAAAAAGATTCAATATTAGAATGATTGCACTTGTGGTGAAAATTTTTGAGAGAATCGCTGCAAAAGGCAAAAGGCTGCTTATCGCTTCAGACATCGCCCTCCTTCCGTCTTTTTTGCATTCTTTTCGATCTTTGAACTTTGACATGAGTAACTTTACGTGACAGTGACAGACAGTATTCTTTTAAACACTGCTTTTATTAACAAATTTGCTGAAAGTTCGTATTTTTCCTACCTAAGCCTAATATAGAATTAGTTCTCACTGTTGTTTTTAATTAGAAAACATCTTTCTATACCTATACAGACCCAGAAACAGTCATTTTTGTGTCAAAACAGTCAAAAATAGTCCTTTTGTGTCAAAACCGTCATTTCTCTTCTTCCACGTAGAGTAAGTCTCTTGTCTACTCAAGTTTTATCGAAAACTACGCTGTCTCATTTACCAACCGCTACTCTGTACATATTTTACCAAATTCCCCAATTACTTTGTGCATTCTCTATGCTCACTTCTCGGAATTTACTTGCCTTTAAAAACATTTAAACTCCGACTAAATAGTTAAGTTTTTTATAGTTTCCTTCCATTTTCTCTTTGATCATATTGGATTCTAACAGATTCATTCAATTTAGGCATCAACCATGGCGGAAATAGATGTCTCCGAGATATTGAGAGCTGCGATAGAGGTTGGACTTCGTTTTTGTTTGAATAATAGTGCTAAAATCTTGCACAGTTCTGGGTACTAATAAAGTTTGGGCACTTTAGGCTTAGGCTTAGGCTTAGGCTTAGGCTTAGGCGTAGGCGTAGGCGTAGGCTTAGGCTTAGGCTTAGGCTTAGGCTTAGGCTTAGGCTTAAGTCTTGGTCTTGACCCAACTAGAACCTATTTTATGCGTGTTTTTCTAGTCTGCTTTTTGCATATTGGTGATATTTTTAGAGTGTTTTGAATAGTTTTTGCTTTGTATTTGGCCTTATTTTCTAGAGTTGCGGCACTGCAACAGTTATACTTCGGCTAGATTAACAAGACAAACAAAAAATCTTAACAAAGATTGTTCAAAAATTTCTAAAAATATCACCAATAGATCCAGCATGTTTGACCCTAGAAAAAAATGAAATAACATTGGTAAAACGGTCGAAAAATACGATCTGACCAAAGCAGATCAAGACCCCGAATTTTATTAGTACCCAATAATGTTTTTATTTAGCCTGAACGAAAGCGTGCTCGACTTGAACAACCCGAACAAAATGGGAATGGAGCCGCAGTGATGCCTTCATTATCGACTGGAGCACGACAAGTGCCTAGATATTTTTAAAATTTTAAACCGTTTAGGGTTTTTAAAAAATTCCTTTTCTTATCATATTTACAACTCTTTATTTTAGGAAGAGATTCTGGCTGCGTTGGAAGATGATTCTGCACAAGCGCAAATCGTTGACGAAGCTTTGGTCAAAAAGTTGACTGGACAGGTTATTCATTCAGTTAGACTATAAACAATATAATTCAGTTGGAAAAGAAACAGCAAAAGAATCGTGAGATGAGAATCAAACATGGGGATGATCCAAAGAAGTTTATGGATTCAGAAATTGAGCTCGATACGGGTGTTCAAGTAAGTTATTGTAGGGTAGAGTTGCTGGTGATGGAGAATATAGACTTGGGTTTTTAGGAAATGCACGTCATTGCCACGAATCCCGAATTTTATGGACTGCTAGTAGAACTTGGGGCGATTCAAATCTTCGTTCAACTATTGGCTCATGAGAATGGAGACATTGTCGGAGCGACACTCAACTTATTGCAAGTAAGCTTTCAAATAGCAATAAAAGTCATTTAAATAAAGCATTCTAATTGTTAATTACTTTAGGAGCTCACTGATGTGGACATTTTGAATGAGAGCTCTGAGGGAGCCGATAGTTTAGTGGATGCACTTCTTTCTGCACGGATCGTTGAGTGCATTGTACGTATTTGTTTGAATACCAAAATTTTCCCATCTGACATTTAATATTTTATTTAGGTTTCTGGCTTTGCTGCACTCAATGAGGCCAACAAAGATGATGCCGATGCTTTACACAATGGACTCAACATTTTTGAAAATGTTTTTATACAAAAAATGATTTTAATCTTTGAATATTAGATTCTTGAGTTTCGGCCGGAGTTTTCGGATGATTGCGTTACACAAGGCTTGTTTCAATGGCTGCTGAAAAGGCATATTCTTCTACGAAATCAATTCTATTCCAGAGTTTAGAGCCACACAAAGAGGTACCTTTGATGGAAACAAAATGTATGCCAGTGAACTCCTTGCTTTACTTCTACAAACAAACGAATCGGCTCGGGAAGAGCTTACGAAGAAAATTGATGGAATGGAACTTTTGCTTAGGGTTGGTTTTCTATACTTTATTGTACTGGTATGTTCATGTTTAGTAGTCTACTCGTATTCTATTAGGTTGATGAATAAGTCTTTTCGTTCCTTTTCGTACTTCCATTTAAAACCAACAAATGCACCAATTGAACTCGGCTTTCTTTTATTAGAAAGGCAGCTCATTTTTCTGCAAAATACCATTAAAACGGGTTTAAAATTTCTTCTGTCTGGATTTTTTTGAGAGAGTGCAGTCGGGTAGTCAAAAAGGGCGACGGCTCGATGCGTTTTAGACACTTTAGCTAAGAAAATCTATCTTGGTGTCAATAGATAAAAGATAGAGCACAAAAAATTAGGTACATAGCCAAATTTTCAGAGGAATTTTACTTATTCACCAACCTCACATTATTCTACCTAAATCAGCCAATTTCTTCGTAGAGGTTTTTATAAATTTTTACGAAAAACGCGCTTCCACTCTCGAATTTGCTTCAAAGTGAACCCCCAAATTGACTTAAAAAGATGGGAAATTGAACAATAAACACTTTTTATTTAGAGCAAACCATAAGTTAATGGCAAGTTGTTATTTTTCAACGGAAATATGAAAAGGAATAAAAAGACTTATTCACCAAGCTCACATTATTCTACCTAAATTCACCAACCTTATATTATAACCACATAACCTACCTAAATTTAGGCTCTCGCGGCATATAAACGACATGATCCAGGAAGTCTGGATGAAACCGAACATATGGAGAATCTTTTCGATGCCCTCTGCTCCTCCCTGCTCTATTCGCCAAATCGAAAGAACTTCCTTGAAGGTGAAGGGCTTCAGCTAATGAACTTGATGCTTCGAGAGAGAAAACAAAGTCGGGAAAGTGCGTTGAAGGTTTGTGCTTTAAATATGCCTAAAAGGCAGTTATGAAGAATATTTTAACAAATCTAATAGTTTTCTATGCTTTCATTTTAGGTTCTTGATCATGCTACTACTGGTCCAGAAGGGCAGGAAAACTGTGCAAAGTTTATCGAAATTCTTGGTAGAAAATCTGGGATTTTTCAAAAAAAAAAGATTTCGTTTAGGCTTGAGAACTCTTTTCCCGTTATTTCTCCGCACTCCGACAAAAGTCAAGAGAAAAGACACAACACCTAATGAACACGAGGAACACGTTTGTGCGGTTGGTTTCAAAAAATATGTTTGATTTTTAGTGATTGAATTGCATTTATTTTTTTAGATTTTGGCTGCCTTGATGCGATCTTGTGATGAGGATGCTCGCCAAAGAATCATGCAAAAGTTTGTGGAACATGAGCACGAGAAGATGGATCGAGCTGTGGAACTCTTTTTGAAATATAGGTTAGGTTTTGGGTTTGATAGTGAAACGTTAGTGATATTTAGAGAACGAGTCGACAAATTTCTTGCACGACGAAAAAGAGAACAAGCGAATTCTGAGGTGATTATTTTAAGCTTATCAATATAAATTTCAATTTGTTTTAGGAAGAGATCGACAACGATCGGGAATATTTCGATCTCCTAGATGGCGGTTTATACACTCTGCAAAATATCACACTGCTTTTGGTTAGTGTTTTGTTTTGGTTTTGAAGCTCTAAGCAAAAATTCAGGCCGACATCTGTGCTCATACAAATTCGGCCAGACAACGTGCGATCAAGTTGTTCAACATGAAAACAAAGCAAGAAATCCTCTCAAAACATTTGATTCCGGTTGGTACTAATTTTATTATTAACGCAAAACTTGACATATTTTCTTATAAGGGATATTTGTTGTTCAATTACTGTTCAGGTGCTTTCGAAATACGCGGAAAATCTTGGAGAGCAAGCTGATGAAGAAAGAAATCGAGTCGATCTCTTCATTGCAAGGCTGAATGCTGCTGAAAATGCTGAACGACAACAGTAGTAAATTAAAATTTCTTTTTTACGACGGTAAAGTTTATAGATCAATTTGTATTTTTCTTTTTGCAGATACGTGTAATTTTCTTGCGAGTTATTTGCGTTGTTTCAAAAATTTTCTTTTTGTGATGGTCTCATTTTTGCAATTGATGGTTGATTTATGAATAAATTCTACATTTTATTAAAACTACACGAAAAGACTAGCAAAAATTCGTTGCACAATGTTAAAGCTGACTAGATAAATCAAATATTGAAGAACATTTAGCCGTTAAGATTAGCAAGAAGTAAAGCTAGATCAGCACTATTAGATTGAATCATTGGTGGAGTGGGTGTGTCGTGGGATCGAGTATTGCAATCATCTGTTGTCTCTCCAGGTGATGAACGATTCTTTGCTCCACATGATTGCTCAACATGTCGATTTAGGTAACTCCGAAGAGCGAACCGTTTCCCGCATGTCGAACACGCGAAACGTTTGTCTCCTGAAACTTGAAAGGTTTGTTTTTTTGTTTTATAGGGTATCCTATACCAGCTGGTACTTTATACTGGTAAGCCAGTATAAAGTAAACCTAGATTATATGCGATTTGAGTTATTAGCCTGTCCAGAAAGTGTTTTTCAAAAAAAATAATTGACCTTTCTAATGAAACAAACCGTAGTTCAATTGGTGAATTTGTTATTTTTCAACGAAAGTAGGGGGTGGGACAAATGCGACCTTTTTTTTGCGCACCTGGACATTTGCGCACCTTTTTTTGCTGGAAAAGGCGTTAGGAAAGGTCGTAGAGCTTCAAAAATGTTTAGAAGAAGGGATTCCCTTCATAGAAGGGAATCGTATGCGTAGATTCCGAATTTCGACAAATCAGACCTCGCTGACACGTCAAATTTGGGCTAAAAGGCAAAAACTACGCAACTTAACGCTTTTCCGCAGTTTTTGCCTTTTAGCTCAAATTTGACGTGTCAGCGAGGTCTGATTTGTCGAAATTCGGAATCTACGCATACGATTCCCATATGTGGAAATATTTTCGAAGCTCTACGACCTTTCCTAAAGCATTTTTGAAGCTCTACGACCTTTCCAGCAAAAAAAAGGTGCGCAAATGTCCAGGTGCGCAAAAAAAAGGTCGCATTTGTCCCAGCCCCGTGAATTTGTTATTTTTCAACGAAAGTACGAAAAGACTTTCTGGATAGCCTAATATTTTGCTGTAAGATTGCTCCCGTTTTCATTTCTCCACATATTTCATGGCATGCTTGTTTCTCGTTTCTCGGGATTATTCCAAAAGTGTCCATCATTCATTTCTTCTCATTTCTTTTCCATCTTCCTCCTCTATTTCCCCTCTATTCCCTCTCTATTCCCCTGTTGCCGGATTAGGGTAATACCTGGTGCTTTATGTCCTACAAGTTTTAGAGAGGAAAACCTGATAGTGAAACTGGCTTCAGAATAAAGTAAAATATCTTACCTGTATGTGTAAGGATATGTGCTCGGAGATTGCTTCGATCGGCGAACGCTTTCCCACAATGCGCACAGCCGAACGGCTTGTGACCGGTGTGAGAGCGCATATGACCTAAAAATTTGAATACCCTACGATCTTTTTATAGCCACAAACCTTGTAAAAGCCACAATCGAGAGAAGACCTTCCCGCAAACGTCGCACGAATGTGAGGCTTTGTGAGTGAGAATGTGCATGCTGAAAATGAATGAAAATGAATGAAATGAAAAGATTTGGGTATCTTAGAGAAACTCGGGTAGCTTAGCTAGAGTCGGGTATCTTAGCTAGAGTCGGGTAGCTTAGCTAGAGTCGGATAGCTTTTAAGCAACTGTCAGAGTCGGCTTTTGAAAGTTGTCAAGTAAGACTTGTAAAGTTTTAGAGTAAACATACAGTCCGTATCGCATCATCTGGATCATTAGGTTTTTTTGTTGCTTGTGCTTGTCTTTGTTACTTTTTTTTACTTAGTTTTCTTCTCTACCACTGTAATATTTAACTTTCTTCAGGTAAATAGCATCTGGCGAGTCGCTAATCGATTATCAAAAAGGCCAAATTGATAATCTACAATCTACAAAGAGTAATTTATCGATCTCCAATCGATAAATTACTATAAAAGTGAAATCTTCTCATCAAACGATTGCTGAATACCTTGAAAACCGGGCTCAATATGGAAAAAGAAACGAACAGAAAAAGAAAAAGAAAAAAAAAACTATCAGAAAAGCTTTCTGATCGAGATGTCCATCAAATTGTATCAATTTTCTTTGAACTGTCTTTGTCTTTGTCTTTGTTTTTGTCTTTGTTTTTGCATTGATGACAGTCAGCGGTGAGAAACGCTCAATTACCCATTTATTGCAAGCGTTTCTCCCCTGTTTGATGGGGTCATGACCGAGGGGAATATCCGGCGCGTCAACAATGTAATCGATGCCTTTTCTTTACTGGGTTTTCTGTAGGCGGATGGGATTGCGCAATGGTGTCCACCGCTTGTTACTCTCCTCCCCCTACAATCCCCCAAATCCCTCATATTGGCCACCTGCTACTTGGAGGACACCTTGCCTTTTCATTCTATCAAATTCTATCAAATGGGGATTTGTATCCCCATTTGATAAAATCTACAGACGTTTTTAGAGACTTGTACAGACTTGTACAGACTTGTAAAGACTTGTAAAGACTTGTACAGACTTGTAGAGACTTGTACAGACTTGTAGAGACTTGTACAGACTTGTAGAGACTTGTACAGACTTGTACAGACTTTTTTACAGAGCTACAGTTTTCTGGATAAAGTTAAACAGAGAAGATAGATTCATTTTATTTGACTGTCAGTTTCTATTCGTTTCGTTTTTGACTTTCTGACTTGGAGGTCGAGTTATAGAGTAAACTAGAGAAGTAAACTAGAGAAGTCCTCAAGAGAAGCCAAATAAGTACTGACCTCAACGCTGGCATGCTCACATAGACTCGATCACAGTGTGGGCACTGTTTAGCGAATGGACTGTCCAACGGGCGATGCGTTTGCTTGTGACGACTCAAGTTGCTTCTAAAGTCATTTCATCGTTACCAAGATGAGTTGTAACTCACACAAGCCTATACTTGAATTTAAAAATCGAAAACCCACGATGTAGCGTAACTCTTGCCGCAATGCTCACAAACACAACGCCCATTCTTCTCGTCTTTCACCGAAACAATCGGCTTTTTTCGCTTCGTCCGCCCGTCGGCTGTCTCTGAATCCGGTTTTTTCAACTTTGCTCAAAAACGTGTCGAGTTTTTTGAAAGCTGATTTGATAGGTCAAACCGCCGTAAGAGGTTACATATTGTTCTAAAAAATCAGACCCAAATTTCTACTGGGACTCGAGTTATGAAGTGAATGGATAGACACACACAAATTTTGAGTCTCTTTATAAGTAAGGCTACTTTCTTATTATAACAAGTAAGAGGGTAAGTAAGAGTGTAAGTAAGGTTGTAAGTAAGGTTGTAAGTAAGATTGTAAGTAAGATTGTAAGTAAGATTGTAAGTAAGGTTGTAAGTAAGGTTGTAAGTAAGGTTGTAAGTAAGGTTGTAAGTAAGGTTGTAAGTAAGATTGTAAGTAAGATTGTAAGTAAGATTGTAAGTAAGGTTGTAAGTAAGGTTGTAAGTAAGGTTGTAAGTAAGGTTGTAAGTAAGGTTGTAAGTAAGATTGTAAGTAAGATTGTAAACAAGATTACAGAATCCAAGTTTACCGAGTGCATCAAGCGTATAAGCGACAACATCGGAGGTGGCTGAACTCGGCGAATGAGAGGAGCAAGAGGATGAGGACTAAAGTTGAGAGTCGAGCTTCGAGCTTACTTGTTCAGTTTACTAGAATATTATTGAGATTCTTTTATTGAGGTTCTTTTCTATAGGCTCTTTTATTGATGCTCTTATTTAATAGTTAAATATTTAAAGAAATCAAATGTTTAAATGTTTTATGTTTAAATGCTTTATGCTTATGCACTTTATGCTTACCGGTTTCTCATCTTCAGTCGTTTGCGATTCGGATTTCAAATCGAGTAGTGTGTCAATTGAAAAGGAAGGCGCTTTCTAAAAAGCCAATCTTTCAATTTTCATTTATTAAGCATTAACATAACTTCAAAACTTCTATATTTTTCCCATTTTTCCCAATTGATCAAAAAAATAGCTAAAAAAGAACATCTAGACGTCAAATGTCAAAAAAAGCTTGTCAAAAAGCTTGACAGAATAATTGTTGCATTTTTGAGACTAAGAGTCGCTTTTTGAGTCGCTTTAAGACTAAAGCGACTTCTCATCTATTGTGTCAGCCATTCCGTCGGAAATCTCCGCAACTTTTTGAGTGATCCACAAATTACATCAATTTACCCCAATTTTCTGAAGAAATGACACTGAAAAGAAAAAAACGTTCGCTTTTGGCACATAATTGCTTAAGGCTTCTGGATAGAGAATGGATGAGATTGAGTGAAAATTTGTACAAGGAAATAGTAGCTTTAGACTTTGGCTTTACCGGAAACCTTCATTTTGTCCAAAAATTCATTCCGCTAAACTCATTTCGCTAAATTTGGCTAAATTTGGTTAAATTTGGCGAAATGAGCCTTCACAACGCCTATTGTGCTTAAGAATTGAAAACGTATCAAAATCTAACGCATCTAACGTATCTAACGCATCTAACGCATCAAAATCACCTCAGTTTCAATCTCCTTCTTAATCGACTCTTCTGGTGGGCTTTGTGAGGATGGGATGTTGACTTTTACTGTCTGTTGATAGGCTTGCATCAATAGCATTTGCAGATTCATCGTGAGAGCTGGAAATAGTCCAAGCATTGATTCAAAGCTTGATTTTACACTCACCAGGATCCACAAGTTGTCTGTAGGGATTGATCTGAGGGAATTGAGAGGTGAGAAGATCAACAAGAGAAAGTGATCCCGTTGAGGGAACCATATTCGAGATTCCCAATGAAGGGGAAGTGGGGAAATGGAGACCTCGAGAGGGAAACATTTCACTCAAATCGTTCCTGTAACAATAAAGTTGGATCAAAGTTAGAGTAAAATAGTTACAGAAAAGTCAGAAAAGCTATAACAGCTATTATTAGTAGGTTATGATACATATAAAGCCGTATATGGCTTTGGGGCTTTGAGTCTTTGGGCCAAGAAAAGGCCAAATGAAGTGGGTGGAGCCTGGGTCAACCATTGGATCTCTTCCATCAACAAGACAAAGAAATGAAAGAAACACTGTAGCTGGATAAAGAAAAAGAGAACAAGAGAACAAGTTGAGCAAGAGAACAAGTTGGAAAACATCTTTAGAACAGTTTTATAGTTTTAGATTTAATAGGAAAAGCTTGAGAGAGGTATAGAGATTGAAATCAATCAAGCAATCAAGCAATCAAAGAATTCGCAAAGCTAGAAGGTTTAAATCTAAAGCTTACAAGTCTAAGCTTCAAGCTAACAAGTCTAAGCTTCAAGCTTCAAGCTTACAAGTCAAGCTTCAAGCTAACAAGTCTAAGCTTCAAGCTTACAAGTCTTTTGAAAGCTTTCAAATATCTCTCTTTTACTTTTTTAGTTCTAAATTTTACAAATCCGGAAGCTTCTTCAGCTCTTCAACTCCTCCGAATCGGCCCCATCCACTTGTCGCCTCTTTCCCCCTTTTCACTCCATAAATCTTTTTGTTTCGATTGAAAACTTTGTCTCAACAAGTTCTACTGAAAATTGCTGAAAATATGACAATGGTTGTTGAGAATTTGGGATTTTTGGGATTATTTGAAAGCAAACCAACAAGGGAGCATTCTGGTAGAGCAAAATAACAAGGGAGCATTGAGTAAAATTGAATTTCAAGGTCTTTATGAGGCCGTTACACGCTCCTTTAACAACTGTGGTCTAGTGGAGTCTAAATAGTCTTCTAGACTATTAAACCTATTCCATTTTTGCTTTCAAGCTCAAATCCCACTCCGAAATTTAGATATCTATATATTCTGCAAAAACTAGGAACGAATTCTGGAGTCTGGAGTCGAATTCTGGAGGCCAGCTTGACTCGATGCCTTTTTCTTGTAAGAATATAAGTTCTCGTAACTGTAAAACTTGTGTAATGGATACATATTTCTATTCTTCTACTTATACTTCTGCAGCTTCTGTAGCTTCTGCAGCTTCTGCAGCTTCTGTAGCTTCTGTAGCTTGTGCAGCTTCTGTAGCTTCTGTAGCTTCCGCAGCTTCTGCAGCTTCTCCAGCTTCTGTAGCCTCTGCAGCATTAAACATCTTTAAATCAGAATCGATTTAACTACGATCTATCAGATCTATCAGATCTATAACTACGATCTATCAGATCTATCAGATCTATCTATCAGATCTATAAAGCTGTGCAGATGACAAATCTCTATATCGATATCCACTTGAAGCCTTCTCAATGGAAAGGCCAACACGTGTCTTTGAGAATTTCAAGGATCAGATCAGAAATGGATCATCTCAACAGGGGAATCTCAACAAGGGGAATCTCAACCCTCAAGGCTCAGCTAAGATAATTACGTCATAGCTGAAGAATTAGAATAAATCTATTGCCTTTGTTTGATTGGCAATCTTAGAATTACAATCTTAGAATTCTTAGAACGATTGTGAACCCTAGAACAGTAGAGACTCTTTGATATTTCCAATTATTTCAGAATAATTTTTAGAAAAGCTTTACCAGTTCTTCATTTCCACCTTTTTCATTTTCATTTTGACCAAAGTTCCAGTCTCATTCGGGTCAAAGAGCCAATTAATTGCTCAACATTCAATCAGTCTCGATTCATTGGCGATTTTCCGTTACTCAACTTGTGCTACAGGGTGGCAATTGGCTGAATTAGTGAGAAATGGAAAGGAAACAGGGATCAACTAGGCAGATGGCAGGGTTTTACTTTTTCTTTGCTTTGGGTCTGAACTCGGATGGCCGGTTGCGCAACGATCCCCCTCCATTCAGACAAATGAGTGAACGGTGACACCTGCTCACTCCCACTACAAGTTCTTGATAACAAAAAGGTGTCACAATGCAAGGATATTCAAGCAGATCACTTCGACCATTGTTTTTTTGACTCTTGACTTTTTAGAGAAAACATTGTGGCGTGAATATTGTTGCTGATTGTGTAATTGTTGGAAAACATTCTGAAGACTAGGTAGGATTGATTCTGTTCTTTTTTCTTTCAATTCTTTCAATCACAAGGAGGTTTTTTGAACTTTGACTGCTTTATTATATCCAATTTGAGCTGAATCTGTAACTAGTTTTTGCTCAATCCTTGGCAAGGAAAATAACGCTAAGCCAGATATGCCAGATAAGCCACGTTTACGTTGAGCTTCTCTTAATTTTGTTCCGTGTACTTTGTGCTCTAAACACACCCTTTCTGACCCATTCAATCCTTGGCAATTACCGTATTCTCTGAACAAATCAAAAAAAGGATTGATGGTAACTCGTGGGAGACGAGAGCAATAAATGGTAGTGCCAGATGTGACCGAGGCCGACCTGTGACGTAATATTCAGAGACAAGGCATATATTTGGATAGAATATGGACAAGAAGAAGAAGAAGATGGAGAGGGAGAAGAAGAAGAAGAAGAAGGAAGAAGAAGAAGAAGAAGAAGAAGAAGAAGAAGAAGATGGCCCTTGATTTGGATTGAAAATCAACACCGTCTAGGCCAGATATTTGAGATAAAAACAAAAGGAATAATGAAAGTTTCGCAGAAATCCAAAGGTCATTGGACTATTTTTACAGATTAGAACTTTAATAATATAATAATAAAGATTATTACTTTAATAATATCATTTCTTAATGAATTGGCCTCATCCTTGAAGATTTTTGAGTTATTTACGTGCGGTTTAAAGGAACTGGCGCGAAAGCGGCACGGCGCCCTTCCTAACGCGTGGATACGCCACCGTACCCCGCAGAAAATTCCCGTTTTGCCATTCTTTTCATTTTTTTGGCTTTCCATGGAATCGTGAATTTTTTCCGGCTTTTATGCCGGGTCCCGCTAAGTTTTTTTCCCCGTTCGTAAAATCTATTATGTTCTTGTAGTGCGTTTTAAAGTACCCCCTCTCCCCTCGTTCGTTCTATCTATTTTGGATTGTTCTGCCCATGTTTCCTGTTTAAATTTCTAAAATGGTTCTTTTTCGTTTCTCTCGGCTCTCTTCTACTCTATTGTCTTCAAATCTTTTCGTACGTGCCGGATAAACTTAGCTTAACAAATTCTCTTTCAACTACAGGGTGTTCCACAATTATGGTGACGGTGATCTTGCTACGTTTAACGTTTAACTGCTTTCTGCCTTTCTTTTTTTCTTATTAATTCAATGATTTTATTCTTTTTTAGGTATGGAGTCTAAGAAAGAGCTACGCCCAGCCATTATTAATCTTCATCAGCAAGGAAAAACACTCACGGAGATATCTCGAATCTTCCAGGAAAGGGGAAAAAGTTTTTCGCGCTCTGAACGGGGAAACGGGAACGGGAAAGAACAGAATTGTTTCAAGGTAACAAAGCTTCAACAAATCATGGTTTCGGCCGGTGTCACTCATAGCGGAAAGACGGCCATGATCTTCATTCCCTCCCAGTCAAAATTGACAAGAAAGTTTACGTCGATATCCTTGAAAAAGGAGTTTTACCTTGGTCTCAAGCGCCAATAATGATTTAGTTTTTCAACAAGAAGGCTGTTAATACACAAGATTGATTCTCCAACAACTCCCAGATTGCATCACCGTGAACATCAGTCAACAACGCCTAGGCGAATGGTCATCAAACTCGCCCGTTCTCAGTCCCTTAGATTACTCAATATGGTCGATTCTTGAAAGCAAGGCATGTGCTAAAGCCCACAAGTCTCCTTGAAAAGAGATTTGATCAAGGCATGGAACGAAATCTCTATCAGCACCATTGAAAAAGCCATTGATGACTTCCCAAAGCGCTTAAGAAAATCTATTAATGCTAGTGGTGGCCATTTTGAATTCTAAATGTTTTTTTAATCTTTTTACAGTTATTTTGAATAAAAAAAAGTTGTTATTAATATTTGTTTTGATAAAATAAGGTCGATAGACTTTTGTTGCCATTTTCTTGGGGTTTTTCTTCTTAATTTCTGTGTCTAATTATTTTGGAAAAAGGATTGGTGTGTAATAAGGTATTGGGTAAAGTTAAATGAGTTGCTAACTTTTGAGTAAAAATTTGCACTGTAACCTGGCTGCTTTTGACTCTTGACAAAGATTCCTCATGTCCAAATGCAATAGACCTTTCAAAAAGAAAAAGAATGACTCCATTTGTTGTCTTATTTCATCCAATCTCATTATTCCTGCCGATTATGCAATTGTTTCAGTCGGGATTTCATTGAGCGGAAGATTTGAAGGAAAGGCTGAAAAGAGAAGGAAAAGGCTTCCAACAGAGATCTGTTCTCCTTTCTCTTTTCATTTCATTCTCATCATTATGTCTCTTTTAACATCAAAGAGAATTTTGGAGACATTGGCGCTTTCTTTCCTAAAAAGAGCATATGGTGGGCTTTGAGAAGCTCACCTCAACTTTTCGGAAATGTCAAGATTTTGCATGAGATATTTAAGAAAGATTCAGATTCGGGATGAGCAAGGAGACAACTAGTGAAGAGATTGGGGAAAGGGGAGGATTGGAAAAGTAGAATAGGTACGAAAAAGCTTGCAAATACAGTAGGCATTCAGTTGAAATTTTGAAGAAATACATGGTATTTTGATAAATTGAAAACAAAAGAACGTAAAAATCAAATTTGACTCTTCCAAAACTTGTCAAAATAAAAGTTGTGCTGTTTTTAGTTGATATTGATTTTGATCTTTAATTAATCATAAAAAAAGCTTAATAGCTGCTTTTGTTGAAGAATTTGGGTGGGAAAAGACTTTCTAGACAGTTTAATATAAGTAGAAATTGTAAAAGAACTTTCTAACAGCTAAAATTCATCGTTTTTTGATCGATTTGATCGATTTGATCGATTTGATTCATTTGATCCATTAGATCCATTAGATTAACTGATCTACTTGTTTCATTTGATCCATTTGATTAGCCTAGATCATCAACGATCTTTCCTATCTTTCAATTTCAATTTCCCTGTTCTTATCGAAGAGATCCTTTCCTTTTCTTTCCGTTCCCTGAAATCAAAAGAGATCATATGCAAATTTCGAGAAATTGGAGCAAAGTGAGCAAATAGATAAAAGATTTATTCATTATTGACACCAGCAAATCATAGTCATGAAGTTTTCCATATTCTTAACCCTTTTTGGATGCGGTAAGTCTACTCGATAATAGCTGAGCTTTGAAAAATGATAGTAGTTAGGAGATCGATTCAAGATAAGATTGAGCTCTTGAAGTTTACTGTATTACAATAGGGATTCACTTGCAGCTTTATCCATCCAAGTGATCAATGAGATTGGAGATCTTGACTCATCCATTCATCCATCACCTCAACAAGCACTCAAAGATCTCGCAACGGTTATTCATCAAATTTATGCTAAAGCTTTGAACGGTTTGTTTCAGTTTTTTTTAATAGTTTTTATTTTTCTTAAAACTTTTCTGAACAATTTCTCTAATCGGCCATTTTTTCTTTTCTTCAAGAAGCCAGAGAATCAATTGTTTGAAGAGCAATAAACGAGCTCATAAAATGCGATTCAAATGCCCTCTCAACCGGCTCCACTATCGGCCCACGTAGTATAGTGGTTAGTACTCCACGTTGTGGCCGTGGCGACGCTGGTTCGATTCCAGCCGTGGGCAATTCTTTTGAGTTTTTTAAACTTTTTGTGGTTTTTGCTATCTCTATCTAATTTTAGTTGCAACAACGGTTCTAAACGAAAACGAGTCGGAGTTGGTTCGTTTAATGAAATGGGCTGTTTTGCTTTCAATCCGAAGAGCCGCTGATCGAGCGAGTCGCGGTGAATGGTCACAAGAGCTCGAGGAAGTTATGGTCCGAATTTAAAAACAGATTGAAATCAATGAATTTTAAAGCTCCTTTAAGACGAAATTCTATTTTCAGGTCGATTTTGAGCTCCCGCAAAGCAATTCGGCCGGTTACTGCGGCAAAATGGACCCAAAATCACCCGAGGTATGAGGAAGCAAAAGTGTACCAGAGAAGATGCGTTTATGAAGAGTACAAAGATCTCTTTTCCAGCTTCCATCTTGTGTCTCATCTATCGAATTCTCGAATATTCCACTCTTCATTGTCCCAACTCGTGGTCAAAAGCGCAACAACAAGAATATGGTGAGTACTGTAAAATCCAATAAGGGAAACCTCTCAAATTCCCCATCTTTCAGGTGGGAATTATCAGCAGTATTTCGGGGATCTCTCGTCTAACCGAATCAGACGATTATTCACCCTTTGAGAGCTCAAATAATATTCGTGGTCGTCTTTCGATAATGCCACCAAAAATCGAATATGGAAATAAACCGGTACGTTGTCTCCAATTCGTTGTATCTACTCAAATATCAATGTTAAGATTGAGTTGCCCGTGATCACAAAACAAGAGATCGAAAAACTCATGACAAAGCTGCAAAAAGTCATGAGGAAATACAAGAATTTTGAGGGATTCGTTCAATCATCGAATCAGTTACCAAAGACCCCAAATGCTTTGGTTAAAGTTTGAATACTTTATTTTTAAATTGTACCAAAATTTCAGGGAATCGAGAAAATGCAGGAGGAAGGCTCAGGTTGGATGAGTGGAGAAGTTGAGGGATCCGGAATTGAAATCGAAACAAACAATGAGCCCGGATGGAATGCCCAAATCCATCTTGATATGATGAAACCGCTCTCTTCGATATTTGGTCAAATGCCATCAAACATGATCGATTTGAGAAAAATGCGAAAAGCTTAAAACTGTTTTTGTTACATTTATTCTACGCACTAGTATACAGCGGAATAAAGTACACGAGAATCCCAAAACACCATTACAAGTAAAGAAAGCAAAAGAACGATTGACTTAGAAAAATTTGGAATGAAACTTTTAGAAGCGAGAAAAAAAAATTTCTTTTTGTTGTTTACTCTTTGATGGTTTTTGTTCAATCACGACGACGACGCTCATCTCGTTTCTCCTTTTGGGACAACAACACAAGAAGATAACGGAAGACTTGAGCGAAATCGATGAACAATTCCACTGCATGCCAGATAAAATCCTGAATGAGTAAAGTTGAAATGGAAACAAGCTTAATTAAAAGTTACGCCATCCAATCCTAACACCTAGATAGTTATGCAAAATCTAAAATGGATAGAACTAACTTGGTCGCCACGGCGATTTTTCTCGACAATCAATTGGGTATCGTAGAGGATGAAACCGCAAGACACGGCAAGTCCTAGAAACAGTAAAACATAAAAAACAAAGAATTTTAACACAAACCTCCCCAGAGGATCACATTGTAGAAGTTGGAGAAGAGAGCCAAGCAGAGAAGACCCAAAGAGGCGGAGGCCAATGTTCCTGAAGGTTCAAGTTATTTTATTCAGCTTTCTAAGGTAAAAACATGATGTCTAAAAATTGAGATGGATAAGTTTCTAATTTACAATAATTACCTCCAAGATAGAGGTACTTGGTTGATGGGGCATGAAGAGCAGCCAGAGTGAAAGCGCCAAAGACAAACACCTAAAAGTTTACAAAATCTTTTCGCTAACAGGAAAACAAAAAGCTCTTTTATGCATTTGTTACGTCCGATTTTGAAACCTTTTTAACAGAATAATGTTTTTGCATTAAAATTACTACACAAATTATAGTTTTTTACATTAGAATCACTGAATTAATAACAAATTATAGCCTTTGCACAAGTTCCTTTAAAAATGAAAAAATGCTTTTCTTTTGTAATGCTTTTGATAAACTATTGTTTGAAATTTGAGCAATAAATAAAAAGAGCGTAATTCGATAGTTTTATGATAAACCTTGCGTTAAGGTACAAAAGTGCTGAACCAAAACCAGAATTGTGTTTGATTTGACTAGATTTGATCGAAAAATTGAATAAAATTCTTTGTGAAATGACTTTTCTAGATAAAAAGAGGCTTTGAAGATAAAAGATTTCAAAATCGGACGTAACATATTCATTTTAAATATGTACCGTTGCCATAAGTGCCGTGAAGATAATGGAAGGATTGATGCGAATCACTTGCTCGAGAAGTGGTCCGGTCGAGACTCCTAAACAGAACACATATTGGTTATTCATTTTAATCAATAAGTATAAATTAAGTAGATAATTGCACTAACCAGAGATAAAGCAGAAACCAAAGAAGTATCCAAAACGTTTCATCTGATTCTCAAGAGTTGCTGGAGTCGAGATCAACATAAACATCAATCCAATTGATCCAAGAGTTAGCAGGAAGTTCGCACTAAATATTTCAATGTACAAGCATGTATCAGTTTTCTATAAAACGCATAGCTAGATAAAGCACAATTTTTAAGCTTTAACATCAAGCTATAAAATAGAAACCCTTTCAACAAAATAGAAACACATACCGTAAAATGTCAGTGAAGAGATGAACAGCAGCTCCAAAAGCAGCAGCTCCGAGACCCATTGCCAATGTGCCGTAAACATTGCGAAGATGTTCCTTCACCGATTTCTCCCTAAAAAAGATATCTTCAATTTAAAATTAAAATAAATAGCTGGATACATTGAGGAACCACCTATACTTTTGACCTTTTCAATTCTTCTGGGACAATTGATAGCGCTGATCAGAAATAGTTTTTTTTTTATGTAAAGGCTTGTTATGAATTTTCTTTTGTTCTAAGTGTTTTGAAGGTCTAACGTAACGCGTCTTTACTGTACATATTTGGAGGATTAACTTGTTAAAACGGAGACTCAAAATTATGCCATAGAAGCCCATTCAACCTTTTTAGTTCTATCTTGTTGATTCAAGTTCAGTGGTCCCAAAAAGCTTTGAGAAATAGTTTTGGTTAAGAGGTTGACTCCTTTACGGTCTTATTTCAAGTTCCTCTTTCTGTGTTGACATCATAGTGAAGTGCACTAAAGATACACTAATTAAGGCTAAAAACTATGGACAACCTACCTTAAAAACACTTTTATCGTGACTAGCGCTATCGATTACCCTAGAAAAGGCAAAAATATAGGTGGCTCCCTCCAACCACCAATAGCAAAAGCAATAGCAGTTTACTGTTTTCGTATAAACACCAAAAGTCAAACTTACAATTTGTCGTCAAGAGCCGTGAAAGTGCGATCGATATTCTTGAAGAAACTCGTCGCATCGTGGGCGGTTCGAGCCATCTTTCTAAATAAAAACTAATCATTTTTAAAAAACAAGCAACACAAAGAACCAATTGAAATGATAGTTAAATTTAACAAAATGAAAATCATACGCAAGATTAAATAAAGTGTTAGAAAATGTTGTTAAGAAGTTTGCCGAAGCACAAAGTCTTGAATCGTTTCACAAAATGATTCAATTCATGATGAAAGCGGCAAATTACAGGGGAAAGGCCAGCTCAGCATAAAAATCTCTATTCTCTCTTCTACTTTTTCCCACACACAACAACCACATTTCATTCAGCAAGAGAAAAAAATAAGCGATGCGGTTGTGCGTCGCGTTTCTACGAGAGAAAACGAGAGAAATTTGGTCAGCAGTCGCTTTTTCTCGAAAGAGTTTCATCAAAAAAACATTTGGTAATTAATTTTGACGATCTAGCGATTGTTTGGTGAAATAAAGTGTTGGGAGAACGATTTTACAACCCATTTACTCAAATCAACCCAATAAAATGTTGAATTTGTGTAACACTAGTGTTAGATCCAGAAAAACTTTGGCAAATCGCTCTACACTGCTAAAACTAATGAAAATGAAAAAAGTTTAAGCATATAGAAAAGTTTAAGCACATAGAAAAGTTTTTAAAAGAAAGAAAAAATTCTTGAATCGCAAACCAGAATTAAATGCGAATGGTGGCTTTTGGTGGTGGCTTTTGCGCTAAACTCTTTGCGCAACTTGCCATAACTTTCTTCTAAGTCATCCTAGTTCTAATCACTTCTAAGTTTACTTTGAAGCCACCACCAGTAAAGACGAGATTCGCAATGCAAATGAAATAAGGCGTGGAAAGCGTTCTCCTTCGATTCGAGGAGTTCCTCTGGGTTTTAAAATCAAATCAAAGCCTAAAAAGTTGCCTAGTTACAAAAGGTTTGATAAAAAATAGGCATATGAATTTGGATTTGAGTCAATCTCTCGGGAAATCACAGTGAAAAGCTAAAACCCTCACTTGTCGCCCGGACAACGGAGTTTAGCAAAAAATATTTCAAGCAAAACAGGTGCTTTTTATGTGAGAACAGAGAAACAAAATTGATGTCAAAATCTCACAACCAAATCTCTTAATTGATGATGAGATTTTTGGTAAAGCAAAGGATATTAATGGAATTGTTTCCAAAGAATATGAATGGAATTGGGGAGTGAGACAAATGCGACCTTTTTTTTTGCGCACCCGGACATTTGCGCACCTTTTTTTCCGCACCTTGTCCATTAGCGCACCTTTAGCTAATATCAACAACATTGAAAACAAGATTAATTAAAATGCCGCAGTTCTGATAATAAAATAATCCAGGAACCACATTTTTATTTTCAAAAGGTTATAACTTTTTATAGGGTTTATCAATTTTTATGCTTTTGGTATCAAAAGATAGAGAAAAGCCCGTAGAATAAAACTTGCGGTTTACATTTTTGTTTTAGGCTTTTGTTTCCAAGATTTTGCTCCGACAATAAAATATGGCTGAAATTTAACACAGTAAAATCACTAAAACTCGATTTTTAAAAAAATTTGTCGAAGGGATTTCAAAAATTCTTTTATTTTCGGATTCAGCACATTTTTCTGCGTCAATCGGCTATTCAAACGTAAAAATCCTATAGAAAACGATTTTTTGCCTTATGCCTTTTTGCATTTGTCCCACTCCCTGGAATTGTTGCCTTTTTTGTGCCGAGAACGCCGTCCAAAACTCTTAAGACACTTTTAAAAGGTCTCGGGGTCAATGCTAGCCTCAAACTTGGATAATTAAACCGGAGAAGTGGGCCTCTATTGCTTCAACTACTCGAAGCATGAGCCAGATGCCGTTTGTTCGGACAATTGACATAAAGAGTACACAGTTTGCTGTACGTCAAGTTTGTCAAGTACGTTAAACTTGTAACTCAAAAATTTTCCGAATTCACAAATCTATTTGATGTGTTAAAGCGTGTGGGGTTATCAGAAAGGCATCACCCGAGAGACAGCCCACCCCAATATATGAAAAGAGCAAAAGCAAAGAGAAGCAAAATGGACTGAGCGCATAACTATGTGTTGTCAAATCAAAAGATAAGCCTTTTCTGAAAAGAGACAAGAAATTCCGTCTGAATTTATTTCGGCTTCCATTTTCCCCTTCAAATTATTCATTTCAAATGTATTATTGGAGTGTGAAATGTCAAATTGTGACGCTAATCGTTGCGATTGCTTTCATTGTCGCCTCAATTACGACATGGATCGCTTTCCCGCATTTGTATCCAGCAATCGTGAAAAAGGTAGACTTTAAGCATCAGTCAGTTATATAAAGTTTACGGTATATTCTTACAGTAAAGCTGTAATTGTAGCTGTAATTCTTACAGTAAAGCTGTATCCTAATTGTTATATCGCACTTGTATCATACATTTTATTTAGGAATTAACTTTTGCTCCTACATCTGATGAGGGTCTCAGCTACTCAGCTTTCATGCTCGCCAATCCACCGATGAGAAACGTGATGAAGTTCATTTTCTTCAACATCACCAATGCTGAAGAGGTGAATTGAAAGGATGATCGTGGTTGTTTTTTTGAACCAGAAGTTAATCTAAAATGAAAGTTATTCAATTGAATGAAAATTAATGAAAATGAATGAATTAAATGAAAGTTATTCAATTAAAAAGAAAGAGTAAAAGAAAGAAGAAAGAAAGAAAGAAAGAAAGAAAGAAAGAAGAAAGAAAGAAAGAAAGAAAGAAAGAAAGAAAGAAAGAAGAAAGAAAACGAACTACCCTAAAGTCGCGAGTATAAGTTCTGTTTGGTTTTCGCATGCAAATTGACGGCTGTCTCCGGTGCGGTGTGTCGAGGGTTCGAACCCCGCTGCAGCATAACTTTTTGCTTTTTTTAAGAACAATAATAAAAATTTATATAACAATAAAAATGTATAAAAACCCAATAAAAAGAAATTCAAAGCAATTAAAGCGACATATAAAAGAATTCTGTGCTTAGCTTCGAAACTGTTTCATCCGTCAAAGCTCTTAGAAATCCATTGATAATGCAAGAAGAGGGAACCGCATCGAAACTTTTCCTTACCCATTCCGCAACTATCTCGTAGCTCGCTCTCTTTTTTCGTCCCGACAGGGTAAATTGGTCGTTTCGGCTATCGGACATCCATTCTTCCCAGTGAGCCTTTAGATTGTCCTTGAATGGCTTATTGGTAATAGTAAGAAGCATTATTCAGAACACGTAAAAGATATTCAGCCAATTTGTTTAAATTAATTGAATTAATTGAGACAAATCTTGACTACCGTAAATAGCAAAAAGGAAAAAAAGTCTATTTTTTTATCATTTTTATCATTTTTCTAAGCGCTGGTTAATGCTAAAAATCTGTGTTATATCTCAAAAAATCACCCATCCTTTCTACTTTAATTTGATATCTAAGCGCGCAGAAACAAGCGTCTGAGCGCCGAGATACACCGAGATTCTTTGAGTGTAAACTTAGACTAAAGGGGAGTGGGCTTCTATTAGATTATTTACGGTAATTGACCTTTAATTGATTAAAATCGATTATTCAATTAATTATTTAATCACAAGGAGTATACTCTAGTCAAGAGCTCTTTGATGGGAGTGGGACAAATGCGACCTTTTTTTTGCGCACCCGGACATTTGCGCACCTTTTTTTCCGCACCTTGCCCATTAGCGCACCTTTTTTCACGTTTTAAAAAAGCTCTAAAAGCTAATATTAACCAAAAGTTGTTTTTCTAGGTAATTTTAGGGCGTAGAATCGAAATTTTGGCATATCAGAGCTTGTGGAAGCGAACGGACGGAGTTATACAAAGAGAAAAATCAACAATTTTCTGTAATTTGACCTAGTCTTTCAAATTTGACCCTTTTGTCTTTCAAATTGGTTCCACACGCTCTGTTATGTCAAAATTTGAATTCGACACCCTCAAATTACCTAGAAAAACAACTTTTGGAATAGAAATTGGTTAATATTAGCTTTTAGAGCTTTTTTAAAACGCGAAAAAAGGTGCGCTAATGGGCAAGGTGCGCAAATGTCCGGGTGCGCAAAAAAAGGGGTCGCATTTGTCCCACTCCCCTCTTTGATTGCTTCTTTTAGCCTTTCATTCTAAATCACCGCAATTTTCAGCTCAAATACGAGGGCGCTAAGCCACGTGTCTACGAGACTGGTGCATATGCTGTTATGTGAGTTTAAAAAAGAGTTTAATATTATATTATACAGAAGATGAGCTCATTAATCCTATTAATGTTACAATTTTAAACAATAGTTACCATTTTTTAGAGAATCCGAGCAAAAACGGTACACTGAGTTCTCTTCTGATAATTCGGAGGTGAAATTATCAATTTTTATATGTCGTAGCCGTTTACGAAATTCAGCCGCCAACGAATGAGGGTATTTCCGGGCATCCAATCAAAAAGTCATCAAGATAAAAATGTTCATAATACATATATTTTATAATAAATTTTTGAAATTAGCTCATTTGGTTCAGTAGAAAAATTTTTTTGAGCCCCCAAAGTTTAGGTTCAAAAATGGCTATAAAAAATTTTCTACTCAGCCAAAAAACTTGCCTAATAGCTCATTTTGTAGCCAATTTGATGTAGATTCTTAAAGTAAAGCTACATTGAACATTTGTTTTTCAAAGCTAGGAGAAAGAGGGCGAGGAACGACTTCAGTTGAACCCGGTCGCTGTTTTCACATTTGAGAATTGCCCTGAATTTGTTCCTCGCCCTCTTTCTCCTACTTTCAACGAAAAATTGTTTTAGATGGCTTTACTTTAAGAAACTACATCAAAATGGCTACAAAATGAGCTATTAGGCAAGTTTTTTGGCTGAGTAGAAAATTTTTTATAGCCATTTTTGAACCTAAACTTTGGGGGCTCAAAAAAAATTTTCTACTGAACCAAATGAGCTAATTTCAAAAATTTATTATAAAATATATGTATTATGAACATTTTTATCTTGATGACTTTTTGATTGGATGCCCGGAAATACCCTCATTCGTATCCAGCGGCTGAATTTCGTAAACGGCTACGACATATATATTAATAGATTTTAATAGTCACTGTTTTTAGATGTTCTATGAGAACTACAAGACTTATATAATCTCCGATGATGAAACATGTGATGGATGTAATTGGGATGATGTGGTCACAATTCCGAATCCCGTTGAAGTGGTCGGTACAGAATTCGATTTAAGCAGCAACGTTGACACTTTATTAGAAACAAGATATTCAGCTAAGCCTAGCCAGATTAAAGCCTATTATCAGCCAGATTAAAGCTTATCCACTTTACATCAACTCTTCAAGACTTTTTTCGAAAAAAATGTCTTTTCTCAAATCGAAACTATTCGGGAGCATCTCCCCTCAATTTTCTTCTTTTCTCCATTTCTGATATGCTAACCCGAGCGTTTTCCCATGAAAATTGCACTGATAAGAGGCAAAAAAATACTATGGCCTTGTAAAGGAATTGACGTGGGATCAGACAAAGGAAAAAATAGGATTTACAAGAGAAGGTGAACTGGCTAAGCCGGACAAATGCTATGCGATTTATACCATTCGACGCAGAATTTTATGCTGATTCCAAATATATATTCCGTTTTTGCTAAATGGCAATCTGCTAGGAGTTATAAGCGTCTGAAGTTTTGTTAAGACTCTCAAACTGTGGTCATAGTGTCTTAGCGGCCTCCTCTTAGGGGTCTCCTTGCGAACCCGACTAAGTGCGACCGAGTGGTACAGCGCTCGTTCCTAGAAACTAGATGCTTCAAATTAATCCACGCGGGTGAGGCCATAAAGTAATGTTGATCAATCGCCATCAAACAGTTGATGGCGATTGATCAACATTACTTTATGGCTTTATAAAAGCGATGTGCCAAATGAAATCAATTGTACGCGCGCACAAAGAACACTAGTCAGCACTTCTTAAAAAAAGCGAAGGAAAGATCCGAAGTGGGGATCGAACCTGTGAGGTCTCGCCCCAGAAACGAGTGCTTTACCACTCGGCCACGGCCGCAAACGATCGGGTCCGCAGGAAGACCCCTAAGAGGAGGCCTCCAAATGACCACAGTTTAGTCCTAACAAAACTTTAAATGCTTATAACTCCTGGCAGAGTAAGCAAATCTTTTTCAGGGAGCTGCAGCCGATGTGATGGATCCTCAATTCAACATTTCTCATCCAGAGAAAGTGATCATTGCCACATTGATGATACTCGTTGGAGAGTATCCATTTATGTATGTCATAAAGAATTGAAGAACTTTTGAAGTAAAGATTTTGAAGTAAAGACTTTGAAGTAAGCTTTGAAGTAAACTTTGAAGTAAACTTTGAAGTAAAGACTTTGAAGTAAAGACTTTGAAGTAAAGACTTTGAAGTAAACTTTTAAGTAAACTTTGCAGTAAAGTCTTTGAAGTAAACTTTAACTTTTTAAGTAAGTAATTAAGTTTTTAAGTCGTTTTCTAAAATTCTAGTAATCGTAAGATTCTCCTTTTCAGTACGAAACGTGTCCGAGATATAATCTTTGATGGTTACAATGATCCGATGCTTTCAATTGCTCATTCGAAACTCGTCAATGCTATCAATTATATGATTTATGTAATGTATCAAGTAGATTCTTGCATTCCTGCATTTTAGGGAAACAGTGGCAAGTCGATCATTCCAATCCCAGCACCAGCCATGCACAAACTCGGATTTCTCATTGGAGTATGGCTCTTTAGCTTTGAGAATATATTGTCTTTAGTACAACAACTCTAATGATGAAAGTTTTTGGATAAAAACGGGAAAAGACAATATTGATGATATTGGAAAAGTGACAAAGGTAATAGAATACGAAAAAATTTAAGAAAGTTTATTTTATAGTGGGGAAATGTGACTGAACTACCTGGATATTGGTGGACAAGTGATTACGCGAGAAGTATCCGCGGATCAGGTTAGAGAAAGATCGTTTGCTTTCAAAAAAATATTAGGGTATCTATCAAATATTCAGATTCTGGCAGCTTCAGCAAATGGCATTTGAAGAAAACCGATCATTTGGAGATGTTTTATTCATTTATGTGTCGATCATTTAACAAAGAGTTTCTTGAAGAGACTACAGTTGAGGGAATTCCCGCTTACAGGTTTCATTGGAGATTCGGATTTGATCGATTTAGCTGATCGATTTATTTGATTGATTCAGTTGATTGATTCAATTGATAGATTCATTTGATAGATTCAGTTGATCGATTCAATTCATCGATTCAGTTGATTGATTCAGTTGATCGATTCAGTTGATAGATTCAGTTGATTGGTTCAGTTGATTGGTTCAGTTGATTGATTCAGTTGATTGATTCATTTGATCGATTCAGTTGATCGATTCAATTGATCGATTCAGTTGATCGATTTATTTGATCGATTCAGTTGATCGATTCAGCTAATCGATTCAGTTGCTCGATTCAGTCGATCGATTCAATTGATCGATTCAGTTGATTGATTCAATTGATCGATTCATTTGATCGATTCAGTTGATCGATTCAGTTGATCGATTCAATTCATCGATTCAGTTGATTGATTCAATTCATTGATTCAGTTGACTGATTCGATTCAATTCATCGATTCAGTCGATCGATTCGATTCAATTCATCGATTCATCAATCCATTCATCTTCTCAATTCATCTTTTCTAGATTCTCAACTCCATACGAAGACTACGATTCAACTCTAGAAATCAATCGTGGCTTTCGATATCGAAACTTTGAGCACATCGACTATTACCCAGGATGGCCAAATTGTCCAGAGTGAGTTAGTTTCAAAAAAAATCTCTAAAAATTCCAGAAAAAACGCGTCTCGTTGCGACAAGAAAAGATTTGTCGACTGTTCGGTGGCGCTGAATTTCTGTGACGATTGTTGTGAGGGATCTCTCTACAATAGCACGTACTTCATACCTCCCGGCATTTTTCCTCTTGTTTGTTATCCTGGTGAGTTTTATATACAAATTTACATATCTACTATATATATAAAAGGGAAGTGTCCGTCCGTCCGTCTGTCTGTTTGTACGTGCGAGTTCTCGGCTTCTTGTAGGCCAATTTGCATGATTTTTAGTTTGTTAGGCTTAGAATTATATGTAGTTATGATCTTCTATTTGATTTTTTTCAAAAACAAAAAGTCATGACACAAACGGAAGTCGAACCCGGATCGTGTGGGCTGTAGACAAGCGCGTTCCCGAGTGCACCACAACGACAAGAGGCTGGAGACAAAAAAAACCAGCTAGAAAACCCGAGCCCTCAACTTCTTGTCGCCGTGGCGCAGTCAGGAGCGCGCTTGTCTATGGTCCGGCTTTTCTAGTGGGTTTTGTCGTCCCCAACTTCTTGTTCCCATAGCGCAGTCGGGAGCACGCTTCGGCCCGTACGGACCCGGGCTCGACACCCCGTAGTCCCTTGTGCATCTACAAAATACTGTAAAAAGATCGTGATGGCTTCAGGAAAACTTCAACCGACTCCATTCTCAGTGATGTACTCACCGCCTCATTTCCTCTATTCTCCACAACAAGTGGTTAGTTCAGATTTGGATTTGGATCAAAATTATAGTTTAAAAGCCTCCTGGCTTTTACAGATTACAATCTGTTTAAAAATACAAACCAGATATTGAAGCTTAATCAATGAAAATTGCAGATTGACTCAGTTTATGGAATGAATCCCGATCCCGATCTTCATCGACCATTCCTTTATGATCATGAACCGGTAAGCTTAAGCCTTAGGCGGTAAGCCGGTAAGCGGTAAGCTGGTAAGCTTAAGCCTTAGGCGGTAAGCCGGTCAGCGGTAATCAACATAGATTCAAATCTTGACTAATCTACAAAGTGATCCAAAGTTCCCGTACAACTTTTGAATCACCAGTTTTTGAATCACATTTCCAAAAGCATTTCCAGTATTCTGGGCAAGTGATGCAAGTGAGAGCTCGTCTAATGGTCTCCACGCCGATGATGAGAGAGACCACTTTCTTGTCAGTCATTTACAGCTATTATCTTTGAAAATCGTTCAAATCGTCCAAATCGTTCAATTTCAGCCACAACACTCATCTCCCAAACGTGATGTTCCCAATCTTTTATCAATCAGCACACGCAAAAGTGAAAGATGTCATTTTGCATAAACTATGGCTTGGCTTTGTCTTTATCCCGAAATTCGTCGATTTCATGAAATATCTTCTTTTAACGTTAGGCCTTTTCCTAATCGTTGTTCTCTTTTTGATACACAGCCGTCAGAGAAAACAAGGGAATAAAATCACTGTAAACCTTTAATCAATTATTGTATTGTAGATATTTTTGTGTCTGTTACGGGTCAAAATGTGATATCTCAGTGTTAGTAGGTTGATAAAGGTTCTTTATTTGTTGAAATTTGGAAAATTTTCTTTTCTAAATTTGCGAACATTTACATTGATAGATCAATATTTTTGACGCTTAAAACGCTTAAGCACCGCCGCTTACAAGAGAATGGTTCGAACTGACCGAACGATTTCGTTACACCGTTGAGATGTACAGTACTGGACAATGAAATATCATATTTGAAAAACGATCGTCACTTTCGCGCGACTGTAACTCCCTTGTCTTTGAGTTTAAACTATTAGGTTGGCAACTTAATAATGACGCGTTTATGTAACAAATCATTTATTTTAAAAAACACAAAAGAAGAGCCTTCAATTCAAAAGGTATTCTCCATTAGTATCTATGACTTCTTCCCATCTTCTGCGCAAATCCCGGATCTCATCCTCGAAGAACTTGGGAGTTTTTGAGGTGAAGTAGTCATTCACTGCTTTTATGATCCGAGCATGATCATCGAACTTTTCTCCCTTCAAAAAGTGCTTCAGCGACCGAAACAAAAAGTAATCTGAAGGAGCCAGATCAGGTGAATAAGACGCGTGGGGCAAAACTTTCCAGCCAAGTTCCACGATTTTCTTATAAGTGATCTTTGCAGTGTGAGATTTTGGGTTCTCGCGTAAAAATCTGACTCTCTCCGGTTTGAGCCCCAATTTCTTCAAAGACTCGTTAACTCTCATTAATTGCTTCGAATAAAGATCAGCATCGACGATTTGGCCAGGTTTAGCACTTCATAATGCACCAATCCCTTGAAGTTCCACCAGCAACAGAGCATTATCTTCTTCCCATGGATATCAGGTTTGGGAGTGGTTTGAGGGGTCTGCCCAGCAGTTAGCCATTGATTTTTGCGTTTAACGTTCTCGTAGTTGATCCACGTTTCGTCAGAAGTGAAAAAAGTCGTTCGATTTACATTTTTGTAGCAAAATTGAGGCGACATTGACACGGGCCATTTTGTTGCTTTGGGTCAATTCGTGAGGAACTCATTTTCCAACACGATTCTTTTTCCCAAGTGTGTAAATAGTTTTCGATTGTCGTATGGGATACTTAAAATATTTCTGCCAACTCACGAACGGTGAGTGTTGGGCAATCTTCAATTAAGGCGAGCAAGTCATCGTCGACCACTTCTGGAGGATGTCCTTGGTGTGGCTCGTCTACGAGGCTTCCATCGCCGCCTTGGAATCTTTGAAACCATCGTTGACATTGCCGAATGTGTATACTTTCCTCTCCAAAACAGTGATGATCGTGTGATAAGATTCAGCTGGAGATTTTCCTTGTTTAAAATCGTAGAACAATACAGCTCGAATACGGAATTTTTTGTCCTCCATTTTTTGCCAAAAAGCGAATGGTGAAATTTGTAGCACTAAATGCTATTTATGCAGACATCTTTTACTTTGTATATATGCAAAAAGAGGGAAGAAACGGTGCTTGAAATTACAAAAAACATGTTAAGTAGTGACGCGTCATTATTAAGTTGCCAACCTAATATTAGCTCCTAAGCTCCAGAGCTTCAGAGCTCCAGCTCCAGAGTTCCAGAGTTCCAGAGTTCCAGAGTTCCAGCTCCAGAGCTCCAGAGTTCCAGCTCCAGAGTTCCAGGGCTCCAGAGTTCCAGAGCTCCAGAGTTCCAGAGCTCCAGCTCCAGCTCCAGAGTTCCAGAGTTCCAGAGTTCCAGAGTTCCAGCTCCAGAGTTCCAGCTCCAGAGCTCCAGAGATCCGGGGCTCCAGAGTTTCAGAGCTCCAGAGCTTCAGTAGCTCCAACTCCAGAGCTCTATTAGCTCCAGCTCCAGAGTTAAGTTACTTAGTTAAATCCTATCCTTGAAGTACAGTACTGGACAATGAAATATCATATTTGAAAAAAATCGTTCGCACCTTCGCGCGTCTGTAACTTCCTTGTCTTTGAGTTTAAACTATTAATCTTCTATATTTTCTGAAAGCGCTTTTCAAGGGCTACACAATGGTAATATTAATATTTAGAAATAACGTAAAGACAAGGGAGTTATAGACGTGCAAAAGTGACGATCTTTTTTCAAATATGATATTTCATTGTCCAGTAGTGTAGCCTATCGAGCATGGGGAACACGATGCTCTATTTATTTTTTGCTCATTCTCAATGGTTCACAAGAAAAACGCTGGCAAAGTTTGGGTGCCTACTCGGGAAATCGCACCTCGGGGATATATATCCTTTCTTTTTTTCTTCTCCTTTCCTGCATGCGCAACCAAGGAATTTCAAGGACAACCGGATAGCGTAAAGGTAAGTGTGCGCGCTCCCAATCTGACTTTTGCTTTTCTCGACCCTGGTTCGGTTCCGGTTGCAAAAATTTTTTTTTGCTAAACCTTGAAAAACACTTTTTATTTATTCTAGAATGACCAATGATACTTTTTAAGAAAAGATGACACCCAAAAACTCCTAAAATGCGCGCACATTTACCTCCACACCATTTGGTTGCGCATGCAGGAAAGGGGAAGAAAAAAAAGAAAGGATATATATCCCCGAAAAAAAATTGCGGAAACTAGCCTACCCCAGAATTTCATGGGGTGGGTCGTTCAAAAAAGCGCACGTTTGGAAAGGAGAACACTTCTATTCGCTAATGACATAATTCCCGCCAAATTTCGCCATCTTTCGCCATTTCGCCACCTTGCTTAAAAACACATCAAAGTTTTTAGTTTTAAAAGTGTCGTAAAAAGATTTTTCGATACTGTACTTTGAAAAAAAGTAATTCTAAAAGACACTAAAGACGAAATTGCCACATTTTCGAAACTCTTCCCATTTTAAAATTTCCTTTTCAAAGGTTCTTGCCATCTTTTCGAAGTTATCTTTTTGATTTTTAACATTTTTCTATCATTAAATTGATTCCGATCACTAATTATATACTTACTTTAGATCCGTCAACAAAAATAGTGGCTGACGAGCGAAAGGAAGTGACCGAAGTCGTCGAGGAAGCCGAACCAGACATCGAAATGTCTCCAGAACAGTGAGTTTGCTGCTTTATTTCCTTTAATATTTTGTTTTTAGGATGAAAGAAAAGTTGAAAGAACTCTACACAGCTGGAAAGAAGGACTACTATGAAGACAACTTCGAGAAAGCTGCTGATTCGCTAGCGGAGGTAAGAACTACCTAGGCTAATAACTTTTTGGTGCTTAGGTTTGGTATAACCTTTTAAAACGAGGGTAAAATTAGCTGTTAAATTAGGCTAATTGTTTTTCTATTAGGCTGCTCAACTGGCCGACAAGCTATTTGGACAAAAAGCTGGAGAAACTTTCGACTACTATCTCTACTACGGGAGAGCTGAACTTGAAATTGGACGAGAAGAGAATATCCTCTTCCGGAATGCGCAAGAGGTATTAATTTTCAAAAGCCTCTTTTAGGCCTTTTCTTTTAGGCCTTTAAATTGAGCTTGTTTTTGATGTTTCTTCTAAGGGATGTTCGCTCTGTATCCCCATTCTTTTGTGACATTTAGTTAGTTTGGCCTTTCCGATTCGTTTGGCACCGCGCCGATTAGTTTGGCGTTTTCAACAGGCGATTTCGCACTTTTTTGACATTTGCTGAAGTTGTTACCGTTTGCTTTCTTCCATTTCGCTTTCGCATTGTAAGCATTGTGAGTGAGCATTGTAACGGTAATTTTGGCCCACCCTGTATAGCCTTTACCATATCTTTAACCTCGATCTTTCTTTCTTTCCTTCCGTTCTTTCCTTTCCTTTCTTTCCTTTCCTTCCTTTCCTTTCCTTTCCTTCCGTTCTTTCCTTTCCTTTCTTTCTTTTTCACTCGATCACTCAGCGCCGAAGCCTTGGTGAATTGCAGTAGGTACTTGGTAGAGAAGTTGAGGTTGACCGGTTCTTTCACATCAAGAGTAACATGCTCGCTGCTATCCACATCTTTGGATGGAGTGTAGGTGATGGCCGATGATCCCGAGTCGCCCTTGCTGGTGAAAACGACGGCTCCCTTAGTGGCGGTGATGTTGATGGTCTCGCTGAACATGAAGAGATCCGAGCACGTCTTCTTGAACTCGGTCACAGGCATTTCGAGCACCACAGCGTAGTTCTTTCTTTCTTCCTTTCTTTCCTTCCTTTCTTTCTTTCCTTCCTTTCTTTCTTTCTTTCACCTTAACAACATCTTTTGGAATCAAATCTTTTGGTGAATTGATAAAGTAGAAAATGAAAAAGAATGGAGAATTGACGAGATGATGAAAGAAATAGAAGGAATGAATGATTCTTTCTTTTACTCGATGACCACTGAAAATGAATACATTTTTTTGATTGTACACAGTCGTTTACCGTATTTTTCTTCCCACAATGACAAACCATCGAAAGAGAAGACATTGACAAATTGAGAAAAAAGTGACTTGAATCCAGAAAAGGTAACCACCCTGTAATCGTTTGTGTTTGAATATTGCACATTTTCATAACATTAATAGATATTCAGTGAACTCACCAGCGCAAAATGAGCGTTAAGACCGAAAAGTGAAGATTGAAGTCCGACAGTGTAAAAAGCGACATTCGGAAGAAGAGCGACAGGTTGAAGGAGACCCAACCACACCTCCGCCATAACCATTACTGTCTACAAATGTGGGAAATTGGCATTTATGTCATCGAAGCTTCGTTCAAAAACCCACATGAATATAGAGCATATACCAGTTATGCGTCTTTGTCTCTCGTGTGTGCTTCATTGCTAGAGTCAAACAGACAAGAATATACATAATGAGGACTACTGCTAATATAATCCATATGTAGATATTAAGAGCAAGTGGGAGACCTGGTAGATCCATTAAGGGATGGTGAATCTTAAAATGACAGTACCAAAATCAGATTTTCAGCAGGAAGAAAAGCGAATCAGATTGGCCACATCCACCTGAAAAATGAATCCTTTTTTGCATGAAACGTCTGTACAAGCAGGTGATTATTTCTGATGAGGACACATCTATCATTTCACAGTATGAAACAATTATAATTTGAGAAGACCCGGGGTTTTCCTTCAACGAATTCTGAGTATTATAATTGAGTGCCAGGGTGCATGAAGGGATCCAAAAAGAGACAGTAACCATAAATTGTTTCATTTTCTTTTATTAAACACATTAAAAATTATCATTGTATAAGTATCAAATGATAATTTATACTTAAACCAAAATTAGAATCGTATTTACAAAGTCAATACAGTGAATTTGGAAAAGGTAAGTGCAAAATTTCGACTAAACAATAATTCAAGCATACAGCACAAAAGAAGCAAATGTTTCGATAGTTATAAGAAACACAAAAAATGGTAGAATGAGCCTATCACAACTGAATGTACAGATTAAAAATATCACCGTTATCAATGAAGTCGTTTAAAGATGCGAAGAGCTTTGACATCGCCAGCTTGGAGTTCTGTGTAGAGGAGCCCTTCGTGAATCCAACGAGTGATTCGAGAGTTAACGTCTTTCTCCTAAACGGAAAACATATTTTGATACAACATTTGAAGAGTTAGTTTCATGATATTTTTTTAGGCTGTCCAGAAAGTCTTTTCGTTTCTTTTCGTATTTCCGTTGAAAAATAACAAACTCGCTAATTAACCTATGGTTTGCTCTAAGTAAAGTGCTTATTGTTCAATTTCCCATCTTTTTAAGTCAATTTGGGTTCACTTAAGCAAATTCGAGAGTGAAAACGTGTTTTTCGTAAAAATCTATAAAAACCTCTACGAAGAAATTGGCTGAATTTCTCTGAAAATTTGGCTATGTACCTAATTTTTTGTGCTCTATCTTTTATCTATTGACACCAAGATCTTTTATCTTTTATCTATTTCTTAGCTAGTGTCTAAAACGCATCATCGAGCCGTCGCCATTTTTGACTACCCGACTGCACGCTCCCAAAAAAATCCAGACAGAAGAAATTTTAAACCCGTTTTAATGGTATTTTGCAAAAAAATAATTGGCCTTTCTAATGAAAAAAACCGTGGTTCAATTGGTTCAATTTCCAACTTTTTGTGCTCTATTTTTTATCTATTGACTTTTATAGGTTTCCTTAGCTAAAGCGTTTAAACCGGATCATCGAGCCATCGTCTTTTTGATTACCCGAATTCACGCTCCCAAAAGAATTCAGACATAAGAGATTTTAAACCCGTTTTAATGTTATTTTGCAGAAAAATAAGCTGCCTTTCTAATAAAAGAAAGCGTAGTTCAATTGGTGCATTTGTTGGTTTTAAACGGAAGTACGAAAAGGAATGCAAAAACTTTCCGGACAGCCTAATAAGTCTAAACACATTTAACACCTACCTCTATTGCTGCCTGTTGTTGAATTAGGTGTCCTTGTTCAAAAAAGAAAGTTGTCAATAAACGTCGCCCATCAATCGTCACCTAAATAAAGCAACATTAATTTCGATTGTTTGCTTTAATTCATTTTCAAAATTAAACAAAAAAAACACATTACCTCTTCAAATTCTTTTCCTATCACGAATTGAAGTGTGTAATCTTTGAAAACAGAAGAACTTCGGACGACGACGCGATCAACCTAAAAAGAAATTAAATTTAAATCCATAAAACACAAACATCGACAGAAATGTTTAAGGTGACCGGCGAATTTCGGGCAGCAAGTCGGGCTAAACGGCCAACACCGATAACCTAAAACAATAATCAATGCTATAAATCAAAAATAATAAACCTTCATGTAATCGTCGAATCGCTCGCTCGATACCAGTTTCCATCGACCCTGAAACTCGCTCATTCCTAAATAAAGTGGTTAAATTTTGATGCAAGGAAACAAAACTAAGAACGAAAAGCGTCTAAATGGGTCAATCTAGCTGTTTTCTCCAAAAGAGAATTGAGTTCGCTAAATCATGTTGACGTTTCACCACTTTGAACAGGTTTTTCGCATGGGTGGGTGCTGTTTTGACTAGACTGAACGCAAAAGATAAATGATAGCACTAAATTAAAGTACACAACAATAGATAATCTCGAGAAAACCGGAAAAAAATGAAACCGCAAACTGATTTTTAAAATTTTGAACCATTTTTGCTCAGAACTACAGTAGTGATATGTGGTGCCATATAGAAATCTGTTAATTGAAGATATACTGTATGTTGAATGTCTTATTTGGGGGTGGGACAAATGCGACCTTTTTTTTGTTGGAAAAGGCTTTAGGCAAGGCCGTAGAGCTTCGAAAATATTTCCATATAAGGGAATCGTATGCGTAGATTCCGAATTTCGACAAATCAGACCTCGCTGACACGTCAAATTTGGGCTAAAAGGCAAAAACTACGCAACTTAACGCTTTTCCGCAGTTTTTGCCTTTTAGCCCAAATTTGACGTGTCAGCGAGGTCTGACTTGTCGAAATTCGGAATCTACGTATACGATTCCCTTCTGTGAAAACATTTTTGAAGCTCTACGACCTTTCCTAAGGCCTTTTCCAGCAAAAAAAAAGGTGCGCAAATGTCCAGGTGGGCAAAAAAAAGGTCGCATTTGTCCCATCCCCGTCTTATTTACTTCTTTTCACTTCAATTCTTGTCTGTAATCAAACTTTTTATCTGTATTGAATCTTTTCGACGTTGAGAAGGGAGAAAATTCAATAATTTTAAAGAATTTCCAATTAAAACACCTGTTATCATAGAAAAAAGGTCAAAAGCAATTTATTACCCATTTCGAAGTCTCAAAAAAAATTAGTTTTGACCTGAGACGTGAGAAAAAGGAAAAACACAGTGAATAGAGTACAGTACGAAAGAGTACAGTGCGAAATTTTGTCGTAGCATAAAAGATTTTAGGGTGAATCAGCATCTAAAAAGTTTTTAACACCCGATTTCTCTTCACAATTCACAATCAGACAATAGTTTAACAAATAAAACTATAAAGAAACTATAATTTGCTCAAATTTATCTTTATCTTTCTAAAACTACAGTCATGGACAAAAGTCTTTACCCCTACCGAGGTCAGCTTTTAAAACGCAAAATTTTTCAACTTTTTAACAAGTTTTAAAAATTGTTTTCAAAGTATTTTGTAGCATTTTTACTCTAGTTTTTATATCCCATAACCAAAAGAAACAACGATTTATTTTAGGCAACAAAGAACGACGTTAACAAAAAAACCCTCAAAACAGGTGGACAAAAGTCTTTACCCCTCGAACAAAAAGTGAGAAAAAACCGAGTATTTTAATATTTGGTAGGGCCTCCTTTTGATGAAATTATTGCTTGAATCCTTCTCGGCATCGAGTCGACCAAATCCTGTAAAATTTGAGGACCGATCTTTGTCCAGACGTGTCGAATGAAGTACCATAGCTCAATCTTGGTATTGAAGCGTTTTCCCTTCGATTTCAGCTTCAAAAACGCCCACAAATGTTCGATAACGTTCAAATCCGGACTGTAGGGAGGAGCAGAGACGAGCTGAACTCCATTCGATCGGAACCATCCGGGTAGACGAGCTCTACCACCGTTGGCAAGGCGAACAACTCGTCCCATTAGCAGTTGCGACTTGTGGCATGGAGCGTTGTCCTGGTACAGCAACCATCCTTGTCCAATTTTTGTGGTCGCAAATGGAAGAAGATCGTTCTCCAAAATCGCCTTGTATCGTTGAGCGTCCAAAGTTGAATTGAGAAGAACGAGCGGACCTGGTGAACTTCTAGTCATCGCTCCTGAAAAAAAAAGTCAATAGGCATAAAGATAAAAGTTTCTTACCCCACAACATGATTGATCCGCCACCAAATTTGACTGTCGCACGAAGGTATTTGGTGCTATATCGTTGTCCGACAGGTCTCCGGATCAAATGATTGCCGTCGGGATTGAAAAGGTTGATCTTCGATTCATCGGTGAAGATGACATTGGCCCAGTCGTTGCTTGTCCAACTTTCATACTTCTCGGCAAAGTCGAGTCGAATCTTCCGGTGTTTGGCGACCATCAGGGGCTTCTTGGCAGGTCTTCTAGTCATCAATCCTGCATGAATCAAACGTCTGCTTACTGTCTTTCGATTGATGTCCTTGTTAAATTGATGCTTGATTAATCTGACTCCATCGGAAGCATTAAGATTTGGATCCTTTTTATGGGCCAAAATTAGAACCTCGTCTTCTCTTGGTGTTGTGACGGGTGAACGACCTGTTTTGAATGCTCGGTGAAGAATTCCAGTCGTTTTTTCTTTCTTGCAAAGCTTTTTCACCGTTTCGGGGCTGCATTTGAATACGCTCGCAACATCCTTTACTTTGTCGCCTCGTTTCCTTGCTTCCATAATCTTTTCTTTGTCGGGAGTGGTCAGATAGGCTCCAGGCATCACTAGAATTAAAAAATAATAAAGCATTTTTATGTGAAAAATAACGAAACAACAGCAAGAAAATAAAAAGTTGAAAAGGGGTAAAGACTTTTGTCCACCTGTTTTGAGGGTTTTTTTTGTTAACGTCGTTCTTTGTTGCCTAAAATAAATCGTTGTTTCTTTTGGTTATGGGATATAAAAACTAGAGTAAAAATGCTACAAAATACTTTGAAAACAATTTTTAAAACTTGTTAAAAAGTTGAAAAATTTTGCGTTTTAAAAGCTGACCTCGGTAGGGGTAAAGACTTTTGTCCATGACTGTATAAGCAATTTCTCAATGACTAGCAATAACCACACGAATAAGCGCAATTCTCCCTCATGAATAAAGGAACCGTCTTGCATAGATCCTCCTTTTCGGATACCCATCTAAATTTGATTGAATTTGATTTGAATGTAAAGATTATAAAGATTTTAATCCGCAGAATTGTCTAATATGCCTAGTTTAAGCACAGCTGTTCGTACTGTTGTTGGTAATGATAAAAAGGAATCGAGTTTACCAGATAGGCTGTGTTTTGCTGACAGTTTTGAAAAGTCTACTTTTAATACCAAAACTTATGTTGAAAATACGATTTTCGTGAACAGCGCCCTTGATTACAGAAAAAAAAATGATAATCTTGAAGCTTATTACAGGGCTGTCCAGGATTACGGGGTATCTTTGACAGTGCTTACAATTTATATATTACTTTTGTCTTTCTTTTGGTTTATTTTATTTATTTAACTATTTAATTACTATTTTTTCTTAAAAAGTATCTTTTTAGTATGGCCAAGAAGTGAGTGTACCGAGACGGATATCTCTAAGCGATTGATGATACGCAAACAACTTGTTTACAACGCGATCAAACGCTTTCATGGGTTAGGAACAAACTCTGATCGTCCTGTGGTGGTAAAGCGACCGAAGCTAATATCAAGAAGGTTCGAGATCAGCTACGCTTGAAAGCCACTCATTCGCAGACCAGAATAGCAAAAATTATGGGAATTTCTCGAGCTTCTATTGTCAAAAATCGTCTGGGAATGAGCTTATAGGTTTTCCAAAAGCCATTTTCTTACGTCAGGCAGCAAAAAGTACCCAGCGTAGTACCCAGCGCTGAACTCAATCTTTCACCATTCTCCCTTGCACTTCTTGTACTTCTCAACAGGTGCTTTCCTTTTTCTATTCATTCATCAACACCTTATACTTTTCAAAAATAACTTTCTCTACAATTTCTATAGCTTAGCTTTTTACAAATAGCTTTGCACATATTTTTACCTTTTGCATGCATGTCTCGCATCCCAACATGATCCTTCTTCACCGTTGCCGAAGCGGAATCGCCCGGGGAGCTGAGTGACGGATTCCTCTGAACCCTAGGAAATTAATTTGCATTTAATCTCAAGGTATCTTAATCCATATCAACATTCTAATTAGTTCTTCTCTCAACTCACCAATATCGTCTCCACCGATCCGATCAATCACCGCATCCGCAACCACTTTCACCCCAGCCCACGTCTCTTTCGCTGTCGGAATCAACTCTCGTTCCTCCAAAATGAAACCGTCCCAATCTGAAAATTGTTGGATACTATAGAACTACCATCGCAGATTGAAATGATCCCTATTCTTGTCACTTTCACCAACTTTTCTCATCAGGCCTCAACTCGAGCAGATAGACAAATTTTATCTTCGCATATTTCTTTGCCCAATCCTCTGATCCACCCGATGCCGGATCTGGAATCGATTTTCAAATCTAATCATTGGAAAATAACGTTTCAAATGGAAAATAACGTTACATAATGTATCAGCTCCACTTCCGAGAATATATTTTGTCCCATAGAGTTTCGTCAGCGCCTTGGTCGCTCGTTTCCCAACGTCATACTGTAATTATATTCAATTCGCATTTAAACATTTATATACAGCTACTTTTTTCATTAAAATTTTAAATTCTAGAGTTTATAACGAAAGTAACCCAACCAATTCCTGAATATCGCCCGGATAGCTGTCCCTTTTGTGGCCATATGGATGAATCCAGATCTGAAAATGGATTGGATATTGGCTTATAAGCTTAGGCTTTGGCTTAGGATTATAGAATTCTATAAACTTTAAAAGTTTATAGAATTCTACAAGTTCTACAAGTTCTATAAGTTCCATAAGTTTGCTTTCTAGGGATAAAAAGCCAACTTGTGAATATGTGTGTAAAGTGATGAAAGCATCGATCCTTCCTTGATATCGCCGAGACATCACTGCGTCACGTACGGCTCTAATAAGAAACATTTTTGCTCATTTTTGCTTGATAGATTTCAATTTCTAACAAGATAGTGAATTCAATCTGTTGGAAAGATAGCGCTTTATACACCCCACAAAATTGTCGTTTTCTAAAGTGCACCTTTCACGTCTGTCTAGGTTGTCATTGGGAACACCCTGTAGTCGTTGCCATTTTATTTTGTTTTCGCTTTTGTTTCCCATTTGCTTCTACATTTTTGGATCCATCCCAAAACAGCTCCGGGCAAAAAAACTGCGGTACTATCCTAGTTGGGACACTTTTTCTGGGGTAGTTTTATACCTAGATTTCGAAAAACACAACGAGAGCTTGGGAAAAAGCATTTTAAGCCGAGTTTCGGGGCTCCAAAGGGCGCGCTCATACAGTGTGATGAGAGGGATACACATAAGGAAAAGCTCTAAAAATGGTCTCTCAAAACATTTTTGAAGCTAAAAACACTTCTTCTAGCATAATTTAGCCTACTGATTACGTTTCTGATCAAATTGGACCAAAATAAATTTTTTTTTTCAAATTTTGACCATGTGGAATGTCATACGAGTCAAAATCTCAAATATTTTCCCGATTTTTATGCCTCTACCAGTGAATTTAAGTTAAAAAATGAATATTTAGTGGTTAAAAATGGTTTTGACCCTAGTTTTGATCTTGAAAAATGCCCCAATAGTCGATAGCTTGGGCTCTATATAGTGAAGTACAGAAGCACATAGAAGCGCGCACTTTGAGGCCCGAAACTTTGCTTAAAACGCCTTTTCCTAATCTCTCGTTGTGTTTTTCGGAATCTACGCATAAAATTATCCCAGAAAAAGTGTTCGAAAGAAAAAAAAGTCCCCCCACCCAACTAGGATAATACCAAAGATTCATTTTCTGGAATTTTGCTTTTGCTTTTTTCTTGCTTTGCTGCTTTTAACTTTTTCTGTCCGCTTTTTGTTTTTTTTAGGGTAAAAAGAGCCGGAGAATCCGATTTTTTAAGTTTTACGCGTAAAAACTCACGGTAGCGATTTGTTGAAGTGATTTTAACCAAAAACACCAAGCTTTTTCCTTTTGGGGCTTGTATTTTAACGTTTTTACAATTTTTTGTTTTTGCAGGTAACAGAGCAAACTGAAACCGAGCGAGGTGCTGCTGCATGCTCATCATCGTCATCACGGACCGACGTGAAGTTTTGAGGTATATTTTATCAGCTTTATGAATATGTGACTTAATACTTTGTTCGTCTAGCTATTTAGCATTTTCATTTTGCAGGTAATCAGAAATCGAGCGAGGCGTTGCTACGTGTTTCAAAAGGTTTTTCTCACAAACGTTAAGGTATATTTTCTCAGCTATATGGTAATATCGTTTGTTAACATTGTTTTACCATCTTTCTAGTTTGTTAGTTATTCATTTGTCTAGATAGAATGACAAGCCAGAAAGGACGGCCACTGCTTTACGATAATCACAATTGACTAAAAACGGTTGGCACAATTAAATCCTCAAAATTCCCATACTCGTAAGTCGCATTTGGATCGTAAAATAGCTGTGTTGAGTAGAAAACCCAATTGTTTTTCTACTACGGATCACTTGAAAGCTCTAGCCGTTTATGTTCATCATCACTAGTGTTATAATTTTTTAGAATCTTTTGGACTATTAATTTTATGCTTTTTTTGGTATTTTTTTAATGTTAGGTTATCGTTTAATTGTTGGTTATGTTGTTTTGGAATAAATTATCAAAATTAAAAGCTGCTAGTAAAAAAACGAATCTTACATTGTAAAAGAGAAAAACTTTGTTCTGCATTGGTGCTGTTTTGGGATGAACCCGATTTTATACAAATCGATTGTGATTCTTTATTCGTCTTCCTTATTCTGGATAAACGCTATCTGCTATTCCGCAAGCAAGTCAATCACGTTACAACAGTCGCGAGGATCTATTACTACAATCTTGGCGGGCAGGATGAGCTTTTTAAATAGATCAACTTAAGCAGGGATTACAAAAAGAGCACGTTTAACTAACCTCGTTTCGGGTTCACTGAAAGCGCTCGTGCCTTGATAAATCTCCGAACATGGATCATCGGAGGAGCCACTCTCTAGAAAAATACTGTAACTATTAGGACTTGCGAGTGTGTGTACTCTGAATATCTTCAGAACTAAATTCATTTTCCAAGTTTACCGCGAAAATGAAAGTCGAAGTTCCTATTTAAATCGACGCCACGGCAGCATCGATTTCTGCCCCATTCATCTTTTCGGCACTTCAAAGGGGAACGATTTTTGCGCCACAGTCGAATCTAAAATGAGCTTAATGCTAAGAAATTCTTAATTACATCAAAAGCTAATTTACGTGCGGATTTGAGGAGCTTCTTGTGAATTCATATCCATCCGGATTCAAGCAGGGCACAATTACAAAAGTGAGTCTCTCCACGTAGGGACGGATCTCTGGATCCTCGGCACGGCTGATTAGCTAGAGTTTACAGAGATTTGATGGTGTGGTTAGCATTAAGTTTAGCTCTTCTTCTGATTAATTCCAGTCCAGAAGGCTTTTACCTGATGAATGAACCATAAAGCTGTATGCGGTGCAGCCCATTCTCTTGCATGGATTCCCCCATCAACCCAGAAAATGCGTTTCCTCGGATCACGAGTGCCTATCTAGAAAGAGCTTTTGCTATTACTAGAGGCTTTTGCTATTACGGCTTTTGCTTTTGCTGCCTTAAAAAATTGGGTACTTTAATCGTGTTGCCTTTGAAAATCTCAATGCCTTGAGAAAATCGGATACCTTATACAGCGATTCACCAACCAACTTTTAATATTTGCGTTTTTTCCCTTTTTGTTTATTTATTACTTTTTTATTTGATTACTTATTTGGCTTTATTTGGTTTATTTATTTGGCTTTTATTACTTTTCCGTTTTTGATATGTTAATTCTGATTGTATTGATGCTAGTTTTGTTTTGCTTTTGCTTTGCTAGTGCAATTCAATGTAAATGTAATTTTCCCTGTATCTGTGGTCCTTTTTCAACCCTCCATTCATTTTCCTGGAAAAACAAAAGATCGCCTCACGACATATCTTTTTGAATACAGCGCTACAAGCTTTTCAACATTTGTTGATGAGAATACAAGCCGCCTATCCGTTACCATATACCGTATTTCTTCGGATAGAAGATCGGGTAAAGAGTATCATCGCGTACTCCTGCGTAGCAGCCCTTTTTAAAATTTCTTTTCTGCATAAAAGCTTTCAATGAAGTGCTATAGGGCTGGAAAATGGCTCAAAAATACCACATGAGCTAACAGATTTTTGAGCCATTTTCCAGCTCTATAGCACTTGATTGAAAGCTTTTATGCAGAAAAGAAATTTTAAAAAGGGCTGCTACGCAGGAGTACGCGATCATACTCTTTACCCGGTCTTCTATTCGAAGAAATACGGTAAACCTTAACCTTTTTTCCAAAAAACATCCATAAACATAAAAATAAACATGAACGCTAAAGCAAAACATCAAATCGCTGTATACGGTACCCGTTTTTCTTAAGATTCTACCGTTAAAGTACGGTAGAATTTACCTAGTCATAGGAAAAAGCCCTAGAAAGATTTGAAGAATATAAACGTCTCTCTTTTTAAAGACTCAAGTCATTTATGCAGTTTTTACCTAAAAAACCTTTCACATCTGCACCCTTATCTCTTTGCGCCATCGTCAACCTTTCGTATCCCTTTAGTTCTACTTACTTTTTTTCCATGACTCCGAATGACCCCATAAACTTTACCCCGAAAATACAGGCACAATCTGTCTCTCAAAGTAAGTAGTTCACAAGTTTTTTCCATCCACAAAAAAATCGTTTAATCTTTTCTTCATTTAATCTAACCCATTTCAATCGGGGATCGATTTGCCAGGCGTGATAAATTGATGGCTTTTCTCTTTCTTTGCCATTCTTTTCTCTTTCTTTGCCACTCTTTCCTCACCTTTTCCCCCTTTTAATCACTCGATTTTCTCCAAGTTCAGTCTCAAGGCTATTTGAGCTTGAAAAGGAAAAAAAAGAAGTGACATTTGTCTTTTAATTATCCTTTCTATCTTTTTCCTAATCCTGCAATCATCAAAATCCAAAAAAGGAAAAACTACATGAAAATTTGATTGGAAACAATTTGGAGAGATGTTTTCATAGGGGATGACAGATTATGGGAAAGATAAAGTCTTTTTGTCAACAGATAAAGCCTGCCAACAGATCAACAGCCTGCCAACAGATAAAGCCTGCTAACAGCATCACTTGGGACAGATTTCGGAAAGATGAGGATGATGGGTTTTCCCTAGTTCAAACCTCCAATCCATCAATCGATCTTCCTTCATGACTCGTTCCAACCGAGATGAATTGAACAATTTTCGGGTATTTCCTCGCCAACGCCCGCATCCAGGAGACCATTTGGGAATAGCTGAATGAGTTTAATCAAATATTTGAAGATTTAAACACCACACTAACCTTCCATATCTATTGAAATCATAATTTGGAATGTCCGCATCATCGTGCAGCCTTCGTTCACTCGTCACTTCACTTCGCTCACGTTTCAAGATCAATCTGAATAAGCTTATTTGTATCAAATGATCAGATACCTTTAATTTTCTGGTATTAGGCTGACCAGAAAGTCCATAGTCAATAAACCAATGACCAATTAACCAATGTCAATTAACCAATTAACCAACCAATCAATTCAGTCAATTAGCCATACACAAAGTTTGATAGGCTGCTTTGGTTATAAAATCTAGGTTAAAGACTTTCTGGAAAGCCTAATATCAACAACTCACTGTTCAACATCCCCAATCGTTGTCACATAAGTGATGCCCAATTTGTGCAACTTTCCCAGCAAAAACTCCTTTGCTTCAGCGCCAGCCATTACATCGAAAAAACCATCTTTACTCTTTGCAGTTTTCCAAAAGTTTAACTAAATTTTCTTTCTGAATTAAAGTCATTGTAAAAACTTGCATTTAACTTTGAAGAGTTATCGTAAAGTGATCGAAGGAATTCGAATTGCTCGCTGGTTTTGGGGAGAAGCCGTAAAACGGAGACATTTGATGAAGAGCCTGGAGAATGCATTGAGATCAAAGAAGCTCAGATCAAAGAGCAAAAATGTTGCTTTATTCGACGACAGCTATATTCGATAAAGGCTTTTGAATTTACCCAAAAACTCGTTTCCTTTTTGCAAATGAATTCGGTAAGAGGCGAGAGTTGTCGTATGAAGAATTAGAAGTAATAGAAATGTTTTCAAGCTAAATTCGACCACATTTGTCATCGAGAGAGTCTAAATATCAATCTCAATACAATTGTAAAAAATAATAAATATTTTGCATTTGAATTTTCAAAAACACAAATGTTTGCCTTGAGCCAGAAAAGAGCTAATTGGAATGGTTTGGATTGAGATTGGAAAACGACTGATTTGCTAGAAAAAGAGGAAAGACATACGGGTGAAAGTGGTGGTGGATGATAGCCATTTCCTCTTCTCTTCACCCTTCTCCACCCCCTGCCCGTTACGGACATCCAGCTTCGTTGCTTGCCCCTCCCATCCCTCGACCCGAGCACAATCGAACAAGTTTTCCTAGGAGAGTAATCTTTCGTTTTAAAAGTTTAAAATAGAACACCCAAAACATGTTGCTTAATCGTCTTTTCGAGTGACTTAAACACCTTGCACCAATAAAAATCAACGTTGTATTGCTGTAAAATTTTATGTACTGCTTCTTTACCTCCGGTTTATTCAACATCAAAATCAAAATCACAGCCGCCAAACACAATAAACACTAAATATTTGTTTGAATTTTGGATAAAGAAATTGACTAAAGTTTATAATTCAAACACGAAAATTCATAATGGAGTCATTTAGTCGAGAGCCGTTCAAAAAAGAGAAATTGAGCACAGAAACGGAGAATTTTCGAAAATGATTTTCAGAACTATTCTTTATGAAAACAAAGCGCTTCTCGTGTACCCGATATGAAGAAAAAAAAAGAAAGGACTAAAAGAATACAAAATTTCGAGAAAAACCAAAAGGAGGTTAAATCGTAAAAGAAATCAATATTGGCTTAAAATTTAGTCATAGAACGAAAGATTTTTTAGAGGCAAAACGGGCATAAAACAAGAATCAAGATTACTTGGTGTTGAAGTGAATGCTTGGCATCTACAGACTATTGCAACATCCGCTTAGTCCTCCAGATTGACGGCCATTACCTCCCACTGGATCCACAATCACACCTCCTTCCCTTTGTGGAGCTTCTTCGGGAGTCTAAATTACGATATTACTATTTCAGGCTAACAAAAGCAAGCTGTGGCTTGAATAGCCAACATTTTTTACCAAATTGTTCTCTTATGGCACAAGCAATCTAAACTTTTTAAATTCAAGCGAAAAATTACCCGATCAAGGATGGCTTCTGCCAAATCGTAAAAAGCAGTATCGATGTTGATATTTGCTTTAGCAGAAGTTTCAAGAAAGCGAATACCATGGTCTAACGCAATCTAAATTATAATTGAAATGGGAGACAATAAAATCTCAAACCGCTTCCCCTCGTTCTTTGCTAACTTGGCGTCGATCAGTCATATCACACTTGTTGCCGATGACCATTTTCACTACATCCTCTGATGCATGCTAAAATATTCAATTGTGAATTTTTCGACTAATTAAATAATGTTTGGTACAATTTAATGAATACAAACTATCTAACCTCATCAATGTTGCGGAGCCATCGGGCAATATTATCAAAACTGCGTGCGTTAGTGATGTCGTAGACAATCATGATCCCCATTGCACCTCTAGAATTTTTGGTTAATAATGATAAAAGCAAAAGAGAAACCTGTAATAAGAAGTGGTGATTGTGTGGAAACGTTCTTGTCCAGCTGTGTCCCTAAATTGCAAATTTGTTACTTTAAATCAAGTTGATAATGTACCAAATTTGCAGCTTAATCTTCTTTCCTCGTAACTCGATTGTTTTGATTTTAAAGTCAATTCCTAAATTAAGATGCTGTTAAAACACATAGCATAAATTTACCGATTGTCGATATGAACGTCGTGTTGAAAGCATCATCAGAAAACCTAAATTGCATTTGAAAAAAATTTATTGCAACCATAATACCTGTAGAGGATGCACGTCTTACCAACTCCAGAATCACCAATCAGAAGAAGCTTGAAGAGCAAATCGTACTGCCGCCTTGAACCCATGATCAGCGCTCACAATAGTGGGAATATTTTACCTGGAAATCAACAAATTATGAAAATGATTGACATCAACCAATAACAAAAGCAAAACAAACAAATCAACAATCAGGTATCACAACAAAAAATTTCATTAATCTTGTTTTGTTTCTTCTTTTTCGCGTTTCTTATTTCCATAGTTGTACCGCAAACCACGTTCCTTGATATTTCTTCTTGCATTTCTCCTAAATATCCAAATAGTTTTCGAAAAAAGGCGTAAACTCACTTCATATGATTCACAATTCTTTGGATGGATTGTCTGTACGTGTTCCACACCTTTTCTATTTTCTTTTCATCTTGAGTCCGACGAAAGTTGGATACAACTGAGCGAATCTCTGGCTCTTCGCCTAAAATTAATCTTTTTGACCACATCAAGCAGGCAAAAGGCATTCTGCTTATCAAACTTGATAATAAGTACCAGTAAAGAAGAAAGGAATTCGCTTCAAATCCACTTTTGTTGAAAGATCGGCAGTCTTGAAGTGTTCTCCATAGTCTTCATTTTCTTCTCCACTCGAATCTTCAACCTCTCTGTGTACAACTTCCGGTTTTTTGGTGGACTTCTCAGCGTAGGCATTTGAAACTTCAGTTGTATCAATTTTCTTTGCCGAACTAAATTCTATATGTCACTTTAGCAAATTTTAACTGACCCTTGTTTGTCGATTGGTTTCAAAAATGTAAAGCTATTGCTTGTTGGTGTATGAGAAGCATTCTTTTTCAGCAAATCCAAAAAGCTTGTATCCATTTCGTAATATTGTCCTGGATTGACTTTTTGAGGCGGAAGTTCTTCCACTTGTGCTCGCTTTGGTTTTTTGACGCTTTCTAAAAACAATGTTAAAGAAAAAACGGTTGAAGACATATTACCATTTTCTTCAATTTCTTTGGTACCAGATGTGCTTGGAATCTCAAATTGTTCTTCGTGGTCGTCGATAAATCTTTCATCCAGTTGGAACCGTTGATCAAACCCGCCACTAAAATTAGGTAAGGTAAAAGGATCTAATAAAGTTAAGACCTGTTACTGTCAGTTTTGGCTTCAGTGTCCACATTCTGTCGTTGCTGTAAATTGATTTAGAATTTTCAAAAAATAATGATCAATCATACTTTTTTCTGTTTCACAATTGTCGTTTTCGACGAAATATCATCGTTCTCCAATTCTCCATCACTATCGAAAACTTTGCGTCTAAATAAATTGAAACATAATCCATTTAAGAAACGAACAAACTTGCTGTTAGCATCCTTGTTTGACAAAGATATTTTGATAGCCAAGGCTCGCTCCTGTTCGAGTTGTTTTTTTGCCGCAAGAGCTTCTTTTCTTGCAGCTTCCGATCGAGACTTCTTATCCATTGTTCCCTGATTGAAAGAGCTACAATGTTAGCCACAAAATGCATAAAACAACAAAGGTCTATGTATTATGAGTTTTGTTGCACAAACATTTTTGAACAAATGCAAGACTCTGTTTTCAAAATATAATCAATAGGAGGCATGATGATTCATGCTATGACCGACTTAAAAAAGAAACGCCCCATATTTCTTGAAGACCGGAAATTTCAAAACAACATTGTGAAAAGCAGAAATGCTCGTTTTTCAATTAAATTGCAATCTTTTCGGCACATTTAGCGGATTTTTTTTCATCAATTGAGAGAAGATACAAAAAAACTTTTCGAGGGAATGACTAGAGCAGTTGACAAAACAAAAAACTGATCAAATTAATAGATAAATGCGACAAGGCGACTGATTCAAAAAGAATTAACGGAAAGTTGTCTAGAATTTATTTTCCAGAGGTCAGTATGGCAAATTCTCGCTAGTTGACCAAGATTTCGCAATTCTCTCCACATGTCTTTTTGGCAGAGTTTAGAGAAACTGGGAGACAGACGCGCCAAGAATTGTGAGAAAAGGATTGAGATCCCACAAATAGCGACATTTCTAATAGTAAGACTTGTGCTAAATCTTAACAATGGTTTTGGAGTAAAATGAAAGTTATGCAAAACAAAGGCTAGTGTTGTACGCAGCTTTCGATGCTTTCGATGATAACCTTACATTTTAAATAATGTATTCTAGAATGTTTATGGAATTTTATAGAAGCTCTATTTGGAAAAATGGGAGTGAACAAACTCTTCTTTTCTGAAAGGGGTCACAAAGCGCTCCTTTTATCTCTTTTCTCATGGGTGCATTTGGGCTGAAAGGGGAAGCGATCGATGTCCACTGCACTGGCCTAAGCCCGCCAAATGAAAAATTCAAGTTCCTCAAAAACAATGACTCCGCTGCTTCAGAAAAGGAGTTTTAAACAAATTATAGGAGCTCATTAAAATGTTGTCTAAATTTTGAATTTTTAAAAAATGGAATCGAATATTAATCGAACTTTTTTTCTTCTTGACACAAATTAAAGAGATTTATTTTAATTTAACAACGAAGTTAGATACTAATTCAGAAAGTATTTTAAAAAGTACGAACAAAAACTATTTTCGAAGATCAATTTAGGCATGAAAAAATATCACACTCAGAGATCTCAATGCGAAAATATTTTTAACAACATTAAAAGTAATTAAAAAATTTTTCTTAACGCCAATTGTTTGAAAGGTTGTTGCCGCCACGTGTTTCTTAACGCCAATTGCTTGAATAGTTGTTGCCGCCACGTGGAGGACCGTTGCGATCGCCTCGACCACCACCGTTGAATCCGCGATTACCACGATAACCTCGAGAGTCTACAAACGTTGAATAAATTTTAAAAAAACACAAAAACTTACTGTAATTATTTCCTCCATAGCCACCATTATCATAACTTTGCTGTTGATTGCGATATCCACCGCCACCATAACCACCACTAAATAAGTAATCAGTAAGCTACATATTTTCCTTTTAAAAATTACCCTTCGTGTCGTTCATAGTTATTACCATTGTTTCCACCAAACCCACCTAAATCAAAAACATGTGAATGTAACAATGTCTAAATATTACCAGGTCCTCCACGGTAGCCTCCACCTCCTCGACCACGATAGTTTGGGTTGAAATTCTAAAATTTACAATAAAACCCCGGTGCTTTTTATCAAACTGTATTTTGAGGGTTATATCCAGAGCCAAGTTCATGTCGAATATGTCGATGACCCGATTGATCTAAGTGAGCTCGTGGTGTATCCCGTGAAAAGCCAACTTGAGGTCGATACCGGCCGTCCTAGAATTTTTAAAAGTCTGCTTGGCGGATGCGTCAGACCCGATTTTGCATTGCAAAGCAACAAACATACCCGACTTTCGTTCCAATCTCCCGGCTTCAATGTTTTTGGCAATTCAGATGCTTTTTCTAGACGCGTGGCAGGGAAAACGAACCCTTCTGGATAATCTGGATCGTCAAAAATAACGTTGATCGCATTGTTTACCTAAAATGAAATCTATAATGCAGACAAAAATGCACAAACCGGCAAATCCGGACACTCGTTGGCCATAACCGGTGAAGTAAAAGTTGTACCCGGCATGGTCACTGTTCCATCTGACATTATGCGACCGCTCATTCCATTTGTCAATGTTGTATCCACATCAATTCCATCAGCTAAACACACCCATCACACTTGTAGAAATATAAAGTTATTTTACATTCCACATCATAGAGCTCCTTGAACAGCGCATAAACGGGATGGCGAGTTGATACAAACAGTCGATTCGGCCCTGTAGTGTTGCGCGCGTTCTCCTCGTCTGTCAAAGTTTGGTAAACCTAAAATCTGGTATTAAGAATGGTCACAAAATAAAGTCACCGTTTGGAGCGTATTTAAAAGTCGTTTTTCGTCCACAAATGGAAGTAACGCAACACCTAAATTAACATAAATAATGGAAGTTTCAAAAAATGCGCTTACCTTGCCATGCAAACTTTTTACCATTCAGGTCAATGCGGAAGTCGACTGGATAGAAGTCGATTATAGGTGAACTGTCTTCAGTCATCAATAGCTGCCATTTCTCCGGTAAATGTTGCCTGAAAACTAAATTTATTTATAATTAAAGCCACTGGACTTGCTAGCAGCAGGGAAAACGCTCATCAACTGTTCAAGTGGCCTGAATGGCCTAGTTTTTCCTGAGAAGTCAAGTTTGAATTGCGATACTGTATCAAAATCTGAAGCGAATGGAGCATAATGGTATGGAAAATACCAATCCCATGAAGCACAACCCTAAAATAAGCATTGATTTATGCGTCTAGACAAAAACCTTTTGACCTGATAGTAATATTGTAAAACCCAGCATAATCCTTCGACGTATGCCCAAGCAACTTTTTTGCGAAAATCGTAATCATCCCCACCAACATCAAATTTGGCTCGATAATACCTAGAAACTAAGGCCTTAGATATAACGAGCTAATTCAACCTGTCCTTCCATCCACTTTCGTACAAGCGAATTTCATCAGCCGGTTCGGTTTCTTCCTCTTCCTCATAGGGGTTAATTGAAGTCTAAACAATCTAGCTTACATTCTGAATCAAAACATAAAACATACATCAGCTTTTCTTTTTCGGCTATTTGGACTTGATTGGTCTTCGTTTCCACCTTTCATCATTGCCTTCAACCGCTTCGCAGCTTCTTCATTCTCCGTGTGTCGCATAGCCTAAATCGGATAAATAAGCTAAACTAGTAGTATCAAACTTCAACGCGGGCGTCATGAGCAAGTTGCCGAGTTTGGGATCCGGATAAATTCATCGGCTAAACAAATGGATACAAGAAAAATTATGAAGCTAAAACCTGTGCTGTCGGTTCCAATAAGCTGCCATGCCCTGGTATGTATGCAGGACGAGCGGCTGGACGTCCTCCTTGGTTTCCAGCAACCTTCCTGGCTTTCTGTTGAGCTTTGTAGCGCTCTTCATTTTGCTAAAAATCATCTTAATACCATCTGAAAACAAAAATTAACTTGTCTCCGCTTGAAAATCTCATCTTCAACTTCGCCCAATCCTTTCATTATCATTTCGACCCGCTCCAAATAAACTGAGCCATCATGTGTTAGATATCTAAATGAAATGTTTGGCTCACATCAGTTCAGAAAAATTTCAAACCCTTTCATTTTATAGACCATGTCTTTGTAGAGACGTATCAAACGATCTATGGCGCCTTCTCGAATTTCAAGTGAAGGCAAATGGGGGAGGAAATCGTTACCGACGAAAAAGCACAAAAACACCTACACTTCATTTAAAAGTTGCAAAGCATTTGACCCTTACCCAATCGTCAATTGCCCTTTCAAACTCCCATTTGAATGGTAGATTCGGCATCGTTAACTCCTTTTCCAGATATTCCCTCAGCACAGGTATCCGAAGAAAGATGAAGTTTTTCTCCTAAATCAAAACGTTCTAATTCTGTGCGAAAAAAAACCTTTTGAAGCGGATCTGCGTCATCGGCAGCTTTTTCCCCGGTTTCATTATCTTCGAGCCTTAATAAGGTTTGAGTAAAATCAACTATTAAAATCTGCTAACCCTTTGCAACCCTTGAGTTCATGTCCATATTTTCCACAAAGTTCGCACGGGCGTTGTTGATTTGGCACAAACTCTTCTCTAAAAGAAAGTTTAAGTTTAAAAAAAACGCTGAAAACACCTTATAATGTTAAAATTGTTTTCATGAGTCGCGAGTCCAAGCATAATTAAATCAGCATCTGCCCCGCATAAACAATGAACCTGAACTCATAAAACATTATTTATCGCTACGATTTCTTTACCGTATCCGGATTGTGAGCTGGGTTAGCTCTCTGACGTCTAACAAAGTCCATAATTTTGTGTTCGCCTTCCCCAGGAGCGTTGGCATCAGAAAGGATGACTTGAATATTGTGCCAAGCTGGATCGTTAGTGAGACGATCGTGAATGTAATAACGTAGAGCATCAGCTAATCTAAATGAACAAATAAAAGTCTTTCAATGATCTTCGTTGCCTAGCCATGAATGGAGTTCCAGGGGTTATGCAGTTGCTGTCAAAATGGCTTTCCGGTGCTTTCTTTGGTGGTAGAGGAATGCCTTCAGCATCTAATCGTTTTCGGACTTCATCAATTTCCATTTGTTTTTCCACCGCTTCTTTTGATGCTCGAAAACGTCGACTCCTAAAGATGGATTAATAGAAAATCATAACAAGAACTTGCACACGCCACACCGAAACCCATGCCGAATGCGAAAGATGGTTAACATACCTTTGCTGATTCATCTAAAAACTTTATTACAAATTTATCGCTTTTAAAACAACCTTAGCTCTCGGCGCCACACCATCAATTGCCATATAAAGAAGTTTCCTTGGTCGTACAATTGAGAAAATTCGATCGATGTACTCGAATATCAACACCTAAACAAAAAATTGTACTTATTGACTAAAAAACACTTACAAACATCTCATCTTCGTTTTTGGGCGCTGGCCTATCTTCAGGATGAGTACACGGATGAATGATTCCATTCATATCCAAGTAGAGATTATCAAATTCCTAAAAGACCTTTCCATTTGTTAATCATAAAAAAAGTAACCTGAAAATTTGGGTTCGGTTGTGTACAATCTATCGGTATCCTCTTTCCATCGACATCTCTCTTCCTAAAACATTCAAACATTTCAAGACTAAAGTAAGCAACAAACCGTTCTTCATTAGCGTTGACAATCGTTGAGGGGTACTTCTTGGTCAGCCATCGAAAGAATGCTGGAACACCCATCAGACAACCTTAAATTGAATGTTGAGAAAATTTAGAAAATTGAAGGTTTAGAGCAGAAAGGGTTCTTGTTTAGTATTAGGAGAGTAATCAATTACCAAAGGGTAAATAAGAAGCAGATTAAAGTACCTTTCCCTGGTAATTGACTACCCTAACACTAAAAAAGTTGAACGCATGTAAATAGTAATTTAGGAAGCATTGCACCTTAACAAGCAACTCTAGAATGCAAGCAACAGCTTCTTTTGAACGCTCCGTGAAAGGAGAAAAGTTGTTGCTGGCAAAATGCCAAGATTAACACCGTAAACAAGAGCGCGTTAGGACCACAAAAAAGAATTTAGAAGGACAAGTTCTTCGAAAATTCTTCGAAAAAATGAACTGCTAGAGTTTTACATTTATTTATAGCAAAATTTTTAACAATTTTTCACGTAAAAATAAGTTTCAGCGCGTCAACTGAATATCTTTAACTTAATGGCCACAAATTTTCAGAAACAAACTCCTCATTTTCATTAGCAAATTTTTTCTAGTGGTAGTATTTTTGCGTTGCTTTTTACTTCGTCTATTGCTTTGCTCATATTTTTGAGCTTTATGTTCTATTTCTAGGGTAAAGATGACAGCGAGACCGCTTGTCACCGTTTACAGCGAGAAGAATGAAGCCACCGCCAGCCAAATCAAGCTTCCAGCCGTCTTCCGTGCTCCAATTAGGCCCGATGTCGTGAGCTTCATCCACGATCAAATCAGCAAGAACAAGCGCCAGGCCCGAGCTGTCTCCACCGAAGCAGGTATGATTTTAGCGTGCTTTGTTAAGAAAAACTTTGGACTAGTGAAGCCACTCTTTCAAGTCTAAATTTTATTGAAGCTCAGGACAGCTGTGATTGATTAATTAGTGTTCTTTACTGATGAAAAGTATTGTCTCTAAAAATAGTCATCAAACAATGCGCATTGAAAGCCAACTAGGTAAAAAGTCAAATTCAACGTTAAATATCTTCTTTTAGTATAAAGCTATGATCCTCGAAAATATTTTTCTTTGAGTTAAAATAATTTAGAATTTACTAAACTTTAGGAAAGCAATCATCCGCTGAATCGTGGGGAACTGGACGTGCCGTCGCTCGTATTCCACGTGTTCGTGGTGGAGGTACTCACCGATCCGGTCAAGGAGCTTTCGGAAACATGTGCCGTGGAGGACACATGTTCGCACCACTCAAGGTCTGGAGACGTTGGCATCGGCGAGTGAATGTCGCCCAAAGACGCTACGCCATCACATCCGCTATTGCTGCTTCCGGAGTTCCATCGCTCGTCCAAGCTCGCGGACATGTTGTTGACAACGTTGCTGAAATTCCATTTGTCGTCTCGGACAAGGTTGAAGGTTTCCGCAAGACCAAGGAGGCCGTGTCTTTCTTGCGCCGTTCTCATCTCTGGGCCGATGTCGAAAAGGTTTTTTGATTTGCTTTTTTTCAATAATTCAATTTATTTTAGGTTTACAACAGCAAACGTTACCGTGCCGGTGTTGGAAAAATGCGCAACCGTCGTTACAAGCAAAAGCTCGGACCACTCGTCATCTATGGTCAGGATTCCGCCATCGCTCGTGCTTTCCGCAACATTCCTGGAGTCGATGTGTTGAATGTTGAGCGCCTCAACCTTTTGAAAGTTGCTCCCGGAGGACACCTTGGACGTTTGATCATCTGGACCGAGTCAGCCTTCAAGAAATTGGACGCCATCTATGGAACTCCATCTGCCCCATCTGAGCTCAAGAAAGGATTCGTTCTTCCTACAGCTAAGATGGCCAATCCTGATTTCTCAAGAATTGTTCGTTCCGAGGAGGTTGTGAATGCCGTTCGCCGAGTCAGAAAAGTTAAAGTCACACCAAAGGTAGGTTGTTTTCGAAGTTAAATAATAAATAACAAAAAGCATTAGAGTTGCATAAAAAAGTTTGTTTTTTCAGGTTCATCACAACCCATTGAAGAAGTTCAAACTCATGGCTGCACTCAATCCATATGCAACTGTTCTACGAGACGCCGCTCACAAGAAGCAAAAAGCCTAATTATACTATTTTTGTTGATAAATTTGTTGCGTTTTTAATGAATTTTGAAAAGCACATAACAAATAATTTATTGATACCGCTCATATTCATACAAATTCATATTTTTAAGTGAATTATGCCTTTTATTTGTTGGTGAGCAGGTAGAAGGAAAACCATCAGCGAACGACACACTAAATGCGTATTTGGTTGTACGAGTTGAGTGTGGTTACCTGCTTTCCTTCTCGAGTTTATTAACGGTTTTTGATGTATTTTGTATTGAAGAGTCTATCCGGCTAAGTATATCTCGCATACTAATCTCTTTTTCTGTTGATGGAGGAGGTTTTGTGGACTTGATATCTGGAGCAACGGGTGTATATGGTTTTAAACGATATTTCACCTTGAAGGGATGATGGTCGAATTGCGGAAACACTTTGTTTTGTGCTCACCGATGGAGAATCTGGTTGTACAGGAATCATTATGCTCTTTTTGAGAAATAGGCTTTCGTTCGACCAAAGTTTATTGATTCGTTTGATATCAGTAATCTGAAGATCGGCTTTTCTTTTCTAATTTTTCGTATTTGACTCACTGAACTGTTGTAGCGCAGGGCTAAGCCAGGAATTGTATCTTCTGACTGTGTTATGTGCTCAATTAATTGCACAGGTTTGTTGTGAGAAACCCGTTGAGTTGTGCCGTATCTTCGTACCTGAATTTTTTATTTAACTGAATATCAGTCGACGTTTATACCCGATTATATCCACAAAGAAAAATTCTTTCTTCTGCTGTAGCCGATAAATGATAATCCATACTGAGACCTCATAGTCGATAATAAAAAAAGCTCACAGCACCATAAACGTGGAGTAAAATTTTGGGGAAATCTAAAGTTAAAGGTGTTTTTTTGCATAAATAATTATATGAAGCTAAAGAAAAATAAGGAATAAGGGTAATTCTAATGTTTTGCTGTTTTTATCGAGTGTTTAAAGGAGACATTGGACTACAATGAATGAAAAATTGATAAGAATGATTGTGGTAAAGCCTTTGAGCGGAAAGAGCGGCGCCCGGGGGAACCCCCATAGGGCAGGTTTTAGTCGCTTTTCGTTTTTGAAGTGCACACAAATTCTCTCGATTTTACCCACTCTTTCATCCATTTCCCACTGTCACCTTTTCTCTCTCTTTGATTGATTCGATGAGTGTCTTTATCGGGTCTCGTCTGGATTCCCCTTCAATATCCATTTGATCTCCAGTATTTATGCCTTTCCTCTGTCATCCTCTACATTATCAGCTGTTATCCATGTCTATCATCCGATGGCTCGTTTGATTAGAAGATTTTCGAAAATGCAACCGAATCTTTAGATTGTAGATTCGGTTGTAGAATGATGTAGAACTATCGTAAACTACTCCGTCATGCTTTTGCCCACTCAACTGAGCGATAAAGATTCGCACCAACGAGTCTTCAACTAAAATCTCTGAAACTTTCCATTTGGTTTTTTTAGTTGGAACCAGGGTAGATCAAAAATCCGTGCGCCGCCGGGATTCGAACCCGGGACCTTTCGCTTACCGGACAACTGTGCTAATCATTACACCACAACGCATTTGATCGCCCCTACTCCAGAGGGAGTTAACTGTTTCCATAGTTGTGTCTATGGAATATGCATGTTATGCCAAAGTTTCAGAGATTTTAGTTGAAAACGCGTTTTTGCAACTTTTTATCGCTCAGGTGAGTCGGCTTCATAATTTTTTTGTCACTACTATTGGGGAAAAGACGGCATTCTTGTTTTCTATCTTGCACAAACTAATCTCAGAACTTTATCTCATAAAAAGTCCAATGCAAAATCCTGTAGATATCGATGCCTTCATCATCGAATTCTCCCCATTCTCCATCACCCATCCCATCTTGTTCAAACAACAAACAGCGTCCATTATCGATGTTTTCCGGATTTCGCAGGGCTCGTCGGGATAATGTTTTTGTGCTTCCAACTCAATACAGTCATGGTTGGTCTTTGGAAGAAATTGGGGAACAGTCATTGTTGGTTTTGAGGAGAAATTGGGGAAACTCAGTCATGGGATCTAACAATCAGTATGTAGTTAGAAGATAAGACTGATCACTTGATTTTTCAGTTGTAGCCGGTTCTGGAATGGACTACGTGCGATCTGTATCAAATTCAGCATTCTACGACTCGAGTTTCCCAACACTTCCCCCAAGGACCGAAAGGAAGACGAGTGAACCGGCTGAGATGACACACTCTGGGTATGAGAATAAAGACTTCATTTGAGTAACAGTTTTGTCATCCATTATTGTCCATCTTTAAGCACAATGGAGCCTTTCTATTGTTTTATCTTTCTATTTCTCTATGTTGTGAAAGGGGCGTGGCCAAAATAGGATCCTGAATTGCGAAATCCTCATCAAATACCATCAAGTACAACCCATTGCGCGGTACAAGAGTGCCCCATTTGTGTTATGCAATTGTTTTGTAGACAATATCCAGATCTACAATCTTTTCAGAACCAGCTTGTTGATGAGTGGCCCATCATCATCTAGTCAATATCAACAACAGCTAAATATTGACACGTTTGGGGGTGAAACGGCTGGATCAGGTAATTGATGCAAAGTATCGCTAACAATGTCTCGATTATATTCTAGGTCTCGAATATATCACGACAATGCTTGCCGATGAGGATGAGACTTGTAATCGATCAATTAGATTAGGTTAGAGGTTACGATGATCAATTAGGTTACGATAATCAATTAGATTAGGTTACGAAGTAAATCTAATGAATAGAATGAATCATTGAACGGTTTCAGCTCAACAATTGGCGCTCTCGGAAATGCGGCAAGATTTGGAGAGACAACGCAAAGAGATTTCACAAATGGAAGCGGATCAGGTTGGGGCAGAGATACCGTGCATTTTAGCGACTCAGAGAAATTGTACAATTGGTTCAAACTAGTTTTTATTGTAGGTGATGCTTGAAGTGATGCTACGAGATGATTTAGCTGATTTGGGACAAGTTGTAGGTTTTTTTGACTTCTGTTTTGATTTGGGTTTTGATTTTGGTTTTGATTGGTTTTGATTTCTATTCTTCGACTTCAAGAGCCAAAAAGTGTTTTAGGATGAGACGAAGCTCGATCAAGAGATTGCGAAGCTCGAGGAGGAAATCGATGAGATTCGTCGAACACATCCACATTGTGTACCACCACCAGGTAGGCGAATTGATAATAACAAGGTTCATAAAACAAAATTCAATACAGAAACCACAGAAACCCGTTCAGTACCCCTTCGACCTCGACGTTCAACACCCGATGATGAGGCGTGGAGATGTATGAATGCAACTTGTGGAGCCGCGAATCACGTCGAGTTGTACAAGTGAGTAAAAGCAAAGTTCAAAGTCTCGTCAAGGGTATTCTAAAAGGCTCTCGTAAGTATTCTAATTTTGCAGAGTGTTGTTTAAACTAGTGAGGATTTATCTCCAATTTTGATAAAGAATCATATGATCTAAATATTTAGATGCATAAAATGCGGTCTTCCCCGATTGATTATCAGTGATGAGGAACGAAAGAGATGTTCATGTCAGCGATGTCGATTGGGACTTGGTTGGTTGAAATAAGGTTAAGATTTAAATACTGAATATTGGAGATACAATTCAGATCATCGTACACTTCAAACATGAACTCTTTCAGATCGTTTATCGATGACCCCGGCGGTGGAGGATAATGATTGGATGCTCGTGAATTCTCCCTAAATATTTGTTTCTTTATACTTTCAAAATTTCCCCCTAAGCTCTAGTTGAATATCTTATATTTCATGAGAAAATTCAAACAAATGGGGCAGCTATGAAAGCTACGAAGCCCCGTTCCCTTTTTCTGCGTAGATTTTTTTGTAGCTGCCCCTTTTGTTTGAAATTCCCCACGAAACTGGAAGATATTCAGTTGAGTGGGAAAGGGGACACTTTTAAAGTGTCTAGGTTCATTGCAAAGTTGTCTAGGTTCATTCATATGTTCTTGAGTAAAGCTTGAGTATGTCCTAAGCCTAAGCCTGTTTAGTAACTTTTCACTTATTGTTAAATTATGGTATATATGTCGTAACCGTTTACGAAATTCAGCAGCTAACGAATGATTCGTTATCGGCTAGCCGCTAACGAATCATTCGTAATCGGCTAGCCGCTAACGAATCATTCATAATCGGCTAGCCGCTAACGAATTTCGTAATCGGCTAGCCGCTAACGAATCATTCGTAATCGGCTAGCCGCTAACGAATCATTCATAATCGGCTAGCCGCTAACGAATGATTCGTAATCGGCTAGCGAAAAATTTCCTTTGTTAACGGCTGAATTTCGTAAACGGCTACGACATATACGTTCAATTTTTTCAAGAAGTTATTCCCAACTTTATCGTTTTACTTGCTAAAACTTATGCACACACGTATTTTTCATCCATATAAAGCGCGCGCAACCATGTAAGTATGTTCCGTAATAACTCGAAACGTAAATTGGCAACACGCGTTTTAAACATCAGATTCGTGATCAGCGTCATCGATTACCCCGGAAAACGTGGAAAAATCAAAAATTTAGGTCCCCCAACTTTATTAGTACCAAGTTTTTTGTGCATCCACGTGTAAAACTGGCTTCTAGCCTCGCTTACAAAACCTAGGCAGTGTACTGTTATAGCTCCAGTCGCGCAGAAATAGCATTCTATAGAATTTTCTACTTTACCCAAGCTCAGTTTATGTACTTTATGTGCCACAACATTTATAGTCCGTTCGATTTATATCATTTCTCAACTTTTGTGCGTGCCAAATGATCCAGTATTTTTCTTCAATTTCTTCTGTATGAGTTCCGTTTAAGCTCTATTCTATTTTCTTTTTTTGTTACCTATGTGATCGATTTGATGTCTTGTCCTAGTTTTCTCACTGTTTTCCCAGATCCTAGTGTTCAAATAATCTTTTTATTTCCTACCTCTTTCCCACCACAATTACTTACCTACTCATTAAAAATATGATAAAGTTTAGGAGAAATTTGTATAAATATTAAACTTTATGTTCTTTTTACATTTTTGGGAAGAACCGATTGATACAAATACTGATTTTACTTGTGAAAAAGTTGTGTGAATTTAACGATTTGGAGAGTTTATTTCGGGGTAGGCTAATTTCCGCCATTTTATTTGCGCAACTCGCCATAACTTTTTTTTCTAAGTGGGCCAATCTTTATGATTTTGTTTTGATTTTGTTGCACTTATTGAGATCTACAAAATGACACCACAATCATAAAGATTGACCAATCTAGAACAAAGTTATGGCGATTTGCGCAAAAGAGCGAGTTGCGGGGAGTGGGACAAATGCGACCTTTTTTTTGCGCACCCGGACATTTGCGCACCTTTTTTTCCGCACCTTGCCCATTAGCGCACCTTTTTTCACGTTTTAAAAAAGCTCTAAAAGGCTAATATTAACCAATTTCTATTCCAAAAGTTGTTTTTCTAGGTAATTTTAGGGCGTAGAATCGAAATTTTGGCATATCAGAGCTTGTGGAAGCGAACGGACGGAGTTATACAAAGAGAAAAATCAACAATTTTCTGTAATTTGACCTAGCCGTTTTGTCTTTCAAATTGATTCCACAAGCTCTGATATGCCAAAATTTCGATTCTACGCCCTCAAATTACCTAGAAAAACAACTTTTGGAATAGAAATTGGTTAATATTAGCTTTTAGAGCTTTTTTAAAACGCGAAAAAAGGTGCGCTAATGGGCTAGGTGCGGAAAAAAAAGGTGCGCTGATAGGCTAAGTGCGGAAAAAAGGTGCGCAAAAAAAAAGGTCGCATTTGTCCCACTCCCCCAGTTGCGCAATTAAAATGACCGAAATTAGCCCACCCCGTTATTTCCATTGAAATAATATTCAGTTCAAAAACGAATTTTCATAAGCATTAATGGATGTTTGACTTCCAAAAATTTTCTCGACTTTCATTCAAACCACGGGCGTTTCAAAAATCAGAATTTTAAACGTCTAGTTAGTTTAAATTGTTAAGTAAGTTTGCATTGTTACATTGTAGAATATCGTTCAATTAGTCTTTCCGTTTAGTAAACCGTTCCTTCATTTTTATGTTGTTTTAGGCTTTTTAAAATATTACTTTCTTTAGATGTCCGCCGTACTCCAACAATTGCTCGAGATGGGCTTCGAGGAAGCGCGAGCAAAAAGAGCGGCTAGTTTTTATCTTGAAAAGAGCTTGTATACTATAAAGTTAGATTACCTATATGGCAATTGAGAGCGCTAGACGTGTTATGCTATACTTAAAGTAATCATGTTTAGATTTCTGCTTCAAATGGATCGGTGGAGGCGGCGATGGAATGGCTGATCGCTCATCAAGATGAACCGGTAGTTTGATTTTTGAGTTTACCATTTAATTTAAACATTTTAGCTCCCCGAGGAAGGCAGTAGCGTTGAGCTTGTGGACCAGCCGATGATCATCCCCGATCAGACTAGCACTTCTGATGCTCCTGCTGCGGCCGCGAACAGCTTCAAGTGTGATGAGTAAGTTTTGCATTTGCTAAAATCTTAAAGAACCAAAGATTGAGTAATATTTCCATTGTTTTAGTTGCGGCAAGCTTTTGAAGGATAACGATGCATTGATGTTTCACGCAGCAAAGACGAATCACGAAAATTTCTCGGAAAGCACGGAGGTGAGATTTTTCTGTAACGTTAACTTCTTATATTTAGACCATCAAAGCATTGACCCCAGAAGAATTGGCTGCTCAGCGAGAAGAGATCAAAAAGAAACTTCAGAGCGTTCGTGAACAAAAAAGCGACATGGATCGCAAAGATGAAGTAGCGTTTCAAAGTCCAATCTTTTAACGATAAAGGTTTTAGATTGAAAAGGAGAAGCGCCGACGGGAAGAAGGAAAATTGGTCATTCAACGTAAAGAAGAACAAAAAGTGCTTTTAGTTGAAACTTACTTTGACAAGTTATTTAGGACAAGGAACTGCGTCAAATCGCCGAGGATCGGCGCCGTGAAAAACTTGAAGATGAAAGGGCCAAGCAACGAATTCTTGACCAAATTAAAGCTGACAAGGTAAATTCTTTTGAACGGTTCTCGTTCTGATAGTGTATATTGATTTTTTAGGAAGACCGCAAAGCTCGTGCCCTTGGAATGCCACCACCATCACATGAGCCCTCAAAGCCACAACACGTGGCAGTCCCACCTCCAAAGGTCGACTACAAACAAGCAACGATTCAGGTAAAGTGAGTTTGTACGCTTGGGTTAATCTTTGAATTCTGTTTATATTAGACAACGATTCTAGTCTTCGTTCAATCCAGTTTTTTATTCTAATAAAAAAAACCTTTAGGTTCGTCTTCCATCCGGTGAAGCTGTTCGACAAACATTTGATGCTAAGGAATCGCTCTCGGCTGTTCGTTTGTGGATCGAGATGCACCATAATCCAGTTTGGAAGTTAAAATTCTTAAGAAATTATGTTTGGTTTAGACTAAAGGACACTTTGATTTGATGACACCCTTTCCACGAAAGAAGATGGATGAACAAGACTACGAGGCACCGCTTGAATCGCTTGGTTTGTTTCATTCTCATTAACAATATGAAACATAAGCATAATTTGCGGATTTTATTTAGGCCTCGTTCCATCGGCCGTTTTGGTGATGACGCGTGGACAATAAATGGTCGACGAGCAGAAATATCAAAACTGTGATTTCTTTTGAGGGTTTTCGCCCAAACTACTGTATTTATCATTGGCACTTTCATCTACTCTTTTTGTATTGTTTTTGGTCGGTTCTTGGTCGTTTATCGATTTATCTTCCCCTTAAATTGTTAAGAATTCTTGTCAAAACCAATGTCAAATGTGCTGATTAAAGTTTTACATTTTCAGTAATAATCCGAAAATTGGATCAATAACTGTTTTTTGTTGTACACGTACACCAATTGAAAAATGCCTTATTTAAAAATTTCAATTTTTAAACATTTTTATAAGTGTCTCTTCCGACAGCCCAGATCCTGTTGATAATAACAGCGATATCCAAAAACGGGTACTAACTTAAAAGTTGAGCGTATGATGTTACTATTACACTAACTACTACAAATATCTATACTTGACATGATCTTGATTGCTCTTATCCCGGTTCCATCGAGCATCTGAATACTCTAATATACGTCGGAGTCATCTGAACTGTGATTGCACGTAATTGTTGAATTGTTGCATGAAAGATAAGAACTTCCAATGCATTGAGTCAAATGTCCTGCGCGATCACCATTCTAAAAATCTACTTAAACGATAACAAGAACGACGAAAGTTTCAAACATTTGAAAACAAAAACTACTGACATTTCAATGATATCATTTGGGTTTACGACGTTGTCTGGCGGAGGACCCAGGCTAAAGAGTGCTTCGTAGTTATTATAGCCTAATCGTAAGATTGATCAAAGCACAACTTTCCATCCCATCCCTCCAAACAGATTTTCAACCAGTTAAAAAACAGATATGAAAATTCTTTATTTTTCAAGTGCAGGATCAAATAATGTAGCTTTGAATTGTGGAGAGGCTATTGAAAGTTGGCGGTTCACTTCTTCCGAATCACCACGTGTGTCAACTGATCCACTGCAAGGCAAATCTAAACTAAAATTTTAGGTTTGCCATAAAAGTATGAATCAAACAAGTTTGTTGAAAGGACTGACTTCTTCCATTTGCTCCCATCCCTCGTTCACACCAGGCAGCCGCTTCTCGCCAATGTTCTTCTAGAAAATAATTGGAACAGTCAAAAGTAAATCCCTACCTGACAATAACGCAAATTGTTGGTCGCATCACGCACATTGTTCACCATATCCATCCAAAGGCGCCGTGCCTCCGGATCCTCATTCACCTAAGAGATAAACTACGGAAATTCAAGTTTAAAACCAACCAAATTGGTGATATGCTCGACGGCGTTGACTTTTTGCTTAAACTCTTGGCGTCCAGTTGATTGCCCTTGCAATTGACGCGGCGATAATTCCTTGAGGTTCCTTGGCTTGCTGGTAATTCCTTCCTTAAGTAATTCCTTGCTAAGACGTTCCTTTTGGCGTTTGAGATCCGCATCAATCTCGAGTTGTTCCTAAAAATGGATACTTAATCAAAGTCTTGCCATAAGATATTATATTCAAACAAAGTTCTAAAGTAGACAAGCCTGTTTCAAGATCCGTTCTTGCTTCCGGTCGAGTGCATCTCCTCCTTTCATAGTCTTCTCAAGACGCCCCATTTGGTCCTTAACTTCCTTTTGAATCTCAAGCTCCTCCTAAAAAACAAATTACAAAGTCAGTCAATTAATTTTGAACCTGTTTCAACGTCTGTTCCTGCTTCCGCTTCTCCCTTTCATCTTCCTTGCTGAGGCGTTCCTTCTGACGCTTGAGCTCTTCATTAATCTCGAACTGCTCCTAAAGCGTTTAATAAAACAAAAGGACGGAGCAACTCAAAATTTAACCTCTTCCAAGATACGTTCCTGCTTTCGCTTGCGCACAACTGGCGATGGTGGATCACTTCTATCGCCAGTCTTCATCAATGATTGAGCACTGAAACATAAAATATAAAAACATAATAAAAACTTTAACACGGGGTTTAAATTAGAATCAATCGTCTATTTCTAACGCAAGACTTAAGATTTCAAAGATACCTTTGGGCCCGTTTGGTGGATGATGCATTAACGAGACCGGAGCCTTCGAGTGGCGAACAATTGATGTACGTCCAATTGCGATGAACCTAAACAATGGAAAATTATCACCGAAAATAGTATAAGCTACTTGCTCTAATAAGTTTTTAATCGATACCTTGTCTCCTTCCTTCCATTCATCGAGGCGAATCGAGCGATATTCGCCAATGTTTTCGCGCTGCAATTTTTCTATCTGAAAAAAATTTATCTAATCTATCTAGCAAATCTATCGCGATTCTATCTAAAGCAATCTAAAGCAATCAAAAAAGAAATCGCACAACTAATGCAATACAAGTTAATCAAAGTCAGGGTAAAAAGCAATTAATCTTTAATTCAAATACAAAAAATAAATATTTGAAAAACCAACAAAAGTTTCTCTGAAATCCGTGGATTGCAGGTTGGCAGCCATAGTAGAAGAAAAATGAGTGAAATGAGTAATTCAAAGGAGAGTTGGTTTAAATGACGCTTCAATTCAAATTTAGATCTTTTAAATCTTCATTGAGTAGCCAAAATTTTTATTCAAGATATTCAGTTGACTGAAAAATTTCATGTTTCATCTCATTTGTGCCATTTCTATTTTGGTTTTGTTTTGAAGTTCAGCTTTCAAATAGCTTTAGTGTTGATTATATTTTAGATAAGAGATTGAGTTGAGCCTATTTTGGGGGGTGGGACAAATGCGACCTTTTTTTTGCGCACCTGGATATTTGCGCACCTTTTTTTTGCTGGAAAAGGCCGTAGAGCTTCGAAAATATTTCCATATAAGGGAATCGTATGCGTAGATTCCGAATTTCGACAAATCAGATCTTGCTGACACGTCAAATTTGGGCTAAAAGACAAAAGCTGTGGAAAAGCGTTAAGTTGCGTAGTTTTTGCCTTTTAGCCCAAATTTGACGGTCTGATTTGTCAAAATTCTGAATCTACGCATACGATTCCCTTCTATGAAAACATTTTTGAAGCTCTACGACCTTTCCTAAGGCCTTTTTCAGCAAAAAAAAGGTCCCATTTGTCCCACCCCCTCCCCCTCCCCTATCTTGTTATTTCGAAATGCCAAATTGCCAAATAAGCAGATTTTTTTCACCCAGGGGTTTTTGGCTATGCTGAATCGGTTGGTGATGGTTTCACACAACATTTCGTAACTTTTAACAAATTTTGCAAGCAACACAATACCGAAAACCTAATGTACTTATTCTTGGATGAAGTGGCCAAAAAGTACCCGCTATCTTGAGTCATGTCCTCGTTGTTAACTTGTTGACATTTTGTTTTTATTTGTGTTGCTATTTGTTATAAACGTTGTTAAAAGTTACGGAATGTCGTGTAAAACCATCACCAATCGATTCAGCATAATGAAAAACCCCTGGGTGCAAAAAATCAGTTCACTTGGCGAAAAAAAAATTTGCTCCCCCAAGCTCCGATCGATTTAAACTTTTCTAAAGTTGTTCGAGATTTTTGAGTATCTATTTTTCTCTTTTTAAAAACAATTCAATTTGGTACTTCTTTAGTATCCGCGGGGGGGTAGCGATTTTGCCAAACTTCAGCCTACAATTTAAACACTTTTTTTGTGATAGACTTTGAAAAACTCAAAAACTATTAGGATCTAACAATGCTTTAAAGTCAAAATTGCGCAAGCTAAATCAGTAACACAAGGCTGGCAAAACCGTTACCCCCCCCCGATACTAAAGAAGTACCTACAATCCTATAATTTTTTTACTTTAGATTGGTTTGCCGACAATTTGGAAAATGAGCGACAGTGTGAGCGCTTTTTTCGCGAAGAGGAAAGACAAGAAGCACAAGCACACGGTGGTCAAAGTGGATCGAGTCGCTGAAGTGCTTCAGAAGAGAACTCAGGAACAAGAAGAAATGGTGGTAGCAAGGACGGAAGATGAGAAACGGGCTGCTGAGGAAGAAGCATTCATGAGAGCTGCGGCTGAAGAAGATGAATGGGTGGGCTATGATGATGAGGTTGATCGATTTGAAGGGCTGAAGATCAAGGACATGGTGACATCGATTGTGGATGAGAACGAGCAAACGAATGCCGAACAGAAAAATTGTGATGGACAACAGAGTGGATGGGCAACGCAGAACAGAAAGAAAGAAGAGACCGTTGAAGAGGAAGCAAAGCCGGAAGAAGTTGCGGCTATTGGCAAGAATGCGTCTGCTCTCAAAGCTTATGTTGCACCCAATCGCCGTGCAAATGTTGGTGGTGCATCGTTGGACTTTCAAAACGAGGAATTGTTTCCAACACTTGGTGGAGCTGAAGAAATTGAGAAGCAATTAAAAGAAGACAAAAAGAATGGCTGGGTTACAAAGGGTGAGCCACGCCAAGAAGAATCTGGTGGATCAATGACTTCAGCTTCGGTTTCAGCCGCAATGAAAGATGCTATTGATACGGCTCGCAAGCTGTCTGGAACTTCCACTCCACGTCAGGAAATCAGAACTTTAACATTGGGAACTACTGGCAGTGTGGGTAACCCTCCAAAGGCTACAAACGCTTACAAACCTCCGTCTAGACGGGAAGATGGTGACGGGAAACTTGTCGAGCCTTCGAAGAAAAAGGACGTTGACGAGTCTCCAGTCGGGCAAACCAAACAAGTGGTGGATGATCACAAGGATCAAAAGGCTTCCGATGCTCCCAAAAAAGCCTACGTGGCACCACATCTGCGTAAAGGGAAAGCATAAAGTTTGCATTCATTTGACTCGTTTCTTTTTGATCTTAAAGTTAGCTTTGATGTTGTTTTTCATTTAAAATTTCCAAAACAAATACTTGTTTCTGTTTTTGGGCTTTGTTGCGAATTTAAAATCGTTCTTTAACTTTGCGGCATCAGAAGTTTTGAAGGTATCGATAAAGTCGTTTGCGTTAAAAAGCTTGTTGCAGATGTTTTAAAAGATTCATTTACATACATAAAAGATAAAATGATGTTGATGATAACTTGCCAATACTTAAAAAAAATTGAGTTTCGGTGCTGAGATGAGTCCGTTGTGTTGCTAATTAAAAACAAAAATTATAAATCATTGAATGAAAGAATCATTGCCAGTAAATCATGGAATGAAAGAAAAGAATACACTTGGAGATGTTTTCAAAGATACATTTGAGTCAAGCTCTCATTATCGTTTCGGGAAAACGTTGTTTTGATATTGGCCGATGAAATTTCCAGCTGGATCATAGTTTGTGACCAAATAGGTGGATCCATTCGGAGCAGTGGCCCGACCGACACCCAAAAGTTGAGAGTTCTGAAGTTGATGGTTTGAAAAATCCAATTTTGAATAGTTTTCCTCTGTTCAGCTAACCTTCCAAACAAGTTGAGTGAAATGTCCAGTGCCTGGCCCGGATCCTTTCGAAAAAGAGTAGTCGTTCACTTCATCGTACCAACTTTTCACCAAGCTTTGCACTAAACTTTTTTAGACTTTTAGTTTTCATTGCCTTACCAGTTCCCCAGCTGCCAGATCCCATCGCAATGTTTTCGCCAAATTTGCAATTCGGACGATGAGCAAAAGAACCTGAAGAGGCCAGGTGATTTGCCCAGTCTTGAGCAAGGCTGAAAGATGTTATGCGCATAAGATTGTTGTTATAAACAAATTGGCAAGGCAATGAGTGTTCTCACTTGCTCAAATTATCATCAAGGCGTAGTGGAGACACTTGATGCTGTTTTCTGCAGTCATTGATCAGTTGAAGAACCTGGGATTAAAGTGAGAGATTCGATTCGAAATAAACCGTACCTCTGCTTTAAAATCACTCGAATCCGTCGATGCTTTTGTGGTTTTTGATGGCTCTACTGTTTTCGCTTTGCTCTTTCTGAAAAGGAATATTAGTGCTGAGGTTTCTTAACACTTTCTTGAACCCAGGAGTCCCTAGAGTGCTTTTCATCTTAAAGCTGCAGTACTTATTTCAACAGTTAATCAGAAATCATCGAATACAATGAAAAATTTACATTCTCACCACCGATTGCCTCTCGGGCCGCCGTCTACAACAACAAAATACATTCATTTTTGAGGAAACTTGAGAGAAACTCTTAGCTGAATTTAATTTAGAACGTAGCCTTTGAAAGGGTTCAATTGAACAATTGAACAATTGAACGCTCAAGCGTTCAATTAAACGAATTGAATTTCAATTTTAAACCAGAATCTCGAGGTTGAAATGTCAAAAAAATCAATTTTGTTTTCTGGAGAGAAAAAAAAGTCGATGAAGACAAAATATACTGAATGAATCATCAAATTGAAGAAAAAAAAGTCAGAAATATACTTTAAAGGGTTATTTCTTGAAAAGAAGAATCTAATGAAGCATTTCAGAATTTCAGAAGATCAGAAAGGGATTTGAAGAAGAATTTGAAGAGTTTGAAGAATTTTCATAAACCAAATGTTTTTTTAGGCCAAATGATGAAATGATGCTTTCTTTGAGAGATTTTGAATCAATTTCTTGTTTATTTTTGATGCTTTTCGTGAGCTATTTCACAAAACGACACGTTTTGTGTCTGATCGTTGGGCAAATGATGAACAAATATTTGGAATAGGAGAAGATTTTGGGATTTTTTTTTTATTATTTTGCAGCTATCTTACATCTATTTGACAGATATTTGTTTAAAGATTCAAAAAATTTCATACTTTTTCTAGATTTCTCTAAACTAGGATTGATGAAAGAAGAACTCAATTCTTGATGGATAAAAGGTGGGAAATCAACTCGGAAATGGAAACCGAAATCCCCAGAGAACTAGAGGAGGCTGATGGATTTTATTGTGAAATGATTGGATAGATGACTTTGTCATCTTTGGATGACTCTTTGTTTTGATGAATTAAAGGGGGAAAACTTTGGCCAAGTGACCAGTTATGACACTAATTGCACAGTGATCATTCAACAGTGATCCGTCTGGATCATTCAACAGTGATCCGTCTGGATCATTCAACAGTGATCCGTCTGGATCATTCAACAGTGATCCGTCTGGATCATTCAACTCACTCAGCCTGAATCTTTTGTGCTTTCCCTCCATCAGATTGTCTTCCATCAATGGTTGTTGTGATTGTTCCATCTGGATGATATGTTGTCACGATTTCTTTCCTCACTCCGTTCACGATTGAGATCTGAGTCTCTGTTCGAGTCGTGCCATTATCTGAATAAAACTGTCACTGCACTACTTTGAGCGAATCTGTTTCACTGAGACAACAAAACTCTAAGCAAACTATCGTATCACTAAACCGGGATACGATAGTTTGCTAAATGATAAACCATTAGCCTATTAGCCAATAGCCAAGAGGACACAGCTGTATTTAGATATTAAATTGTTCTTTTAGCTGTCTTTAGATATTAGGCTGTTCTGGAAACTCAAAGTTTCCAGAACAGTTCAAAAAGTACACCAAGCATCCAAATTCTCAGTCCAAATAGGCCTTTGTCTTAACACATTGGCGATAAGGCGTTTTTTTTACTGCCCCAGTGGACGAGGGGTGTCTCACAAAGCTATTAGCCCCCTATTCAGCTAACCTTCCAAACAAGTTGAGTTGAAATACACATCCTAGATGTAAAATTTCATGCTGAATTCGAATCTCTAATCAGATTTTGAAAATATTGCTGCCTCAAAAAGATATCGACTCTTTTTGGCTCGTGAGACAAAACGCCGCATTTCTCTTTCTCCAATGGTCTGTTTTCGACGATTTTTGTTAAATTTCTATTGGATGGTGCTCACCTAGCTCAGCTTATCTACTAGCTCAGCTAGCCTGCCAGCTTATCTACTAGCCCAGCAACTAGCCAGCTAGCAGCTAGCAGCTGAACATTTCATATCAACATCATTTTTTGTTAAGACTTTATCCCAAAAAGTTATGGCCGTTTTACTAGGATACGCGCAATAGAGGTCTTCTATAGCGCAGTCGATAGAGCGTCTGTCTCTGGGGCGGGAGGGATTTCGTTCGGTGGACCACAATTTCGTCCACCGGTGGACCGAACCGTCCCGAACGTGTTAAGAACTGCACTGTGTACAGATTGGAATCAAACCCTAAACCTTACGCGTTGCAAATTGTTGTCGTTGAGCAGCCATCTCTTCCCATTTTCGATCAAAATCCGATAAAGCATCATTTCGATGGGACATTTTGAGAAATTAGAGAAATTGGAGAATTTGGAGAGATTGGCTCGGATTCCAAATAGAATTTTTCTTCAAAATTCTTCAAAACCTCATCGATATCTTCCCATAAAATCTTTATGATCATTCGTCACTTTATTTGACACTCAATCTATCCCTTTTATTTGAAAGGGAAGAGGTGAAAACCGTTTTTCTTTCACACAGATTTTTGTCGCACCATTCATCGACACACACAAAAGGAGGAAAAAGCTTCACACGATCTTATAGGAACAAATAAAAGATAACAGAATAAACAATAAAAGGAAAATGTCAAATCGCTTAGAGCGGGCTTTTTTGTGAAAATTTTTGGCCGTGATCTTAAACTAGACATTTAAAATACTTTCTATCGTAAATCGAACGAATGAACGAACATTTGTGTTTCACTTTTGCTCACCGCGCTCGGTTTAATTACCCAAGAACCTATATATTGGGTTGCGGAGTATGAAATGGCGGTTTTTGAAAGGTAATTGATCGGTAATCCTTTATGATTGCCACTCAATCGAATTCTCCATATCGAAAAGCCCAGGTGCCCAAGTTTTCAGCAAATTTGCTCAAATTTTGACGATTCTATTGGGTATGAAATGGCGGAGTTTTCGGACGAACTTTTGAAAAGAACAAAAGCATATTTTTGACTATGTGACGATGTTTGTAACAAAAATACTCGACCATCATCCAGTTAAAATGGCTATTTTATAAAATAATGAATCCACACGGAAACAGGATCCGTGAAATAGCCAACTGGCGATGTGTGGGGATGTCTTTGGCATCCACGAACTCCCTCCGTTCGGGCCGACCATTAGGCCCACTGGGAGGGCACTCCTCGACGTCCAGCCACCTCCGCGTGGTGAGCAGTGGGCATCCCCTGAAAGCAGGAATGGCTAAGTGCTGGACTAGGTAAGAGATTTTAAAAGTAGGTCATATTAGAAGGTCAGGTAGAGGGGTATAGCCCATAAGTACCAAATTCTGATTAGGCCCGTTAACAGAATTTGATTGGAGATCGTTTTTGAAAGGTTGCCTTTATGATTGCCACTCCATCGAATTCTCCATATCGAAAAGCTCAGGTTCCCAAGTTTTCAGCAAATTTGCTCAAATTTTGACGATTCTATTGGGTTGGGGAGTATGAAATGGCGGCGTTTTCAGACTGGACGTCGAGGAGTGCCCTCCCAGTGGGCCTAATGGTCGGCCCGGCGGCAGGGGAGCTGTTGGGGGACCTAACCCAGTGGGGGAACCTTCCCCTGGACCTAATGGGGAGAGGAAGTGCAATGGCAACGATCTTAAGTAACAGCCCTGCGCCAGACGATGAGCGATTACGCGACCGCACAAAGAACATTCAGCGGCCTCTATACAAAGGAATTTCTTTTGTTCTGTAAACATTTCTCAGATGAGATATGAAGCCAAAAGTTTATACCCAGGGGTTTTCGAGGTCGGGGAATCGATTGGCGGGGTTCATTTGTTGTGTTTCCTAACAAAATCTCTAATTTGCGCCGATCTTGAGCCTGATTGCAACAATTTGGACACCTTTTCCTTTCCAGACTGATTGATAGTTCAAGATTTTATTCTTTCCACAATTTTATAGAAATCTCAGCGCTAATTGTTGAAAATCACACAGGAAATGGCAGAAATTTGATGGGAAAATGAAAAGACGCTGAAATTTGGTTTTGAAAATAAAGATGGCAGTGGGAAAATGAGGAAAAGATTTAATTAGAGCAATAAAGTTTGAATATAAGTTTATTTTATTTATTTTGTTCGGTTAATCTTTAAGTTCAACGAAATACTCGAGATTCCACGATCCGATGAAGTTTTCGAGGTGGGTTTCTCTGAAAAGCTTTAGTCGTTTGTATTAAATGTTAAAAGAAGTCGAATAGCTTCATATTTCAAATTGAATAGATGAAAATTGCGTTTTTCACCTAGAGACAGTCATTGTTGATCCATCGGAAATGATTACAGGTTGAGAGTTCTCATTGCCACAACAAATTCTGAAATTGGAAAGTTTAGCTAACAGTTTGGTTGTTAGCTAACAGCTAACAGTAGCTCGGGAACTGTTTCAACCTAGCATCGAGTTAAGCCAAGAGACCTAATGCATCGGATTCTACGCAAAAGCCTTCCCTCATTCTAATTCTAAACTAAAAAAAACATTCTAATCTTGTTTGCAAAAAAAAGATGCCGCGACAGGATCCGAACCCGCGAGGGAAAGTTTCGAGGCCAAGCACCCTAACCGCTGGGCCATCGCTAAGTCATTGTGGGGGCCGACCAGGGAAGGTTTATACCATCGAGCTCCGAAAATTTTTCGCGGTCCCAATTTTGAAACGTGTTTTTACGGGTTAAATGGGTTGATTGGGTTGATTTTAAAACTGGATTTTGCTCAGAATTTTACGTAGAATTCGATGCACTAGATCTCGTGGCTTAACTCGATGCACTAGATCTCATGGCTTAACTCGATGCACTAGATCTCATGGCTTAACTCGATGCACTAGATCTCGTGGCTTAACTCGATGCACTAGATCTCGTGGCTTAACTCGATGCACTAGATCTCGTGGCTTAACTAGATGCTAAGTTGAAACAGTTCCCCAATTAGCCTTGGCAATTGCCAGACCAAGAACGGTTTTAGAACATCAACTCACAATTGACTCCTCCCGTGAATATCGACCCGAATCCCGCCATTGATACAATTCGGTGTACAGACTCCATCAGATGTGGTGATTATTGTCAGTTGAAGTTTTTGGCCTTGTGGTGCCTGAGGAGAATTTGTACAATATATTGGATATATTAAAACAAACAATATATTGGATTTGTTTGGTCGAATCGCCACTCATCGCCATTTCACTGACCATTCCATATCCTTCCAATTGAGACCATTTCTCTTCAGTTAGCTGTAATTGAAGGTATTCAAACATTAGATAAGCTCACTATTGATAAGCTTTCTTTTGCAAATCAATAGCTAATAGGCTTTGTTCGGTTTTGAACGAATTGACTTTTCAAATCTAAATCAAGACCTGAACAATTGCCGATGTTCGACCAATTGGTGGAGCTGTATTGATGAGTGGAATGAGTGGACCGAACAAGAAAACGAACATCACTTAAAACAGTTCAACACTTAAACATCAGTTCAATCCAAAAACTTTAAAACTTGAAAAAATTGAAATCAAAAACATCTTCGAATGCACAAAAAGCTCTTTTCGCCTTGTGACTTTCGACTTTTCGCCTTTTTATAAACAGCGACTGAAAGGGATTAGTTGTGTCATTAGCTTTATTCTAAAATGCTAAAAGAATATTAGAGAATATTAGATTCAAAAAAAACAGAGAATATTAGATTCAAAAAAATCTGGAAAAATCATTTTTAAATTCGAAAATCGATTGTTTATTTATTTTCGAAGAAAAAACGAACAAGTTTTTCGTCCATCGGCAGCCAGATGTCCGTTTGGGGGAAAGTTTCGAATAGAGAAATATTTCAATGATCAAATTGAGCTCAAAGTATAAAATGATATCTCCGTTTGAGCTAAATAACAAAGAAAAAGTAAAGAAGATGGGAAAAACGGTTATTCCGTTATGGTTGTCTTGCGATTTAGCATAGATTTACTTTTTTAGCCCGTTTAACGAATGGCCCGAATGGCGAGTAGCCAAGTCCTACATGAAGAAGCACAAAGTTCCAGCAGTTAATCTAACCGCCGAACCTTCAACGCTGAACCTTCGTGGCCACGACTTTTGGGAAGCTGTTCACCGACTCGATTAGCTTATTGTCTGACCTCAAGCCCAGATATAAACACACACGAATTTGGCTTTGTAACCTTTTTTAGGACCATGTTAATCGACGAATGCGGCTTGGTGAAACGCCCAGTTTCACCTTGTGCGAAATCTTTGTCGAATTCATCGAATAAAAAGCAACATTGCATGTTATTGGGGGCCTGAAAACAGCCTATTTTATAGCTTCACTTGACGTAAGTTCAAGGTGTGTTGGTGTTACCAACTCCTCCTTATTAGTTTTCGATCTGCATTGTCGCTGATGAGCGCTTTTGATGACGATCCGCAACTCTACACTGTCTTGGAGGTAATTGTTTAAAAAACGATAGGACTAACATTAAAAATAATCCACCACATAATTCACATTTAAACGTCCAAACGCTTCCGATAAGCAGTCCTGCACAACTTGCTTCGCTAACTCCTGTATACGATGCACTTGGAAGCGGACGCGGGTGGTTCCTCAAAATCATCTCAATGGCTCAAGTGCGATGGTTTTTGCGTGCAGGCTCGCGGAAACTCGGCGACCCAAAACTATGATCTCGCTCAGCTGCTCCTAGACTAGTATGGTCAAACTTTTTACTTTAATGTGAAAACATCAAGCCTGAGACTTGCAGCATCTTGTGCCTCTATGCCGAGACCGTCAATCATTTGCAAAACTTCGGACTCCTCAGAGGGCTACTAGATCCAAACGGTATCAACGTAGCAAGTGAGCTCAGAATTCCGGGCTATCGAATTATCTTTTTAGGAATGGTGAGGCAGACCACATCTTCCTAGTCACATCATCATGGAAAGGCCTCGGATCCGACGTCAAGTCTGTTGGACTGTTCATCACTCGAATGGTCAAGCACCTTCACATCGTGGCGCCATCCCCACCGAGTATCACAGTTGATCCAAAATCGGGGCAGTTTCATTTTTTAGGCAGACACAACAACAGCATGTTACACCCTTCTCAACCCACTCACCAACTAAATTGAATTTCTATTAGAGTAAACCTAGGTATGAATAAGTTGCCTAGCTTACCAGCTGAATGCCTAGCTTACCAGCTGAATGCCTAGCTTACCAGCTGAATGCCTAGCTTACCAGCTGAATGCCTAGCTTGGTTGCCTAGTTGAATAAATTACCTAGTTGTGCTTTTCGTGCTATACACGGTTCTTTGGAATCTTTATATTCACTGAACTTAAATCAAATTTACAAAATCGCAAGTTTTAATGCGACAATTTTTCAACCAAAAAACTGGCAAGCAAAAACAAAATGCAAAATATTTTCATTTTATAATCACAGTAGTTCATAAATAGATTAACCTGCACCAAAACGAGAAGGCAATATGATGTCACACTTTACAGATGTCGATGATCGCTGGGCACGCGTATGATTGAACCAAGTCCAAACCGAGCGACAAGCTAACGACAAGGTTGTTTAGAAAGCGAAAAAAATAATTGTTGACTAGGATGCGATACCATTTTCTGCCCTTGTTTCTTCCTATATTTCTGGTACGCCGTTGGTGCTTGGTGTATGAGGTTGGTGCATAAGTCTTTACAATTTTTTCAAATTTTTGTTCCCATGGAAAAAACCTTTAGCAAATTTGTAAACTATTAAACTATTAAACTAAACTATTAAATAGGGCATTTCTTTACAAAATGGCTTTTGAGAGAAAGTTCAAAGCTCGCCTCAACTCGGTAAAAACGTATTGGGTTGTCCAGTTATGAATGCGCGTTTTTAATATTTTGATTTCGATTTCGAACAGATGTATTTCGAACAGATGTATATGGGTGTTATATATCATTCGAAAGCTGAAGATCTCCTCTATATTTTGATATAAAAACTTTGGAATTTGTTCAGCTTTTGGGCAAATTGACTGCACAAAGGGAGAGGTCGTTTTCGAAAAAAAACCCATTTCAGCTTAGCTATTCCTCAAGTTTTATACTGTAAAATAACCGCCCAGAAAAGAACAGAAAAGTAAAGATGCTCTGAAATTGTTATATTTAAAAAAAAGTTGTATTGATATACCTATTGGCCAGGATCAAACGGTTAACTCAATTTGAGCGAAGCCAAAACTTGGTCCAAAGGCATCCTTCCATTTTTTGGCCACCTCTTCTTTTGTGCAGTCAATTTGCCCAAAAGCTGAACAAAACTTTTTCAAAAACTTTTTATATCAAAATGTAGAGGAGATCTTCAGCTTTCGAATAATACTCATATATATCTTTTTCTTGATTTCGGTATCTTGAGGAATTAACAAAATAGTAAAAAACGCGCATTCATAACTGGACAACCCAATATTTTTGTGCAAAATTTTCAATTGTTTTTTTAAAGAAAATGGCTGAACGGATCATTTTCAAATTTTACAGACTTATGTAATCATAAGCTCTATCTTTTTTTACTTTGGCACCAAAGTAGGTTTGTTGGGGGTAAAGGACTGAAATCGGAAAGACCATCCCTTGACCGGAAAGACTTTTTCGACTATCCCTTGACCATTTGAGAGTTTAAAACATGTGCCTCTGTTCGAAAAGACTTTGATTCATTGTCCAGCTCTCTGTTGTCATCGCTTTTTCCTCTTTTTCTTGAAAGCTCAATCGATTTTTCTGTTAGCGTAATTTGAACTTTTGTTCCTTTCTCAACAATCGCCAAAAATTGAACTGTGATCAAAATGAGAATCCAATTCTTTATCGTAGCATTCCTACTAGCTGTTCAACCAGTCACCACTAGTAATCAAGCGATTCGAATTGCCGGAAAATTACTCTGTTCAGGGAAATCCATCACTGGACGCGTACATCTGAAAAGTGGCTCAAATTTCCGTGAGTTGAGAACCACGATAGCTAATAGACACAAATGCAACTGAAAATTTGTCTCCGGACGTTTTCTGGGAGTGGGGGAACTCGAATTCGAAATCAGATTTCAAAAATCATAAACGAGCGCCAAGATACAGCCAAAATGTCCAAAAAGCCACTGTACCAGATGGCGCTTCTTTTGTACGAGCGACACCTACGAAAACCCTTTTTTCAGTGACCAGAGGAACCTTGAAAGATGTGCGCACTGAGCCGGATGGAAGATTCGAGTTGTCGTGGTCGAGCCGATGGTTCAATTGGCCGGTTGCCGAGCCAAAGCTTTCCATTTATACCGACTGCGTAGTAAAGGTAAACTTTAGACACTTTTTTCTAAAAGTTTCTGCAAAAAGGCAATTCAACTTTTTAGGAGTGTCGACGCGAGTCGAAATTCCCGTTGTCGGAAAGCAACTTCACAAGCGGTACCGAGGCACAGGTTGGCTGTGAAAAGGCTTGTCCGTCTAAAGCCATCGTCTTGTTTGTCTCGGGCTTTCTTAACATGTTTGGTCTATAAACTAAATGAACCTCGAGAAAGTAAATAAACTTCGAGAAATAAAATAACTGAGATGAAATCGAAGAAACATATCCCTGTATCACATTTTCATCAGTTGATCGATCTCGGCGACATCGAGATTCGCGCCTTGCGTTGGGTACGCTATTGCAATTACGAAAAAGGGGATTTGACGTAAGTTAGAAAATGAAATTTCATTTTAACTTAGATTTAAAGAAAGTAAATCAGTTGTGAGTAGATTCTTACAAACTTCTTCTAGTATTCGTTCCTAGGAGTAAACGGATATGGACTAGAATCTGGGTTAAGTTAAAGAGAGTGTATTCCTTTGATATCCCGCCATCTCTAACACCCCGACAACCCAAATCAACACCTCCAACGTATTAGAGGGTAGTTCCTGTGAAATGACCGACCTGAACTGCAGTTGCATAGACCCAGAAGATATGTATCTTTATTTACCGTAGTACGATAAGACGAATAGATTACAAATGAGTGAAAGGGGGACTCCAGTGAGAGGACAAGTGAGAGCCCTTGGGATTGCCGAGGAGGACAAGTGAGAGCCCTCGAGATTGTCTAGGAGGACAAGTGAGAGCCCCAAGCCTAAGCCTGAGCCTGAGCCTAAGCCTGAGCCGAGGAGGACAAGTGAGAGCCCTTGGGATTGCCTAGGAGGACAAGTGAGAGCCCTAAGCCTAAGCCTAAGCCTAAGCCTAAGCCTAAGCCTAAGCCTAAGCCTAAGCCTAAGCCTAAGCCTAAGCCTAGAGTCCTCACTTGTCCTCCTAGGCAATCCCAAGGACTTCCTTTTGAAAGGGATAAGCACAGGGAAAACACATTTGCATAAGAATAGACAAATCATTCAATAATAACAATAGTAACTAAAATATTAGTTGGGCTCGGAACGGACAGACACTAGTTAACTGAGGCACATCAACTGCAACGAATAGCAAGAAAATTCTACTTTTGTAGATGATTGTGATAAATTTTTAGTGATTTTTTTTGTTTTATTTAAAACATTTCAATCGAATTAATGATTTTTTTAATAGCAAATAAATTCATTTTTTACGATCAACTGAAATTACATTGAACCGTCTTCTTTTCACCAATTTCCAAGCCCCTTACTCTACTCTTATATTCATGAATCACCCAGGAGAAGCAAAACAATCTGTTCGTGTAATTTGTAAGCTTTGTATTTGCTTTGTTTTGTAAGCTTGTAAAACTTTCACCATGGATTTTCCGTTGGTTTCGATTTTCTATGGGTCTCTGGGTAATTCAGTTCTTAAAAACAAATTTTCTATAAAAGTAAAACTAATGTCCTGGCCTTGTTCTCCATCTCTCTTCCATTCGGCCAGCCATCCTTGCCTCCTTCACCTCCACAGTCCTGGATCGTCTGACAAAGTTCTGCAACAAGATGACTTGTGCTACCGGTGGATGCAACGGTTTGTTTTACTTGTTTATTGGTTGTGTGACATTGTTGTTTTAGGACTCAAGTGCAACAAAGGATTCTGCGCGTGCAACACCAAGCCAGCGAAGAAGGACTAAATGATGCTCAAAGACAGATCTGTGTTATTTTGTCACGTTGATTATTGTGAATGCGTCCAGTAAATATTGTCTATTTACATCCTATAAATCTATGTGAAATGCTGAAGCAAATGGTGTGCTGATTTGTCTCTTCGAATGAGACTGATCCTCAACGAGTGAGATGATTTAGAAGACAAAAATGCGAGAAAACTATTGTGAAACAAACCAAAACATAAATTTTGGCAGGCGCACATCCGCGCGAAAGGTTCCTCCAACCGCCAAAGGGGTCAAAGCCTTGTTGTCATCTTGGGGGGAGGTTCTATGCGCTATGAACCCAGATATCAGACCTTGATATCAAGGTATATATAGCGCATAAGACCTCCCCCCAAGATGACAACAGCTCCTTCCAACCACTCAGAATACTGATCTACTAGTCAGATTCTCTAAAAAAGTGACCATTTTCAGAAAATGATCCAGATCTTTTGACCTATTGAAGCTAGCCTACCCATATGGGGTCGGAATCGAAAGCTGAATTCAAGCGCTATCCGGGAATAGCCATGAAAAATATTCAAAATCTTTCAGATTTTCGATAAATTCGATTCGCCCAAGTCCAACCCGACGCACATCCGCGCGAAAGTGCGTTTTCTGATGAAAATTGATGTTATACTTACCATTTGATGGGAAAAAGTGTGCTAAAACCGAATCTCGATATCATTTTTAAATTCCATCGACAGTTTTTGGGCTTTGGGGCTTTTGGGCTAAAAAATGGGCTTTTTCAAAAAACACAAAAAAGCCAAAACTTAAGTTCGTAAAACGGCCATAAAATCTGTCACCTTTGACCAATTTGCTTACTTTTTAAATATTCTAAAAATAGCCACTTCCAGCTTTTTTATTATTATTGTAAGTTCGAAATCCGTTCGACAAATTTTTTAAAAATCAGCTTTTTTTTGAAAAGTTCAAAAAGTCAAAAGTTGTTATTTTCAAGTTTATAGGAAGAAATTTCTATTGGGCAATCAGACTTCGTTTTGTTTTTACTTAAAAGAAGACATTTAAATCTTTAAAAAAAGATTTTAACATCTAACAAAATATTTTATAAACTCAGAGTTTCTGAGGTAGAAAGTTCACCAATTTTCCAAAAACAAGGGTAAAGTTTGGAGGTCTGATTCTCAAAAAAAGTTCATAATAGAAAGAATTCTGTCTGATAATTTTTATTTCACAATCCTTTCTAAGCATTTTAGTTCAAAAAGTAATTAAAAATAACCATTCTGCGCAAAGTTATAGCTTTTTTTCGGGGGGTAGTCAAAACAGCGCCATAATAGAAAACGTTCAAAACAGCTCCGTCAAATTTCCAAATTTCTCAAAATCCAAAAAACCAAGCCGGTTCAAGTTTTATATCAAAAAATTCCTTGCGTTCTTGGCTACGTGATGGATGAAACAGTTTTTTGAAAAAGTTAATATTTCATAGATAAAAAGAGCACTCTATGCGTTGAACGGCATTAAATGCGCATATTTGGCAAAAAAAGTAATTAAAAATAATAAAGGGGAGTCGAGATATGGGGGTGAGAAGAAAAAAAGAACACTTTCGAACACAAAGAACACAAAAGTGTCCCCTTTTTTCTTCTCACCTCCTTCGGCCACATTTGGCTCTTTCGAATTACTTTTTTTTGCAAAATATGCGCATTCAATTTTAGTTTTACTTTCGAGATTTCGAGGAATTTAGGCAACGCACAGGACGTCGGTTACTGTTCGTAAAACTTTCTTTAGTTTTGTACTGGGTCTTGTAGCATAACGGATTCTCTCTAGTAGTGCACCCAAGCAAGAGTTGATGACTATTTTACGGTTTCCAAGCTTTTGCAGAAGCTCAACACTCAAATCCCCACAAGATCTCATCGTCAGCTACATTTTCCAACCGCACATCGATAGGTTCTCAAAAGCGGTTCTCGAGATTTCGAGCAATTTAGGCGACGCTCAGGGTGCACTACTATTACTAGAAAAGATACGGTAAATAAATAAAATAAAAGGGTAGCTCTCTGCTTGTAGCGGCTCGGTTACCGTGACTCACAGTAAGTACTTATCTCTCTAAATTTGATTCCTTGTCTCTCTAAATTTGAAGGACTCAGTACTGTGAGTGTCACAGTCACTTGTAGCATCTCGGTTCCATTTCTGGTTGTGAAATAATAGAAATAAACCCGATCCAGTAAGCTAACCAGAAAAAATACTTATTTGTTTTGCTTTGTCTAAGAAAAACTTTGAAGACGTGATAAATTCACAACAAAAAACTTGATCAAAAATCTTTCAAAAAATTCCATTTAAATAGTATTTAATAAGTTCTGAATTCGATATGATTTTCGTTGATCAGTACTTTCTTTCGAGAAGTCATAAACGCCCATTTTACCTAAAATTCATTTCATTTCATTGTCAATCATTAGAGAGAAAGCTTCATCAAAAAATGGTTGAGCTTAAGAACTTTTAAGATACCATAATTATTGGGTTGGTGAATTGAAAACTGCCGGACCTTGAACTAAAGTTTATTTAACATAAAAGCCATCAATTCATTCCAAATAATTTCCATTATTATTGACGACTTCTGCCCATTTTACAGGCAATTTGCGGATTCCTCTTTCGTAGTAGGATTTTGGTTTGTGTGTGAGACAAGTGTGAGACTCAAAAATGGAGGACTGGAGACTGGAGATGTCCCAGTTTGTGCATTTTCTTCCAAAGAAACCCATTTTGGTGTCAATGGAAAAGTTGTAGAGAATCAAAAATTAGGCTTATAGCCAAATTTCCAAAAAGATACACTTAGCAGTTTCGCTTAAAATGCAATTTTTGTTGCAAGTTCAGTGCAAGTTTTGTAAAAATTCGTAAATTTGGCATTTCTTGAAAACCAGTTTTTCAAACGTTCTGAAAATTTGGCTATAAGCTTGATTTTTGATTCTCTACAACTTTTCCATTGACACCAAAATGGGTTTCTTTTGAAGAAAGTCCTCAAACTGTCACATATGACAATGGCCGGCAGTTTTCAATTCACCAACCCCTGTTCAGAACTCTAAAAAGAAGTTAAAAGGTTTAATCTGAAAAGTCAACCATTTCTCTTGAACCGGCTAGGTCTAGTTTTAGCCTAAAAACTTCTCTGATTGAAATTATAATGAGAAAAATGTCTAACACCATGTCTGTCTGACATTTAAAAGCTAATTAAAAGCTATTCTTTGTTAACAGCAAAAACAAAAAACTTACACAAAAGCCTTGTACCATTTCATAGAATTGATGCCGAAAAGTTTTAGATGCGATGAAGAATACAGCGAAGTTTGAAGCCTAAAAACATTTTCTTGAAAAAAAACAACCTTTCCCCTCTTCTGAAACCTTTCCCCAGAGCAGAAATGAGTTGACAATGTTTCCAGAAATGTAACGAATCTCAAGACGTGGCAACATTAACTCAAACAATTTGAACTCAAATTGAAATGGTTGCATGATGTCCCAAAGAAATAACACCTCTGATGGCAACTGAACTGTACATTTTGGAAAAGGACGTAAAGACGTCCAGGGCTTTTCGACCAGGGCTTTTTGACCAGAGCTTTTTCTAGTAGCATGTTTCTGGTAATTTTCTAGGCTTGGCTGGCTGAGTTGGTTTTCTCAGAAATTTCAGCCAAACCGGTCATAGTTTTAGCAGGGCTGGACCCTTGACCTGAACCTTAGCAGGGCTGGACCACATGACTTTTTTCTCAAAAACAACTTCTGACTCACATTTGTGATGAGGAACCAAGAAAGAAATGCTGTGACAACAGTGGTCTCTTCTCGTCCCCGATCACATTGATTTCTATTTGGAAATCTAGTCAGCCACAGAAATATTACTCTTTGCTCTTTGCTCACCTGGTAGAATGGGTTTCTTGCTCTGAATTAATCAATCGATTGATGTGATCAGAGGTAGTGATTGTTCTAGACAAACAACAAGTCAATCAAAACTGAGAAAACAATTATCTTCAATAGTTATCTTTAATAGTTATCTTCAACAATGATCAACAGTTCAAGATCAAACTACAACCATTTTCTCAGGTTTCTCAAGTTAAAGCGCTTGTTATTTCTTGTTATTTCTAGATTACTTTTCACTGATTTTAAAATATAACTATAACTATTTACTATACTATATTCAAATATAGCTAGTTCAGCTAATCTTTAAGCTAATCTTAAGACATTGAATCTTCCCAGCCGTTAATCTTCCCAAGCCGAAAGGACCTCAATTGTCGAACAAGTGCCACGTCGAGAATGATCATTAAGATGGATGGTATAAAACCAACTGCAAAAATGGCAACGATCTTCCAAATAAGAATATAAGTGGCTCGGTTTGCTTGGATTCGTTTATAGACTAGCCCGTCATAGCATTTTTCCATCCACGACCAACTAGAAGCCACCGAATCATCGAATGGTCGATAGCTGTGAGCAAAGAATTGATAGAACGAAATAGCGCTGGCACCTGAAATTTTTGAGTGCAAAAGTGCTGATTTTAGGCACCCAGGCAAATGACAGCTACAAGAGAGAAGGCTTGCCGAATGCTTAACGATAAGCGGGCAGTTCTCGATCGAAATGAAGTGAATCTAAGGAGTTGAGTTAAACAAAGTAAATTTGACAACAAGTTTGACTAAGAGCTTCTCAAATTTGACAACAAGATTCTCAAATTAGTTTCTCTGATTTGTTACCGATCAAACCTTTCAAACGAAACGCCCAATAAAAGCCATGTTGCTGAGGAGGCACAAATGTTTGAAAACGAGTGAATAAAAACGTAAGTGTTGTAATAGAATTCCCTAAAATGATAAAAAAGAACATGTGCTTTAGAAAGCCACTTACCGAAATGCTTTACTTCTATAGAAAGTCGGATAGATGGTGAGCACATCGAAGAAATGGACAGCAAGAAGACTGACATCCACACAACAGATTGCGGCCAAGAACACGGTGACCTGCATGAAGAAGTGTGATGTAAAAAGATACCGTAAATACTGTAATAGTACCCTACCCCTCCTCGTACAGTCGCGTAGTCGCAAAAGCTTTTTAGTATTTCATTTTTTCCAAAGCGTTCCTACTTTCAAAAAATAGCCCTGAATCTCAGCTATTTTTTGATATCTAAGCGAACATTGTAGCTTAAACCAGTGTCGAGAAAAACTCGGTCAAAGCTAGACTACGTAGCACTCCGAACCGTCATTATGGGGGTGGGGTACTATTACAGTATTTACGGTAGTTGTTTGAGGTGAAATTACCCGTGATTTGATTTTCGGTGACAAGAGCACTGTGATGCTGAAAGTGTTGCCCAAGATTCCGAGAAGGATTTGTATTGGCAAGCAATAACGGTAAAGGAATATCTCTACATGACCTCTCGTTAGGCGGCTCACCAAATCACAAACAGCTAGCTGTAAAGTATTTTTGTTTAACAATAGAAATACCAAAGAGATAAACTAATGCAAAGATTTTTTACGTAGAAAAAAACTCTTCAACAAGTTCAATAAAACTCTTCAACAAAATCTCCTCTGAAATTTTGAAGCTAATATGCAATGCAATGCGGATGAAATTTGATAGCTTTTATCTCATCATCTGTTCAACATCATCAGCTAATTCTTTTAGCCACCTTTGACTGGGCATGATGACTGGACTGTATGCTCTATATTAGAGTTCGGCAAACAAAACCAAAACCAAAACAGACCAAACCAAAACCAAAACCAAAACACCAAAACAAACCAAAACTCAATTTGCATATAAATTAACATGTAAATTTAAAATTGTAAAATGCAAATTTGCCTTTCACTTTTTCTCACTCCACAAAATCTCGCGGCCGAAAAAAGGACCAAAACACGACCTCGAGCTTTCGAAACAAAAAATAGCCTATGGGATAGATTTTTGGATGCTGATTTCAAATCTGTAAACAGATTTTCGCTAGCTCCTCTCAGTCGCGAGATATTGGCGAGTTTTGGTTAGTTTTGGTTTTGGTTTGTTATGGTTTTGGTTTTGGTGGTTTTGGTTTTGGTTAAGTTTTGTTTTCCGAAGTTTAGTACAAAGTACAAGCTTATCGCACGGGTTTATCGCAATTGTCGCAATTGTCTAGCGCATTGTACAAAACGTTCAAATCAGTTCGGTTTCAAATTACATCATCTGTCATCATATGAGCCATCAAGCAAACGTAACTCACAAGCTTTTCAGCATCGTCGCCTTTTGTTTGATTGAAAGTATCGATCATTGAAATCAAAACAAAACTCGACTCACTTCTAAAACCGAAATAAATCTTTGCTTTGTTTAGTTTGTTCAAAGAAAAGAGCAGATGAATATTTGGATGGTAATATTTGTCAAAAAATGAACGCTTTAAAATGAATGAAAATGAAAGGTCACACGGTTGGAGTTTCTTAGAAAATAGAGAAAATTTCTCATTTCTTTTTGCGGGAGAGAAATGAGAATTCAGCACAAAAAAAATGCACATATCTCTTTTTCTATATTTGACCAGTCGAACACTCGGCAATTTCACTCACGAGTTCTCCACGACGTGAAAAAAAATCTCATTTTTTATTGCTTAATAATTTTAGAGTGAATCCATCCATGTGACCTTTCATTTTCATTCATTTTAAAGCGTTCATTTTTTGACAAATATTACCATCCACGAAATGTCATCTGTTCTTTTCTTTCTAAACAAAGCAAAGATTTATTTCGGTTTTAGAAGTGAGTCGAGTTTTGTTTTGATTTCAATGATCGATACTTTCAATCAAACAAAAGGCGACGATGCTGAAAAGCTTGTGAGTTACGTTTGCTTAAACTACAAACGTACAAACGGTACAAACGTCCAAACGGTACAAACGTCCAAACGTACAAACGTCCAAACGTACAAACGTACAAGCGTACAAACGTACAAACGTCCAAACGGTACTAACGTCCAAACATACAAACGTACAAACGTACAAACGTACAAACGTCCAAACGGTACTAACGTCCAAACGTACAAACGCACAGCGTACAAACGTACAAGCGTACAAACGTACAAACGTACTAACGGTACTAACGTACTAACGTACTAACGGTACTAACGGTAACTGTAAATGCTATTTCTTTATGAATCTATTAAGTAAATGCATAAAAAATGAAGATTTGTGACCAAAAAAGTTTTAGAATATTTGACAATTTATTTACAACTTCAATAATCGCCATTATCATGACACCGCTTTTCCAAAGAGTCATAAAAGTCATAAAGTTTCCCTGTCTAAAGTCGGCAGGCTGGAATCAAAAGGCGGGCTGGTTGTTGACTTCTTGATTCCTCGTGGTTGTTGAACTTCTTGTCGGCCAAAGAATCTTGCACAGATCGGAATAGATAATCGCAAGAAGCCACGCTAAAGTGGATGAGGCAGAGTTTCCCCTCAAGCTCAGGCTCAAGTTGAATTTTGCGGTGTGGAGTCGGGCATTATCCTGAATGTATCGGTTGTGACGGTAATGTAGTGTGACGGTCGACGATTCGATGCCTTGATTATGTAGTGCTTGATCGACTTGTTCAAGTTATTGAACGTAGAGAGTTCTTTAGTGGCAATTTGGCCAGTTTTGAGAACCTCCAGATGCCCCAATCCCTTGGAATTCCACCAAACACAAATCATAGCCTTCTTTCCGTGTTGATCGGCTTTTGCAGTCACTCTTGGAGCTTCTCCTGGATTCAACCACTGCCTTTTACGGGATTATTGTAACAGGATTATCGTAACAGGATTATCGTAACAGGCCCACTTCTCATCTGAAGTAAAAATTAAATTCCAAAAGCCTTTCGATTTGGATTTGGATTTGGATTTACTAAGCAAAGTTCCCGATGGCTGAACTCGTGTGGCCAAATTCGGATCGCTGAGGAGATGAGTTGCTCACTTTTCTATTGATTTGACTTTTCGAGCTTGTGTAGATGACGGGTAATTGTTGTAGGATCAATAGAATTTTGCAAGTCGATCTACTTTGATTGGACATGAGTCTAATCAAAGTAGATCGACGATTTACCCCAATTCTTTGGCGTAAATCGTCATTATCAATGGTGAGCGGACGGTGGCCATGTTCTTCGCCATGTAGATCCTTGTTACCGTCGTGGAACTTTTTAAACCATCGGCCCGATTGCCTCCATTGCCTTTCAGATATTATGTCTGGTCCAAAGACAGAAGCGAGCATTTTATGGCATTCGACAGCGTTCTTTCCCTGTTTTATAGAGCATACAGTCCAGTCATCATGTCCAGTCAACGTAGATCGACGATTTACCCCAATTTTTTTGGCGTAAATCGTCATTATCAATGGTGAGCGGACGGTGGCCATGTTCTTCGCCATGTCCTTGCCATATAGAGCATACAGTCCAGTCATCATGTTCAGTCAAACGTAGATCGATACTTGAGGTCCTCCATCTCTAATATAAGGAGCAGAAAATATCAATTGAGAAATGATAGAAACTAGTCAAAAGTGGCTAAAAGAATTAGCTGAAAATGTTGAACAGATCATCATCTGTTCAACATCTTTAGCTAATTCATATATAAATAAAAGCTATCAAATTTTATCCGCATTGCATTGCATATTAGCTTCAAAATTTCAGAGAAAATTTTGTTGAAGAGTTTTATTGAAGTTGTTGAAGAGTTTTTTCTACGTAAAATCTTTGCATTAGTTTATCTCTTTGGTATTTCTATTGTTAAACAAAAATACTTTACAGCTAGCTGTTTGTGATTTGGTGAGTCGCCTAACGAGAGGACATGTAGAGATATTCCTTTACCGTTATTGCTTGCCAATACAAATCCTTCTCGGAATCTTGGGCAACACTTTCAGCATCACAGTGCTCTTGTCACCGAAAATCAAATCACGGGTAATTTCACCTCAAACAACTACCGTGAATATTCTAATAGTACCCCACCCCCATAATGACGACCGGAGCATCGCGTAGTCTAACTTTGAACGCGTTTTTCTCCACACTGGTTTAAGCTACAATGCCCGCTTAGGCATCAAAAAATAGCTGAAATTCAGGGCTACTTTTTGATATCAAAAGACGGAGCATCACGTAGTCTAACTTTAAACGCATTTTTCTCGTCATCAGTTTATAATGATGGCCGGAGCATCACGTAGTCTAGCTTTGAACGAGTTTTTCTCGACACTGGTTTATGCTACAATGTGTGCCTAGGTATCAAAAGATAGCCCTGAATCTCAACTATTTTTTGATACCAAAGACGCATTTTTTGAAAGTACGGGTGCTTTGAAAAAGAATGAAATACTAAAAAGCTTTTGCGAATACGCGACTGTACGACGGGGGTGGGGTACTATTACAGTATTTACGGTATCTTTTTCTCACCTTCTTCATGCAGGTCACCGTGTTCTTGGCCGCAATCTGTTGTGTCGATGTCAGTCTTCTTGCTGTCCATTTCTTCGTGTGCTCACCATCTATCCGACTTTTATGAGTAAAGCATTTCGGTAGTGGCTTTCTAAGCACTGTTCTTTTTTTTTTGGGAATTCTATTACACACTTCGTTTTTTTCCTCGTTTTCAAACATTTGTGTCTCCTCAGCACTGGCTTTTTTGGGCATTTCGTTTGAAAGGTTTGATCGGTAACAAATCAGAGAAACTAATTTGAGAAGCGTCTTGTCAAATTTGAGTCAACCTTGTTGTCAAATTTACTTTGTTTAACTCAACTCCTTAGATTCACTTCATTTCGATCGAGAACTGCTCGCTTATCGTTAAGCATTCGGCAAGCCTTCTCTCTTGTAGCTGTCATTTGCCTGGGTGCCTAAAATCAGCACTTTTGCACTCAAAAATTTCAGGTGCCAGCGCTATTTCGTTCTATCAATTCTTTGCTCACAGCTATCAACCATTCGATGATTCGGTGGCTTCTAGTTGGTCGTGGATGGAAAAATGCTATGACGGGCTAGTCTATAAACGAATCCAAGCAAACCGAGCCACTTATATTCTTATTTGGAAGATCGTTGCCATTTTTGCCGTTGGTTTTATACCATCCATCTTAATGATCATTCTCGACGTGGCACTGGTTCGACAATTGAGGTCCTTTCGGCTTGGGAAGATTAACGGCTGGGAAGATTTAATGTCTTAAGATTAGCTTAAAGATTAGCTGAACTAGATATATTTGAATATAGTATAGTAAGTAGTTATAGTTATAGTTGAAAATCAGTGAAAAGTAATCTAGAAATAACAAGAAATAACAAGCGCTTTAACTTGAGAAACCTGAGAAAATGGTTGTAGTTTGATCTTGAACTGTTGATCATTGTTGAAGATAACTATTAAAGATAACTATTGAAGATAATTGTTTTCTCAGCTTTGATTGACTTGTTGTTTTTCTAGAACAATCACTACCTCTGATCACATCAATCGATTGATTAATTCAGAGCAAGAAACCCATTCTACCAGGTGAGCAAAGAGCAAAGAGTAATATTTCTGTGGCTGACTAGATTTCCAAATAGAAATCAATGTGATCGGGGACGAGAAGAGACCACTGTTGTCACAGCATTTCTTTCTTGGTTCCTCATCACAAATGTGAGTCAGAAACAAAGTTGTTTTTGGGAAAAAAGTCAAGGATCCAGCCCTGCTAAAACTATGACCGGTTTGGCTGAAATTTCTGAGAAAACCAACTCAGCCAGCCAAGCCTAGAAAATTAACAGAAACATGCTACTAGAAAAAGCTCTGGTCAAAAAGCCCTGGTCGAAAAGCCCTGGACGTCTTTACGTCCTTTTCCAAAATGTACAGTTCAGTTGCCATCAGAGGTGTTATTTCTTTGGGACATCATGCAACCATTTCAATTTGAGTTCAAATTGTTTGAGTTAATGTTGCCACGTCTTGAGATTCGTTACATTTATGGAAACATTGTCAACTCATTTCTGCTCTGGGGAAAGGTTTCAGAAGAGGGGAAATGTTGTTTTTTTTTCAAGAAAATGTTTTTAGGCTTCAAACTTCGTTGTATTCTTCATCGCATCTAAAACTTTTCGGCATCAATTCTATGAAATGGTACAAGGCTTTTGTGTAAGTTTTTTGTTTTTGCTGTTAACAAAGAATAGCTTTTAATTAGCTTTTAAATGTCAGACAGACATGGTGTTAGACATTTTTCTCATTATAATTTCAATCAGAGAAGTTTTTAGGCTAAAACTAGACCTAGCCGGTTCAAGAGAAATGGTTGACTTTTCAGATTAAACCTTTTAACTTCTTTTTAGAGTTCTGAACAGGGATTGGTGAATTGAAAACTGCGGGCCATTGTCATATGTGACAGTTTGAGGACTTTCTTCAAAAGAAACCCATTTTGGTGTCAATGGAAAAGTTGTAGAGAATCAAAAATCAAGCTTATAGCCAAATTTCCAGAACGTTTGAAAAACTGGTTTTCAAGAAATGCCAAATTTACGAATTTTTACAAAACTTGCACTGAACTTGCAACAAAATTGCATTTTAGCAAAACTGCTAAGTGTATCTTTTTGGAATTTGGCTATAGCCTAATTTTTGATTCTCTACAACTTTTCTATTGACACCAAAATGGGTTTCTTTGGAAGAAAATGCACAAACTGGGACATCTCCAGTTGTAGAGAATCAAAAATCAAGCTTATGCCAATTTCCAAAAGTACACTTCGTGTTCGCTTAATTTGTTGCGGGTGTTCTTGGTGCGGCCGCGTAATCGCTCGTCGTCTGGCGCAGGGCTTTTACATAACTTCCTCCCCTCTCCGTTTGGCAAAGTGATGTGGCCGCGGCGAATCCTCAAATTGGACATTGACTTCTCCTCAAATCAAGGCTAATCTCAATCTATTGGTTTGGTGAATTGAAAACTGCGGGCTATTGTCATAAGTGACAGTTTGAGGATTTTCTTCAAAAGGAACCCATTTTGGTGTCAACGGAAAAGTTGTAGAGAATCAAAAATGAAGCTTATATCCAAATTTTCAGAACGATTCAAAAACTGGTTTTCAAGAAATGCCAAATTTATGAATTTTCACAAAACTTGCAATAAAAATTGCATTTTAAGCGAAACTACTAAGTGTATCTTTTTTGGCTATATGACTTGGAAATTTGGCTATATGACTTAAATCAATGCCACTTGTGAACTTGTGTTTACTAGCCACAAGCTGATAAGGGTTTCTGAAAATTGTTTGTGCACAAAAAATTAGAAAGTCTTAAGAAAAATCTTTTAGAGACCTAAAATTGTGGTTCTGTTGCTCAAGAAAATTGCTAGAAAAACCGTATTTCTTTGAAGAACCGTGCCTCATCATGACAACGGAAAATTGTCATTCATTCTGTTATTCTGTCATTCATTCGATTTTCAAAACGATAGATTTAAAATATTGAAATAAAGAAAAGACAAAGCATACTTTAGTACTTGTACCTCTTTAATTTGCATCACTTTTCAAATTATTTCAGGTTCAATTTCAACAACGTTTCTGGTAAAACCATAAATCTAACCTTTTTGACTTTTTTCAAAAACGTATATCGGACAAAAACCATAACAGCACCAAGCATCGTCACAATTTTGAGATTCTGCCAAATGACTAGTTTCTTTTCAATTTTCAAGAAATATATTCGAGAGTGTAAAGCCGCACTGAGCTGAGAACTGAGCAAATACACGAAAATGAGCTCGCCAACAAGATAAAGGGCTTCTCAATTTGTTAAATCAATTTGTTAAATGGATTGTGCTCAAAGGGTTGTGCTATGGGACTGAAAAAAGCCTGTCCGGCCCCAACAGTAAAGTCGGGCCGAGCCTGAAAGTCAAGATTCTAAAAGCCGAGCTGAGCTAACCAGGAACCAGCTAACCAGCTTAGGCATTAACACAACTCTGGATTTGTTGAGCACAACCCGTTTGAGTGGTTGTATTTTTGTTTTGACGACATTAGCTTTCACTATTATTTCTCAACAAGAATACTTCATTTTGATTGATTCCGATTGATTACGATTGATTCCGACTCATTCCGACTCATTCCGATTGATTCCGATTCAATTCAAGAACCTTGTTTCAACCTTTTCAACTTTCTCTTCCCTTTCTAAAAGAAACGGCATTTCTTTCGATATTCTCATTTTCAACAAGAAACTTTTTGATGAGATTTCTCGAAACAAAATTTCTCGAAGAGTCTCCACGAAATTAATTGAGGTTTGCGGGAGAGAAATGAGAATTCAGCACAAAAAAAATGCACATATCTCTTTTTCTATATTTGACCAGTCGAACACTTGGCAATTTTCTATGACAAGAAAAAAATCTCATTTATTATTGCTTAATAATTTTAGAGTGAATCCATCCATGTGACCTTTAAAGCGTTCATTTTTTGACAAATATTATCATCCACGAAATGTCATCTGTTCTTTTCTTTGAACAAACTAAACAAAGCAAGGCGGTGTGCCTTGAAGGTAATCGGAAATCCCTAAAGACTTTGCAGATCCGCGCGAAACAATGTTAAAATGCGTTTTCTGATGAAATTTCTTCTAATATCTGCCATTCGACGTAGAATTTTGTGCTGATTCCAAAAATGATAACGATTTTGAAATCCGTTCGACAAATTTTTTAAAAATCAGCTTTGTTTGAAAAGTTCAAAAAGTCAAAAGTTGTTATTTTCAAGTTCATAGGAAAAAAAATTTCTATTGGGCAATCAGACTTTGTTTTGTTTTTATTTAAAAGAAGACATTTAAATCTTTAAAAAAAGATTTTAACATCTAACAAAATATTTTATAAACTCAGAGTTTCTGAGGTAGAAAGTTCACCAATTTTCCAAAAACAAGGGTAAAGTTTGGAGGTCTGATTCTCAAAAAAAGTTAATTAGCTAAAAATTCTGTCTAATAATTTTTATTTCACGATCCTTTCTAAGCATTTTATTTCAAAAAGTAATTAAAAATAATCATTCTGCGCAAAGTTATAGCTTTTTTTCTTGTCCTACTCAGAAATCGGGCCCTGTTTTCTCAAACACGCTTCAATTACCGTACCCCTGGGTGCCCTCAATATCAAATATATGCTCGTTTTTGGGGGATGGGACAAATGCGACCTTTTTTTGCGCGCCTGGACATTTGCGCACCTTTTTTTGCTGGAAAAGGCCTTAGGCAAGGCCGTAGAGCTTCAAAAATGTCTTAGGAAAGGTCGTAGAGCTTCAAAAATGTTTACATAGAAGGGAATCGTATGCGTAGATTCCGAATTTCGACAAATCAGACCTCGCTGACACGTCAAATTTGGGCTAAAAGGCGAAAACTGCGGAAAAGCGTTAAGTTGCGTAGTTTTTGCCTTTTAGCCCAAATTTGACGTGTCAGCGAGGTCTGATTTGTCGAAATTCGGAATCTACGCATACGATTCCCTCTATGTAAACATTTTTGAAGCTCTACGACCTTTCCTAAGGCGAATTAAGCGAAAAAAGGTGCAGCGAAATGTCCCACCGCGCGAGTGTTTAACTTTACCTTTACTTGCAAAGAGCGCCTTTTAGAAAGCAGCTTTAGCAAGGTACGGTAATTCGGTCAGATTTCTATGCATTTTAGCAGAAAATAAAAAAATTGCACAAAACTTTATTTTTCACATGAAAATCGTGCTGGAAAGTGAATTCGCCTTGGAAATTGAGTGAGAGATAGCCCGAATTTGTGAAAAACTTAAAAAATGAAGAGATTTCGCCAAGAAAAACACCGTAAATTTGTTGAGAGTTGAGAGAATTTGTAAAGCGAAATATAAAAGCATTTTTGAATCTTTACGGCCTTTCCTAAGGCGTTTTCCAGCGAAAAAAAGGTCGCATTTGTCCCACCCCCCAGATTTTCTATTATTTTTCCTACATATTGTCTTCTACAAAAACGATTATACAAAGTTAAGTTTTTTTAATCGATTTGTGAACGGATTGCTTTGTTGTAAAGAATTTTTTAGACACCTCCGCCAGAAACAGCAAACTTTTATCAAAGAAACAACAAAATGGGTCAACAGGTGAAACAGTTTTTTTTTTAAAAGTTAATATTTCATAGATAAAAAGAGCACTCAAAATCGAGTGATACTCATTTGGTTAACTGAATATCTTTAGCGACCCATTTTGAGTGCTCTTTTTACCTATGAAATATTAACTTTTTTAAAAAACTGTTTGACCCATCATGTAGCCAAGAACGCAAGGAATTTTTTGATGTAAAACTTGAACCGGCTTGGTTTTTTGGATTTTGAGAAATTTGGAAATTTGACGGCGCTGTTTTGAACGTTTTCTATTATGGCGCTGTTTTGACTACCCCCGAAAAAAAAGCTATAACTTTGCGCAGAATGGTTATTTTTAATTACTTTTTGAACTAAAATGCTTAGAAAGGATCGTGAAATCAAAATTATTAGAGAGAATTTTTTTCTATTATGAACTTTTTTCAAAGTCGAAGCCTTCAAACCCTGGTCTTGATTTTGAGATTTTCATACTTTTCCTTTTCTAAAATTTGAGTAATTCTAACAAATTGCTTATAACTTACAATAATAATAAAAAAGCTGGTGTCTATTTTTAGAATATTTGAAAAGTAAGCAAATTGGTCAAAGGTGAAAGATTTTACGGCCGTTTTACGAACTTAAGTTTTGGCTTTTTTGCGTCTTTTGAAAAAGTCCGTTTTTTCCAATACGGTTCCTATGTTGACCTAATACGGCTCCAATACGGTTCCAGTACGGTTCCTATGTTGATCTAATACGGCTCCAATACGGTTCCAATACGATTCCAATAATATGGAATTTAAAAATGATATCGAGATTCGGATTTAGCACACTTTTTCCCATCAAATGGTAGGTATAACATCAATTTTCATCAGAAAACGCACTTTCGCGCGGATGTGCTTTGCTCAATAGAGCCTGGTCATCTCACCTCACCTGGTCATCTTCTAAAACTCAAAATTTCAATTTTCTTTAACTTTACAAGATTATTTTACGTTGTACCATAAAAAATGAGATTTAAAGCGTTTAAAAAGTCTCGTTTTTTCGGCAATCTCAATGAAAATTTCTTGAGATTTGATGATCACAAAGAGAAGTAAACATTTTACACATTCGTTGCAGAAAAATCACATCAAAAACTCACTGTACAGCTGTTCAATTTTCGTGTTCACTGTTTAACTCGTGTCAAATGAACTTTCCAATAGTTATTCTTACAGTTTTCCCTGTGCCCTTTGGAGATAAAACTGTAAAGTTGACTAATCAGTAATCTTTTGCCCAACATCCTACTTATTTTTGATCTAATACGGTTCCGATACGGTTCCAATACGGTTCCGATACGGTTCTGATACGGTTCCAATACGGTTGCGATACGGTTCCAATACGGTTCCAATACGGTTCCGATACGGTTCCGATACGGTTCCAATACGGTTCTTTTTTTTGATCTAATACGGTTCCGATACGGTTCCAAAGTTAGACACAAAGTCTTGTCTATCATTTCCTTTTCTCAGCGCCCAGCAGGAACTATAAGCTGGATTTTGATTACAACACATACTTTTGTCCAATCAAAATCCAAAAATCTTTGGCAACAAAATCAAAGGTCAAAGGTACTTCAAAAGTGCAATTTTTTTTTGTTTATTTTTGAGCTATGAATTACAAAAATGCTTATTCTTTAGTGCTACGACATTTTTTGGTTGTTTTTCGTTATAAATCCGCAAAAATTAATCAAATTTTCATTTCCGATCATTTCCGTCACACATCCGCAAAATTTGATTCCGCAAAATTTTCGCCAAATTTGCACGCTTCCATGAAAATGACCAAGGAAAACCACAGAAAATTCATTCTTTTGCTTTTTCCTGACGGTGGATTCATGTTTCGCTTATCGACTACCGAGGCCGATGCAATCTCGTTCTTTCAACAACGCCGCATCTTGTTTACTACTCGCAAACGCGCCAACCATCACGTTATGAAGCTATCGCTCAATCAGAATCCTCGATGGAGATGTGACAAAACGTCGTGCCGGACGGGCGAAATGATCGGGCACTACTAGAGGGCGGCGAAGAAGAGAATGTCAGAGAAGCAATTCAGTGCCTGCAAGAAAGAAACATGTTGTTGGTAGCGATGATCCAAAGGCGTTTGAACTGGCAGAAGCAGCGGAGAAGATTAAAGTTATTACGGGAGCTGATGGTGACAAAGGGCTGGGAGGAATCCTTCTCGCAAGCAAGCTCCTGAGCAACAACGGTCCGGCATCGAAGAAGAGACGGCCTGCGTGTTAGCCCATAGATGGAGGGAACCAAAATTCCGTCTCTCAAAATCCTACGATTCATCTATGAATGGACTCAACAGTGGGCTTCGATCGACTATTGTGCGAAAGAATTGGAGATGAATCACAACACCGTAGTCGACTTCAACTACATGAGGGATTTTACACGATCCAGCAGCTTTTTCTTGCATTTGAGAATTCTGATACGAGACTTGGATTCATTGCACATTCAGATTTGGCTCCTTTCACTCTTTCAAACGAATAAACGCGTTGCTTGCTTTTAATTGGCCTCAATAGTGACTCGACTCATTCCAGTGTCTCGAAAAATTCTTCAATTAACTTTTTTCATTTGGTCCCACTGGCTCAGAATCCTTAATCTCTAATCCCCAATTATTCTCTAATCCCAAAAAAGACCCTCAACTACGAGTGAGCCTGGCTCCTTTGTCTTGGGTTTTTTTTCTGTGCATTTGAGAAGAAAACTCCGATCATACCACTTATTATTCCGATATAGAGGTCTATCTTTAACTTTGTACTCTCATGATCAGCGTTTTTTTTGTTTTCTTTGATCTCAACAAAATTTAAAGGAAGCTGTCGCAATATAAAGAGATACAACGAGACAAATTCTATTCAGAGTCTACCGAAATCCTCATTGATGTCGAATCTGACTCTCTTTGACCCGTTCTATTATCGTTCGGAACTCTCGATCGTCGTCGTGCTCTTCACTCTGGCCAGCAACGTTGCAATGATCGTCGTTGCCTCAAAGGGCACTCCTATCAAAATGATCGCTTACCGTGCTCACATTCTCGACAGTCTTGTGGGTTTCTTCTTTGTTTATTTCTGAGAGATTCAAATAGATAGACTTTCCGATCCCTTTCCAGTTCGAGCCTACAAAACTTTTCCTAAAGTGTTTGCATTCAACAATTTTTTAGATTTCGAGTGGTCTTTTTGGGATCATTTATCTATTGCTCTTCATGGGCTTCACTTTCCACAAGGATAGCGGCAACGACACAGCAGAAGCCCTGCACGCCGTCTCGATCTCCGTGATCTCATTATCCTATGGAGGGCTCTCGATGAAAATAATTTTGGTAACAAAGTAACAGAAAAACAAATGACGTTTGGCGTAGGTGTGCTTCTATCTGGCCGGGGCGAACTGCGCTCGGGCGATTGTGCTTTGCTTCAAACATCGCTTCGAGCTCGTCCTCTTCGGCGACACGAAAGAAGTCTATTTTCGGTATCAAAAATATATTGTACAACCCCTGCTCATCATCCCGTTTGCCACACTGCTCATCTTGGTCAGTCGCTGCTGCGAGCTAGCTAATTTCACGGCGGTGTTGGTGAGGTTTTTATATTTGCAAAGACTTTAAGATACAAAACAGATGATCTAGATGTCATCAAAAGTCTAAGTTGTCAAAGTCATTAAAAAACGTTACATTTTTGGATCAAAAGCGCCGTCGGGTCTCGAACCCACGACCTTTCACTTACTGGTCAAATTTGCTAACCGTTACAGCTGATCCACCTTGCTTCAGAGGGACCTAACTCTTCTATTTTTTATAAAAACCGTTCTAGGTGCTCATAAACATCCATATTTCAGAACCAAAAGTCGCTGCTTTTTGGCACAAATCCCCTTCCGGTGACCCCTTATGTGTTTAATGTGATCACCGCCATCGATCTATTTCTCATTGTGATAACGTTGCTGATTTACGGCGCTCTACTCGTTTTCTTCAACGCCTACACCATCCTCCTATTGTACTTTAGCAAGAGTCTCGCACAACATCTTTCCCCAAAAACAGTATCCGCTCAACGGATAGCCTTTTTCATGCTGCTTATTCAGGTGAAGTGATCGACTTGACTGACTTGACTTGACGATAGCTTTTAGAAAACTATTTTTGTTAACAAGTTATTACTGTTACTAACAAGTATTTGGTATCAAAATAATCTTTGGCTATTTACTGGTGGAAGTTTCATAATTTCTTGGTGTTTCTTGAGCAAAGCTGTGATCTGTGATCCAGCTATCCAGTAATCCAGCTATCCAGTGATCCAGCTATCCAGTAATCCAGCTATCCAGTGATCCAGCTATCCAGTGATCCAGCTATCCAGCTATCCAGTGATCCAGCTATCCAGTGATCCAGAAACACAGTACTAGCTCAGTCTTGTTAATTTCGTAATTTGCAGACCTCTTGTTCGTTAGCCCCGGCAATGTTGACAGTGACAGCTCTGGTTATTGTCTACACCATCAACACGACCACTGTCCTAGCATGTTGGTTTCCAAGTTTTTCCTAAAGATAATAAAATGCGTCAGCTTTTGTAGGTCTTTTGGTGCTGATTGTAGTTCTCTTTCATAAGCATTTTCAGTTTTCAACTACTTCTCGGCGCTACTCGTCGGCACTTTCGGTATCCTTTATCCGCTGGTGATCTTGTCAACGACGCGGCCCTATCAACGCTTTCTGATGGAACGCCTTTTTGGCATTCAGCCTTCAAGCGTCAACGCCTACGCCGCCGCCGGTGCTGTCACTACGGCTGCAAACCCTGCCCCAACTCCATCTGAAATCTAAACTTTTTCATTATTCGCAACTTATTTGTATTGTATTAATATACGAATTTTAGAAAATACCTAAATTAGAAAATTTCTAATTAAAATCTTCCTTTAAGTATATCTTTTTAATAAAGTTTCTAGAAAAGCTTTTTTTCGGCAAAACATTGTTTGTAAAGAAATATTGTTCGCGTGCTTGGTACTCTTCACTCAAGACACGTTATTAGAACCATATTAGAACCATATTGAAACCATATTGGAACTAAAAACACTTTATTCAATAGCCGACTGACTCGGAATCTTTGGGCTCTCACTTGAGCAATTTACACACAAGATCGACAATTGAATTAAAAGCGACGATAAAAAACAGAAACAATTTCGTCCTAATTAGGACACAACTTTCACACAATGAGAGGAAAGCAGAAAGAAAATGAAAGATAACCAAACCAAATGAACAACCAAATGAACAACAGCTTATATAGGCTTTAACCCAAGATACTCAGCTAACAAGCTACAAAACAATAAATGATTTGGGGCCCGAAATAGAATGAAGGCGCACCGATTTCCTCAATATTTTTCCAATTTTTAGGCTGCCAGAGTTAAGTAACTTTTTAGTGGCTATTCGCCACATTGTTCTTGAAACACTTTGTGAAACACGAAACACTTTAATCGATCTCTTCAACTCACTCGACAATTATAATGGTTTACATCTATGAAGAAATACAAAATCTCCTAAATTTCCATTTAAAGAACTCGCCAAAAGAGAGAAAACGAAAATGACCATCTTGTTGGCAATGATGCAGTCGAACTGGTAAACTAAAACTGGAATTTTGCAATCTCAGCTGGAATTTTGTAGCCCAAAGCCAAGATGTGTTGAAAGAGTCGACTGTCAAAAGAGTTATCGGTTGAATTTTTATCGTGAACGCGACTTAGAGGTGGATGAGGAACTGCTTCCAAACACGCCTTTTTGGCATTCGAACTTCAAGCGTCAACGCCTATGCCACCACCGGTGCTGTCACAACGGCTGCAAACCCTGTCCCAACTCCATTCCCAACCCCAACGTTTAATCACGTGCAAGTGAGCAAATTAAAAACAAAACAAAACCAAAAAATTGAACCGTATTCTGTCACTTCTCTCAACTGAATAGTTTTCAAATCAATCCCGGCCTCGATCAATATAAAAATCGATAGAGAAACGCGAAGTTTTGTCTTATTAGAGACTAATTCGAAAAAACTTTAGAAGCGAAGATGGGTCCCCCGCAGGAATGAAAGAAATCAGAAATGTCAGGCAGACACACTGGCATACTTTCATGCAAAACATTTTATTCAAAAAATAATTGTGAACGAATGCAAGAAAAAGACAATTATTTTTGTTCGTTATCGACAACGGCTTAGATGCACCAGCACTCCGATTCAATACAAAGTCCTCCCCCTGGGTGGCTGTTATTGATGCAGCACAGACTGCAAGCCCCATTCTGAAAAAAATTGAGTGGAATATTGTCGTTGTTTCCTTTGTGACTCTTGAAAAACTCTCATTTCCCTAAAAGCCTCAAAACTATGGCGAGAATGCTGATTGAATGTTATTGAAACACTTCGGGACAGTTGGTCTTTTCAACTCACCGGACAATTGTTGTCACATTCACTCACGTGGACGAGAGCAAGAGAAACACCTAAACATTCTTGATTCAAATGAATTGCAATTTTACTTATTGGAGAGAGAGAAACAGGTCAGTGTCTCTGACATGGCAGACATCAGTCAGATCTATCAGTCCTAACTAAGTGCTGGTTTAAAATTACAACTCTCTATGAAGAAGTCCGAAACTTCTGAAATTTACATGGAACTTCCACTCACTAAGAAAGAGAAGAAAAACGAAAAGGATCTTGTTGGCAATCATTGCGATGAAATGAAAGAGTTGAACTGTTTAGAACTGTTCGGTGAAGTGACGGCTACTGAGCTCTCTTTTATATAATGTTTCTGCTGTTTGAGCGTTCTTTCTTTACTGTAGGTAAGATAACAACAAAAAGTTACAATTTTCTTAAGTAAATCTCACCATTTCAAAGCGTTTTTCGACATTTGCTTGTCATTTTATTGATAAGACCGGCGAGTCTTACAGGCGGAAGCTTCTTTAGCACATTTTTTCTCAAATTCTTTTGAAATTAAAATTGAATTCATTTGAAATTGATTTGAACCGGATCTCCTTGTTGATACAGGGCACATTGTTAGCTACAATGTCTATCACGGGTCAGATTGCGTCAATGGCATTTGAATTACCGAAGAATTTTTTGATGTAATTTAACTAACACTCTCGTGATAAGACAGTTTCTCGACTATTCAGACCTGGATAAAGTGGGAATTTTGTAAGGTTGTAGAACATGAATCCGGCATTAGATGGGCGAAATTGGATGACCGAAACGGGCGGGCGTTTAGTAAATAAAGATTTCTAGGTGTCTTAGAAGACTGAGGAATGGTGGAGGGGATAAAAAGAAAACTCAGCTCTTTGGGGGTGTTAAAAATGAGTACCTCAAATAACTTTTTTATGAACTTGAAAGCTAGTTTATTTCTGAGAGACGATTAAAATAGACCGACAGGACTTTCGGATGTCCTTATGCCCTCGAGTACTTTACTGAAAAGCCTAAAAAACAACTCACCATAACTTTTTTCTAAGTGAACCAATCTTTATGATTTTGGTTTCATTTTGTAGATCTCAATAAGTGCAACAAAATGACACCAAAATCATAAAGATTGGCCGAACGATTGTGAAGTTTGTGAAGTCGAAATTGAAGGGAAACTATTCGGATCAAAAGTGGGGCTTTGGTACTTCATCCGTCGAGTCTGGACAACTATTGGACCCCAAATTCTACGTGATCTGGTTGACAGCATGCCAAGGAGAATTCAAGCAGTAATGGCGGCTCGCGGAGGATCTACTAAGTATTGATTTCATAATGTTTTTCTCACATGTTAAAAGACTTTTGTCCATCAATTTTTGGCCCAATTTTTGTTTTTTTAAAAAGTTCATGACACCTGATAAATTGTTAAATCCATCTTTTTGTAATGTTAAAATTAGAGATAATAAGCTCTTTAAATCTTTTAAGCGTTTGCAAATTGCTCGGATTTGGACCAAGATATACAAAGAACAAACTTCTAAAAACCAATGTTAAAAGACTTTTGTCCATGACTGTATTTCAATTTCACAATTTCACAAATTTCATGTGAAGCGAAATGGCTTGTGAAAGAACTGTGAAAGAACCAACCTACGATACTTTAGTGTTTTTTAAAAGTATCAAGTTGGTGTTAAAAAGAGATTCGGCTAGTTTATGTGAAAAATTCAATTCAACTTTATCCAGGTCTGAATAGTCGAGAAACTGTCTTATCACGAGAGTGTTAGTTAAATTACATCAAAAAATTCTTCGGTAATTCAAATGCCATTGACGCAATCTGACCCGTGATAGACATTGTAGCTAACAATGTGCCCTGTATCAACAAGGAGATCCGGTTCAAATCAATTTCAAATGAATTCAATTTTAATTTCAAAAGAATTTGAGAAAAAATGTGCTAAAGAAGCTTCCGCCTGTAAGACTCGCCGGTCTTATCAATAAAATGACAAGCAAATGTCGAAAAACGCTTTGAAATGGTGAGATTTACTTAAGAAAATTGTAACTTTTTGTTGTTATCTTACCTACAGTAAAGAAAGAACGCTCAAACAGCAGAAACATTATATAAAAGAGAGCTCAGTAGCCGTCACTTCACCGAACAGTTCTAAACAGTTCAACTCTTTCATTTCGTCGCAATGATTGCCAACAAGATCCTTTTCGTTTTTCTTCTCTTTCTTAGTGAGTGGAAGTTCCATGTAAATTTCAGAAGTTTCGAACTTCTTCCTACAGAATTGTAATTGTAAACCAGCACTTAGTTAGGACTGATAGATCTGACTGATGTCTGCCATGTCAGAGACACTGACCTGTTTTTCTCTCTCCAATAAGTAAAATTGCAATTCATTTGAATCAAGAATGTTTAGGTGTTTCTCTTGCTCTCGTCCACGTGAGTGAATGTGACAACAATTGTCCGGTGAGTTGAAAAGATCACCTATCCCGAAGTGTTTCAATAACATTCAATCAGCATTCTCGCCATAGTTTTGAGGCTTTTAGGGAAATGAGAGTTTTTCAAGAGTCACAAAGGAAACAACGACAATATTCCACTCAATTTTTTTCAGAATGGGGCTTGCAGTCTGTGCTGCATCAATAACAGCCACCCAGGGGGAGGACTTTGTATTGAATCGGAGTGCTGGTGCATCTAAGCCGTTGTCGATAACGAACAAAAATGATTCAGTCTTTTTCTTGCATTCGTTCACAATTATTTTTTGAATAAAATGTTTTGCATGAAAGTATGCCAGTGTGTCTGCCTGACAGAAAATGGATTTTTAGAGAATTGCTAACTGGGGAGAGTCGGAAGATCGTAAGAAATACTTCGACCTTTGAAATATAAGGCATGGATATGGATGGATGTTTGGGATTTGAATAAAAACTGTATGGATGTTTGAATCTCCTGAGAAACTTGACAAGATCAGCTAGGTCTCATTGAGAGATCCCATCTTAAATTGGTGACCTTTCCAGTTTGGACTTGATTTGGACCGGACTAAAATTTTTGCATTTTATTCCGGAATCTGGTAATTTATAGTGATCTGGTACCAGATTGGATCGAACCGAGATCGGACCGATATTACACTTGACTATAACACTTGACTTAAACTAGCGTTGAGAACGAGACGCTCAAACTTAGTCAACTTTGCAACTAGACATGTGAAAATTCGAACCCGTACCTAATTCCACCTTTGTTTTCTCAGCTATCTCTTGGCCGATTTTTCTGAAATTTTGTTTAGAAATAGAAATTGGTATTCTCTGCTTGTAGACAAAATTTCAGAGCAATCGGCCGAGAGACGGCTGAGAAAACGAAGGTGGAATTAGGTTCGGGTTCGAATTTTCTGACTGGAATCTGACTTTGGATTCGGATTCCACACCCGAAAAAACCCAAAAAAACCAATTTTCAGAGAATTCTATGCAAGAAAAAGTCTATAAATGAACGGAAGAGCAGTTAACTATTGGGTTGGCCCAATAGTTGAATTGGTGAATTGAAAACTGCCGGCTATTGTCATAAGTGACAGTTTGAGGACTTTCTTCAAAAGAAACCCAAACTCTAGAAAAAGAATTACTGCGCAAAAAGGGGAAATGAAATGGGGGAAAAGGAGGGGGAGGGAAGGGGGGGGGGGTACGGTATCTGTCTGTCTTTCTGTCTATCTTTCTGTCTGCCTTACTGTACGGGCATTTTTTCAGCCGTATTTTGGCCAATATTTCATTTTGCATGGATATTATATTTTAAGTTGTTTTTGGTGTCATTCGATGCGCAATTTCATTCTGCGTCAAATGCTGAATGCTGAATCGTTTAGTCAACTGAATACGAAAATATTGGGTTGGTGAATTGAAAACTGCCGGCTATTGTCATATGTGACAGTTTGAGGACCTTCTTCAAAAGAAACCCATTTTCGTGTCAATGGAAAAGTTGTAGAGAATCAAAAATGAAGCTTATATCCAAATTTTCAGAACGATTCAAAAACTGGTTTTCAAGAAATGCCAAATTTACGAATTTTCACAAAACTTGCATTTCAGGCGAAACTACTAAGTGAATCTTTTGGAAATTTGGCTATAAGCCTAATTTTTGATTCTCTACAACTTTTCCATTGACACCAAAATGGGTTTCTTTTGAAGAAAGTGCTCAAACTGGGACATCTCCAGTCTCCAGTCCTCCATTTTTGAGCATCACACTTGTCTCACACACAAACCAAAATCCTACTACAAAAGAGGAATCCGCAAATTGCCTGTAAAATGGGCAGAAGTCGTCAATAATAATGGAAATTATTTGGAATGAATTCATGGTTTTATGTTGAATAAATTTTAGTTGAAAGTCCGGCAGTTTTCAATTCACCAACCCAATACTCGACGAATGGAAGGCTTGACATTAAACCAAGGAAATCCAGCCTATGTTTTAGGAGGAGTGAGTTAAAGGAATTCAATCTATTAGGCTTTTCGATTAATTCACCATTTGTTATAAAATCAGGTAGACATCTCGGTAACTCTATCCGCGTTCTCTATATCCATTTACTGACCTCATCAACAAGCCACAGCTCATGATGCTCTTTCGCTGACATTAGATCATTTATCCTTGATCTTTTTAAACTATTTTCTTTTCAATATTTTAATTATACTTGTTATACTTGAAGTTTAGACTAATTTAAAACAAAAATTTATAAACTTTTCAGGGAGTGGGACAAATGCGACCTTTTTTTTGCGCACCCCGACATTTGCGCAAATTTCGATTCTACGCCCTAAAATTACCTAGAAAAAAACTTTTGGAATAGAAATTGGTTAATATTAGCTTTCTAGAGCTTTTTTAAAACGCGAAAAAAGGTGCGCTAATGGGCTAAGAAAAAAAGGTGCGCAAATGTCCGGGTGCGCAAAAAAAAGGTCGCATTTGTCCCACTCCCACTTTTCAATAATCTTATGCTAAAAACCTTTGAAAATAGTTTTAAAAGCATTTAGGCTCATATTTATTTGGATAGAAACACAAAGTCAACAGATTTTGATGTTTTTGTTGAAAAAAAAAGCCTTCAGAAATCTCTGGAAAGGGTCTAATATCAAGTTTAGTTTATTTTAATTGATAAAAAGTTTAAAATTTCTGTAAATTGTTTAATTTTATCTTTAAAAACATTGAAAATTGACTCATTTTGGTTGCTTGTACCGGTTTAAAGAGAAAAATATGAAAAAAAGCTTGAATAGCTTTCTTAAGTTATTTTAAAATAGTTTAAAATAGTGATAGACTCCTTATTAGTGATTTGTACGTATAATTTTATTAGGGTTTTTTGTTTTAAAAAGTTTAATTGAGCTTTCTCGATAGCTTTCTTTCGTTATTTTAAAATGAAGTGAGTAAAAAGTTGCGGGAACTCTGTACAGGGTGCGGCAAAAGTTTGGAGCCGCTTCTTAAGATAGTTAAAGGTTTAAAAACCAGCTTTAAAAAGTTAAAAATTAATAACAAATTCTTTATTCGAATCATAAAAACAAATAACTTATAACAAATGCTCGAAATTTCCACCATCCGCTTCGATACACCTCTTTAAACGCTTTGGGAAGTTCCTCACGATGGTGGCGCACGCTTAAACAGTTATTTCATCCCAGACTAGTTTCAGAGCAGATTTTAAAGCATCCACTGTTTGATAGGTCTTCATCGAGATCTTGCCTTCCAAAATAGCCCAAACGGAGTAATCGAGGGATTAAGATCTGGCGAATTTGAAGGCCAAATGGTCTTATCCCAAAAGCCTGGAAACAACTGATTGCAAACGTTGAGAGTTGAGTGAGCACCATGCGCCGGAGCCCAGTCCTGTTGCAGGGAAAAACCAGCTTATCCAAAGTGATTTGTTGCCCAATGTTTCAAGACATCTTTTAATACCAGTTGTTGGCAGTTTTTAGCATTCATCTTGACATTTCTGTCCAAAAAAACAGGCGGTGTCTTGCTTGTAGCACACATACCTCCACACACCATAATCGAAGCTGAAAAATGCTTTCTAACCATCAAATTTGCCGCAAATGTGTTCTTCAGAACCCTTTTGAGAAGTTATCTATGATTTTGGCGGTTGTGCAAAGACTGCATAGAAAAAATCTTTTCATCTGTGAAGAGGATCCTCTCAAGTAGGCCAGTCGCCACCAGGCGCACCATCTTCTTTGCTAGACACTTTCGTTTCTTCTGGGATTTGTCGCTCAAGACGTGTGCTTTGGCCAATTTGTAGCTAAAGAATCTTAGTTTCCCTTTAACAATCCTTCCAACGCTTCGAGGGCTAATTTTCAGCTGTTTGCCCATCTTTCGCGTCGACCGCAGCTTGTTTTGGCGGATCCGAAAGCGAATTTCGTTGATGTTCGTAGATGTTACGGCGGTTGGTGGTCGACCACTTCAAGGGCGATCCTTGTTGTTCTTTATCGCCTTGTAGCGTTTAATTGCTTTGTTGACGGTGCTTTTTGGATATTTCGTGATTTTTACAATCTCCGGGCTATTTTTTCCGCCTTGGTATAATCCGAGAATCACATCGCGTCGTTTTTTGGCGTTCATTCTTACGAATTTTCTCCTAAAAAGAAAATTTTTGTAACAAATCACCTTAACTATACTCGAAAAAAGGAAAAAAGTATACGAGACACAAAAAAAAGCGTGAGCTAAATTTTCTGCAATGTTTTCATAGCGGCTCCGAACTTTTGCCGCACCCTGTAGACGTTATAAAACATACCGTAAATACTTCAAAAGCAAAATCCTACTACGAAGAAAGAGGAATCCGCAAATTGCCTGTAAAATGGGCAGAAGTCGTCAATAATAATGGAAATTATTTAGAATGAATTGATGGTTTTATGTTCAATAAATTTTAGTTCAAAGTCCGGCAGTTTTCAATTCACCAACCCAATATATACAAAACTTTTTGGTGCTCTATCTTTGGTGTGGTGTACTGGGAGTTGCTGGATAGCAAGACGTACCTTAATGCAATCAAATAAAGTGAACAGTTGGAAAAGGTGAATGAATTCCTGAAGAAGAATAGGCCCTCCAAGTCAAAGGTCGTTCTCCTCCACGACAACGCGCGCCCTCATGTTGCAAAACTGACTCGCTCTAAAATAAATAGCCTTGTTTGGGAACTTTTGGCGCATCCCGCATACAGTCCGGACCTCGCCCCTTCTGTTTATTATTTTTTCGAAACATGAGTAATGAGCTTGCGCGAGAACACTTCGATTCGGAAGAAGCAGTCAAAAATTGGCTCCAAAAGTTTTTCGATTCAAAACCAAAATCTTACTACGAAAGAGGAATCCGCAAATTGCCTGTAAAATGAGCAGAAGTCATCAATAATAATGGAAATTATTTCGAATCAATTCATGGTTTTATGTTCAATAAATTTTAGTTCAAAGTCCGGCACCAACCAATTTTCAATTGGTTTCAATTCACCAACCCAATACATTTTTTGATTTTCTGTCTTTTGATAAACATGACATGGCTTAAATATTATTCATAGTAATGCTTTGAATCGAGGATGCGACTTGATGGATTTTTTCGATTCTAGGCGATTTGTCAGCGGTACTTGTCGCTCTTGGTAAGCCCAAAAGTATTGCATTGACGAGACTGAAAAAAGAAGGAGAATTAATCGGAAAAAAAACTACTCTAATCAATCTAACCTCATTCCCAGCGTGTATATGCCAAATTGAAGTACGTTGATCACCAAGAAAATCGCATTTTGCAAGTAGAACCCAAAGCAAGTACAAATTGCCCAATAGAGCGAAGGGAACACCACGTATTGAATGAAATAAACGCATGAGCTGATCAGCATCTGAACAGATGTGATCGGCAATATATTACAGCGATATTTTTCGCTTACCTGTTTTAACAGTCGCTTGTCGGGATGGCTGGTGTGATTAGCTGCCCACTAGAAGCTCAATTGTTAGGCAAAGAGATAGAACAAACTTTTCGAACTCTCAACAATGTGAACAAATCGAGGACAATCATGAAACAGACGATCGTCATCGGGATCGCGTTATTGATTGTCCCAACGGTTTGTGCCAAGACGCGACTTTCGTACGCTAGTCGGTTACTCAAAATAGTACCAACAAGTTTGACCGAACCGAGTGCATAGCAAAATAAACACTGCCCAAACGGCCATCTCAAAGCGCTTTCAAGAAGCGTCCCATCAGAGGCAATCACCATGTAGCGGCTAGATTTTTGAGAATTTTGTACTTGATAAATATGTACTTGATAAATAAACACCTTTATCCAATTTTATTGGAAGCAAAGAGCTTTAGAAAGCGTCAAAGTTAGACAAAGCCAACATTGAATGACTTTTTGAGACATAAAACTTAGTCATTTATTTCATCAAAGCAGCGTACTTTATCGAAATGATCGCCTGACAATAGATATTGGTCGGATAAAGCCATGAAAGTTCGATATATTGTTGATAGGTGACTAAAGTAGTGGACGGGCACCTGTAAGCTAATAAATTCACAGAGCGTGTGCTTGCTAATAGCTAAATGACTCGAGAATTGCCAGTGCAAGCGTCACTAGAAGTCTAAATATATGAAACTTTCAACAAAATCTTTTCAGCAACGAAAATCGAGCAATGAAAAGAATGAAAAGCGATGAAAAGCGCTCTTTTAGCGCTCGAAAAATAAAGTAAAGTAAAGAATGGGGAAGAAGAATTTCCGCGAAGGGGGTCGAACCCTCAAACGCAGCCACGGCCCCGCCTTCCAGACTGATGCTCTAACCACTGAGCTAACCGGGACCTGGTTACAGGCGAAGAAAGAGAATACTGATAGGTCCCTCTTTATAAATGTTATCTTGCAGAAAAAAAGAACGCTAATCTTAGCACCCGACCTATCAATCACCTTTGACTAAACACACTCACCAAATAGCAAAAGCGCTGCACATGTTGGTGAACAACTCGCTGAATGTGATCACAAATCGATTAACATTTTCCGCGGTGGCCAAAACTCTGAAAATTTGAAAGGATCACAAGGCTTTGATTGGTTGCTAATAATCGTTGCTGATAATTAACATCAATAACTGCTTTGTGTGAGCCGGATGTTTAGCTGGAAGTTGTGTCAGTGTTGTGCCAATCACTCACCGAACTGTCACCGCTAACCTTCGATTGACGACTGAACGATAGATGGCAAACAAGTTGGTGAAAAGGGCAATCGAAAAAATCTGAACTATCTTTCGTTACAATACCAATATTTCTGGGAAAATTGATTAAATTTGATAAAATTCAGAAGCTCTTGCGTAGTTTTCGGGGATTTTGAACGAGTCGTCAGGCTTTGAGGGCCTATAACTTTGTTAAGAGATAATATTTTTGTTAACTCTTTATGTCATTGTACAGAGGACATTTCAGGCTTTCAAATGGTATAAAATAAAGCTTAACTGGATTTTTCATTCCCATGCAAACCAGGCGACACGAGACTCGAGTTGGAATGGCCAGAGTCGCTCAGAGTTGGCTCTGATTTTCTTGGACTGGATGATCCAAAAAAGCTCTATTTAGTATCATTTGAAAGCCTGAAACGTCCTCTGTACAATGATATAAAAAGTTAGCAAAAATATTATCTCTTAACAAAGTTATAGGCCCTCAAAGCCTGACGACCAAGGCATTAGGCCGAATTCAAGCCAAGGCCATTGACCTTGGCTTGGTTTGGCTAGCCATGGCTTTGGTTTGGTTTTTTGGAATAGTCCTACTTCTCAACGTCTAGTTGCCATATCAAATCGAATTTTTGTGAAAGCTATATTTTCTCTCACCAAGGTAGCCAAAACGCAAGTCCAATTGTTGACTTTCAGTAACAAAATGGGGCTTATCTCGAAAGCGTGTGGAGCATTTGGATCGGTTAACGCCGCGCTCAAGTTTGTCCTAATCGTCACCAGCACACACGTTATGACTAAATATTTTTAGAAATTTTACTTTGTTTTCTTTGTGTCGTGCTTACTTGTGAGCGCTGTCCCAAGCCCAAAAACTTTGATGATTTCAACATGGTTTTGCCACATTTTATCGAGCTGTTCTCTGCAAAGATTTTTTGTTGAATACAATTGTAGTGAAAAAGAAATTGTTGTCAATACCTCGTCAATTTAATTCAGCATCAAGCTTTTAACAACTCTTTAACAACTTTTGAAGAACTTTTAACTATTGAAGGTTAAATGCGAATGTAATCACACGTACAAAACTTAGCATTAGATGAAGAAGACAAGAATTACAGTAAAAGCGTTAAAAGCAAGGAAAATGGTTTGGAAAACGATTTAGTTTTAGTTAAGCACTTTATTTCACTAACATTTCATGGCTTAAATATAACAAATGAATATACAACTTACCGTATTCTCTCTAATAACGGACAAAAGGCAATAGAAGCTGCCAGAAGCCAATTTGTTGTTCTTTGAAAGATCTACATTCGAGCTACATTTCCCGACAACACATCAATCGATTCTGATTGATGGTTCTTGCTATATGAGCTGTTTTAGTTGACTTCAATAGAGATTCTCTCTATTAGACTAGTTCGTCTAATAGAGAGAATACTAGAGTGTGTTCCTCGCGAGTAAGTAAATACTCGACTAAATTTGCATGAGTCATTTTTACTCAAGTAATAGCTCGAGTAATTGGCGAGTATTTGTACAACAAAATATTCAAATAAAGCTTGTATCCCATAAGATTCAGAGTCAAGTACTTTCTAGACTCTTTTCCCACACTTATCGTTGATCGGTGTAAACTCTTTCTTGTGTTTTCCTTTTTTTCCCTCTATTCACAGCCACACATTTGATCTGTGAGTGAGGAAGTGAAAAGAGACAAGAAAGATACAAGAAAGAGTCTAGAACCCAATAGATGAAAGTTATTTCTTCGTGATTCTTGGGTTTTAGTTTTTTGACAAGATATTCTAGCTTTCAATAAAGGAACAGAAAAAAAAAATTTAGGAATCTAAGAACAAAACGAGAACCAAAGTTTCTTAAAAATCTCTATGCAAAAAACAAGGGAAAGCGAGAACCAAAATTTCTTTTGCGTGAAGTTTCTCGTTTTTGTACCTACAAAAAGCCTCGTTTTTGTACTTACAAAAAAAACCTTTTCTTCAACCATTTCTTCTTCAGTGAAAAGAATTTACCAAAATATTCTTTCTTTGAGGGTTTTTTTTATTCTGAATGATTTAGAATGAGGAACGCATGGTGCCCACCTGGAGAGATCAAGCTGGAAGGTCAACCACTAGAAGAAGTCACCTCTTACACCTATCTCGGAAGAAGCATCAACATGGAGGGAGACCTAAGACCAGAAGTCGCCAGAAGAAGACGAGCGGCCTGGACAGCACTAGGAAGCATCAAAGAAGTCACAAAGATACTCAAGGATCACCAGAGAACTCGGGCACACCTCTTCGACAGCACCGTCCTCCTGGCACTCTGCTATGGGACAGAGACCTGGGCCACGACACAGACCACTGAACGAGCTCTGAGAATGACGCATCGAGCCCTTGAAAGGAACCTCCTCGGGTACAATAGGAAGACGCAGCTCGACCAAGACCTAAGAAGTACGGATATGCCCCAGCTCTCGGGACTCAGAGATCCAGTGGAAGTGATTGAGAGAAAAAGACTCAGATGGGCCGGCCACGTAGCCAGAAGAACAGACGACAGATGGACGATACGGATCACAAAGTGGCTACCACGCGACCAGAAGAGGGCCATCGGAAGACCAGCAACGAGGTGGAGCACAAGAGTGGCAGAAACGGTCAGAGAAAGGATGGCTAGAGTGCAACAACCACCAGCACAAGCAAGACGAAGACTTCGAACCAGGAACAATCAAGATAGGAAACACTGAATGAGAATAGCAAGGGATAGAGAAATGTGGAAGCAGGTTGTGATCTACGCAAAATAGGAACACCTGAGTGCGAAGACAGATAAAAAAAAAACAAGACTTTGACGTTAATGACAATGAGGGAATTTCATTCAAAACTCCAAACGATTGTTCAAATTTGATATTTTGCTTTGTAAGGATACAAATTGTGTGTCTTTCGCTTTTATTTCTTGTGCTTGTCGTAACGGTAGCCTAATTTTCTTTGCCTTTCTTTCCCTGTCAAAGTCAAAACTATGCTTTTCCCTTTTCACCTTTTCATCGACGATGTTGTCTTCAATGTCAACGTTTTTTTTTGGATCTTATTAGAAAGAAAAGTATCTTTTGAAAACAAATATGAAAACACGTTGTTTCAAGCAGTGTTTGCCTTCATTTTTCAACTTTTTGCAACGATTTGAAGTCGATATGTCGTAGCCGATTATGAATGAAATTTTTTGGCAAATCTTTCTAGTAGAGCAACCCTTTAATGTATGAGGACAATATTATATCATCTTGTAGCGAATTGAATTCTGCGTCGATTGGTACCAAATTTGTGAGTTTAGGTTAAAAATTGCCGGCGCTACAACGTTTCATTCAAAATCGGCTGGATCTCCGTAGCCGATTATGAATGAGTGGGTCTAGGAGCGTCCAACCATCAAGTATTTAGTATCATTCAACGCAGAATTATTGATAATTATGTTAAATTTTTAAAATTAGCAAGATTTGATGAAAAGAAAAAAAATTAGAGCAAAAAAACTGTTTGTTCAAGAGAAAACTTTGAGGTCCCATAATTTGTCTTCTTTTTATCCAATCTTTCTAATTTCAAAAATTTAACATAATTATCAATAATTCTGCGTTGAATGATACTAAATACTTGATGGTTGGACGCTCCTAGACCCACTCATTCATAACCGGCTACGACAGATTTAAATTTGCCGCAACTTGTCCAACTTGTCTTTTATTTTTGTGCTCATTAATCACACTCAGTTAACTAATTCAACTTATCGATCAACACTTTTATGATTTCTTTTTATTTCCTCCATTGTGACATATGTTGAATGACATCGGATTGTGCCTTCATTGCCATATCCATTAATCGCAATTGTTGCTCCTTTTGTTCACCGGTCAACTCGTTCGCTTGTTGCATTGCGTTTTTTGCAACATCAATTGAGAGATCTAAATAAATTCTTTGGATATCAAAAGTAATCATAAAATGAACTCGCCGTCTTTTCCCAACACACAGTGAAGACTCAGCACCAAAAGCAAGGCAAAAACAATTTTGAGGAACATTTTTGCGTTAGATTGAATGAATTTACTTTGTGAATCTGTCTTTTAAATGATTTCCAATCAGATTTTGTGTTGCAAGATAACTTTTGAAAAGAGGGAATGGGTTTTCAATTGACCAATCAAAAATGGATAAACGAAACAGTATCGGTGATTTTTGAACAAATAATTTTCTTGCTAGGCATTCAATAGGGTTAGGAAATTTGGAAAAAAAATGGATGAAATGAAGCTATAACTTATAAAAACACTATCAACAACTTGTTATTAGAATTAAAGGCAAAAAATAGATGGCGATTGTGGATTGCATTTAAAAGTGGTCATAAAAAGAATCACAAGTACTAAAATGTTGAATTGTTGGACAAAGTGAAAAGCTTTCGGCTGTAGCCTCAACTGAACATTGCAGAACTTTCCATGATGTTCTTTTTTTGCTGCTTCTCCATTCTAAACATTAGAACAATTAGAACAATTAGAACAATTAGAATAATTAGAACAATTAAAACAATTAGAACAATTAGAACAATTAGAACGTTCTAAACCAAAAGTTTTTGTTCAAAGCTAATCTTTCACTAAAGGTAGGCGATTCGAATGATTGGATTTGATTGGAACAACGGATTGAAACGAATGATTGGATTGTTTTGGATTGGAACAACTTGGATTAGTTTCCATTTTTTCATCGAATTTTTGCATTGAATTAGCTGTAATACGAAATCTCGAGTATCATAACAAATCAACTAAACAATTTTGCCGATCGTTGAATGAAAGGCGCAGAAAATTCGGCGAACACCGAGTAAGCTGAAAGAAAATTTCATTTACATACTAGAATTTATTGATTTGACGTTTTAGATGAAGTTTTGTGAAGAAAAGAAAAATCTATTAAGCATTGAGATCATATTAAGAGCGTGAAGATCCTCATAAATCATTTCGTTGACAGAAAACAAATGATAAACAACGAGAACACCAAGAACATCACAAAGAAAACGGTTAGCTGAAGATGAATTACATGAAATCTTCCAGGTTTACTTTTTCGCAACTAAGATTTCAACGTTTTGAAGACGAAGGTACAAAAAAATCAGAAATCTCAGTTGCTAGGGTGTTAACCAACTTGAAGATTCAAAGCTATACACAAAAAACGATCAGCCAAAGTTTTTTTGTCGGGTCGATTGGCACGGAAAAGTTCACAACTGCATTCAACACTCGGAATCAACAGTTTTCTGAAAGATTTCTGTTGTTTTGTTGAAATTTTTGATAGTTTTCACTTCTCTTCATCTCAACGAAAAGTGAGTGTGAAGTTGGCCACGTAGTGCTTTTCTCCGCATGATTTCTTTCCCCGAAATCTCATCACCACAAATGGATTCGGTTTATCTTCGCAAATGGGTGCCTAAATAGTTTCTTTCGTTAGTTTTCATGTTACTTTTTTTACTGTTTTACCATTGTCATCTATTTCTGCATTTCTCGCAAGCAGTGATGATTTCAAAAGCTGATCCCAAGTCGAACTGGTTCCTTTGGCTAAATATTTTCCGAGTACTTGGAAATTGGCAAATTTTTAATGTTTTTAGTTGTTTTTGAACTCATTCTTAGCACAACAAAGCCTAGAATTACTCACAATGCTCAAACTAAAGGCCAGTTTTTGGCAAGAAATAAGGAGACAAATTCATTGATTCTAATTTATATTCATAAGTATTTTGTCTCGTACCATATTTGACCAGCAAGCCAAATAAATGGTAATCTGATGGAGCTAGATCTGGGGAATATTCTGGGAAGTTCCCAGTCCAGGCTTTTGGTTGTAGAGCGAGTCAGTTTAGCAGAGCATTGTCATGCTGCAACATAGCCTTTTTTAGATTTGATCTTTTCCTCTCAAAAGCTTTAGTCAGATTCTGCAATTGATTGAATGTGAATGAACTCAAGAAAGCCATTCAAGTAGCCTGGAATCGGCTTCAGCCAACAGCGCTCTATGACCTTGTCTCTTCGATGCCAAGACGTCTTTTTGAAGTTGGGCTAAAGCAAGGAGGGGCCACACATTATTAATTTATTTGGTTTGTGTTGTTATTTTTATTTCTGTTAACTTTTTCTTGATAAAATAAAAGTGCGTCTATAATTTTTTGACAGCTGATAAAACGTTTTTTGTACGATAAAGTACTTTGGATGAGTGAAATGACTTGAAATTTTGCATGGGTTGTTTTTTTACATTAAAGAAACTAAAAAATACTTTTCACTGGACTAGCACTTATATCCGGCTCTAAACTAGCAAAAAACAGGGTGCGTCTATAATTTTTTGACAGAGTGTATAACTTCCAGCACTTCCAGTATCCAATAACTCCCAATAACAACCTCAACCGATCTCCGGTCGCTTTCGTTCAAAGATTTGTTCCCATTTTTAAACTTATAAAACCATCGATAAAAAGTCTTGGAGTCTGACCATATACTTTTGTTATGTGGTCTACAGGGTGACCAAGAATTACCGCAACACACAAAAGGTCTGGCTTTTAACCAATTATGAAACCCATCTCGAAAAGTTAACTTAAACATCTTTATTCAACATATAACAGTAACAAATTAACAATTAAATTCAAATTTGCCTCCATCCGCATTCAGACAGGCTTGCAAACGTTTGGGAAACTTATGAAACCATCGATCAAAAGTCTTGGAGTCTGGCTAGCAAATAGGCATCATCCAGGGTATCCCATGCTTTGATGAGCGCCTTCTTCAAACTTTCGATATTTTTATGTGGTTTTGCACATGCCCTGGCTTCAAGAACACTCCAGACTGAGTAATCCAATGAGTTATGATCGGGTGAGCTGGGTGGCCACTCAGAAAACGAGATGAAGTCCGGGAGGGTCTTTGAACAAAACTCTTGCACTTTTTTGCCTTGTGAGCCGGCGCACCATCTTGTTGATAAGTCCAAATTCGATTTTTGAAGTGGTAACCATAAAAACAGGTAAACAAAAAGTGAAATGGGGGCTCATAACATAATACGACGTTGTTGCGGTAACTCTTGGTCACCCTGTAGAGCTAGGCTTGAAGATGAGCATTTAGCGATTCCAAATAGCATAACATGCTGAATATGCCCATTTGACTCACATTTGAAAAACATCTCAAAATCGTCTCTTCTTTTGCCCAGTCAGTCAAAGACCCCCGTGAGACATCGAGAGTGTTCTGCGTCTCTCAAAAGGCTCTTTTCTCTCGGCAATTTCTCGACATTACATGTCGTTTTCGCCGAACTTGCTAATATTTTTTAAACTTTCTAATTTCTAATTAGTTAGTTTATTCGAATTTCAACAAGAAATGGTTTGTTTGAAGTAAATTAAATATCAGTTTAAATTAATCTTTTAGTCCAATGAAAGAAGTGAACGCAAAACGTTGCATCATCGTTTGAAGGCAAACACAAATATCCCAGAACCTCATCGCACACATCGGAAACTTATAACGGCGAGTTTTTTTTTTGAGAAAGATTTTTAGAGAAGGAATGCCTAAAACAAGAGAGTTTGTTCATTTACTATCAGCTGTTGAAATAAGACCTGGCATCTTGTTTTGATCACTTGATATCGATTCGTTTTAGGAAATTTGGGTGAACAGTCAAAAGTCAAAAGATGGGCAGTCAAAAGATGAACAACTGACACTAATATCCGAGATTGTTCACCTCATCGTCGGAACAACCGAGAATCCATTTGAAGCAGCCATCGAATTGCACAAGTAGTCGAGAACGCTTTGTCTTTAAATTTTTTTTAGGCATTCCTGTGACTACAGTCTTGAGAACAACGATCGAATAGCTTGTAAGTTTATTTAAACTTTTGTCTGTTAACAAAGCGTTTAGCTAGAATTCTATTGTATTTCGAGAAGTGGTTGAACAAGCGCGATGATCGAGAAACGTTAGAGAGAAAGTTTCTCACCATCGATTTACAGGTTTTCTTTTCTTTCACTCTAATATCCTTTTTTTCAGAAAATCGCCTTCGATGTCGCAACGAAAGAGACAACGATTTCATTGCCAGAAATTTTCAAAATATTCCGAATTCATGAAGAAAATCAATCGGAGCTGAAGTCTTTCTTGAATTCACAAATTCAAGTAATAAAAAACTAAAGTAATAAACTCTAAATCTATCCAAAGTCTTAGTTGTTATGTAATCAATTGAAATTCAAAGAATCTCTGCAAGTGGTCGATACTTTATCGTGGCATGAAAGGTAAAATTTCTTAACATTAAAAAACTTCTAGATTTTTTTTAGATATTCGATAGAGCTATTCCTTGTCCCGTGCTTTCTGCAAAGTCGTGCTCATTTGGTTGAAGAATTTCTGAAGAAAAGTCCAGGACTTATGGTTTGTTCTCTTTGTTGGATAAATGTTTTTTTTAGTTTCATTTTGTACAATGGTTGGATAGCTTCGTTTCACTGAGACGCACACAGGTAGCTTTTAATGGAATGCGGTTGGAGTACTTTTAATGGAGTTGGATGCTTGTGTGTGAATTAGGCTGTAAGGCTGTATGTGTGTAGATTTTTACTCTATTGAGCCAGGGCTTCTGCCCATTTTTCAAAGAAGCAGTTGAAATCCAAAATTTTAAAAGCCTACTTGAAAGAGGTGAACCAAAAAGGCAAATGGGGACCAGGGCCATTCAAAGCTGTGACCCTGTCGTGGCCTTGACCGGATCCTGGCTATAATTTTTGTGCAAACCAACTAAGGCTCGTCTTAAGCTAGCCAAAACCCGATAAACGGTCAGCCCTTTGGCAAAAGGCTAGCCTTCAGGCTTATGAATTGCGTTTAGTCCTAACTGTTTAGTCAATTCGTCAAAGAAAGGTAAACAAGAGCTTTTATTTTAAAGCTTAAACGTTAAAAGAAAAAATATTGTCAAAAACTGTATGCTTTCGACGCTACTCTACTTTTTAGCTTGCTGAAAGGCTGAAACGATACAAAGAACTGGGAGTGATGCCGGTAGAGGAGCTACTTTACGGTAAGCTTGACACTTTCATTCTATCAAACTTTTTTTCAGATAAAACATTGGAGAGATACATCTCGAGACTGCTTTGCGCTTATAAAATCGATCCTAAACTGACGCCGAATTTCACAAGAGCGCGACTGCACAAGAGAATTATATATGTAATTCAAAAATTGTAAGTCTCGAATATTTTTAATGTAGGAAACATGTGTTTACTGTTAAATTTAGTTTCCAATTCGATACTCCTAAAACATTCGAGACTCGCTACAACTACTTTGGGAATTTGTTTGTGGGAGAAGAAATGATTTATTGGAAAATGACTGCTTTTAGAATTGCGTAAAAGAGGACAATCAAATGAAACGCTTTCTGCTCGTCGTTTTACTGCAAAAGGGACATCACTTTGTGGTAAGGGAAAACATTGAAAATTTTTTTGGCTTCTTCGGATCTCTGGTCAACTAAAGTTGTTTAAATAAAAAATATGTTTTAGGGAGAAGCGACTTGGTGGATGCTAATGTTGAGGGCGGAGAATGCCTATTGGCTTCCTCACGAACTTAGAACTCTTATTCAATCTAATCCAGTTTTTGTTGCCCAACAGAGAGAAGAGGTACCGTGTTTATTTCAATATCTTTTAACAGATTTTAGATAAACAAGTTCTGTTTACTGATCAGACAAGATGAGACGGCGATTCCAAAATTTCTTCACGGAGACTATTCGATTTGTTTAGTGGACAACTCAAAGCTCGATCTCTTTCGTCAAATACCAGATTTACTTTTGAAAGAACAAGTGGGTTATTGTGATGATACCAAAAATAAGCAATTCCTTTCAGCTAATTGGCATCGATGCTGAGTGGGAGCAGGGAGTCGCGTTTGACAAGTTAGTTTAGCACCGATTGCTAACTTGAAGCTCATTGATAGAAAATACTCTAATAAAACCGCATTCCCTCGCACAGTCGTGTAGGCTAACTTTTAAGAAAACCATTTTTGGAGAAACAAGGACAAAACATTTCGTAGCAAAACTTTAGACGCTTATAACTCCTAGCAGATTGTCATTTAGCAAAAGTGGAATATAGATTCGGGATCAGCATAAAATTCCGCGTCGAATGGTATAGGTTGCATAGCATTTAGCCGGCCAGTTGACCATCTCTTGTATCAAATCTCGAAATGGGTGAGAGAAAGAGTCGATCAAGCATCGTTTAAAGAGCTGGGATGTGTGCTATTTTCCCCAAACTCTACCATTAACTAGAAATTCCCTGCCATTGCTTATTCCCCTCCAACGATATTTCAAAGTCAGCCCCACAAGGGTACCCACAAACCCAAACAACTCTCGATTTTCCCCAGACTCCGATCTCACACGATAACGATGCTTTCTAGCTTTAACATATGGAAAACATAAAAGCAGTTTTATAAATATGAAAAACTCACTCATTGTTTCTCTTTCAGAATCGATCTGTTACAAATTGCTTGCTCAAATTGTGTTTATTTGCTCGATTTCGTCTCATTGATCCGATTTTCGACGCTGAACGAATGGCGAGCTTTACTTGAGGCTTTGCTGACTGGACCCGCTATTAAATTGGGTAAGCGACTCGAAAAATGATATTTATTTAACAAAATTTAGTGTTTTCTTTTGATCAAGATCTCATCAATCTCTTCAACACATTCCCTAGTCTAATCGATTTGAAATCGAAAATGACAAATGTCTTTTGCTTGAATCGGCTAGCAAACAAAGTCACTCTTTTTTTGCTTTTTTCTCAAAATTTCTCAATTTTCAGATAATAAATGCGAATAAGAATATAATTGATGTATCTGATCTGGAAAGTATTTCAATGTATACAGGAATCGATGGAGAAAACGTTTGTCTACAAGCTTTTGGTTTCAAATTTTTCATAACTTTAGGTTATGAAAAATCATCAATTCTCGCTAAGCTATCTCTACAAAAAAATTGTCGGAAAAGTTTTAGACAAAGAGCAACAGGTTAGAGGCTTCTTATTCCTAAAGTTTTCTAAATTTCAGACATCACCGTGGAGTTATCGACCGCTTAGCTCGAGACAAACTTTCTATGCAGCTCAAGATGCCTATTGTTTACGCGAAATCTATTTTGAATTACAAAAAAGAATCAGGTTTTTTTCTGAAAACAAGAAACTTTTAAAGAATCTGTAAATTTCAGAGAAGCAGATCTGAACTTTGAGAGCTTTTTCCTAAATAACAAGGGAGTATTGAAAAGACCGAAAGCTGAGAAACAAAAAGTCGACGTTGTGGTCGATATGGAAAAGCTTGAAAAGGAAATGAGAGAATTTCTCGTCGTAACTGGAAATGAGCTGGCTGAAACGCGGAGTTTAAAGGTTTAAATAATTGAATGGATTTAGAAAAACGAGTTAGAAAAACTGCTACGAACAAGTTCTGTCTTGAAACTTCTTTTGACGATTTTTTTGAAAGAAAAAAAACCATTTAGTTAGTTACAGTTTTTCATTGAATTTTAAATCAATTAGTTACTGTTTTTCATTAAATCATCCATCAATAGCTTCTTGGTTCACTATTTGCTCACATATTTTAGCTGATTTTCGATAAAGGCTTTGGCAATCTTGAGACTTATTTGCGACAAATGGGAGTCGATGTCCTGAAAATAAGTGGCGATCTGACGGTAGAGAAGAACGAAAACTCTCAAACGAAATTTTAGGCTGCTCAATTAGCCGAGAGACACCCTGATCGACACCTTGTTACCAATGAGAAAGCGTTTGGAAAAGTTGGGAATTTATTTTAGCTGCAAAAAGTGCTTTAGATGAGCAGCGGAATCAAGCGAATATTGGAGAAAAGAGTGTTCTTTCTCAGTGCACAGCCGATTCCACTGATCGAAGCCGCTGAATTGATTTTCAAGTGAGTGTTGAGAAGAAAAAGTTTAAAAACTTCTGAGCAAATGTCTTCATCTTTCAACTTTTCTCTTAGAAACTTCATGCTACTCCCGAAACGAAGCTACCTTTTTTCGCGTTGTATGGTTGGTTTTTTACATTCTCAGGGCTGTTTTTAGTGTTGGACTACAGGTTTTAGTTTTTAAAAACTGTCTAGCAGTTTTTAGACCTGGATAAAGCTGAATTTTGTATCTGCTTGGCTTTTAAGGTCTGGAAACACAAATCCGCCTTTAGATTTTAATTTTGGGAATAGAAATCTACTAGAGATAAAAGAGCTGTTTGTCTGTTTGTCTGTCTTTCTTTCTGTCCGTTTGTCTGTCTGTTTGTCTGTCTGTCTGTCTTTCTTTCTGTCCGTTTGTCTGTATGTCTGTCTGTCTGTTTGTCTGTCCGTCTGTCTGTCTGTCCGTGAAAGTCAAAATTAAGTGGCACTACGGGGAATCGAACCGGGATCGTGTGGGCCATAGACGAGCGCGCTGCCGACTGCACGGCGACAAAAACTGCCCAAAAACATTCAACCAGAAAAACCCACCGTTAGACGAGTTTTTCGGCTGGTTTTACAGTCCAAAATTTAAATCCAAAATCTCAACAATTTGAGCATTGCAACGAGTCATCACTTCTTTTGATCCCTCGTCCGATTCTCCACTTTCTGTATCATTTCACCGTCGAGGTTCAGGGGATCTACGCAAGAGAGGAGGAGTTTTTCGTTGAGGATTGGGTAGATTTGAATCATTTTTTTAAAAAAGTCTTTATTTTAGCTGCCAACACTAGAAAATCTATCGACTGAGAGATTTGGCGTTGAAGCAACGGTCGATTTCATCGAAGCACCCTACAAAATTGTAGCAAAATGTGTGAACGGAGACATCGATTTGAAGTTTGATATTTTTGTTTTTCTGGATCTTTTGATTTTAGTGCTGGAGTGATAATCGGAAAGAATGGGAGAAAATCGGTCCAGATCGCTATTCAAAAAGTGAGTGCACATAAAATTTGGCTATTGATATTGATAAATTCAGTGTCCATCAAACGTTTTTCGCCATTCGACGATCCCCTATTTTCACGTTTGCAGTGGTTGTGGACAAGTTTTTTGGAACGAAGCGTTGGGAAGGTTTCAATCTTTGGGAGATTGAAAATGAGAAATAATTACTCAGTGATCAAAAAGATATTTATATTTCTGCGTGAACGGAGATACCAATTTGAAGTCTGACTTTGTAAAAATATTTATGAACTTTATTTATTTTATGAACTTGCCTTTACAATAAAAGTTTGCCTTAAAAGTATGGCCCGAAATCAAAAATCACATTTCTCTGATAGAGATAGAACCTTCCGTAAATACTGTAATAGTACCCCCCCGCCCGGCCTCGTACAGCCGCGTAGTCGCAAAAGTTTCTTAGTATTTCATTTTTTCCAAAGCGCCCGTGCTTTCAAAAAATGCGTCTTTGGTATCAAAAAATAGCCCTGAATCTCAGCTATTTTTTGATACCTAAGCGCGCATTGTAGCATAAACCAGTGTCGAGAAAAACGCGTTCAAAGCCAGACTACGTAACACTCCGAACCGTCATTATGGGGGTCGGGTACTATTACAGTATTTACGGTATGTAAACTTATGTAAATATTATTATTATAAACGACACATATAAAAATATATAAACAATGTAACAAAGGCAAAAATGTTTTTCAATGCGTTTTTCAATCTTCTTTTGATTTATTGTGTGTAAAAAATTATTTTCAAAAACAATGACTGCCAAAAAAAAAGAAAAAAATGAGAAACAAACTGTGGCAAAAAAAAGCCGATTTTTCATCATTTTTCAATCATTTTGTTATAAGCGCTGGTTAATGCTAAAAATATGTGTTATATCTTAAAAAAATCACTCATCTTTTCTACTTTAATTTGATACCTAAGCGCGGAGAAACAAGAGTCTCGGCACCGAGATATGAGCGGCTCTTTGAGTGTAAACTTAGACTACACGACGCTCCTATAGGGGGCTCTTCTATTAGAATATTTCGGGTGGTTAGATCAGAGTCTGTTCAGAGTCCTCTGAGAATAAGTGGTTGGAAAAGTTTAAAAACAAGTTCTAATCTATTGCCTTTAACGTCATATCACGTAAATTTTGAAATTGAAAAATGAAAAATGACTAGAAAAATTAGAAGAGTTCGAGCCGGAAAGAGAAAAATGTTCCATTTTGTTCTACCTCTTGGGAATTGAAAATTTTATAAAATTCAACATCAATTATAGTTTTCTGAAATTTCGATCAAAGACACAGTGAAAATTAACAAAATTCTTTTCTTAAACTTTCATTTTCACAGAAATGGATTGTCCTGATGTGTCGAAATATGCAACGAACGGTCCTTTAAAGATCCTGATCTGTTTTCAGGTTTCATTTGCCATTTCGGCAGTGATCTCTTTAGTCTTCACCTCGAAACGAGTCTTTTCTTCGTTTCTCCTCGATATCACCTTCAAAGAGCATTTATTTTTGTGCTATATTGTTCATTTTATACAAGTCTCATCATCGTTTTGTTCACAGGTATAAAAACTGAAGTTTGAACTTTGAACTTTGAATAACTTTGAATAACTAGGTAGATAGAACGACCATCAGTAGGTAGTAGGTACATCAGTAGGTAGTAGGTACACCAGTAGGTAAATTACTGCTTAAAAGCAGCATACCCGTTTTTTGAAGAGTTGTCTACATTATAATCGTTTAACTTTTTACTGACCAACTTTAACTGGTTACTGACGAACTTGTGAAAGTTCAAGGAATATATACCGTATTCTCTCTAATAGAGGTGCACTCTTTAATAGTAGGGCACTCTCTAATAGTATTGCGGTCCAGGAGGGGGTTCAAAAAATAGTAGTGCACCCTCGAAAATTTGAAAATTTCTGTTTGCTTCTTTTTCATCTAAACCTTTTTGACTTTTATGTTTATGTGACATTCTAAAGCTATTCAAGCAAGCAAAAGTGAGGCTTTTTTTATTCATTTATTAACTATTCTTCACATGAAAAAGTTAGCAAAAAATCTAAAATTGTTGTGCAAAGTGCAAAAACATCTTTTTGTTGCTTGCCAAGACACAAATTGTCAACGCGCCGGCCCACAACTGGACGTCAAAAGGAGCCAAAGGAGGACGTGAAAGAATTGCAAGAATTTTTGGAACAAATCTTATATCTGTCTTACTTTGGTAAATGATAAAACTCTTTAATAGTATTGCACTCTCTAATAGTATTGCGGTCCAGGAGGGGGTTCAAAAATTAGTAGTGCGCACTACTATTAGAATACGAGAATACGGTAAACTGTATCAAACTTTAAAGTGAATGACTTCTTGAGCTGAACAAGCTCTTATTGATTTTACAAAGAAAGCGGTTTTCATTCATGAATTTTCCTTTTTAGGGCATGATGCTCTTTCAATACGTGACTCAACCGATTTGTTCAGCGACATTCTCAAATACTCTTTGCATTTATCTTCGTATCAGCACCTCATTTTCCATCATTGCACTACCGATACTCAACTTGGCACTCAATTTGATTCGAGTTGTCTCCTATTTTGGTGACTCTTTAGTGGAAAGATACAGTCGATCGATTCGTCGCATTGTCGTTTTATTTGGGGTAAATTAAAGAAGGTTCTTGAGAGGAACGATCGTTTCAGCTAGTCATGATCTTTGGTGAACAATATTGGAAATATTATGGCTTTGAAATTCCCGAGCGTCAAGTCGCCTATTGTATGCTCAATTCGATGCCCGCTTTGTTGACCAAGTTGAATGCTGAGGGAATGATCACAATTATTTTGGAAGCGTTGACTCTCTTGATGAGTTTCTCGCTTTTTGCTTTGTATCATCGACGAAACAAGTAAGTGGATAAGCAGGGTGGCAAGCTTTAAAACAGTTTTGAAATTTGTGGTTGCTAAAATCTTGAAAACTAGAAAATTCAAACAAAAATAAAACAAATCCACTCGTCCACTCAAAACAAAACAAAACAAAAGAAAACGAAAGAAAACGAAACAAAAGAAAACGAAACAAAACGAAACGAAACGAAACAAAACGAAACAAAAGCGAAACAAAACGAAACAAAACAAAACAAAACAAAATAATCCAATCCAATCCAATCCAATCGAGCGAAACGAATCAGTTTAGATTAACGCGTTCCTTCGATATCTCGGTGACTTTGGCTCGTCGACAACTCATGGAGACATGGCAACTCTTTCTTCCATACAGGTAAAAGAAGTTTTTAAAATTGAAACGCTTCTCTTTCAGCGTCTTCCATGCAATATCTTTCTTTGGTTATCAATTCTTTAATCAAACATATCGAAATTTGTTCATCAATCGATTGGATCCAGTCACATTCGCTGCTGGTTCCGGCTTCGTTTTTGTGGGTTTTAAAAAAGAAAGAAAGAATAAACCTAGGCCTTGTTGAATAGAAAAGAGATAATAACAAGTTAAGAGTTAAAAGTTAAGAGTTAGAAGCTAATCATTATAAGAAAATGAAATAAAAGCGCTTTGCTCTAAAAAAATCTAATCATTGAAGTGGCCAAAATGACAAAAGTACTTACTTTCTTTTGGTAAATACCATTTTTCAGCTCACTTTTTAGATTCCAATGTACTTTGTGACTTTCTCCCCATGGGTAATCTACTGGATTGTAGCCAGGAGAGAGAAAGTTCGATTGAAAACGACGAACGCGTTGATCAATTTGGAGGCAAAGGCGAGGAATGTCTACTTTGAGACATATCGAAATCAATGGGAAATCGATAATAAGCCCAGGTTTCTTCTTTCAAAGATCTTCATAGAAATTTAAATTAAATTGTTATAATGTTGTGATTGTGATTTTTGAAAAAGATTATTAATTTAACTAGACATTAAAAAGTTGTAACTTAAATTTAATCTTTAAGAACTTTTATGGTTTTTAAGAACTTCTCTCTTCAAGAACTTTTCCCTTCAAGAACTTTTATCGTTCTTAAAGACGAAAGCCTAGTATACCCGTGAAGGAAACTACCGTAAATACTGTAATAGTACCCCACCCCCATAATGACGGTGCGGAGCGTTGCGTAGTCTAGCTTTGAACGAGTTTTTCTCGACACTGGTTTATGCTACAATGCGCGCTTAGGTATCAAAAAATAGCTGAGATTCAGGGATATTTTTTGATACCAAAGACGCATTTTTTGAAAGTACGGGCGCTTTGAAAAAAATGAAATACTAAAAAACTTTTGCGACCACGCGACTGTACGAGGGAGTACTATTACAGTATTTACGGTAGGTTATCAAAGCAACTCCTAAGCGGTAACTAGTGCATCAAAGAACTGTTACAAAAGTAATAGTTTATGCCTAAAAAAGGTTTGTGGGCGGAAGTGGGCGCATCCTGTTTCGAGTTTCGAAAAGTTTCGAGACCTAACTTCTAGACCAAGGGGCGGTCCCCTCCTCACTAGGGAAGCGCAAGGATTGACCAAAGTTATGGCTACTGGAAAAGAAAGAGCTGATTCCGAATGGCCTCAAAGTTAATGATTTTTGAAAGCTTTTCTCAGATTTCTGGCACTGATTTTTGGGAAAGAGATAGCAGACAATCTCTTTGAAAAGAAAATAACATTTCTTTAAGCATTTAAAAGTGAGCTCGCGGCCTAAAATGCCTAAAATGCGCCTATAATATGTATAAAGTATTTATAAATGATTCAAATTTCGTTTAGTATCGACTGCTTCAATTTTTGCCAAAAAAGACGAATCAAGCTGAACCCGAGTTCTTGCAGTTTACAGTTGTGTTTTGTGTAAAATACTTTGATTTTCACTGTGGCTTTGATTGAATTGATTGAATGTCTATGAATGTCTTTGATTGAATTGATTGAATGATTGAATAAAACAAAAAAAATCAAAACGTTGCAAAGTATGAAAATAGTAAGAAAAACTATTGAAGCTTTTGATTCAAATCATTCAAAAGCTAATCTTTTTTTTAGTCAAGTTAATAAAGCAACTATAAAAAGAAATCATTTGTCAATTGCTTCACAAAGCGCTCATGAAGATTTGAAGCTGCTCACATTTTCCCTTACACAACTTGTGACTTCAGCGAATATTGTTGTTCTCAAAAACAACTACTTTTTAGAGAAACCCAGTTTTCTAGTATTGTTCCAATGGAGTCATAGAGTGTCCAGATG